GAAAGATGTCTGCGAGGCCCCCTCCGTGTCCTTTGGTGTCTCGTACGGGGACGAACCCATCTTCACCAAGAGCATTGGTTTATGCGACGTGAAAAACGGACAACTTGCTAATGAACATACGTCCTACCATATCGGCTCATGTGCAAAAATCTTTACGTCCGCTGCGATAGGGATACTGGTCGATGAAGGCAAGGTATCATGGCAGGATGCGGTCAAAAAGCATCTCGAAGACTTCGATCCCGTGGAAGACCGAGAAATCGGAAAGAAAGCTACCATCAGAGATGTCTGTAGACATTCGACCGGACTGGCCAATCCAAACGCGGTCTTTATGGCCCCTCATGGCGCTCCAGGTATCAAATCAGAGGAGTATATGAAGATGATTAACGCCCTTCCGACTGCGAATGAGTATGGGCAGCGATTCAATAGCTGGTGGTTCTACAGTAATGCGGCATACGGTCTACTCGGTTTGGTCGTGAAAGCTGCTGCTAAGGTGGACTTTGCTACGTTCCTTCGAACCCGCATATGCAACCCCCTCGGCCTGAAAGATACCCTTCTCACTGAGCATGACGTGACAAATAACAGTAATCTGGCTCATCCATATGTCAAAAGAGATGGTGAATGGCACAAAATAGATAATGGCCTCACCTCTGAGGAGCACAGCCATACACTTCCGTTTCTTGGCATACGCTCTTCCGTGAGTGACATGTTGCTGTTTGGAGGTGCCGTGATGCATCGCTACGCAAAGGAACAGGAGAGCCAATCTGAGAAGAACGAGACGCCTCACTCGGGTGTCTCCTGGTCCGACAGGCTCTGGGGTCTTGGACAGGCTTTGGGATTGATTGCAGGATCCAAAGAAAATCCTCTGAGACAGATTTCTTACATCTGGAAGTCGCATTGGACTCGGCCTTGTAATGATGGCTTCGATAACAAGACAGCCTACATGCTCGGCTGGCTTCGCACCACCATGCCAACAGCTGCTCTGCCGCTTCTCTCATACAACTCCTATCCTACAAAACCGGAGTACATCATCGGAAGAGAATCCACACCTCGAGAGATGTACGGCCACTCTGGATGCACCAATGGCTCTGTCGCCACCATGTATGTCATACCGCAATCTGGCTTTACCGTGGTAGCCTTGAGCAATGCAGCAGATGCTGGTGACGCATCGAACAGCACTGTTCAGATTCTGCTGCAAGCTATTTACGACTTGGGCCCCAAGGTTGATCTCGTCCTCTCGCTCAAAGACTCCAAGGAAATGAAACTGAAGCAGCACGAAGACATGATCAGTGATTGGAAGAGGCACAGAGATGTCGGAAATTACACCTGCCAAGCTGAGGAGCTCATCGGAACCTACCATGGCCTGGGGGCGTCTGTCATCGACATCAAGCAGAGCCACAAGTCCGACTCAGGCCTGGCAGTTGTCTTCGGCCACCAACCCGCATCCATGTGTCAACTGGACAGATTTAATCGAGACTCGCTTAGCTTCCTTCCCATGGATCACAAGGAGATTTTGGAGAGAGCTATGATTGATTGGGACTACTGGACTGTTGGCGTTTTTCGATTTGTTAGGGAGGACGAAACTCAACCGAACAGCCCGATCGTTGGGCTAAGATGGAAATGGGACCAATATGAGGATTCAACACTCTGGGTGAAACAGACCGACAAAGACTCGATGACCGACGACCAGTATAACGCTGCCGCCAAGAAGCATGGGAAGTTTTTGAAGGACCCTTGGGCCGAACTCGTCCCTCCCGCGAATGGCAATGGCCATTGCAATGGGAACGGCAACTGCAACGGCATGGAGAAGGTTGGAGATTATGTTGCCTCTCAGACGGCCGATGCAACTAGAACTGCTGCTTGAAGCTTTCGGGATGCTTTGAGGTGAAAAAAACATGTAGAGCATGAGTATTGTTATGGCCCGGGTCGTGGAGTTGGGATGTAAGAAAAGTACGCTTCTGTGATTATTTGCTAGAATAAATTCAGGTGACGGAGGGTCAGAACCGCCCCAGTGGGTATTCATAATGCTTGATAGACGATACGATAGAGGAAATCTCAAAGCCATCTTGGCCCAGCGATAGGGCTGTTCGGTTGACTTTTGTCCTCCCCCATAAATCGAAAACCGCCAAAAAGCTACAGCCAAACGACCATATTGTTGTAAAGGTCGCAGGATGGTCCAAATAAGACTAATGAGGCACAACTATCAAAGTCATAAAATATTGGCGATATATGTTTTCTAAGTATGCCCATTTTGCAGAGTGCCGTGCCATCAAGGTCAGTTTTATCTCATATGTCTCACAGAGCTCGTCGTTTTGTTTAGCGGATAACAGAATGAAGAGCAAGAAAGCCCTAATCGAGTCTCGTTGCATCAAAGACGCCAAGGGGCTACTGGTACTCATTAGGCTAGCTGACTCAAGCTTGGTGTGTTGAAGAGCTGAGATTGGTGTAAGACGAGTGTACGAAAGAGCCAGGTGAGATATACATTTGTATATATATATATTGAGGGTAGGTTAAATAGTCACTCGACGGGCGGCTCGTCCCGACGGCAAGGATGTCATCGGTATGAAGGTTCCCACAATTTTCCTTCCGAATGAATGCAGCCTTGGGCTAGCAAAGCTTATTTTTGCATTTAGTATTCATTGTATTGAGATGTCGGGAGCGGCATCTTCTATTGTTGCTTTTTAATTTTACACTCGACCTCGCCCGTTCAGAGTATAACAGGATGAAGAGGAAGAAAGCACTAACCAGGTCTCGTTGCATTATATACTTTGTTTCATCAATTATCCAACACGGCTCTTCTATCTATGTTTTTCCTCTGAAGGGGGTGACTCAACATCGAAATAACCTTGATTAACGATGATCATACTTGAAATCTAATAGGGAGACTAATGGTTAAGAGACCTCGAATTCATACTAATAAAAATATATCACGCGTCCCTAGCATGATCTAACGGACATGAATATCTCTCTGCACTCGAATCTGCTTCGCTGGCAGTGGGTCAAGAGGAACGTGGTCAGAATCGCCGCTGGTATCGTTTTCGTGTGTCGCCCAACCTGCTGCAGAGCTATGATACCGTTCCTCTGTCGTATTGTCAACCCACGGACGTCCGTGATTTGCGCTTTGGTGATCTGACATTTTGTACCCGTTGGAGGCATTATTCCTGTTTCTCATGGACCCGTACCACGACCTGCTTCCGGAGCTGAGGTTGGCACTTCCTGAGAATAGCGGACCTAGCGTTGGAAGGCATGCGCAGATGATAGCTGTTCCGAGTTGGATCGTAGACCATAAGAGGGTCTTGGCGGCGTTGACTAAGTTGAGAACATACATGTTAGGGCCTGATTAGCCAGTATAATAAGGAGAGAACTCACAGTTTAGCAGGACATCGGGTGGTTGCCAAATGACGGTCAATCTCACAATGCTAAACACACAGACGCTACAATAACGTCAGTGAGAAATATCCAATGGTCTGCGTCTAGAGCTCACTCACCCAGCGCCGAGTAGAAACATTCCCAGAACAGACCACTTCTTGACCTTATTCAGTCTAAGGGAACCGACGACAAATGCCGGAATGCAGAGTATAATGACGTCGATGACCAGGTTGGTGATTTCGACGGCGAGAAGAACGACGGGCGAGGAAATGCAAAGCTCGGTTTCCATAGGCCGTGTCCAGAGCGCATCGATCGGCTTGCATTGGAAGACGATGAGCAGGATGAAAGCGATGAACCAGGCGACGCTCAAAGCCGTCGTACCGATAATCAATTTCTTCTGTAGGTCGTTGACACCAAACAGGGTCCAGTAAAACGCCAGGATGCTGAGCTTTACCAATGTGATGCTGGTCGTGAAGAGCACCTCGGCAATCCAAGCCATCTAGAAGTTGACCTCTTAGCATAACAAGCTCAATATCATGTACTTGACGTCCCTAGACAGCTACTACCTTCAAGAAGTCGAGGGATTCTTCCAGCGGAATTTCAGGCGACCCAAGGAACATTGTCCCGAATGCTTTCAACTTAGATACACGGAAGATATCTGCCCTCAGGTCAGTATGTTTCCCCGTTCGAGCTCGTTCACCCCTCGGAATATCTCACGGTTAATCAACAGCGCGCAGTATCCCACGAAAACCACGTAACATGCGATGCAGAGCCAATCTGATTGGAACAGCTTCTGGCCGAGACTCATTCGTAGCAAGAGCCTTAAAATAATTGTGATTGCGCAGAGGATAATCATGGCCACGCAGACCGCGAAATTCTCACGGGCATCTTGGCTTAGGCTTGTCATCGTAACCCGACGTGCGAAGCCACTCGCGACCAGCGCGTATCACGGATGTAGCGTCCCGTTCGTGTCGAGCAAAGTCCAAATCACCACCTTGAGTCGAAGTAATAAATCCCAAAGTAGCCTCTCGAATTCCCCCTCCCCTCGGATATATTATCGCAGGCACGTCGGCCGGTTCGTGTTGTTGCCTTCGAGATCGGATTACCCACTTGCGAATAGGATTTCGCCGGTGCGAGGAAAGATGAAAAAGCAGAAAGACAGAAGCGAACCCCAGAATCAGGGATCCGTTCCCCTCTTCAGTTTTCCAGAAGGCAAACGGTGGCCCACACCAGTTGTTAATAATATGACCATTAGAAAGTGATGGTGCGGAAGCTTGGACTTTCATAATCCCCAAAAGACCTGCAGGATTCCGGATGTAACCATTCCTGAACCCGGGAGTCAGGGTCTAGGATTGATCATGCCATCCGATGTGGATGGAGACGTAATGCCAGCATCGCGCTTCAGCCGCGACTGGGTCGAGTGGGTTTATTTGTCCTCTCTGCCCTTCGCTCCCCGAGAAATTTCAAGTGGGTTCCGTGGGAGTTTCCATGATGGGTCTTCGCCGAAATTTTCTGCTTGTCAATTCTGCGAGGCCACCGTCCGAGATGTCCTATTAAAAGGATCCTCTGGTTTGTTCTACGTGTGACTAGTAGCCAAGGCTTAGTGCATGCCAGGGTTGGAATATTATTACGCACATTAGCTCCTGGCGTAGAATCTGGCTTTGGCTTGGCTGGTCTGACTCTCGCCGTTGACTGGAAGGCTTCCGAAGGATGAGTGAGCTCCACGGATATTGTGCCGGAGATGTCTTGATACGGACGAGACCCCAGTTATCTCAGCACTAGCCACGGTGAACCGTCGTAGCCGGCCAAAGATGGGCAGACCCTGAACAACACGCAAGTCCCAAGGGTGGGCATTAGTCCAGTCCTACTGTCCTCTTGCTGACAAAATTGTGCACGAGCCTGGGATCGCGTGTATGCCTGCATAAGGAAGTCTTGATTGCATCCATGTATCAAAAGGCCTGGATGGGGGTTCCCTCCTTCAACATGTGAGATGGGATGAACCACAAGCCTTGAAGCTCAGAATACCTCGATACAGAATAACGACGCGGCGACTATTTTAACCCGCACTTGTGCCTGCTGGTCGCACTAGCCCGCTCTTGAAGATGAGTTCTGCTACGCTCGGGAATGATTCATGACGAGCAAGGGTTGACGGTGCGCCTTACTAGTGAATATTTGTATAAATGGGGATCGAAACTTATCAGGAGTTGGATGTATCCACCCTCGATTCATCACAAAATCAAATTTCACACTGCCCCTTCGGTCCTTATCGCTTGAAGGAAACTCGAGATGAAAGTCCACAATCCTAACCCACCCAAGATTGTCTAAAAGCTCCACCGCGAAACCTAACTACGTAACCAGACATTCATTATAGAGTAGGTTCACTGCATTCAGTTCCTGTTTCAATCGGATCCAATCCTCCTCCACTCTGCATGATGGTGTTGCCAATTTTCCATTCCACTTTCTTCTCGTCAGTCTCCACCAAGCCCCGTTTCATCCATTTCTCGACGGATTCCTCCTGGCCGGAATGAAGACAAAACTGCTGAAATAATACTGGAACGTGTGGGGTTTTATTGCTAGGCACTAGACCCGAGATAACTTGTCTCTAATATGACAATCCTTCTGCGCGGAAGAGAGGATGCCATTGAGTGGGACCCTCAGTGTAGGGCAGGCTCGGGGGAAAGAACCGAGTGAGATAAAACTGTGCAGCGTCTGGGATCGTCTTCCACGTTCATTCTTAAGTTTGAGTTCCTGTATGTTGATACAATTCAAGCGATAGGAAGAGTCTATCGAGCTCCTTGCAGCATCGATTAGAGACCAAATAAAAGGAGCAAGCCTAGGACTAGCAATAGCATGCTGACTCCTACCAGAGGTAATAAGGTGGTGCTACAATTTTTTTTTGGGTCTGGGAGTAGGTAATCAGCAGATCTCTGGGTGTTTCGAGATTGAGAAGTACTATAATATAGAGCCCAGGACCATGTTTACCAAAGATCATATGCCCCTGCCATCCCCACGACCGTGCCTTTGTGGTGTCATTTCAGCACTCTATACTTGCATATAAATCGAGCCAGTCCCCAAATTGACGGGATAGTGTATGATCGCCATTTAGAGTTATTCTACTACATTTAATGTCGTTTTTACTTGAATTTCGGTGGATCACATCGACAAACCCGTGCTTGTCTACACGAAATTTTCAATCCATCGCTAGACCTCCCTCGCTTCTAGGGAGGGCTGCCATTTAGGAGTCGAATATTAAACCCTAAAATGAACATCACATTTCCAACATGCTGGAATGAGAGCAAGTTGGCTTCTAGGTTTTCATTTCAAAACAGAAAGCTATCGAGAAAGAAACACTTCTGGGGTAGATCCTTCATTTGCGAGCTGCAGCATCCAATGAGTCACGCGTCCCTATTCGGTCATTCGCAAGCCCTAACTTGGTCATGAAAGGATGCCGAGAAACAATTGATAAATCATTCTTTCGATTTTCTCCACCGCATCATTTCACACGAAGCTTGACCAGAAGGCTTTTGTGGGTTTACCACTCTAGCTAGTTGATAAAGCTCTTTGTCCACGTAGTGTCTACGCCCCGATTCTGCTGAATATTATATTAGCAAACCGAGAGAACCTGTTCCCTAAAATAGAACTATCTCGAGACTAAATTACTAACCCAATATCTGACGAATATGAAAACTCCTTTTGTACAATAACAGATAGATGAGATACGCTTGAGGCTTCTAGTCCTACTAGCCCTGCCTGGGCGGTCTGACCTCTGAAGGCCCTCATTGAATGCGAAAGACCCCTATGCTCCCCGGACCAGGCAATGCTAGTAGACATTGAAAGCTTATCTACATGACTAGAATAAAAGATACTTTTCAGATTGGCAAAGGACTCTTTTGCATCAATTCACGAACAACATGGGTCCAGGAACTACTTATATAGCTACATACCCTATAGTGTATAGCCAGCCGCAAGACACGGAGAACCGCAAAGCAGACCAAATGCTCATTTATACTGCGTAAATGCCCATAGAGCTTAGGCTGGATATAGTTAATAAGGTATAGTTGCCTTATTATGCTAAGTATATTGTTCTTCGTCCTATGCAAGGACTTCACCAATCCTCCACTTACACGAATAACAATGTATTGGTTTGAACTCTACAACCCTTCGAACCAATTCCCTAACAGCGTGACCCTAAATGTCCCAATTTCTGATACCTATGGCCTTTTCTTTACGCAAGGCGTTCACGTAGAAGTAACGGCTTTTGGATCGAGCGCACTCGCTCATGGTCCACGTCGAAACTTTATTCTAGCCACGACCAAGAGTTTGGCCCGAGGAAATCTCCAAAACACTCTTTCCACTTAATCTCATCAAGATACATGTTGTGGTTAATTTGAAGGCCCAATCAGCCGTTTTCCCTTGTGCTTGATTTTGGCATATTCTGAAACTATATTATTGCGCTGTATTCACAGAAAGTCAAGGCAAAATCATGGCTCCTGTGCCCATGGGAGAAACGCTGCAATAAGCCACTTATGCTGCGGAAGAATCCTAGGCCAACGCGTCGTGGCTACTGAGTTCTAACCCGCCCCCTCTGCCGACTGCTGGATTTTGCTGATATACCTATGCGAAGGAATTGTTCATAGGTTGATTGGGAAGAAATTTTCGTTGATCTTGGCAAGACCTTTCCAGGTAGGCGTCTTGCTGATATGTGCCATTGGTTAGGCTAAAGCTACCAAAGGGTTTTTGCATTCTCATTCAGGTTTTTACAGTTTGGCAAATGACGGTGAGATGGATATCAAGACATGTCACGTGGCAATGCTGGCTCAACAACTACTAGTCAAAGTGGATAGACCTGCTGAAAAGGAAGATTTTGCGAAATCCTAAGATGGCTTACGTGACGAGTTCTGTATTTCACACTTGGCTAGCGGTAGGTGCATGGATTTTTCCAAGATGGACGATGGATGACCGCAGACTCATATGCTTGGAACCGACAAAGATTGTTTCTCTTCTCTCTATAATTATCTAAGCGTCAAGGGCAGGGTCGAAACCTGGTACACCACTTCCAGCAGCAGCTCTGAGCGAATCGGTGAACTCATCATCCAACTTGGGGCCAACTCCACCATTCCATGTCGAGAGCATCTTGTTGCGGAGGTCAGTGCTAGGCCAGTTATTCCAGCCAACCAGAGGGCTGGTATAGAAAGAACCAAAGGGGTTCTCAGGGTGGGCAATGTCATCGCTGTTGGCGAAACGGAAGCAGTGAGTTGCAGCACCATCCTTGTGATACACAGCCTGTACCCGGCTTCCGGACAGTGGGACGTCGTTTCTGGCGTTCTCGTACTTTCCATGGCATGAGGGTGCGACGCGAACGACCTGATCGCCCTTGGCAAAGACCACCTATGTCAGAGTTGGTGCTGGTGACTTTGAAAATGGCGTCTGAGGAAAGAGAGGAACTTACAATGTTCTCCCAGTCGAATTTATGTCCACCTAGGAAACTTCCTCCAATAGCCTGGTCCTTCTCAAAGAAGTACTCGTACATGATGGCGCAATATCCGTTGTTGCAGCGCTTTCGAGAATAGGCATTGCTGTTCTGGAGCTGAGGAGGATCCCGGCATCCGCCCTGGGGAGTACCAGTCGCACCCTTTCCAGGGTTGGTTGTGCCATCAGGGGAAATAGCAGCCGTGTTGTAGCAGCCGTCAGAGTCAAAGTCTAGCAGCGGCTGGAATTTAGTCTCAGTGGTATCGGCACTTCCAGGGAGAGCTGCGATGATGTCACGTTTGGCGTTGTGGGTGGGCTGGGCTTGGACGATGGCCAAGGCACCAAGGATAGCGACAAGAGAGGAATGCATGTTGAGTTGGCTGAGTTGCTTCGCGCTTTCCAGAAATGAGATGAAGTCTTAACAAGGGATATGCGGTTGATGAGACTACTAAGTCCTTGACTCTGGTTGTGACAGTCTGGCAGTTGGGAGAAATACGTGGGTCTAGGACTCGTCTTATAGTTACCGGTTTTGATTTACTGACGAAGGGGCCATCCTAAAGAAGTGACATTTATTGTTGGAGGCACAGCCTTGGCTGAGAGCATGATATTCAACCCAAAATCCCTCGTTAAGGAGCTTCGTCTCAAAGTAGAAAGTCCTGATAGGGACCAGTCCGTTCCAGGAAGGACGATGTTGCCGGCAGCTCTGTGGAAACCACAGCGGCTGAAAACAGCATGTCATTTTCCCCAGACCCATCAAAGGATTCACTCAGAACAATTACTAAAGAGATCGACATGGTAGCCAGTGCCGTTTACTGCCCATTAACCATGTACACGTGGGTATGGCAGTGGGGGCCTAAGAAAGACGGTGCCGGCAGATAAGGCTTAGAAGAGGCCCCCTAACCCCCAAAAGGGCCTTGTAAGGCGTTTGCTTCCGTGATCGTCAGAAAAAGACCAGTAGGCAGACGAATTGGAGGCATGCTGCATTTTTCTAATGGTCAATTGTGCCGCGGTTGTTCCAGCTGGCGCGGCTCTAGACCAGCATGAAACAAGTGGCTGGGCCAATGCAACGTGGGTCTGACCACATGCTCTGACACTCTTCATCCGTTGAGGGACACAACTCGCGAGTAGCTTGATCTGATAAATAGCGTGATAAATAGTGTGAAATTGAGAGTATCCATGTTATGGCTGGTTGAACAGAGGAGGAGGCCTGCTAGGAGTATGCGCCTGATCCCTTGTATAAGAAGTAACACTGAAATCTTGGCCGACGCAGCATGTTAAATCCATTGGATCTAGGGCACCATTCAATCAGTCACTGGACGTCTCCTGCCTTGTTTATTGACGGCCATTCTCAAGGCGCCTTGCCTCATGTGCCGCTGGCCTATACACCACCTCGTCCGTTTTCAGAGGTATTTTTGTCCCGGTCCTTTTGTAAGGAGCCCAAACTCGCCTTGCGTAAATGCAGTTTCAAAAGACTTGGCGCCTGGTTGATCAGAGAAATGATTAAGATCATTTCTTTCGAGTTGTTAAGGCACAGTACCTCGGAATCAATGACAAACTCGACTGTAAGGATTGCAAAACCTCTTCCCTGACTAACGCGTGATAATTGTGAGACCACCGCACTGGCAATTTGTGTAGTGTTCAAGATAGACGGCCTGTGGTGTCTAGTTTGATCGGAATCTTAGTTTGCAAGCCCCATTTCATGTATCGCCACGCCAGAGCCTTCATCGCTTCATACCGGCGGACGATCTCCAGATTCCCGTGTTCCCCTCGCAGGGCCTCACACTCCTTTTCCAGAACGACGGTCGTCATCTGGAAAGCGGTGGTGATGAAAAACGGTGCAAGTCTTCTGTTAGCGACGTTCTCTGCGAAGGCAATGGCCCGAAGCACATTCTCCGCATACCCGACGAGTTGGGCGCGGTGATGACGGATCTCTTTTCCGGGATCGGCTGGTATGAATTGTGAGTTGATGGCCATCATCACCGAGAGCATATCCGCCAGCTGCAGGTGTAATGATATGACAACGGTCCAGTACAGAGTGAAGGCCTGATATTCGTGCATTGAGTGGAAGTGAAGGACGGTGTCAAATAATGAGTGCAAGTCCTGTTCAAACGTATGCCAGAACTTCGAATGACCCTTTGCCTCCTCTTGGTCGGCGTTTGGATTCGATTGGCAGTCGGTGATTGGAACCTCATAAACCTTTTTTTGCCATACCGTCGCTGATAATTGTGTTTGGCTCAACAGGGTTTCCGCTTCATGATAAAGCTCTAGTAAAGCTTGACTAGGCTCACTGTCGTTCGCCCTGCCAGTCTGGAGAAGTTGAACGACAAGCTTGTCATATCGACTTATCAGGCTCGCCAACGTTGGGAGAGAATCCATCAAAGAATCTAGAAAGGTATAGATCTCGGTTCCCCAGGATGGAATCAGATCCTCGCTGGTATATATCGTCGTTTTCGCCTCAGTAAGCCAGGCAGAACGGATGGTAGACCTCTTTCGCCATTCGTAGGGTGTCAGACTACCCAATTGCCGGGAAGAGAGTGTTTGCAATGACTATAGTGATGATTGGTCAGTATTTTACGACTTTACAAGACAGGTAAATTAATATAACAACTCACAATCATTAACCGCGAAGCGGCTATGAGCTGCTTATTGGTTTTCGAGTACGGGTGATCTTCCCCTCTCAGAGCAATGGCGTCGGATAGAGCGCGGATATGGCTTTGCCAATTTGTGGATAGAGGGCACATTTTGAGCTAAACAAGATAATCAACGACGGAAATTTCTCATTTCCACATCAATGGGTAGAATGCATACTTCCCAAAAAGTCATGACAACGCAGAAGAATGCGAAATGTTGCCAATTCTCCTCGCATACGCCATCAAGGGTGAGACTGCTGAACCCCAGAGCCGAGATGGACGATGTCATTGATTTCAAGGCGAGGCCGTATTTATGGAAACTTTGCTCAACAGATTCTGCGTCGCCCATAGCTCTGCCGAAATGCCCTTGAGCAAGAGCATTGACAGCCAATACTGCTGGCGTCCTGAGGGATGCACTCGCACCAGCATTGATAGTTGCATAAGAATCAACAGAGAAGTATATGCGGAATAGACTGGCCATGAAATGAGGGGTTGTGATAAACTTCGTTGCAAACCCGGTCATGAAGAAGGCTGCGCTGAGCTGGATCCTGTCAATTGACGGCCTCCGGTAAAGAGGAGGGGATGCCGCCATGATACAGGGACCGGGCTCTTCCTGAGCCCGATTTCCCGAGTCATTTATTTGTCCTCGGTTGGCATAGGCAGGCGATTTGTCCCTGGGCTTTGAGGGCTTGTTGCGTCCCGCCTTGGATACGCCAGGAGCTCGCCATCCGTCATTCAGGAACACAAAGTTGTCCCTGCGGTATCCTCTGCAAACCTGTTTCCGGCCTTCGCAAGCTTGGCACGTAGGTCTTCTACCATCTTCGCACTAGGAATCAGCCGCCAAAGGTACGAAATGATAAAAGAAGAAGACCTACCACAACGAGACTTTCGGGCAACGCAGGTGAGGCAGCCTTTGGAACGAGGCACGGAAGGGAGTGACGTGTCCTTCCCACATACTGGCATATTCTCTGAGACAGTAAGGTTATCCTAGAAGCCCCCGGAAGTGAACCCCCGATTATTCTAGCAGACAGTTAAGATGCAGAAGGGTAGTCATAGGAGATGAACGGAACTGGGAACTGGCTCAAAGAAATCACCAACCAGTCTTAACTCAATCAGGAAGGGAATGCTATCCCTGTCGATGACCCACCTCACACATAAATTAATACCACCGGTTGGATAAGTGCAGGAATTAGCTCCACACAATGCTCACGACTCGGCCTTAGCGGGTGATTTGAATAGCTTCCACACAGAAGGAGTTGGGTGAGATGGCCTGGCTAATGTAATGATATATGATCGTTCCGAAAAGTCCATTGCTTGTCAATTTTGGGTAAGGAACGCGATCCACGTCATAACCTGCCCCTGATAAGTATCTCGGAAATTATTTTCTGAGGCTCAGCCTTAGTATAAGAGACATCTCAACTCGTGCTGTCTTGTTGGTTCAGTCGAAGTGTCCTCAATATCGCAAAATCAACAAAAACAGCCTTAAAACCATGTCGAACAATCAAGTCCACGATGAGAACATATTAGGCTCGGCTATGTCATCTGAGAAACATCCTCCACCGGGACAAGTATCCTCCTCCGAAGCCCCAAAGAGAGTCTCAGAAGTCGCCACTGGTGAGAATCAAGAAGCAGCTCCCCGAGAAAATACTCTTCCAATCCTCAATTTGATATTAATTGGTGCCGCATTATGGTTTTCTATCTTTTTGATCACTCTGGTAAGACCATGGTCCCTGAACGGCCTCGATCCGTTCCGCCTGCGAAGAATACTCACTAACAGCTCCGTGCAGGACGGGACGATCGTGGCCAATGCCATCCCAACAATTACCGATGAGTTTCATAAGATTTCAGATGTAGGATGGTATGGGAGTGGTATGTGGGCAGAGAATAACGCAGTGTCGCCGTGCCGTCTTAACATTTTCTAGCGTACCTCCTCACTCAGGCCGCATTCCAACTTCTATACGGCAAGATCTATGCCAAGTTTTCAATCAAATACACCTTCATCGCTGCTATTTCCGTCTTCGAGCTTGGGTCCCTAGTATGTGCCCTCGCACCAAACAGTACTGCCCTGATCATTGGACGTGCCGTCTCAGGCTTCGGTGGCGCAGGCATCACCTCTGGAAGCATGGCCATCATCGCCTACTCCGTCCCCTTACGTCTCCGCCCTCTATTTATCGCGTCTTTCGGCATTGTATTCGCCGTATCGTCTGTCTGTGGTCCTCTGCTGGGCGGAGTCTTCACCAGCAAACTAACCTGGCGATGGTGCTTCTACATAAACCTACCATTTGGAGGTTTCACCATTCTGGCTATTCTTCTCGTCCTCAGGGAACCTAAGCGGCCAGAGTTGGATTCAATCGCTCTTGGAAAGAAACTCCAAAGTATTGACTTCCTAGGTACGTTGCTGCTCGTTCCCGCCATCGTTTGCCTCCTTCTGGCCCTGCAATGGGGTGGATCAAAGTATTCGTGGAGTAATGCTCGCATCATCGCCTTACTGGTTCTTTTCGGTCTTTTATCTGCTGCTTTCATTGCATTCCAACACTGGAAGGGAGAAGAGGCTACTTTGGTTCTTCGTCTTTTGGCCAGTAGGAGCGTGCTGGCAGCTTCCTGGTACGGCTTCTGCAACGGAGGTGCCATGACACTGCTTGTGTATTACATTCCCTTTTGGCACCAAGTTATCCATGGCGTGAGTGCTGTGGATTCGGGAATTAGACTCCTACCTTTCATGATCGGAGTCGTCATCACGGTGATGCTTGCTGGGGCTATCGTGTCCAAATTTGGCTATTGTAAGCTGGAACAACCTGCAAGTACTGATAATTACTAACCACTTCTAGATACAATCTTCTTAATTCTTTCATCTATCATCACGCCTATTGGGGAGGGGCTGTTGACAACGTGGAAAGTGGACACGGGATTCTCAGAATGGGTCGGCTACCAAGCATTGATCGGCTTAGGAATCGGCTTAGGCCAGCAACAGCCACTCGTTGCGATCCAGAACGTCGTACCAAAGGCAGAGATTGCATCGGGGACGGCCATAGTCATGCTGGTCCAACTCCTGAGCGGCTCCATCTTTGTCTCTGTTGGGCAAGCAGTCTTGCAGAACAAGTTGGTGGAGAATTTGGCGAAGGCGTTCAGTGACCGTGGCGACTTTGATCCGTCTCAAATCGCGAATGCTGGAGCCACGGACGTATTGTCAATCGTCCCGGCTGACGACTTGCCAGCAGTCTTAGAGGCATATAACAGGGCTCTGGTGCAGGTGTACACGGTCGCCCTCGTGCTGTCGGCGCTGACCATTTTTGGCAGCGTGGCTATGGAGTGGAAGAGTGTCAAGAAAGAGGGAGACAAGCCCTCGGAGGAGGGCTCGTCAGAGAAATGAGCATAACCATACTCCCGTAAGGTTGTGGTGGCTTGGAACGTTCGCTCACGGACGCCTTTTTAAACCCGTCGTTTGGCCCGCAATGGAATATTCACTCCCCAAGGATTTGCATATAAATAATAGATGTTAGAGTCGATTTGTTAATAGAAAATATTGATGTCATCCATCATACTGTGCTGCCAGTTTCAGAGGAGCGTGGCTCCGTCCAAGGTTGGCTTAGGGGTCGGAATTAGGCGACCAGTCACTAATAACGCCGCGAGCTAGGGGAGATTTCGGGGAACATTCAGAGGGCCGGAACGTTATGCCCAGCGCCAACTCCACCATTCAACAGAAGCCATAACGGCCGTGGTAGTTGAAGTAAAGCATTGTCAAATCCAATAACAGGTACATTGTTTGGCTCATAGAACACGACTATTCACTCATTGAAACCCTCCAGCTTAGTATAAATAAATCATGTTACTTTTAAGGGAGAACGCACGCCCCAGACCGGAGACCTGAGCTGAGCTGGTTCGTCTCTTGAGGGCGGAGGAACTCTACTCCGCTGGCAGCCATTCCCTAATTCCAGAAGCACCGGACGATCAATCCCGCGGGATTGGGCGTAACCTCCAGTCCAAATTAACACCGTCTCCGGAGATAGCAGCCCTGCGTGCATCACCAAACAGATACCGAATACTTATTAAAGAACAAGTTATCCGTTGAGCTGTGATATCTTTATCCGACTTGTACCAATCAATTAATCATATCTAGAGCTCTTCAAACGATTACATCTATCACAACCGAAAACTGAAAATGGCAACTAAAGCGATTGTGGTAGGAGGAACCAGCGGCATAGGCTACGCAATGGCCTGTCGAGTAGCTGCTCAGGCCGGTTCAGCAAAAGTCATAATTAGCGGTCGCACAAAGCCCAAGCACATCCCACATCCCAACATGGAATTTCGACCGCTGGATGCGACGTCCATGTACCAGATCAAGACATACACAGACGCTTTCCGGTCTTCTCCAACCCAGAAACTGGACCTGCTCATCATGACCCAAGGCATCATGACAACCGCGGGGAGAACCGAGACGCCAGAGGGCATTGACCGAAAAATGGCACTGCACTACTACGGCAAACAGCTCCTCATTCGGGAACTTCTTCCTATAATGAAGGAGGATGGAAAAGTCATCATCGTATATGATGGCAAGTTTGGAAACCCAAACAAGTTGAATTGGGACGACCTGGACCTGAAATCGAACTTTGGCCTCAGCACCTCAGCCAATCATTGCATGGTGATGAACGATGTGATGATCCAGCATTTCGCCGCCCAGCAGCGAGAGCAGGGAGTTGGAAAGCGGCATTTCATACATGCCTGGCCCGGGGCCGTTAACACAAGTCTGCTGAGGGAACTCCCGCGATTCATTCAGCCGCTGGCCAAGGCCGCGAACCACCTGTTTACAGTGCCTCCTGAGACTTGCGCAGAATATCTTCTCAACGGGGTTTCCGATCACGTTTCTGATGGTGAGAAACAAGGCAGATTCTGGAACAATATTGAAAATAAGGGGCGTTTGATTGATAACAAGACGGTTTGGACTAAGGAGCAAATGAACACAGTAGCGGCTCACACGTAGGGACTTATTGACAGCGGGATTCAGTCTTCTCAACATTAAGTTAGTCTTATCACCTCAATTAATTATATATAATATTACAATACGGGACGATACTTCATTTCCTCTTAAACAGATCATGGCACACCATAGTATCCCATCTTCTCATTGAATAAAAGATGAGATATACTGTTGTGGGTGACATGAATGCTACCTGTAAAGCCAGAGATTCAAAACTACTTCAAGAACTAGCGATTGCCAAACTCAAATATACAGCGAACACCCGAACCAGGAAACTCCTCCCACACCCGCCGCATCGGGAGGGCTTGAGGTAGCTGGGGGATGATTTTGCATCCATCCCACGAACCAATCGAAACCTTGTGCCTGAAGAATCCTAGTTGGGATCATGTAGAGTAGAGTGCCTTTTTTACAGATTCCCGAGTTGAAATCATTAGGTATTCTAGGCAGTTTTCGGCCATATCCTATTTTTATCATTCTTACTTTATGTGTTCTTCTTTTCACCTGGATTTACTGGCACTGATAAAGTACAGTGTGATTGATATCTCTTAGAGCAGTGCACGAGCGAGTGGATCTGGCTGAATGTTGTCGCTCCGGCATTCCCGCTAGCATTCTATGTCATCGGCGATATTTGTGACGTATTGAAGGTAGTTGAAAATCATCGCGTTGACGGGAGATGAAATATATAGCTAATAGACCCCTTCATTTGGCACAGGATTCCAAAATGCCACAACAGGACCATGATCACCTGGCAAAGTTGGCTTACAATGGCGAACAATACTAGCTGACGATCCTATTCCATTTGTGGCTACATTATCCGAGTCTCCGCTAGTGCGGAGACCGCGAGTCAGCTTAGCTTTCCTAAAATGGTATACGAGATTTGCTTATGAGGGAGGCATTGATACAAATACCGCATTCAAGGTATCACCTATTGTTCGTCGTATCCCCTTTTTAGACAATTTTCATTCATCCCGTAGTCAGGCTGTATTTACAACATGGCAAGCTCAGGAAAATTCGGAGTATTCTCGCTATTGTCTCCAAGTACGCCGGCTGGCCCGGGTGTGGACAACCGGGGCAGGGCGATCCGGCAACGACGCTTCCATGCTAAATCTCGACAGGGGTGCATCATCTGCAAAGCTCGCAAAGTCAAGGTATGTCAGTTGAAAATCGGTTGTTGGGTAAATCTTTTACGTTATACTCGTCTTTGGTTAATCGGAACGGATGTTGGCTGACGTAGAAAACTACAGTGTGATGAGCGTCGACCAGCGTGCCTGAAGTGCTCCAAAAGAGGCTTGGCATGTGAGTTCGGCTCGACTACAGAGAAAGAAAGACCTGATAGCCTAGGTCACCATAGTCCAGACACCCTAGAAACCGAGAATGATCGATGCGATGATGACGGACGTCAGAACCTGCCGTTTTCTAGTGTGATCACTCGACGTTTGCTTTCCCGGACAGCAGAGCTTGGCACCCCTGGCTTTGACCTCGACAGTCTACAGCTGATGTATCATTTTGAACATTTCACTTCTGAGACTCTGCTGTTTGATAAGCCTTTCTGGGAAACGCACATTTTGCCCCTTGCTCTACAGGTCTGTCGACTTTCTTGTGTTCCAAGCCTCGGTACTGACCTTGGGGTAGCATGAGTATCTGATGCACGCTATCATGACTATCAGCGCATCCCACCTCCTGTATCTGCAGCCCAGAGTCCGTGAGCACAATAAAGCAGCAGCACTACACCTAGATAGCGCATTATCGGGGTTCAGAGCAAGTTTAAGTGGCCTATATCTACCGCAGGCACAATATGATGTCGTGATCGCATGCGGTTTCGTCCTCCTCTACTATGCCTGGTCGGTGCCATTCTTCAATACATCTGATGAAGACTCGACAACGATCGAATCGGATGGCCTATTGTGGTTTGCAGCCGGCATCAAGACTGTCATTGTAACTATATACAATTTGAAACCCAACGACAGTATGTTCCAGGCATACTTTGAAGCAGAACCCGTCAAGTCCTTCTACGAGTGGTCCGAACAGACCAACTTTTCGTACGACTTTGGGCAAAAGTTTCTCGACCAGTCGCAGGCTCCAGTTAGACATCCGGGCCTTGCCTGCGTTTCTGGCTGCGGAAGTGTCAATGCCGCGGAGCGGCTCGGCCCTGTCTTCCATGCACTGGATGCCATCAGGCAAGGCGAAGACCTCTCTGTGATAATGCCGGCTGTCATGACATATATGCTTATGTGGCCCTCCAAAGCCATGCAAGACTTCCAAGAAGAGATCAAAAGGGGAGATCACAGGGCGTTGGTTACCATGCTTAGTTTTTACGCGAGCAGTTGGACACTCCTATCAGGGAGGACTTGGTGGGCATATCATCGCTCAAAAGTCATGTGCACTCAAATCTTGGGCCGTCTTAACACCAAGGGGCCGAGCGTCTGGGATCAAAATATTCTGAACATAACGGAATACTTTGGATTCAATAAAAACGTAGACGGGGCTTGGGAGATCAAGGGCTCAAATCAAATCATGTGGCCAGCTTAGTTTGGTTCAGAAAATAATATATTTCTTGTGGTAGTCTCACCAGCGAGGTACTAACCTCGCAATTGCTACATTAATCATACACTGGACTGGGCACGCTTCTCATCCTACAAATCGAAGATCTCGAATTATGGGCTTCTAAGCGAGAGCTATACTGGGGATAAGCTCGTATACCCAAAACGGTTTCGAACAAAATTTCACTTCGTATATCCGAATGGGCTAACTGCTTCGTCGCCTCCACAACTATAGACGTATATAAGGGCCAAAATCCCCAACAATAAATCGTCCGTCGAATTCAGAACATTCAAATTTATACACAACCAGGATCAATCTCTTCCTTCTTATCACTCTCACCTTTTAGCCGACCATTATCGTTGCAAAATGGCAAATTTGATGACAGTGGCACCAAAGCCAAAAAGCTTTCTGGGCTATCATCGGCAGCTTGCCCCGAATGCTGCTGTCAAAGTCAGCCCGCTCTGCCTCGGAACGATGGGCTTCGGCACAGTGTTCAAAGACATGATGGGGGCATGTGACAAGGAAGCCTCCTTTGAGCTTCTCGATTTCTTCTACGATAATGGAGGAAACTTCATTGACACGTATGATTAGAGCCCCAAAACCGAACTCCTCTGATATGTCGCTGATTATCTGGTCTCCAGTGCAAATGTTTACCAGAATGGGGAATCGGAGAAGATTGTTGGCGATTGGATGAAAGAACGTGGCAACCGTGATGAAATCGTTCTTGCTACAAAGTATACTTCGTCTTACCAGCTGCTTAACCCAAAGGTCAGCATTCAGTCCAACTTTGGGGGTAATAACAAGAAGAGCATGCGTTCGGCTTTTGAATCAAGCTTGGCTAGACTTCAGACCTCCTACATTGACTATGTAAGTCTGCCACCTATTTATGGTACAAATATTGTGCAAGGTCCAGCTGCTTATTGTCGATCTGCACAGTTTTACGTCCATACGTGGGACTTCACCACTAGCATCCCAGAGCTCATGCATGCTCTTAACGATCTCGTTTCGTCCGGAAAGGTCCTCTATCTTGGCGTCTCAAATACACCCGCTTGGGTGGTGTCGATGGCCAACGAGTATGCGCGACAGAAGGGGCTCACCCCGTTCTCTGTCTATCAGGGACAGTGGTCCCTGGCCGAACGCGACATCGAACGTGAGATTCTTCCCATGTGCAATGACCAGGGCATGGCACTGATCCCGTATGGCGTCTTGGGATCCGGATCATTCCGGACTACTCCTCAAAGACAGGCAGAGCGAGAGAATCCCGAAGCAAAGAGAGAAGGCCGCAATATTGCAATGACTGACAAGCCAGAGAAAGCCATCGTTGCAGATGCTCTGGAGAAAATTGCCTTGGAGAGAGGCACTAATATCACCAGCGTTGCTCTTGCGTGGGCTAGAACCAAAGGCCCCTACATTTTCCCCGTGGTGGGTGGACGCAAGATTGAGCACTTGAGGGGTAGCATCGAGGCCTTGGGGCTTGAACTAACGAAGGAGGAGATTGTCGATATCGAAAAGGCTGTCCCGTTTGATTTTGGGTATCCGCAGACGATTCTCGGCGGTCCTGGAGGGGCGACGAAGCCAGGCGATGTCTGGATGACTCGTAGGTTCGGCACGTTTGACTGGGTAGCTCCTCCCGAGCCACCGAAGCAGCATGTCAATTGAATAGGCTTCTTAGTATATAGACGGTTTCTCCTTTCTTTGGCTGGAAGAAATGCATCATGTATCCGTTAAGATTAGCTGCTAGGAAGCATACCGTATAGTACACAGGATGAGTAGTGGTTGTAGAGTAGAGTTTCAAGTTTAGAATGAAGAGGCTACCTACAACTGAGCAGAACTGGGGTTGGCTGAGCTGAAAGCGGACAAGGGAATGATGAGACCAGCTAAACTCACAAGAATTGAAATACGACATAGGGTGTGCTCTCAAGACGTTTTCATGCATAAAATCTCCCACGATACATCTAGACATACCAGTTAGGGTGTTGTTACTATTTGATCCCCTCAAGTAGTAGCCATTACACAGCTGCATGGTTACTGCTTGATTAGCAGATTTGAAATTAACTTTGTTATATTATTTCTCCATTATATCACCCCTTCGACCAAACAGGTGATGGAGGCGACGGAGTGTGTTCCAGAGGCGGTAGACCTGTACTGCTCACTGATGATACCGTTCTTGTGCTTGGTCTAGATAGCGTGGATAGTCTAGATACTCGTGATACTCGCTTTGAACCCTCGTCGTCCCTCAACCGGCTCCCAACTGGAACCGAGAATCTAGCATGTCTTGTTGAAGCGCGTTCCGACATGCCAGATGCTCTTGTGTAGCTACCGCCAGACATGCTTCCCCATCCTAGTCCACCACCGCTCATCTCAGGCCCGCCCGATACGGACGGTGGTATGGGGGTGTTGCCCATTCTTTCAGCTTTTTCCTCAGAGCCATCCTCTCTCGCAGCCGCCGCCCCAGTTGCTCCTCCACAACATGCCGCGAACCACCCAGCTCTCAAGGCGAAGAACGCTAGGCCGGCGAGGATCAACGCGCCAGTAATCGAACCGATGACTGCTCCCACAATTGCACCCGTTGAAAGAGAGCTGCCGTGACCACTTCCGCCTGAGGCGGCATCAGCGGTACAGGACCCGTCGGACGCGGATGCGGCATGCACAGAGGAAAAGTAGCTCTGTGCCTGGCTTGGAAGACCGACGTACCAGTCAGGTGTGGTATATACAGAATCGTGATCGGCCGATAGGAAACACGCAGAGGCAGAGTCGCTCTGTGCCGCGGCAGGGACAGCGGTTTGGATGATGCTCAGAATGTCGTCGGTGGCCAAGGTCGAATCGTCTGTCGTATCGGAGCCGGTCGCTGTGCGTGTGCCAGAAGCTGCGGTCGTCGTCGAAGTTCTCGAGGTGGTTATTGATTCTGATGAAGAGGAACTCGTGGCTGTCATCGATCCGCTGCTCGACTTGCCACCACATATGCGGTTGTCGCAGCACAGCTCACCCGGAGCCATGCACTGACTTCCACAGACGAATTGTTTGCGACAACAAGTGTCCCTAAACGGATCATCAGTACGATCATATGGGTATTGTAGGAAGTGGCCGTTTACAACTCACCCTTCCATGCAGACTTCTTGGGCCGAGCAGCTGCTGCGCCCGCAACATTGGCGGTCACTGCCTATGCAGTTATATTTCCCTCCTCCCGAATCATCCGTATAAGAACAGAGAATTTGACCAGAGGAGCCACAGCATCTACAAAGACTTAGCAATGCTTGAATTGAAATGAAAACGAAAAGAGGGTACAGCTCTCTTACCCCCATAGGCTGCCTGCCATCAAAGAGCCGGGACAGTATCCCCTAGAGCAGTCATACGACTTCCGGCCATCGAAACCAGAATCATAGCAAGTCGAACCCCCCCTCCCACTACATTTTAGGCCGCCGGCAATACTACCACAGTCTACCGCTTGTAAGTAGCTTATGGACTCCATCTCGGTGGTCGATGCCCTCTACCTGAGTGTCTGCTCGACCCGCCGACTTCGGAATAGCAGCACACGCAGCGACCACTCCGGCGAGAGTGAAATGTCGAAAACGGATTGTGAGGATTTAGGAAGACCAGGTCGCAGGCCTCTGTCTGGGGTATGTGGTGGGCAGCGACCACTACATATTCGAGAGATGCAACTCTGGGATGGATGCTAGCAAGGGGGTCGATCGAGCTAAAGCAGCGTGATGGGTTGGGGTCATGCCGCAGCTCTACTGATGGAGGACACGAGCGAATAGGGCCTTTAGGAAGCAGTGGAAAGGCCATAATGCTATCATTTCGAGGTGCCATAATCATGCATGGGCTCCGTTTCAGCTCAGCCGCTATGTGAGCGCAGCCAGCCAGGAGGGGGAAACAGCCGAATATGAAACGCCCTATACAAGCGTACCGAGCTCTAGCCAATACCCGGCGTGCTCTACTCAAGCCGCGCCTCAGATCCTGAATTACGAGCGCAACGGGCGCCTGTGACCTGTGCCCAGGATTTGTGGAGTTCTTCCCTGCCTCTAGCTGCCCTTTGAACACTATTCGGGTCCCGTCCGGAAGGATTGAGTGGCTCGCTCATCGGGAGCGATGTGACGAAGATGACTCTTTTGGTTCGTCACAGAGCGAGTTCCATGTCAGACACACCTCCAATCTCCTGCTGCTTTACTCGGTTTGCTTCGCTGTCACCGTAGCCTGAGGTGTGGTGTCCTCTGACGTGTCTTTGCCAGATAGCTCTGGCGTGCCAATTTGAGCCTTCATTTCGTCCGGGAGATTTATGCTGGGGGCGATGCCAAAATGGCAATTGATTGCTGCTTTTTAAATTCATGATGAATATCACCCATCCCACCGGGTGGGGGCGCTGAACACGAACAAGCTCGTAAAATACCCCTGTTGATTTGATTTGTGCGACATGACTGACGTCTGACGTCTTTTACTTGAAACCAATTTATCTCCATTGGCTGGCATCGCATTGTTTCGGTAGAGGTATCCCAACCCAGGACGTCGACCCTCATTTACTTGTCAGGTAGTGGAATATGGAAGAGGCGATTCATAAAGACATGTAGGAGCAAGAAATACAAGTACGGTCGCTCACCAATCTTGTTCTAGTGGCAATTGGAAATACCTATTACAAACATGGATAAATATTATGAGGCATACAGAGTAGTTAAACCAAGATGGTGATGAACATACGCCAAGAGAAATTAGAGCTCCTCGCAGCGATACGCTGTGTGCGTTTTACTCGCAAAATCTGCCCCCAAGACGGAGGGCACGCCAATCCTTATAATCATCTTAGTGAGGATTCCTTCGAACCACCTTTACGGGTCTTCCATGGCTGACCCTTGTTGCGCTGGCCTATCACTAAGCGGTATATTGGCAAGGGTCTAAAACGCAGAACTTCAGCAAGGCTCGCTCACAAGCCGTATCAAGAGCACCGTGCTCTCCAATCTAGGTGGCTATCCTTGGTTGACAGCATTATACCCACCAGCTCTGTCACGCTTGTAGTCTCATATCCGCAGAAGATGAGAGACGGAGGCAAATCTTTGAGGAAAGTCGACATGGATTTTCACCGGAACAGAGACTTTTATTCCACCTGATCATAAACGAATCCACATGGATACTGGCTGCAATTTGTTTCCGGCCAGTAAGGAAGGTCTAGCGCTGCGAACAGCTGAGAAGTAATTCGCAACATAGGCTGCACGACTAATCTTCTCCACGGCACAAGATATCAACGATAGGACAGCCTCATCGTCCAAAAATAGGCTACTTCCCGCTATCACCGTGAAATCTGAACCGATGAAGTTGCCCAAACATGGCCTGGGTTTTATAGTACAAATATTTGACGAGGATCTTCATAGTTGTATGTAGAAGTCGAGGGTGTCATCTAGATTCACAACGGAACTCGATCTAACATTAATAACAAGCGGGAGCGAAAGATTGGAAGCACTTTGGTGATACTCAGGCGTTCAAACTTCATGCAACTACTATCGGTATAATTATTCTAAATTACGAGCAGGCGCATGAGGAGATAGGCGTTACTCATTTCAGCTTTCATATACCATCAATTCCGTAACTCTTTATTTGCAGTCTGATGGGTTAGATGATTGCTACTTGTACTTGGCTTCATGCAGCGAACTGTCATTTCTATACTCGAATGGCGAGCCAGATTATAAACCCTCCCATAAATGTTACAGATACACTCGCCGCAGATGAGAGTTTCAGTGCTATAAATAAGGTCTAGCCACTCTGAAACCCAAAGTAGAAAATTCTAAGTAAAACGACCCTTGGTCTTTGACAAATAGTAGGTACTTCTTGAGTTGCACCATTTAGAATAGCAAACCTGACGCGAGTTGACTTGGTATAACACCAAATCAAACGAAAGACTGTTGCTGGTTGGAAAAATAAAAGATTAAACCTCTGAGAAAAGTATCCGATAATGTGCAAGGAGATTCTAAGATCTGGGTTAGGCCGCGCCAAGTGCTTCCCTAAAACGTCTCGGATTCTACATAAATCTTCTTAGTTGCTAATTTCATGATTCATATCTCGGTGCTCACGTACATTCTGGCTGTATCCTGCGTAATCTTCATCGGTCTGCGTCGCGGCATCCGACATAGTCCGCGGCCGAGTTTCGCCATGATCCCATCCTATGCGAGGCGGCGTTCCTCGTGTTGGGGAAGGAGACTCCATGCTCTTTCGATGATATGTGTTGAAGATAGGACTCGTGGGGCTGGGATTGAATTCAAACTGCTGGCTCGCCGGTCTGGAGCCGGTGCCAGCTTCCAATATCTCGAGCCCTTCTTTCTCAAGCGCCATGACACCATACGGATCCGCATCATCCGGCTCCGGGATGCCGAAGATCTTGCCATTCTCCGAGGCCTCAAGAGGCACGTCGCTCGGGGCGGGCTCCTGGTCTACATCTCCAAGAATCTCACTGTCCACATCCGTGCGGCCTTCTGCAGCCTTCAAAGTCTCCATCAATCGCTTGATGCTTGCTGGCGGATGACGGACCTTGCCCGCCAAGATGTCCGAAACCCCAATTTCCTCCCCGTAAAAGCGCTTGTTCTCGTCGCTACGCTCAATGACAACTGTGCCGTCGACCTGGACACCAGCGTAGAAGCCTCGCGATTTGAGATAGGTGAACACAGGCCTGTTCGCTTCCTTCCACTTGCCGTCGTTCTCCAAAACACCACCCATTCCGACCGGGCCAGCGACAGCGCTAATTTCGCCTCCCAGGGTTGCTCGGATCTTGGTGAAAGCTTGCAGAGCCTTTGGGTTGTTTATGACGAGCACGCAGTCGTAGATATCTACACCTAAAAGGAAGCCCAATCCGGCCGTATGCAGCATGATACCTGATGGTGCTGACCAAGACCCATCTTCGGTCCTGGCAACCAAAACGCCGGAGCCGCCGGCACCGGAGATCCAGAGTCCAGTGCGCATCGTAGTGAAGATGGCGAGGCCGACGGCGTTCTCGATAACCTTTTGGGGGATCTTCTTCAGGACTTTCTGTGCCTTCTTTGGGCCCGCTTCCTCGGATGGCGGTGCTGGTTCCTCGGTATAAAATCCATCCTCTAAGTGTGGCTTGCGTCAGCGGTTCTTCAGTTACCAAATACCTCACGGGTATTCCAGGGCGCATTCAAGCTCCCGTAAACGAGATTGAACTCACTGCAAAATGACCTCAAAATTCTAGCAGCCTTGTCGCTTTCTTTGTCGAGAGTCGTGGGCCAGAACGCTTCGCTGCCAACACGATTTGACAGTCTATTTACAGGGGCCCCGAGCTTATCTGCCCAAGACCAGACTTTATCGAAACCCTTCTTGCTCTGGGTCTTGGTCGTGTCCCAAGATGGGAGGGCCGCCGTCACTTTCTTCATGCTGTGCTTATGCCGAGGTGCAATTGATTCAAGAAAATAGGAGGAAAACTGGAAGAAACTCTACAACCTACGAGAAGCCAAGGCAAATAGGTAGATAATCAACCAAGATCACAGCATCGCCACTGCTCAGTTCGTGCCTCCGTCTCTCCCGAGAGGCTTCCGGGATGTCCGGCGGTTGAAGCTTGACGTCACACCGGAGCCTTGGGACAATCAGCAGACCTCTAGAAGACATGTGCCGTGTTACTGCAAGCTTAGGTCCTTTTGAGTCGAATAATGATTAAAACTAGCCGATGGCCGTCACCGAGACGTGCCTTTGTCAATCCAATTCCGAATGAGCCTCTTTGCATGGGTATGTGTATTTGTGGCATATCCCGAGGTAGCTCCACCATCAGGTTAATGTTCCGAGCAACACTAACGCATCCATTGATGAGATTGGCGATCATGGCATTTTTATTGTTTGTTGGTGATGGCGTGGGCGTTTCTATTTGCTGACGCGTGTGCCTCGGCAATTCCACTGGCCATCAACGGTGGCATCCAAGCCGGATGTGCCTTGTGAACCATGCTCGTGCATAAGGACCGAGGAATGGGGTGAGCTTCCCCGCACAGCCATAATCAGTGAGACACGGGCCAAGATAACCATTATTTAACTGAACTCTGTGCATTCGTGGCTCCCTTCAAGACGACAAAAAGGCACCCACAGTCGCGTGAGATACGACCCAAAGAGAAGAACGCAGAGCCCGTCGTCCAGCAAACTCACAACATGTCAGCCAACGTCCCGTTCGCCGAGCCGCCGTGGCTCAATGGCATCCCATCCCCATACTTTGACGAGTCCCACAAGAGGGTCCAGGCCGCATGCCGCGACTTCATCGGCCGCGCCCTGAGCCAGCACGCGTTCGAGTGGGAGACGGCCGAGGACGTGCCTCCCCACGTCTTTGGCGAGTTTGCAAAGGCCAACTTCCTCGTCCCGGCACTGCCCGCTCCCCTGCCAGCCGAATGGCTCCGCCGCGTGGGAATCACCCACATGCCTGGTGGCATCCCCGTGGAGGACTGGAACTACCTCCACGCGCTGATCTACGCGGATGAGGTACGTCATATCCATTAAATATTGAACCTTTCCTCTCCAAGAAAGCCTCCGCTGACATGAAACGCGTCCGCAGATGAGCCAGTCCGGCCTCGCTGGCCCCGCGGGCTCCCTCACCACGGGCATGGCCTTCGGCGTGCCCCCCATCTTCCGCTACGGCAGCAAGGAGCTCCAGGAGCGCTTCCTCCCCGACCTCCTCCTGGGCCGCAAGCGCTCCTGCATCGCCATCACCGAGCCCGAGGCCGGCTCCGACGTGGCCAACATCGTCACCACCGCCGAGGCGACCCCCGACGGCAAGCACTATGTCGTCAACGGCTCCAAGAAGTGGATCACTAATGGCGTCTTCGCCGACTACGCGACCATGGCCGTACGCACGGGGGGTCCCGGCTCGGGACCAAAAGGCATCTCGCTGCTCGTCGTGCCGCTGAAGGGCCACCCGGGTGTGTCGCTGCGCAGGATCAAGGTCTCGGGCCAGATCAGCGCGGGGACGTCGTTCATCGAGCTCGACGACGTCAAGGTGCCGAGGGAGAACCTGATCGGCCAGGAGGGGCTGGGGATGCACTACATCATGAACAACTTCAACCACGAGCGGCTGTTCATCGCCGTGGGCGTCACCAGGCAGTCGAGGGTGGCGCTCAGCGCCGCGTTCGAGTACTGCCTCAAGCGCGAGGCGTTTGGCAAGGTATGTTGATAACCCTGCGGGATGATTTCAGATGCACAAGAGTGTCCCCGGCTGACGCGAGCATGTCCCTTTAGAAACTGATGGACCAGCCCGTGGTCCGCCACCGGCTGGCCAAGTGCCTCGCCCGGCTCGAGTCGCAGCAGGCGTGGGTCGAGTCCTTTGCGTACCAGCTCACCAAGATGCCCAAGGAGCAGGGCGACAAGGAGCTCGGCGGGCTCACGGCGCTGTGCAAGGCCAACGCGGGCAAGGTCCTCGACGAGTGCGCCCGGTGCGCCGTCCTGCTCTTTGGCGGCAACGGGTACACGCGCTCCGGGCAGGGCGAGATCGCAGAGAGTAAGCATCGCGTCCCTTTCTTTTTTTTCTTTCCCAACCCTAGTCTTTTACGGATTGCTAATGATTCTCGAACCGCGGATAGAGATTTACCGGGAGGTCCCAGGTGCCCGGATCCCGGGTGGTAGCGAGGACGTGTTATTTGATCTGGCCATTCGCCAGACCGTCAAGCTGTACAAGGAGAAGACGGCCCAGCTCAAGGCGCAGTCACGTCTCTGAAGGGTTAGAACGGATGTGTATAGATATTCGCATGGTAGTTTGAATTCAGTTCCATTTATTGACTTGCTATGTACTTCCAGTTGAAGTGAACTGGATGCATAAAATATAAATACTAGAAATAGGTGGTATCGATGATGTATGCGGCTGGCTCATATCCCGTCGTTGCCCAAGTATGCACCCAATGCAATGCTCCCGCCCTAAAAACAAACCAAGAATAGGTAGGCAAATTGGTATAAATTAATGAAAAGAAAAACCAGCCAACCCCTTGGCAATGCTGATGCTGTGTAAATGCTAATATGCTTCATGAGAATGACAAAAGAAAGATGCAGATGTCGCGCTCACGCTCCTCCCACCCTGCCCGGCGTTTCCAGAACCAGCCGGAAGACAAGACGGGAGGGGCCATGCTCGACACTGGGGATTAGAAGATTCGTCTATTATGCGCGGTCCGTGATTTGCGTGATACATTTTATGCGTGATTTTAGAAAAAATTATACGGCCTGCGGTTCTCGTGGGACGTGCTGGTCCGCGTCCGCGTGCTCTGGGCGATGGACGGGCGACGGACGTACCGTGAGACTTCTCTCAGATACTTGGTGGTGCCGAGCGCCTCCATACGCTTTCCGTGGTGCTGGTGGGCGACCATGCGATCGCATTTGGTGCAGAAGTGTGTGATGTTGTACTTCTTGTCCTTCTTGGCGCTGGAGCTCATGCCGAATGTCGCGATGAAAAGCCCAGTGGTGGCGATGCTGATGCGCAGTTAGCAAATCAATCAATTAAACATGTCTTTGAGGGGAAGAATCCTTACTGTGTCACCTTGGAGGGCTCCTTTTTCACACGGGTCTCAACGCGACGTTGGCAAAATGGACAGTCAACCCAGTCCGGCTCGTCAGAGAGGCGGTCCAGAGGCGTCACCGACTCGTCGTCGTCGTCATCTGACTCGGTATCAAGAGAAAAGCGACTCAAGGGCGGTATCACAAGACTGTTGCTTCGGAAGAGCTCCAGCGATACAGTCGACTGGTTGAGGGAGGAGACGACCACCTCCGGGAAGCCGCCATCGTCAACGGGGGACATGACCTTCTTCCTTGGGTCCCTCGAGTCCCGTCTCCTATACCCCGTCGTTCTGGAAGTGCTGGTATTGCTCGCGCGCTTTATGCTTTGCCTGATGGCGGATTGTCTGATATTCGTTTCTAAAGCAACTGACTCGATGGACGGCTGCGGGCGACGGCTTGCACACAGCGACGGTGATGTCGAGTACATCGGCTTCTCCTCCTTGCTCCCAGTAGGAGGCGACATGAGCGGATCTATGGCACATCCCTTGATATCATCGGGGGAGTTGAAGAGCGGCGATGCGGCATCGGGGTCGGCTGGTGGTGGGGAGACGCAGTGTTCCGTGGGTTCTAGATGCTTGATCTCACCGGCAGCGATGTGAGTGTACGAGGCCATGCGCCTCAGGCTGGCGAACGAGGCTTTGCGCGGGAGATGGATATCGAAGCTCCGGTACCTCTGGTGGCGTGTTCCCAGCATGATGGTTGTGTGAGTGTGGTGTAAGTCAGATCGTGTGCTTGGCAGTCGTGCTCTCAAAACACCGGCCGCCTTACACTTGACTTCTGTTGTCTGTTAGAAGCTGGGCGATGTTCAACATGGAAATTCCAAATAAGGTTTCAATTCTCTTTCTCAATCAAAGGTCCAGAAGGGACTTGGGGGCGGTTATATCGATCCAAGACGGCGAAAGATACCCCCGCCTGCAAGGGAGTGTGATCCCGTCGACACGCGCGACTTGGTCCCCGGCCCTTCCATCGCCCATGGCAGACATTTCACGCACAGGGCAGCTGGTCGGCTACAAGGGATGTCCCATGTTGCAGTCGCGCTTCAGACCGCCAGATTGCATTGGGAACGCGCTGGCAAAGAGGAATCAGAGTCGAGCCCAGGCCTTGGGCAGCCTCCAAGTTCCACTGAACCACGGCGGTCGTGAGTGCTGATGGTCCTCCAAGGCCACTGTAATTGCCCTACACCACCGCTATGTTATCAACGCCAATCAACCAGCAAGATTGAATTAATTAATCACCTTGGGCACTTATTTTTGGTCTTCGCCATTGGGTATTTAGATTCATCCCCATTCTCTGCTCTGCTCCTGATGAACGGTAGCAGAGAAGTGCCATCTGAGAATACGCACCTCTGTGCACCGGCTGGTAGTACGCGAAACCGTGCTCACTCAGGTCTGTTTCATGACTGGTTGCAGAAACGAGGCCATCACCGAATTTGCCATTTGCTGCCCTCGAACGAGACTTCACGCCTTTGCCCAGCGGGAAACCGTAAAATATGCCGAAAAGGGAGAATGCTGGGGCAGCTTTTCGCCTCATCTGTTTCACGCCAGCCTTGGATCTCAGCTGTCGAGCAGGCAGGGATCGCTTCATCTCGTCAGAGTGCGCTAAGAATAACTAAAGTCCCTTTCCCATGTTGATTTTCACCTTCCCCTTCCCAGGCCTCAGCCCTAATTACATCACGAGCCTTGTCCAGAACACACGATGCGCGTATACGCTTATTCGACCCTGTATCGACTGCACAACTGCACAATTACGTCGTCTCGGGGCCAGATGTGGCGTTACTGCCAAAACGTCTAGCTGCCATGCAGGAAGAGGAACCCAACCGCCCCTTGCATAACATCCTGGTTCCAGGTTGAAACTGTCCAACCAGAGGCGCTGGCCAACACCTCCGCTCCGCTCGCACTCGGCACCGGGCCTTTCCCCAAGTTATCAAATCGTAGAGCTTCACAACGCCGTGGATTTGTTTGTTATGCCAGAGGTGCCTTTGCTACACGCATTTACATGCTACAGTATCAGCCTATCAACAACACGGTAATTGATTGCCAGGCGTGTTTCATTTCCAAGGTCACCTTTGCCACTCAAGGGTCGCCCTCGAACTTGCAAGCCAGCCATTTGATGTTTTCATTATTGTGTTGGCTCAGTTCATTTCTTTTTAAGTGAATTATTTCTGCTTGCTGGTCCACCTCACGTGCGTAGATGACCGACATGATGGTCTCGGCAATTCTCTACAGCCACAGTTCATGGCCCCCAACCCTCGGCAACGTAAAAGTACTGCCTCATCTCATTCCAGCAGCCGATCCAGGCGTGAGAACTCAAATGTACACATAGTAATAATCATGCCCCATGGCCGAATTGATTGATGATGATCGAATAAGAGAAAATCCCAGAATAAAACCGGAAGGGTAAAAATAATTGCTTTACTTGGATTGCCATCATGCAAATCAGATTTGAAGTATCCGTAAATAGCTGGATCAACAGCAGTATCCCTCCGAGACAGATGGACAAGGTTCGCACTATTTTCTACTTTGTAATTTTTTCTCGCACTGAACATCACTAATCAATGTCATCTTGAAAATTCAAGAAATGTGGTGTCCTTTCAAGATGATTTACCCGCTAGTCTATCAAGCTTTCGCTAATTATAGACTTGGGGAAGCGACTATGGATCGCATCTCATTTCGCTCGGCAGGCCAATTTCCTTGGACCCTCTTGGGTGGAAAGATTGCCATATTGTAGTGTGTAGGATCGTGTGTTACGACAGGGTTGCGTTTCACATCTCGACTAGAAATAAGTCATTTCCGTGGCTTCTTTGGCACAACAGGAAGGCATGAGATGTTCCGTGCTTTTTCCGTCCATTCTGGATGCTTCGGCCCATTCCGCATCACGTTGTGGTATGCTAGAAATGAACCCAAAAAAAATCTGCAATTTTATGCCTGTGAAGGGATATTGCAGCACGTGTTTGTCAACATCGATACGCTACTCCGCCTACCCTAAACCCCCGAACCCAAACCTGACTCCAAGATACGTGCAATGAGCTGTCATAAGATAGCTTAATTATAATCTCTCTAGAAAGTAAACATGTTCTATTCTTTGTGGCTCTATCCAAGATAGCGTTTGTTTTGATTTTGCTTCTTAGTTGCAAATGTCTAAGCATTCCAATTTCTTGGACATCCTCAACGTTCACCACCAGCTACTCAAGCTTTTTTTGCCCCAAAATCAGTCCACCGCTCTGGAAAATCTATGATTTTTATTTAATTTCTACCTAGCCAACTAAAAGCTTATCGAATTGAAACTACGCGGAGGTTTGAATTCCGGGCTTAGTAGAAGATTGTTGACCCAGCTATATGTTACTCAATTAGCTTGCACAGATGTTGAGGGTCTTAGATATTCCGGTATGTACCAGGTCCTACTCGCTGGAGCCGCGATCAACGCCACTCGCTGACCCAGAGGGGTTGGCGAATTTCTAAACGGTGACAAAAATAAACAAACGTGAAACGCCTGGTCCCTATTCAATTACCGCAGGCGGTGAATGGCGAAGCTTTTGGCAGGTCGAGGTAAATTCGAAGAAATCTCACACGCTAAACCCATTTCATTTCGTTTATTCTCGTCTTGTTCTAGAAGTAACCCCCAGCTCAAGATATTAATCACGCGAATCTAGGGAGCATTTGTTTGTTGATTTTATTGCCGTAAGCAAGGGAGGATCAGGCCACACATGTGACTTCATCACAGTTTTTTTTTTTTTTTTTTTTTTTTAATTTGAACATAAGTTACAGCCTATACCCAAATCTTTTACACCAAGAAAACTTAAACAATTATATATATAGCCTAGGTATCGGCATTTCAAAACCCTAGCACTACGTTGCTAACACAAACTCGAGCCGGCTTGGGGTCGGGGACAATGGCAATGTCTGACATGGTAAGATAATTCTCAGTCGCTTTAGGGTTCGGGATTCTCACATGCGACATTCATAGCGGCGAAGTCGGAAACATCAGCGAGGAAAAAGTTGCACTTTCTCTGTTAGACCTAGCTTCGGTGATAAATACATGGGTGTGTATTACTTTGAGGATACTTGCAAGACTACTGCCGGAGGTATGGAGAACAGATTCAAGCAACTTGAGAGCCGCTTTCTGTCACATGATGAATATTGTTAGCATACTCTTTTATAATGTCAACGGGGGTTTATGCGTTGTGCCAACACGCTTACTGTCTGTTCAGCCACATCATCTCCTACTAGCTGACCAGTTGCTGGGTCGAGCCCAGTCTTCCCACTGCAATAGATTACATCGTGATGTATAATGGCTTCTGATTCCAGAGGCGACGAGAAGTTTGTTCTGTTGACCGGTTGTTTCGTAGTCATTTGCTGTGATTTTGTCATGACTGTTGTCATGTTGACCGTTTGCTATCCTTGCTGCATATAGAGAAGCTGGGAAGTGCCAATACCTGTCTTTATCAACTCTCGGCCATTATGACAAGAATCATGGTGCAATTCGTGCAAGTACTGCTGATCTGATCATGACGAAGCGAGCCAGAAGCACTGGATGCTTTCCATAAGCAGTACAAATATGTCAACCCGGCCAGGAACAGCTCGTGCAAGGCACCCCAGGTAGGCGTTGTAGGCGTTCCTAGGAATTGACGGCGGTAGCTGTGGCAGGCGCTCCTGGCTGCACGCATGCATTTGGTGATAATGTCGGGCGGGACTGGTCGCTGACTGTCCGTGATATGAAATCGGTAGAGCTGCAGAATAGTAGAGCCGTATACGGCTTGGTACCAGTCGGGAGTTGTAAAGAATGAGAGAGCACCACCATCAGGAGGCGACCTTGGAAGGGGCCTCGAAGCCATAAGCTTGTCTAATTCCTCGATTAAGTCCTTTATATGGGCGTTCCGGCGATCAAAGTCTGTGGCAGTGTTATCGGAATACAGCGTTGAGTGAATACGGCCAAGCAAGTTTCGAAAACGGAAACCATGGATCGCATGTGTCATCATCGTGGGTGGTTCTGATGGGGTCCTTGGTGATTCGCATAGTCCGGTCTCGCTAAAAGAGGAATCCTCAAGATCGAGAGGAAGCTAATATCCAGAAAGTCAGAGCCTCACGAAGTAGATATGCTGCATGATGATTCAACTTACATCTACATCAATTTCCTGCAGGCGGAGGCTCAATGGACGTCCCAAAAGGAGCGAGGCTGAGCATTCCATTGAGTGTGCGCTCCAAAACGCTCTTTTTTGCAAAGTTGACTTTTAGCTAGCCGCAGCCGCTTATGGTCACGGTGGTAGCCAAGATTGATACATTGCCGGAGCGCCTGGCCGGCAAGTTTCCTACTTTCAATCAGTGCTAGGTTCATACATCTAATTAAGATGTTTCTTACCAATGAGAAGTCCCTTTAGAGGAGCGAAGAGAATAAGTGGCCGAACAAAGAATTGCCTGTATGCATTCCAAATTATCGTGATACAGTATTCGTCAATATAGAGGAGGGCCGAAGCATATAGCCGCTCTGGGGAATACCCAGGAGTTGGCAATAGTAGAGCTCCAACGGCGTACACCTTGAAGCGTTGTTGGCGATTCATTCTCTGATTTATATCCAAAGATTGTACGTACCATAAAGAGGAAGTAGATGGGCACGGATTTGTACTCGAGGACCTCGAAAGGGTCAAGTGGACTCTTGAGTGCCGATTCCCATATCCTGAACGTTGGTTCATGTAGAAATGGGCATTGGGGTTGGATATTCTGGAAATATGCATTGCTTAGTCTGACGGCTGTCTGGTATTCTGGCAGAGGACATGGATTAAGCATCGAGGGTTGGCTAGAACCCTCGCTCGCTTTATCAGGAGGAATAGACGAGATGACCTGTCGCAGAGACGGCTCGACGAATCGTGCAAAGGCAAAGACGGAAGATGAGCCTAGATAATGTGGCTCTGCGCCTGCAGCACTCAAGCTTAGGGTGCCAATCATGGAAGATAGATCACTCAACTCGTGTTGCTCGCTGCCAGTCCTAGAGTAGAAAGTTGATGGCTCGTTGCTCGGTGAAGCAGTTGGTCCCTCCAAGTCAGACTCACGAAGCTTGTCCTCCAAGAAGCGGACACGCTCTTCCAGTGTCTCTAGGTAGTTGCGCGGCTGTTGTCGTTTCGTTGCAGGGTCTTCGACGAGGCATAGCATACTGCAATTCTTCCCCAGTTACTAAGGCCTTCTTTGGGGAAGAGAGCGTCTATTTCCCCACCTGAACCAATTCTGCGACAATTGGAGCATGCCGGGACTTGATCGTCACACTGCATCGATATATCAGCTTCGCTGTTGTTCCCATTGACTAGGATGCTCATACCCTCAGTTTCCGCTCCTTGCAGCCTATGCAAGCTACCAGCATTCTGTTTCCTGTCCCAATATTTTCGCCGGTGAGAGAGGAGGCCTCTATGGATTCGCTCGAGACCCAAATGGGGCAGTCAAGATTGGGTACCGCGGGACTAAGTTTACCAATCCGCAGACGCAAGCCGACGGTGCTGCTAGAAGTATCCCTACCACGCGTTGGACGCGGCAACCGACCCGAAAAATCCCAGCAACGGCGGCTAATGTGATCAAAGACTTTGTTCAAAAGTTCCTACCGGATCTCATCCCGTACGAGACCAAGACCCGGCTATGTTGGTACACTGATTCATTTGACAATCACTTTGTCATCGATTTTGTACCTGGCTACAAGGGGCTGATGGTGGCAACGGGCGGAAGCGGTCATGGCTTCAAGTTCTTGCCGACCCTCGGCAAACATGTTGTGGACCTCCTGGAGGGCAGATCAAATGATTATCTTCATTACTGGAAGTGGAGGAGTCCCGAGGCTAACAAGAAGCCGTACAACAGCATCATGGAAGGCATCGCTAGTGAAGATCCCTTCATGTCTAGTTACTTACTGCTGAAGACAGTCTTACAGTTCGGCAGAGTCACTTGTAACACTGACATTTGATGGTATCTTAATGACATCTGATAGATAGAGTTTACACTGCCGGGGCTGGGAATCTGGCAATGCGGCACTACTTATTCCAGATCGGTCGCTTAGAACAGATCGACACACATGCCCCTCAAAAAGGATAGAAGAGTAAGAAAGTCGCTTTCGTTCATTGAATCTATTCAAAACACTATTCTAAACGGAAATATAAACAAGAGGCTGTCTCTCTACACATGTCCATTTGTTTGCACAGCGGCAGGAACAGCAACGGAGAGCAAAGGTGCATGCTGAGCAGTGCCTAGAGTATCACGCTCGCCGACACTCCCTTGAGCCCAGGGTCTCCGAATCGTACACTTCCAAGCCAGAGCAGGCTGGAAGTACATGTTCACCACGATATCTTCATCCTTGATTTGATATAAAGACTTGATTGTCTCGTTGGTTAACACATTGGCATCCTTAACACGGTTAAAGTGCATCTCGTCGTCAAACATAATATCGAATGTCAGCTCAAAGGGGCCGCTGTTCTTAGATCTCACGACGCTGGCGATGTCGCGTATAGTGATGGCTGAGGTTGGTACTTGCTTCTTTGGAATATCTTGGGGTGATACGCCGAGGAAGCTTTTGAGCTCATAAAACTGTTGTCCGTGAGACGGATTCTTGGTGTATGTCCCAGGACCGACATCGAGATAGTTGATGGGGAACAGGGTTGGGTCAGCCGCGTCATCAATGTCCATGAGGTGGTAGACGCTGAATTTGAAGACGGCACCTGCATCCTGCTCATGAGGGCTTAGAGGGCTGGCGAAGTTTCCGGTTGTGGCGAGGATGCCTGGATAGTAGAGATGCAAGCACGAGACACGGGCACTGTTTGCGATAGCCATGGCCTTTGCCGAAGTGGGCGCTACAACCTCGCCGAGAACACCGACTTCGTGGCTGGGGACTGGATTAGGTTCTAGGGGTCCCATGATGGCGTTACGACCATAGACGTGGAAGATGAGTCGGCAGTCGTCAGACTTATCGAGCTCGGGAAATAGACCTCGGGTGTAATTTCGGACGCGGTTTTCGAGGAAGTCATCCAGTCCTGCTATGAGGATGGGATCACGGAATCCACCAATAAAGATGGCGCGGTGCCCGACTGGAGAGACACCCTCCAGTTTGACTTGATAGGTTGGAGTCGGGACGAAGCGAGAGCCCCAGCATCGAACGGTACGTCCATCTTCTAGAACCTTGTAGCTCGCAGTGTCGAGATGAAGTACACCCCCTGGCCCAGGAAGCTGATCTGGTCGGGTCTTCTCATACAGTGAATGGGCTGCGACAGAGAGGGGAGTACATCTTTCAATGGGGTTTAGAGGAGTGAGATCGAAGGAATCTTTGCGGATCGTAGCAATCATTGATCGACCCTTGGGCACAGCGCACTGTCCACCACATTCGAGGATCTTCCCCAGGTGGAAAGCAGGTGCAGTCTCTACCCCAAGGCTGATGCAAAATGCTGCAAATGGTGAAGGATCGTAGGCACGACCCGAAACGATGATGTCCGGGTTGCCCTCTTTGAGAGCCTTGACAAAGCTGAAAGCATGTTAACACACAGATTCATGACATATTGAGGAATGTAAGAGAGGAACCTACGGTTCTGGCCCCATCTGGGCAACAATATCGACAGCGGTATTGACATCCTGTTCTGTCAAGGCTGGGACAGGTCCGCAGGGACTGACTTTGCCTTCCTTCATCTTGGACAGGACAATTTGCTTGCTGACGGAAGCACCAATGGTGGCGACCTTGAACTTGAAGCCGTTGTCTTCTATAATTTTGTTGATGATGGCAACAATCTCAGCGAGATGTTTGTCGCTACCATCTCCACCAGCACTACTTACTAGAAGTTTGATTCCGTAGTGAGCACAGGCAGTGACGTATGGAGTCAGATCACGAATGTAGGATTCATCTGCGACAGTCTTGCGACCCATCCCTAGTTTGAAGGGGCCACCATCTGTGCTGCCGGAGTCGATGACGATGGCATCAGGGTGATATTCGTGGATGCCATACCAGAAATGGTCCGCCTTGTATCCATACCTTGTATTGAGATAAGAATGTAAGCTTCGTTAAGTGGCAGGGTGTTTTTTAACTCACCCAAGCATGGCATTAGCCGTGAGGATACGGATCTCCCCAGGCTCTTTTGCGTATCTTGGCTGGGCAGCCATCTTGGAGCGTGTCTGCGGCGAGTTTGCTTGATGGGTTGTGTTAAATTCGGAACAAGCAACACTGTTTAAGCTGCCGGGATAATAGAGATTAGAAATTGATATAAGTATCCTATTTGAAGATGTAAAAACTCAAACACTCGTTTCTTGGCTCCTGTTGTTCAGAATCCAACTCTCGACGCTGCATTTCCACAATCGTATATCAGTTCGGTGTCTGCCCGCATGCCAGCTCGGCATTCTCCCGCAAAATCTCCATCGGTTTGAGCCCGCACTTCCATCCGCATATGGAGTCAAGGTTTATATGCCGCATTAGGAATGATGCGGGTTGAACCTTTACTAGCCTGGAGAATCGAGAAATTGTGGACAACTTCCCCCTCATCTTGTCTCATGACCGAGAGTCTCCACCGCGTTCAATCAACTGCTGGGGTCATAAATCAGCCTTCTTTCGTCCATGCTGTTTGTTGCCAGCGGAAGCAGGCACCAACACAATGTCGGATCAGACATCGCCACAGCCGCTCCAGATATTGCCTGTGGCCTGCGAACAATGTAGAAGAAGCAAGAGAAAGGTTCGAAACTGCTGGCTCTGATTCAACGTATATCCGTAGACTAAAGAACGACAACAGTGCGATCGTGTGGCACCTCGATGCGGATCTTGTTCCAAATCCAGTCGGAAATGTACTATGCCTGATGTCTTGGAACAGCCTGCTGATAGAACCAAACGTCAACGAATGCCGAAAGGGTGAGGTTATTCTCTAGCTATAAGTATCTAGTACAATGCGCTAATTTGAGTTGTAGATTTGTTGAAATTCTTGAAGCAAGGGTTCAACAGTTGGAGGATTCGATACAGAACCACCTTTCTGAACTCGAAACCCTGAAACGAACAGGTGATTCATCCTCCAAAAATGAACCTCTTATTACCGAATCCGTACCGCCCAATGATGATCGCGAAGTTTCTACATCTGTTGTGACGGTTCAAAGTGAAAGGCCCTCCTCTCCACTGGGCTTGCCCTCATTAACGCCCGGACAGCATGATGCCGTGACTGCTCCTGAATATTCGCCTTTATTTTCTCGGGAGAAGGAAGCCGTATACCCTCTCAGTGCGGAGGCTATCGTTTCGCTTAGCAAGATGAGCGAGAGCGACGAATATGGATTGTTCAACTCTACATCCGTTGCCTATGCTATGTTAGCCGCCGACGGTGGAAGTCCGTTTGGCTCATCTGTCCTGAGATCTAACATATTCCAAGACGATTCGCACATCTCACAAGAGCTTGAGTTATCAAAGATGTTGGAAAGCTTTTTGTTAAACCAAGGCGAGACCCTCCTTACTCGCTACGAAAGGAACTGTCACAGCCGGTACCCCTTCATACAAATGGACAAGTTAAACGGAATCATGGAATCGTGCAAAGCACAGGGAAGTCTACAGCCAATTCAAAGAGCGACCGCTGCCGAACGGTTTCATTTCTTCACTGTGATGGCAATTGGTCTTGCTATGGAAGGGCGAAGAATATCATTTGCTGGGCAGATCGAAGGAAACTTGTTCATGGTGGCCGTAAATCACCTTGGCGGTGTATTTAGATTCTCTGATCCCATCGACCAGATAAGAGGTTTGTTACTTCTTACAATCTATAGCATGTACAGATCATCGACAGGGAGCACCTGGCATTTTGCTGGATTCGCCATGCGCATCTGCATTGCGCATTCTTACCATACCGGCGAACATTCGGAAATGATTCATAAAACGTTCTGGTCTACGTTTATGCTTGAGCAAACCATATGCGATGCTCTTGAGAGACTCCCCAGTTTAGGTCCCGTGGACCTTTTATCTCAGGTAGGCATTTTTTAAAGAGAGATCAGTCCTGATAGATGCTAACTTTATTCAGCCCTGCTCGTCCCCTGGAACTGGAAGCCTAAGCTCTTCAGGTGACTATGCTTGGTCTTATTGGGTGACGCGCAGCCAACTACTTGCAAAGCTGAGCAACAACACTGGGGCTTATTTTTCGTCTACACAATCCCTTTTCTCCGTATACCAACTCAAAGCACGCCAGCCGGCTGTACCGCCAGAGGATGCTTCATTGGCAACTTCAGCCTTTACCAACGACGTGGACCAACAGTACCTTTCCGATCTCGTTTCCTTTTCTGCCCGAATCGACAGCGTTCCATCTAAAAAACTTGATCAGTTCTGTTTGTTTGTATCTGCCTTGATAATCTGCAGACTCACTTCCCTCGAGGACACTCTCCCGTCATGGCCCAGAGGCATTCTTCTATTCAGAGCCGGCCTGATATGTCTACGAAGCATGGGCGTCCTTGTCATAACCGAGGATAGCAACAGGCTCAGCTTTATCCTCTCCGATACGTTACGCAAATGTTCTGACTATCTCTCACGTCTCTGTAGCGAATTCCAGGAACTAGCTCAATACAGAGTTGTCTTTGACACTGCCGTCAGCCTATATGACTCCACAAACAGTAAAGTAACTCAGTGGACTATCAATCCCGAAGTCCCTCCAAGTGTAGCGTCTCTGTCAACGACGCTTGATCAAAAGCTCTCTAGGAAGGCATTTGAAGCGATTCAGGCGCCGGGTTTGCAGAATGATGCGTTTCAATCGGATATACATGCTGGGCTAACTCGGCTGGTTTCTTGTATCTGCTACGAATCTGACGAGGAACGTCAGCTATATAATGAGATATTTTCCTCACGGCAATTAACCAACCTAGCCCCTTAATAAAAGGAGGAGCTTTCCGTGGCCCATAACTGTCCATTACCAAATAATGCTTCCCAAATTTCTGTGGCTTCACCCCATTCAGAACCAAACATTGCAGCAGGATCGTACGTCTCTGAGACTCCATCCACCCCTTCGCATGAGGTTGGGAAATCCGGCCACGACGTGACCCCCGGAATGCTGTCCAGATGGTTCCCAATAACAGCACAGTAACAAGGTTGGGTATGCTCTACAGGCAACTGGCATGTGAGTGGTGCCGTGATCAAGCTGGAGCCAAAGTAGTCTGGAGATACATCTTGCAGTGGAGCGAAAGCGGTTGATATAGCTGAAGCAGACGCAGCACTGGCATGCGTTTGAGGAACACTATGTTGCATAGCCTGTTGGCCGGAAGAATCTGAACTTGTGGACTCTTTTGCCGTCGACTTTGGAAGTATCCGTAAGGTTTCCCTGCAAAGAAGCTCAAAGTAGCCCACATATCTAGGCGTGAGATGTTGATTCGTCATTTGTTTGGCCATGCGATCAAGTGTATCTGTGCATTTCCTCAGTAGTGACTTTTTCCCTGATATGCTCTGCCGTGACGAGGGTGGTCTGGAAGGGCCATTGTGTTGCTTGTCCTTGGCCTGTCCCACCTGAGACTCGATCACGATCGTATACAATATCGAGAGGCCGGCCGTCAGAACTCGATAGAGCCTCCCAGCCGTGGGCTCAATTTTTGCATCGTCCGCAATATCTGCGTATAGTATAATCACATTACTTGCAGCGTCATATAGTTCTTCAAGTAAATCTCCAGGATTGATGAAGTGGGAATCGGTCGCGGAGCTGGGCTCAATGGAAAGGCGGATTAGGAAAAGCTTTTCCTGGTGAAAGTGAAGATCGATCCATCTGCTATCATGCAGAAAAAGCTGCCCATTTGAATCAGGCGCAACATCCTTGTGTGTATGCATTCCACTGTATAATCTCCAATTGTGTAACTCTTGTGAGTATTGGTAGTAAATGTTCCAAACCTTGCCGTTCAAAGTGAACAGGTCCAGATCGTCAGCCGAGTATCGTGACGATCCCGGCAAGTCTTGTGAGGTGAGCAATTGATTTCTCAAAATTCTATAATCTCGGGACATGCGAGATGTTATCTGGCGCAGCTGTATATGAGAGATGGCCACTGATGTGTCAGTCAGGCCTTTGGGAGGTGCTTGTGCCTCGGTTAGTTCGTCTAGGGATGTGTTTGGAAGCAGACTGGCCGCTTCCTGTAACACGCTATCATCTACATTGGCAGGAAGCTTGACAGTGATGGCCTCATCTGGAATAGTGAATGGCCGGCCAAGGGTTGTGCTGGCATATCGCTCAAGCCCATAGCATTGCCAGAAGACGCGTCGGCGCATCTGTTCCTCGATAGCGGGAAGAGGGGCAGTTGGTTGACGATGAAAGCCACACTCTATACACGTGCGCATATTGAGCGAAGCAAGATCCCATAGGCTCATCCCCACGTCTTGGAAGAAGCAGAAGCGGGCGACGAGGAGAAGATTCTGGACCCCTTGAATGCCGTACAGCAAGTTGACCTGTCTGGCGCTGCGCATGGCGACAGAGAATAAATCCACAGGGCTGACCATGTTGTAGATGTCTTCTGTCGCTGCACGAACAAACTGCTCTTGATTTCGATACACAGCCCCAGTCGCCATGATAGAGTAGGCCCGGAATGACTCTTCTGTGGTGAGGTGAATGAGCCCGGCGGAGCGAGCGGCTGTTAGTGTTTTCTCTCGGAGTGATATGATTGTCGCCAGTTCCATGAACGGATAACGAGGATGAGCTCTTCTGACGTATGTCTCAAATAAGCATTGGACGATATCCGGAGGTACGAGAGGTGTAGATGACGCGCTGTTATTGGGGGAGGGTTGGTCGGAATGCTTCTGCCAATTTGACAATGCTCTTGAGTTTAACACTTCGCTCTTGATCTTAGCGAATATTAGGCCAATGAACCTTTTGAACTAGTTAGTTGGACAACTGAGAGGCACCGAAAGAGCAAAGGGCGATGGCAATTTACCCCATTCCATGCATTCCGTGTTCGCTGATGGCCACATTTGAAGTACCTGTCGATGGGCTGTCCTTGACTTTCCTGGTAATGGCGGAGGCTTCTACTTCTGCGACTTTGTCTGAGGAGGTTCTCCTCAAGCTCAATTTCTCTCTTCTCACGAGAGCTTTAAGCTCACTCTCTCGCTTTTCTAAAGCACAAACCTTGGCTTGGAGCGATGCAACATATCTGGGATTGTAAATGACTGGGTTATATACTGATGAGAGGGCAAATGGGAAAAGGTCCACGCAGCACACTTACTGTCTATTGTAGTTTCCCGAGCCTGAAGGGCCGGTCACGACACAATCGACGTTTGCCAGCTCACAGGGGCTGCATCGTGGCAGCTGCCCGTCGCACTAGGCCGCTGGGCAATTAGGTCTCTAATGAAGAATGGAGAATGGGCTATGCTTGCTTACTTTGACCTTACGAGCGCGGCATCTTGAGCACGTGGGACGCAATAAGCCGCGGGGTTGAGATGACATCGATGGGCGTCCAGACGTCAACTACGTGCTGCTTGTTGTGCATACAAAAGATGGAGGGAAGGATAAAAACGCGGAGAGGCAGAGATGGGGCTGGGGACTGGAGAATGTGGAGAGAAGCACAAACCGGGAATAGTGAATGAACTGAACCATGTTAGTGGGCACCAGGAAGCTGACACCCAGGCCGAAAACCCCGGCTCGAGTATCTGATTTCCATACTCTATTATGTCTCGGTCTAAGATCTTATGGTAAAAAGGTGGTGAGTATACAGATCTAGATACACTGTCTACAATTCTCCCAGTTCCTGTATGCAGCTGTTAAGCCAACAAAAGTTTCTAGTGAATGGCTAAATACAGAGAAGGAAACACAACTATAGTCAAGGCAAGCTCTCAATGAGTTTAATTCCCTCTAAAATATAGCCATGACGTTGGCTGGACTAGCAATCCCGGCGGGTAGATTAAGCGGTTGGCTGGTGACAAAGAAGGTCCAACGCCCAAGTTCCTTGCATCTCCTGGACAGCTGCTCTAGATCAAACTGCTCGCCAATTGGCATCCCCCAGCCGTTGAGAAATACTTCATGTAGCCGAATCCTAGACCCTTCTATCACCGCCGGCCACGACTCGTACGTATTTGAATCACCCGCCACGGCAGCGAACCCTGCCTGCCAGTGCCATCGAGCCGACTCAACGCTGCCCGCAACTCCCATGTATTTGCGGTCACTGCCTTCTCGAAGGCCTAGCTGGTCCTTGGCTGGCTCATCCAATGCGTTATACTGCAGCCCGTAGCCGCTGCGCACAAATAGAATATCTCCTTGCTGGAATTTGATGCCCCGCATGTCGGCAATCTCTTGCAGCTCCGTGTACGGAATTTCGAAAGATTCGAATGCATCATACGTCTTGTTTTTGGATGCTGCGTAGTCTGCCCAGTCTAAGAGCACGCCCCTGGATGCGAGGGGTCGTTCAGCTAGGTCTACAACGTCCAAGTCAGTCATTCATTCAAACTTGCTTTATCAGGAAGACAGCCAACTTTGTATTCCAAGACGGTTATTTTTATTAGGACCGGCAACATCGCTCTGTGTAGAGCCGTTGTAGAATCGCCTTCCTTCTCGGTAAGGATAGTGACGAGGGCCATCCCAGTGGGTGGATGATTGTGTATTGATTGTGATCTGCGTTTCTTCAACATTTAGGAAAATAGTTGCCTCCTATGACTATGCGACTTTATCACTGACCTCATCATCGTTGGAATATTCCTTGACGATAATACGATGTGACAGCTTGGCTCTTGCGGGGTTCATGGGACGGATAGGCACGTTCAGAGGTAAGCTGAGGCAATGTTAGCATTTTTATCCTCCCACTCTTGCAAGACTCTGCTTTGCTGTGGTCTGATTTCATACTTGAGTTGGACAACCTCACCAGTCCTGATCTCTGTTTGAGCAGCTTTGCGTGTGATGTCCGAAGTAATGAGATTAGTTCTGCCAAGCTCATCGTCTTTACCCCAAAGTCCCCAAGCCGAGTATGGGGGATCGGATTCCCCCAACGGGAGCTCTTCAAAAGAAACACTAGCAGGACTTCTTTCCTGAATTTGGTCCATTGGCAAGGACTTAGTAGATGTCATTGTGAAAGGCCGAAACAATGCAGAGGCCAGTCTTCTCTTCTCGTGAGCCAGAAATTGTTTGTTCTGAATGCGTTCCCGTCACCGCTACCGTTGAATATGAACTGGAGTGGTATCATTGAACGCCACATAGGCATATTTCTCTGAAGAAAACTCAGAACATTGTTATATCGGCCAGTGCGGAGTAACTGAGTCATGAACAAATTCTCGGAACTTCGCCGTCCAGTGACTCTGGAAGGGAATAACGCGGGGAGAAGCTGTCCGCGTGGACACATTACCCACGACCCCAGAAGCGCATGACACGATCAAGGCCTCGCCCCGCAGTGCCCCAGGTTCGGTCTGGTGCCGCATCTCGCGCCAGCCAAGCTGTCGGGTTCTGCTGTGCGGGTGATTACCGAGGGCGACGCAAAATCCAACAAGCGTTGGGGAAGCAACGAAATGAAAGACGGAGGACCGGGGTCGGACTAGGGATATTGCTTGGGGTGGTTTCTGAACAAGAGGTTGACCAGTTCCCCACAGAAGCATTCCCTGTATAAATCCTACACCGTCCAGCAGTTCCAGGGACGGATTATCATTGGAAAATTTCTGAGTGTTATTTCTGCGATCAAGTTCCTCAAGATGGCAACTAGAGATCAGAAACAAGAGGTTGAGATGCTCGAGGAAAGCACATTCCAGAAGCCAGCCGAAATGGCTACTTCAAATGTTGATCCCGTTGCTCAGAAGAGCCTCCTTCGCAAACTCGACTTTCGCATGATGCCAGTCTTCTTCCTCATGTATTTCTTAAACCATTGTATGTTCTCCCTTTTATACCACTTATTTGAATAGCAAATATTCTTGCAGCTTTCAACAACTGACTGCTTGATCTCCAGGGGACCGAAACGGCCTGCCGCAAGCCAAGCTCAACGGCATCACGACGCATCTCGATCTAAAGGGCACCCAATACAACACGTGCATCTCAATTCTTTACGTCGGATACCTCATCGCCGGCATCCCATCAAACATGATCCTGACCCGGGTCAGGCCGTCCATATGCCTCGGCGTCTGCATGTGTGGTTGGGCGATTGTCTCTGGATGCACAGCGCTGTCTAAGAATTACACCCACCTTCTGATGCTTAGATTCTTGCTTGGGTGGTTCGAGGCACCGTTCTATCCAGGTGCGATATATATACTGAGTCGATTTTATACGAAGAGCGAAGTACGTGGGATGTAGGCTTGGCTATGTGTTTAGGTCTGGTAGCTGATATTGGATAGGTGGCTACACGCCTGGCAATTTTGTACTGCGGTCAACTGAGTTCGAGTGCTTTCTCTGGCCTCATTACTGCGGGTATCTTTGCTTCGATCGATGGTAGATATGGAATCCACGGATGGCAATGGTGTGTTGCTTTTGATCACCAAAACGCAGGAGAGACACTAACAGAATGTGCAGGCTGTTCATCATCGAAGGTGCAGCAACTTTCGGATTTGCCGTCATTGCCATCTTTTTACTTCCCGATACCCCCGGGAAGACATCATGGATGACTCCAGAGGAGAACGCCTGCAGTGTCATTCGAATGCAAGAAGACAGCGTGAACCAGCTCCAGCACGAAACTCCGATGCAAGGTTTCACGAGTGCCATCAAGGATTACAAGGTGTGGCTGTTTATGATCATGCAAAATATGCATTTCTCTGCCATGTCCTTCAACCAGTTCTTTCCAACCTTGGTGAAAACACTGTGAGATGTCCATCCTGCCTCACACGCTCTCAGAAGAATACTTGGCTGACCAAACAACAAAGCGGATACAACAACACTATCACTCTGGTTCTGACATCTCCGCCTTATATCTTCTCTGCTCTGTTCTCTCTCGCTTTGGCAAGATCCTCTGGGTACTTCAACGACCGAACATGGCACATTGTTGGTGGCAATCTCTTTGCTATCGTAGGTTTCGTACTGGCCTGTTCCACGACCGGACTGGCACCGCGCTACGCAGCGTGTTTTCTGTTCGCGGCTGGATCTTACTCGACTGGCAGTATCATCCTGGGCTGGGCTTCAGCCAATGTTGCTGATTCTCATGAGAAAAAGGCGGTCACGTTAGCCATGGTCAACTTTTCTGCCGTCGCAGCCAATGTGTACACTGCCTACCTCTGGCCAGACTCTGACAGCCCTCGTTTCATAATTGGTCTGGGAAGCAGTGTTGGGTTCTCGTTCGTTTGCCTGCTTGTGGCTATTGTGGCATGGTACCTCTTCCGACGGTCAAACAGCAAGCGTCTGCGTGAGGCTAGCGATGACAATGTCAAGCTGTACGCGATTTGAAAGTCAAGTTTGTATCTTATTTCATCCCTGGCTGGAAATTCTGTTTCGATCATCGCTTCTGAACACCCGTATTTGCAACTTTCAAGCTTTTATGTAGAGAATTACGGTTTGCTCGTCACGCCGACTGGCAACACTTTCTGTGCGAGAGCACCTAAACAAGCACATTTTCTAATATCCCCTATGTATCGGTGAAAACACGGGACTGAAAGCTCACGCGCAGTAACGCGACACGAATTAGGCACGATCAGTGACGTGAACTTCCCTGAGTTAGTACCCGGCGTGAAGTTTGCCTCACTAATCAGGTAGCGATGCTCGGAGATAACAACAACACACGCACGAGAAGTTCTTCTAACTCAGCCTTTTCTCCTTCTTTCATCACACTCACTGAGAGGAATTCCATAAGAATCCTCAAGTTTTGACCCAGCACATCGCTACTTCATTCTTTCGCACTATCAAAACCACAACCCTTTGCTAGAACCTACACCAACTACGCATACCGACAACGTATCCCAGCCATGCCTGTCACCATTCGTCCACGCCCTGAAAAGGTGGGTGCGAATGACGATAACGTCGTAAGCTCCTCTGGCGAGCTTCTTGTTGTCACATCGAAGGAGTGACTGCAAGGAGGCCTGGGTTGGGGGGGACCAACAAACGACAGACTTCCGAGGACCGGCCAGTTCTGCGCTCTTCTTTCGAAGATCTCGAAGCCGCTAGCCCCAGTATTATTCCCTACAGAAACGGCCTCGTTCATGGAATCATTCGAGCCTTTGAACAGGACCTCCATCTTGTGCTCCGGCCTGATGATGTTTGGTTGGCTATTTTGGTTCAATTCAACTTCTACGTCAACGCACATGCCGAAGAACTACAACACCTCTTTGTCACCCACAAGGGAAAACAAGTCCTTGAGCTCGATATGCGTCCCATCCCACTTAGCGAGATTGATTTCCAACAGGCTTCTGAAAAGTTCACCGAGCTCATGAAGCCCTTTCTCGTGGACGAGAGCCTCTCCAAATGGCTCCTGCCTGCGTTCACCACCACGACCGCGAACGATCAGACAGTGGCAGCCCTGACTCTGATGTCTACAATGAAAAAATACTTCGACTATTCACTCCTATCTGGCGGATGTGGTTTCCCTTCTGTAACCTTGGAAGGTGAGAAGAAGGACTGGGAGCTCCTGGCAGCTAAGATCCAAGTCCTTGCTGATTATGGAGATGAACCGGCCGATTGGTCTGTACGCCTCGTCAAGGTTGTCGAGAAGATGATCGAAGGCTTTGACAAGCCTGATGATGACAACATCAAGGATTTCTGGATGCGAGCTTGCCATGCTGCACGAGAAGACGGTTCAGGGTGGATCGAGACCTTATCAGGATGGCTTACAGCATTTTGCTACTGGGGGGAAGATGGTAAGCCGGTAGGTGACTGGTCTGATGAAGCTCTGAAAAAATTGATGCCGAAAGTTGATCGTCCACGACTCACCCTTGATGACATTCCGTTCCCGGTCATCTCCCGCTATAAGGTGCCTAAGGCTGTGACGGAAGTGCCCATTGTCGTGAAAAACTACGACACGCAGATGGTGCATGAAACAACCGTCATCACAGGTCAGATGGCAATGAAGGGTGTTCAGATGGATGACGGGTCTCAGATCACCCATGTCCAGCCTATGTCTGGCTGGTGGATGTTGGAGGATAAGACATATCCTTTCACGGCATGATTATGCCGCCACTGATACACGCTCACTTCAAAATGTATCAACAGGGGCTGGGAAACAAGCAGAGGGGTGGAAGCCTGGTCGTTGATGAGGAGAAGAGGGTTGTGGACAGAACTACCTATCAAGAGACCTATGACAGTACTCTAAGGAGTATGGTCAGTCTATTTCGATGAATAAACTCATCACTGTAAAGACTTGTCGCAGTTGAATGATCTATAGTTGGTGATGGAATTGATACTCATGGACTAGTGAAGATATTCCCTGAGAGGCTTACCCCATCCCACGACGAGCGTACACACCCTGAACCATGCCGTAAACTACTTCAAAAGAGCCTCAAGAGAGGTTACTTTTTAAGATCGATGACATTAATCTTCTTGAAATGTGTCAAGGCTTGGGGCAGTATGCATCACTCAGTATGTTTGACCGGGAACTTTGCTTGGATCTTTACATCAAGTGATGAGGCAATCCTCTATTTTAAACTCTCTATATATTATATGTGACATGTAAGACGCATTGAAACCGACTTGAAGGGTAACCAAGAGGTCTTCCAAGGCGTTCTGAAATCCAGCTGCTGGAACATGTTCTGCTTTAAGCTGTGTCCTGTAAACTGCCCTCAGTTCTCCAACTTGCTAAGCAATGAGTCCAGAGTCTCACCCAGGTGCTTCATAGACAAAGTCAGATGAGCCTCCTCCTCAAACCTGTGGTACTCAACACCGGGCATCAACTCGACTGCCTGATCAGCCATCGTAATTGGAACATTGCGATCCTTTGCGCCATGCCACACTCCCAGCCTACCATCCATGGGTAAATCTTCCAGCTGGAACTCCCAAGGCCTGCCGAAGATTTGCGCCTCGGTACCAAATCCGCCAGTGCCGTGCTTGATGGCTTCCCGCGAGCTTCGTGACAAAACCTTGAAAAGCTTGCGGTCCTCCTCAAAAATAACCTCTTGGTCCTCGACCGGCCATCTCTGAAAGCCTTTAGCCATCAGCTCCTCAAACTTCTCCGGGTGTTCGGCGTCCCGGGCCGCGGCGTTGAGCTCAATGCCGACCATCCAGTTGACCAATCCGGGCACCCAGCTCGCGAGCGTATACATGACGCGCATTTGCGGCATCATGCCCGCCGTGCCCAGAGCCGTGGGCCACATGCCGGACACGACAGCCACGGATCGCAGCCGCTCGGCGGGCAAGTGCCGCAGACAGGCCAACGCATAGGGTCCGCCTCCGGAGGTGCCCAGGAAGGCGAACTGCTGCACGCCTAGGTGGTCGGCAAGATGCAGGACATCGGGGGGGAATGAGGACAGTGTGCGGCCGGGATGTGCCGTCGAGTCGCCAAAGCCGGGCCTTGTGACACCAACTACAACGACGCCGCGCGCTGAAGCCGCCTCGTGGACAGGAAGGCCCTCGCTATGGGTGCCGGGAAACCCGTGGAAGTAGAATATGACCGACTGATTTGGGGAGATGGGTGCCCAAAGGTGGTATAGCTGAGATTGCGGCCATCTGGAAGCTCGAAGGACAGGTCTTCTGACATTATCCAGCGTGTCCGGCAAGGTCAACGATGGTGATGGGAGGTTGTGAGGGTGAACACTTGGGGGATATGCGCAACAACAGACTTTTGAGGGAGGTAATCTGCCGAAGGTTTAGGAGAAGTAGATTGGACTTCAAAAATGTCCAAATCCAACCATTTTCGACCAGGGTACATGATCTGACTACGTGGTTCTTCAAAAGGTCGTTTCAACATGCCATGGGTTCGGGGAATAGTGCCTAATATGGCCTTGATTGTGACGCTACGAGAGAGGCGATAACACCAACCCTGGATTCTATCTTCCCTGGTCCTCAATTCGTGCCCTCCCTTCCGTGAACTAGTTCCTTGAAAGCAATCCCAGTTATCGGTCGTTTTTTCCAGCCACCTACCCCAAATCCCGGCTTGTTGCTTTCACTTTGCATCTTTTGAAGCGCCATGCTCGCGCATGACATTAGCTAGCACGGGGTTACTTCCTCCTTGCCTGCGATAACAGTGAACTAATTCGTCCCTGGCACACTCAGGGAGCAATATTGTGTTGAGCGCCTTAAATAGCTGTGGGAATCAGTGTTGTGGCCGACAATGTCAAGCTTGTCGACAAATATTCGATCTAGCATCGGTAATTGTGCGTGATTAGAGCGTTTTTCCCATGGAGAGCAAGTGCCAAGGGATGGTCCCGAGTCTTCCTTTGGAAAAGATTTCACGACATTGAAATATTATCCAGTTTAGTTGGGATGGACAACATGAATGATCAGAGTTTTACAGGCCCTTGAGTCTCCAGTGGCTTCCATGGCTCTTGCTAAGATCTGTCCTGGCCCACTTTGTCTCCAGGTGCAGGCTGTAAACTAGATTGCTACGCAAGCCGGCTTTACAATTCTCTGAATGTATGTACTGCTTACGCCTCCGCGCTACAAAGCCAGGAAAGATCTCTGTGATCTTCCAACTTATTCTTCAGAAAATTAGGTCGACTCCCCTCTCCCGAAGGACGTTTTGACCCTATCGTAGAAAGGAGAATCACCAACTTTGCCGTAAGCGCTTTCAGCTTTCGTACGGCTCCGTGCTATATCTGGTTGTTAAGCTCGCAGGCGAGGATCTACGGCATTCCCCAAGCTCAACTAGCCCGTTAATTCTTTCAAACCTAATGAAGCTCATTGAAATCTCTGTCGGCGGTGCCCTTCCGCGTTTACCATACATGAAACTTATATCCAGAAAATTATTATTGTCACCACAGAGTGGATATGGCGACTCTACTTCACACCTAACAACTTCGATGTCACTAGCATAAGCAACACACGCGGCCATGTGGGTACTTCCCTCGATCCGTCTCATCGCGATCCAAGCTCTTCCTAGTTTTTACCTACCCACCAAGAGAATCTCGCCCAAGTCCACTCGGCTTTTCGCTGCTTCTAAGCCTCTGTAAACATTACCCTTGCTTTGAGCCTTACCGTGGCAGCGGCCGTCGCTGTACACAACCCTCCTGAGCCAGTCGGAAGCGCAAAAGTCGCTCACCAAACTTTACCCCGCAGAAAAATCACCGTCATGGGTTGTAAGTGAACAGCGGAACCATATATGCCCAATGGAAATCGAAGATTAGCTCCATTCTATGGCGTTAGAACAGGGCATAATGGCCTTATCGGACAGCTCGAATATCTTCGATATGTTGATTGAACAAAGCTAACATCCGCTGCTTACCATAAGTATCTGATATCTTGGAGCGCTTGCAGGCCCAACCTGAGAGCTACAGCAAGAAGTACAGATGACCCTGATGCCTCAAAGTATTAAGCTAACACCATATGTACAACAGAGCCCAGTACAAATTCGGTCAAACCCTCGGTGCCGGTACATATGGCGTCGTGCGCGAGGCTGTGGGCCCAACCGGAAAAGTAGCTATCAAGATCATCTTAAAGAAAACAATAAAGGGCCACGAGAACATGGTGTATGAAGAACTTAAGATACTACAAAAGCTGCATCACCCTCATATCATCAAGTTTGTTGATTGGTTTGAGGCTAGGGTTTGTTCATCAATCTTCTCTTTCTCCCTACCTAGTGCGGCGAGGCTGATTCAATTCCATGCAGGATAAGTTCTTCATCGTCACCCAGCTCGCCACCGGCGGGGAAGTTTTCGAGCGAATTTACACCCAGGGCAAGTTTACTGAAAAGGACGCTTCGCAATTGATCAGGCAGGTCCTCGATGCTGTAAATTATCTCCACCAGAATAAGATTGTTCACCGAGGTGTGTGGCACTCCTTATTCCCTTAACTCGCGTCCAAGGTGGTGAGAGTGTAAACCTAATATCTAAAACTCTTCTAGATCTTAAGCCTGAAAACCTGCTCTTTGTCACAAAGGACCCGGACTCACCAGTTGTTGTGGCTGATTTCGGTATCGCCAAAACGCTGGATTGGCAAGACGGGCCTCTCCACACACTAGTTGGATCATTTGGCTACACAGCCCCTGAAATTCTAAACCGTTCAGGCCATGGCAAGCCTGCGGATTTGTGGTCTATCGGGGTTATTACGTATAACCTTCTCTCTGGCTACTCCCCTTTCCAGAGCGATAATCTCCCAGACTTGCTTGAAGAATGCCTCTCCGGCTCCATTATCTTTCATGAGCGGTATTGGAAGGATGTCAGCGACGATGCCAAGGACTTTATCATGAGCCTCATCGTTCCTGAGCCACATAAGCGTTTAACAAGCGAGGTACGAAATCGACCTTTAAATGTTGGGTTATCCCTGTATTCCCTATATTAACAAAGCTTCCGTTGAATAGCAAGCCTTGGAGCATATCTGGATCAGCGGTCTTACCGCTAGCGAGCACGACCTGCTGCCCGACATCAGCCGTGCTATGGAGGCACGCGCTAAACTTAAGCATGCTATCTTGGCTGTCACCCTGAAGAAGAGAATTGCGGCTCTCAAGGAAGCTGAGTCCGACTCGGATGACATGGGCGACGCTGAAGACGGAGTGCCTTCCTCTGGCGTTGATAGGAGGGATGGCGCCATGTTCCGCGAAGTCGTCCTCGGCGCCGTTCGAGACAAACGAGCAAAGGATGGTTTGGCGGCAGCCGGAGAGCAAGAGCTGGAAGAGGCAAGGAGCCGTAGCCGGAGCCGAGGCCGAAACTAAACAAAGTCCTACGTAGTGAGGGTGGAGGATTATGGTAATGGTTTAGAAGGATGGGGCTGGTCTAGTGTCAGTTTAGTTTAATAGGCATGATAACCTCACTGTGACAGGTTGGAAAGAACACCCGATGATCGTTTGGGTAAATAGTATGGCTTGATTTCTTTCCGTATGGGTCCGTCAATATTATCTTAGAGTGGTGATCCCTCGGGAAGCCAGGCTAGTAAACACAGAGCCCTGATGGCTTACACGTAGATCCCCCTAAACTAGCTCTCGCTTAAATCGTATTCGGCTCTATTTCGGGCCTCGCCTGAGGCTTTTCATGGAATTCAAGATGTGGCAGCTATCCTTCTGATGTTTTCTTCTGCACCTACCAGGCTGCCTCACTTATCTTCGGATCACGCATCTTGGACTGACAATTCACGTAATCGACTTTCCGTCCGTGCTATTACTTCTGTTGAAATTCGGTTCCATTGAGAACAGCCAACTATTTACCAACCAGCCAGACTCTGCTGGGTATCTATTTTGCAAATTAAAGAGGTCCCGGATCGTATATCCATGTTTGGGGAGCGACATGAATAAAGGGTCACATAAGTTAAGCTTGGATCTGCCATCGCGATGCAGTGATACAGCTAGAGATGTTATCAACGCTCTTGATTCCACCCCTATGTCGGCAAGATTGAATAGTATACTACGACAGCGCGAACCAGGAACGAACTCGGAGCAGTTGAAAGACGAAAAAATCACCGCCTGGGTCAAAGGCAGCACATATCAGCATTGGGAGGTCCCTGAACAGGAACAGCCAGTGTCGCATATCAAGAAACTGTTTCTATATGGCTTCTCTGGCTGTGGGAGGACAACCTTGACTGCATCTGTCATAGGGCACCTAATCAGTACAGAGTGTACAGAGCAACAGGGTGTTTGCTACTATTTCTGTAATAGATTCCATCAAGGAACCGAGGATCCGCACAACGTGCTCAAAACACTCATTTCGCAGCTCGTTTGGCAAAATGAGTCTGCATTCGACGTTCTCAATGACCACCTGAACACACGGAAAGCCCCTCCGGAAAGTATAGATTTTCATTCATACAGTTTGGAGGACCTTGGGACACTTCTGGGGTCAATAATTCGTCGCTTTGAACGCGTTTTTACCATTATCAACTCAGTTGAAGTTCTGTTACCGGACAATGCGACTCGCCTCCTCTCGCTACTGGCAGGATTTTCTGACAGTTCGGAAACCAACGTTTCCTTACTGAGCACAGGTGCTGAGCAACCAGGTCAACGGGAATTATCCCAGGCACTGAATCTTTGCCCGGTTTACGTTCAGGGCAGACTCGATGATATCCGGGTATATGTACGAGCTGAGCTCAACAGGCGTGTTGAACAGGGTGACAGCGAGCTTGAACAAAATGATTTTCAAAGAGCCATCGAGAACTATATCGCCGAAAGGAGTAATGGGGCGTAGGTTTCAATCCCCTCACCCTTGAACTTTAGGATGGGGCTGCAGCTCAACTAACTAACAATTTTCCAGTTGGATATGGGCTATATGTGAACTTGACAACCAGTGTCACCTAGCCCTTCAAGGCCGCTGGGAACAACCTCCTACCTTCGCACCGCTTGACTCTTCCGCACATCCTTACCATACCTATGGGCCCAATCCAAATGATAAATCATCTGCGATCTTCCCCTATAGACACTATCTGAATGAAGTGTGGAAGAACGGCGGGCCTCGAGCAAATTTCATTCTGGTAAGGTTGTTAAGATGGATCCATGTCGGGGCCACAATACCTAGACTCCAACTTTCTATCCCGGAGATGTGTGACTTGCTATCAATCTTGCTTTTGTACCACAACATCGAAGACAACCCTCTGGACGCAACTGTGACTGGAGACGAGGTAATTAAGATCGGTGGACAACTTATCCGCATGGCTCCGGATACCTCTACCTTGGAGTTCAGTCATGTCACCGTGGAGGGGTATTTAATGTGCCACCTGGATGATCACATGAAAAAGTTTAGCCTTGATGGGCAAATTGACAGCGAGATGATTGACGAGCTCGATGTAGTCACTTCTCAGCTGGAGCGCACTCGCAGACTCAAGGACGCAGAGGCTATGATGCTGAGGCTCATCCCATGCCGTGAGCAACTATGGGGTCCCACTGGAAATCCAATACTTGCGGCGTTTAACAACCTAGCTCGTTTTTATGAAGAACACGGCCGCATAGAAGAAGCACAGGATTTTTACACCCGTGCTCTCAATGGATATGACGCTGCCAAGAATCCAAATAAGGAGTCCGTGCTCAATACAGTCAACAATCTGGGCATACTCTATAAGAGACGGGGCATGTTTCGGGAGGCTGAATCGTTATACAAGCGGGCAATTGCCGGTAGAGAGGAGTTATTTGGCCCTCTTCACGACGATACGCTTAGCTCGATACATTGTCTTGGGCTTTTGTACGCAACACAAGGCCGTCTAGATGAAGCCGCTCCTCTATGGGAGAAGTATCTCCACGCACTGCAAAAGAATAAGGGGGTTGAAGATCCACAGACAATCGTTGCAACATATGACCTTGGTGCGCTATATAAAAATCATGACAGAATTGACGAGGCAATACCATTGCTGAAACGAGCATTCACCTCATACGAGCGTACCAAGGGGCAGGATGATCCAGCGACTCTTGATTCTCTGAACACTTTGGCTACAGCTCATGCCATGAAAGGCCAGTACGAAGAAGCAGAAACCCTGTGGACGAAGTTGCTCGAGGCTCGTCAGAGATCACCAGGTTCGGATTTCGACATGATCCGCACCAAGGAAAATTTGGGGCAGCTCTACTCGCGACAAGATAGGCTTCAAGAAGCTTTGGAAATTTATCTCTCTGTGCTCCAGGGGTATAAACTTCATTATGGGTCTTCTCATGTTGCAACCGGGGAGATGTGCAGCACGCTGGCAGAACTGTACGAAGACATGGGTCTCTTGGACCTTGCAGAAGACATGCAACTACAAGCATTCCATATCTTTGAAAATTGCCTTGGCTCGGAAGATATAGCAACTGCTACAATGGCAGAGAAGGTAGGTTTCACACGTGCAAAGCAGGGCCGAATAGATGAAGCAGCCCCGTTCTGGGAGACAGCACTGCGTGGTTTCGAAAGAGTCAACGGGGAAGATCACCGATCAGTATTGGGACAGATGGGAAATCTGGGCCGCGTTTATAAAATGCAGTTCCGCCTAGATGAGGCCGAAGCAATCCTCAAGCTTGGCTTCGAAAGGTCAATGCGAGCTTTAGGTCCACAGAACTCTCTGACACAGAAGATCGGCCAGGACTTAATTCTTCTGCATGATAACCAGGAGCAATCGGAAGAGGCTGAGAAAATATCTGAGTTGCTAAAGTCATGAGAGATTGGAATTTAAATCTACTATGTCTTCAATCAAACAGTAACAACATGCAAAATGTTCGATCGGAGTGATGCAGTAAACAGTCGCGGCCTACCGTGTACGCAAACACAGAGGAACTTCTTTATAGTTTGGTCATTTGTTTCAACTACAAAAAGTCCTGGCTTCTTTTGTTTACCGGCCGGCAAAGACGGCTGTTTCATCGTTTGTCATTCGGCTAGATCGGCTGGCCCCTGACTGACAATACCATAAGAATAGAGGCTCTGGGGTTTCAAAGTGGCCCATTCACAACGCTAAGGCAGCCGCATAATGGCGATCTGCAGCGAACCAATGCATGTTGGCGAATAATTTTCAAGTCGGAAACACTGCTTCTGGAAGGCCATGATGATCATGTAACACCAGTGCCATCCTGGTGTTGATGCTCACACTTGAGGAAAGCTCCCAGACCCCTTTTGTCGCAGCTCTAATATATAAAACGAAGGGCAAGCAGCTCGATTGATCTCTCTTTGTTTCTTCATCGAGAAATTCCAGCCTGGCATTTGACTCTTTGACAATGCGTTTTTCTAACTTTATCCTCGCACTAAGTGCAGCAGCATCTTCTGCTGCTGCCAACATATTCTCCTATCGAAGCCAGCACCCACGTGCAAGGTCATTCAAGAGAGACATCTCTGTGAAGTCTGACGATGCTTGGGATCATGTCGTCAAGGGGTCCGACCTTGCTGTGTCCGAAGAGTCAGCAACAGTCTCATCTGTTGACAAATCGAGTTTCCATATTTCTAATTTCAAGCTCCGTGCCAAGAAGCTTGATCCATCAAAGCTTGGGATCGACACCGTGAAGCAATACAGCGGCTATTTGGACAACAATGAACAAGACAAGCACCTTTTCTACTGTAAGAAGCCTTCGTTATCTGCCCTGATATTGCCACTACGTTGCTCATTTGCATACCAGGGTTTTTCGAGTCAAGAAATGACCCTGCCAGTGATCCCGTGATTCTCTGGCTCAACGGCGGTCCAGGGTGCTCTTCTCTCGTCGGCCTATTCCAGGAGCTTGGTCCGGCCAAGATCCTACCAGACCAAACAATTCAGTCAAACCCTCACTCCTGGAACAACAATGCGTCTGTCATCTTTATCGACCAACCCGTCAACGTTGGGTTTTCCTACAGTAAAACAAACGACACTGGAAGTACTGTAGCTGCTAGTGACGATATGTATGCTCTTTTGACTCTATTTTTCCACGAGTTTCCCGAATACGCCAAGCAGGACTTCCACATCGCTGGCGAGTCATACGCCGGCCATTACATTCCCGGTATCGGTTCTAGGATTCTCTCTGAAACGAACCGCAACATCAATTTAAAGAGCCTATTGATCGGCAATGGTCTGACGGATCCCCTCACCCAGTATGCATACTACCGCCCAATGGCTTGTGGGGACGGTGGCTACCCCTCTGTTCTTGACTCTCAAACCTGCGACAAAATGGATAGTGACCTCCCCGCGTGCCAGGATTACATCAAGAAGTGTTATGACGGAGATGTCGAATCATGCCAGGATGGTTTTAGCTATTGCAACAGTCGACTCATCGACCCCTATAGCTCCGCTGGTAACAACGTCTATGATATCCGAAAGGGTTCATCAGACGTGCCCACCGGTGCCGACAAGTGGCTCAACTCTCAGGAGGTGATGGAAGCACTCGGTGTGGAGGTTGAGGGCTATACCCAGTGCAGCAACGAGGTCTACTCTCTGTTCGAGCAGTCTGGAGATTGGATGATGCCAATCTACCGCCGCATCCCAGATATTGTTGCCAAGATTCCCGTACTCATCTACGCGGGTGACGCTGACTTTATCTGCAACTGGCTTGGCAACTTTGCTTGGGTCAAGGGGTTGGATTGGGCAGGAAAAGAAGCGTTCAACAGCGCCAAGGTTGAGGCGCTAAGCGCTGCAAACGGTTCGCAGTATGGCGAAATAACGACTGCACAGAATCTGGCTTTTATTAAGGTTTTCAAGGCCGGCCATATGACCCCGACTGCTCAGCCTGTGGGTTCCTTGGATATGGTTAACCGCTGGGTGCGTGGCGAGTGGTGGAATAAGAACTAGATATTGCGTTTTATCTCCATTGCAACTCCGAGAACATGAGTACAACAATTTAGATTCTGAGTTATTCATAAAGTGGCCACCATGTGCTTGTAAAGACTGTTTGACTCAACGCTACCTAAACATTGGCAAATATGGATTATCTGAAGTATGGATACAAGGATATGAAGTGAGTGTCTGTGCTTTTGATGGTTAGGGTTAGGTCGAACTCTCAGGCAAGAAATTCAAGCAGGGTGAACAATATCAAAAGTCTAAGAACATCCTTCCTTTAAGAATGGAAAGAGACAAGCCTCGCGGCATACTTGTTGATCTAAGCTCAGGGTAATTAATCATATTAGTATATCGAAAAGATTCAAAATTGTGACGAGTAGGTGGAGAGGCTTTAAATCAAAAGGAGAGGGTACTAGAACAACATAAATAGCTCTTAAACAAATTAGTGTCGCAAGTTTGGTGAAGCCCGTATCCATACATAATTCGGTTGAGGGCGTCGGATCCCCTTCACCAAGGTCTACTCCGAGACATGCGTGTTTTACCACATCGATTTCACTCATACTTGACCGCAAAACAATGTATATGGCATATTCGAATGCAGTAACATGAGGGAAGATGAAATAAAAGATACATGTCGATGGCCTTATGCATAGTTAGCAATAGAGTGTACAAAAAGCAGCTTATGGAACAGTTTAATTTGTATTTTCTCCATATCAATAATCGTTACCGTATTGTCAACACCAAATGTCGTTGTCATATATTCTATGGATAAGCATAGGCCGAGGGTAGACGGTTTACGCTAAATTTCCAGTCACCTTTCCTTCAATTTCTCCTGTGAAGGGTAGCATGGCGGCAAGAGCTCACGATTCGTCCAGACTTTAATGAACTCATGTTGCCGATCGGTGGAGTATGTAACGTTTCGCACCAACCGGACGAAATAAAGGGCCTGGTAACCATGTTCCGGACGACTAGTCTGCAATGCGGCTAGCAATATGCAGTACCTGTCGATCCGGGCAGACACGCAATCATTCATGCGCTGTGGGTAACTGAATCATGTCTCAGTTCTGAAGACGGCACGGTCGATTTCTTGGGACAAAAAGCCCTCCATTTCTATACGTATCCATCACAGGCATGAATCAACTCTACGAAAGTTCCAAGTCGAACTAATGGCATAATGGAGAGGAACTAGCAGGATAATATATTCAAGTCTACGTGGACGCCTTGTGGATAGGGCAGATGTCACCTTCTCTATCAATGCAACTTTTGCAATATTTCAAACACTAGTCAGATGATGTGCGTTGTTCAGTGGACTTTTCCCTCAATTTATGTGATACTGGTCTTGTCATGACGCGTCGGAGTCTTATACGGACCTTCCACTTTCAGCACCAGGCAGATAAGTCGATTTGTACGTAGTGGGAACAGCATCCTTGATCCTTGCCGCTGCCAAGAGAAGTAGAAGAATCTCCAGGGAAAACAGCTTATTTGCAATCCGGCATTTGCTGGGCACCTGCATGTTACGTTACCCCTGCTGCCAGGCACACTTCCACTCGCGGAAAGTGGGAGTTCTCCTTCGGCGTCTAAGTGATCAACGAAAAGCAAAGATTTGCGAGGATTGCAAGGTCTGTCACAAGACTAGCACATGTGTAAATGCACGGGAACTGGAAGATACCCCAGATAGGGTTTGATCTGACTGTTCCCTTACCCAACTGCTCCATACTGACATGTTACATGTAGTGTGCCGGCGCTCCCCTGCATGAAGTTGTGGCAACCTGTCAGCATTCAATTGGAATGAAGCTCTTGAAGAAGTGGACTTGCCTGACACCGCGCCGAATCAATAATTAATCAATTCAATATGCACAAGCCGAAGGCAAGGATATGCTGGCCGCCGCCACTTACTCCAACTGCGTTTCAGCGATACTTGCATGTTGCGCCGAAATTTGGAGCTCTTGGCTCGTCTGATGTGCTAGATTCCTAACGCTGCAAGTGGATTGTCATTGAAAGGTGAAACATAAGACGCCGAGTACTGTGCGGCTTCTCCAGATTCACGCGGGTACTTCAAAGCAGCATTGTTCTCAAAGACGAAACACGTTCCCACCTCGGCTTAGGCCTCGTTGAGCCGCTTCAGCTCGGGTGGTTACAGTAACCTTACAAAAGGCGATGTTGTAGATACATGAAGTTCGGTAAAGTGGAACAGCTGGGCGGCAACAGGGTTTGTGGTCGTTTCAGCAACGGAGATCTAGCCCAGATGAAGAAACTCAACTGGGTTGGCAGATGCAGTGTCAGGACATGCAATGCAATATGATGGCGGTAGTGTGTGGTAACCGTGGATATCCTTGTGTTGATTGGTCGGGACGATTGCTCATACTACCGCAGGTCTCCATCTTCCTCGAGTCAAGTGTTCGGACTACGTGGAGAGAGAGATTCCATATGGTATTTCACTTTCACCTGGTGGTGCGGCAAAAGGTATAAGTATCGACAGGAATCTCCCATCTAGCTAGGAATCCTTCTTCTTCAGCCATCAACCAACAAACAGTCTTTCCTTCGAAAAGTAGTCTCTCCTTCAACTGAATCTGGCCATTCAAACTCGATTATCTTACCATTTGTTGCAAGTCGACAATTCTTGTATACCCCAGACCTTTACTTGTTTGATTAGCTTTGCCGGACCTCAGCTTTTCAACCCATCAATATGAAGTTCACAGTCGCTGCCTCTGTCATCGGCCTCCTGGCCGCTGGTACCAACGCTCATATGGAGATGAGCAACCCTCCTCCTTTTCGCTCTAAGAGCAATCCCTATTCCACCAACATCGATTACTCTATGACCAACCCTCTCGATCAGGACGGCGGCAACTTTCCTTGCAAGGGCTACCACTCGCTTATCGACACCGCCCAGGGTGCTTCTGTTGCCACCTGGACTCCTGGTCAGGACTACAGCATCTCGGTATCCGGCTCAGCCACTCACAATGGCGGTAGCTGCCAGCTCTCACTCTCTTACGACAAGGGCAGCAGCTGGACTGTCATTCACTCATTCATTGGCGCCTGCCCTCTCAAAGAGAAGTGGGACTTCACCCTTCCCAGCGATGCCCCTTCTGGCAGTGCCATCTTTGCCTGGTCCTGGTGGAATAACCTTGGTAACCGCGAGATGTACATGAACTGCGCCCATGTTACCATTGGCGCCAACACTAGTTCTGCTTCCACCAAGCAGGCTGACGCCGGCTTCTCTAGCCGCCCCGCCATGTTCGTTGCCAACGTCGGGAATGGATGTAAAACTGTTGAGACCTACGACGTCGAATTCCCCAATCCCGGCCCCGATGTTACCCGCAGCAATGCAGCTAAGCCTAAAGCCCCTACGGGAAGCTGCGGTGGGAGCAGCAAGAAGGTCGCCAGGTCTTTCTCTGCCTAAGCTGTTGATGAGCTCGATCATGTTGAACATGCTAAACTACATTGGTTCTAACCATAGTCTGGCTGGACCACGCACATTTAAGCTGGCTACACATCATCCAGCTGGTCAGGTTTTGTTTATATTGCTTTATATTCTGTACATAAGTCATTCGTTATGATAGATGAACATAGTCACGTATGAGACCATTTCGGTCGGCTCTCAAGTATCGCGAAGATAGGGCAATACAATTATTGCCACTTTGGTTGAAATTGAAAACCTCCTATCGCCTTCTATGTGCAAAATCTTCAAGTGGTTCTCGTGTATCAGGTGCCGGCAGGTCCCTTCTCCCGTAGGATCGTCGGCATTCAGCAATCCTAGTCACCCCGGGTATCGTATCACTGAGGAAGGTGAGTGAATCCTTTGAGCCTAATTGTACACAACCCAAGCTACCTGCCTTTTTGTTTTAAACAAACAAAGGGGCCCCTCGTGCGGAGAGTCATGACCGAACACAGCCTTTGTCCGCTTTAATTTCAGCCGCGGCTAGCTGTCTGGTACCAGGGCTTCATTGTCAGTTGGTCATGAGCGAGCTACAGCGTCTCACGACTGTTTCCGCATCTTCTTTCGCCCACCTGTCCTGACTCGAACAAAGAGTCGAAGGCTTAGCCTCGCGCAAGCGAGACTGTCAAATTGATGCATCTTGAACTCAATACATTTAAGAAGTGATAACACCATACCATCTCAACAGTCTTGTTCGTATAAGTGTACTTAGCCAGCTACAGATAGTTCAAGCAGAAGCTATTCTTCGCCGAGAAAACTCTGGACCGTGTGTTTCACACCCATTATTATCATTTCATTCTTCAAAAAGCCCCTACGCATCAGGTCAAAAGTGCCGACATTTGGCCGTTCGAATTCCGGGTCAAAGTAACATTTCTGAATTCCGATGCCATGTTCGACCTCGGGGGGTGTTTCCAGAAACGGGTTTTCACCGTCGCCATACAGAAACTCGTTGACCTCATCATCAACCCAGACGGCGTATCCATCTCCTCGGAATACTCCATCCTCTTGCCAGCCCATAGAGACCTTGGGCCTGTCAGCTGGGTCCCGTCCACGCCAGTTCAGGTTGTCACGCAAATGACAGAGTAGCTCCCGGTGCGAGCCATGGTCGTCTTGGAACTTGAGGAAGCTGAGCTCAACGGACCTCAGCGTATCTGGAAGCAAGGTTAACAAGCCCACCAAGTCATCCATTCGTACGCTAAAACCTGAAAGACCCCAGTGACGGAGCTTCGGCCAGCGCTCGACAGGAAAGATGTTCAGTAATGGGATGAACGGCTGCTCCTCGCCATGATCAATCCAATCATCAAACTCTAGATCGTACGTCATGTTGGTTCTCAGACTGATGTGCTCTAAATCCGATGCCTGGCTGAGCGCACCGTGTAGCTGGTGGTTACGAAAGGCGGGAAACCCAAGCTCTGTCTGCCCGCCGAGAATCAGGGCAAGGTCAAGGCGCCGAAAGCCTGGCTTGAGCAACACCGTGACGAAATCTTCCTGTTCTGGACATGGTTGGTCAAACATATGGGCGTTTAGGCCCGTATTTAGTAGACCAACGTCAACCACAAAGTCTGTGATGTGGTGGTCCACCCGCGCCAGGGTCCAAAGGATGATACGGTAGCCTCTCCATCTGTTCTTCTCCCGTTCATCTCTCTCTTCTGACGACCATTGTGTTATTCTGAGCCTACTACCTGGTTCACTACATGGCCAGCCACGAGGGATGGGATAGTTAAACCCGTACGGGAGAGCACGAATCATAGGAGTTTGATAGAGAGGGTTGAACTCCAGCCCATGAGCGGCGGGTGTAAGAGTAATTCTCGTAAGCGACGTAAAGCGCTCGAGACCATACTGGAGCGCCAAAGCATCATCCGAGGTCTTCATGATCTCTTGCTGCTGCCTAAAAAGCTCTTTGTAGTGATTCCACATATCCTTGACTGGGGGCTGCGCGGCAATCCAATTTGCCCGTGCAGCGCGGTTTGGGGTCTCTAGTTCGTCTTTTGGGAGAGCGTCTTTACTGTTTCTGTCACAGATGTCCTGATACCATTGTTCCCAGAAGGGTTCGATGTGATGAGCCCTGTGCCGGCATTGGTACGCAAGCGGTGGTTCCGGAGGAGGATCCAGGCGGGCGTCGTCCCAGACCAGCTCGACCACCTTTTGTCTGTAGACTTCATGGTCTGCGATGGCCCTGAAAGCCTCGATGTTACGTGGGTTCGCCGAGAGAAAGACGCGATCAATCTGCAACATCACGCGTCGGCCGAAACCCGTGCATGTGAGACGGAGGCTCTTGCGGTCGCGGTTGCTCAAATGCGACGCAACTGAATCGAGAATCTCCGCAGGGAGTCCGAGAAGCAACGAAGGTAGACCATTTGAGCACATTCTTTCTCTCTTTCTTCCCAGAGACACCACCAGCATAAGCAGGTAGGGCCTGGTGCTTTGGTGAGGATGAAGAGAACGAATGCGTTCATTTGCAGCCGGTAATACGCCAGAGGTGACAAATCCCGGCCAGCCTAAAGCAAGGACCAAAAATATCGCGTTCTCTGATTGGTGCTGCCTTTAGCCATTTCAATTTTGACCAGGAAATGTACACAGCGAAGCGCAACCACCAGCAAGATCCAGAAAGATTCAGTCTGGTCTGAAGACTCCTCAGGACAAGACTTTTACTTCCATCCTCATATAGCGTTGTTCTTTCAGGGGAACAAATATCTCCGACCATGAGCAAGACCTTGGCCCAATTTACCGCATCCTCACTTTTTCCTTTTGGTATCGGGTTGGGGATAACAAGAGATTTGCAATTTGAAAATGCAAGCTGCCAACCACATCAAAGTTCCAACAACATTCCACAACAACTATGAAAATGAGATTTTAATCTGTGTGTGTAATCTTATTTCATCAATCGAATAGTTCATGCATTCGGCCAGCCAATCAACCTCGGTCTCAAAATCACGAAAAGACACATCTGTAAAGAACGGGAGTCTCAAGGAAGTGAAAAGGTTGTTTTTCTGAAGATAGTGAGACCAGCTGACGTATCAATCCTGCCGAATCTGACAGCCAGTATACTAGATCTTTTATTGTTGTTTCGTCTTTTCTTTCCGACCCCATATTATCGTCATTAGTTCATTCCTCATTTTGTTTTATTTGACTTTTTAATCTTTGTCTCATCTTCTTCATAAAGACTTCTGATGCACTGCGTAACACGGAAATTCACTTGATCGCAGGCATTCTAAATAATAGACATAGGACACCTTGAAATTACCTATATTAGGATAGTATTGTCATTGTCTCCTAGCTATCTTGAGCCAAAAGGAAAGTCCTGATATCACAACAAATTTCATATGTCTGTTATTCTCTTCTTTGTTAAGAAACAATAGCTGGTTTTCAACAATGGCCTCAAGCATTTTGATCGATGTTACTTGTTTCAACCCTTAGGAGCTAGTTTTGGCCATGAGTTGCCGAAATTGAACAAAGAAAAAATGTTTGTGAGGAATAACTACGTTGTGCGACCAGTCCATAACTATATATTTCCCAATCTAAGTCCTTCTCCTGATTTTTCTTTTGGTCTTCACTCTGATCATTGTCTTCGAAAATCCAGAATTTGGAGCATAAAGAAGCGAAACAGCGAACGAAAATTAAGGAAGACTTAGTTCACAAGAATTACCTCACATTCAACGCGCCCCAATGGTGGATCCTCAATCATCGAGAGCTGGTCCAACCGAGCGAGAGTCAGACGAAGAGTCTGTCGAAGAGACTCCACCCCCTTCACCTATGCCGCCAAAGCGTGAAGAGGAATCGACGCTGGTTCAACAATGCCCTGAGTCGGCTCTTGCCACCGAGCCAGAAGACAATGCGGCCTTGAAACTGCTAGAATCATATGGGGCACTTCGAACTCCAGCTTTCGATGTAGTGACAGGTCGTATGTCTCAGGAACATTTTAAACATCCTTATCCGCCGGCTATTCCCACCCTCAGTAGGCATCCGCAACTCATACCTCCTTCTACGAACCCCCTCGCTTCGCCCTCGTTTCGTTGGGTACCGCACAGCCCAGGCATCGAAGCGACAAGACTATCCCGGCCTTGGGATAGGCAACCGCCACCAGTGAGCGGCCCGCCAGCGCAGCCTGAACCGGCGCAGACAAAAGACAAGTGGTATAACGAGGTCAAGTACCTCAATACCAAGGAGTTCTCGCAGACTGAGGCAACGAAACACCATTCGTCATTGCCAGTTCTTGGTCTCACATATCCGGTTTTCTTGGGGTCCCCTACGGATCCAAAGGCGACTATGACTTGGTTGCCACGCGACCTGAGCCCTCCTGCCCCGCCCGCGCATCTGCCATGTTATACGCCAAGCTGTTCTTCGCGTGGTGTACCGTCAACCATTGCTGGGAGCAGCCGTCCGGCCTGGTCAGTATCCAGCGGTCCGGCCCTGCCAAATCTGCATACCAAAGGCCATCGGCAGGAGCCGTATGAGCTTTGGAGAAGGCCTGGGAGAGCACCGCGTGCACCCAGGTCACCATACGAGCCACAACCCCGTGTGAAAGAGACGGCACAGGAGACAGCAGCTTCGGCCGCTGAACCTGAAGCTGGTCCAGAACCAGCTGGACCCAGTCTACGCGATGAGCTGCCACATCTTGTGAAAGAGGCGGCAGCACACAGTGGTCCAGCTGTCTCCGCGCCAAAAATGCGGTGCAAGCCCTCCATGTCGAAGGGCCATTTGAAGGGCCATCGGCAGGAGCCGTATGCGTCGTCGAAAAAGCCTAGGGCAAGGCGAGCACCATCTGGACCCGAAATTCACGATGACTTCCCACATCGTGCTGAAGGGGAGGCAAGAGACGCAACAACTTCTGTCGATGAGACTGGCGATGCTCTGCCTATTCGGGAGAGGAAGCCAGGGGTAGACAAAGGCAAAGCGACATCAAGGCCCGAGACAAACCGCCTGCCCATTTGATAACCGCTGTCAAGAGAAGCAAGAGCCGGGGGCAAACTCACGATTTAATGAAGGCATGTCAAGAGCCATGGGGTGGTACAGGTAGTACCGTGTATTTTGGGGTATTCGAATGGAGTTTGGATAATTTGGATGATTTAATGTGTTTAATGTGTCTTTTTTCTTTTGTTTTTGCTTTCACTTTTGCTAGCGTGCTCAATATATCCCATCTTTTCTTGTTGTTTCAAAAGCTATTCAAAGTCCTTCAGGGACAGTTTGACGAAGTACTAATCTAGTAACAACACAGGCCCCAGATAACTCTAATCCAAGTGGTGGTTCTTTCGGTCTCAATTTATTGCCTCCAAACAAGCGCAGAGGCGTTATCCAGCTAACAGAAAGTAAAGAAGTACCAAGAATGTGGCCTCCAGCTACGAATGGGTCAGTGTCGGCTGCTGATGAAACGTAGACATGTGAAGATGCGGCATATTCATGCCAGACAACGAGCGAGCTGGAAAAGTGAGAAGGTGAGGGGTAAGTGATTGAGCCGTCCGGCATTACAGCATGCAGAGCAGACTGGATTCAATTTGCCTCGCTGCTTGTCCGGCGAAAGCAAAGTATCGCGTAGACAGTCGCCCCTTGCATCCGATGCAGTTGAGATTTCTACCCGCAACTCGGGATCTTTGTAAGGATTTGAAGTCTTCGGCTAACAGGAGGGAAGTCCTACACGGTCCAGGATGTGACTGCTCTCTTGAACGTATACGTTTGAGTGATGGGGGAGTCATCCACGGTACTGTCTATTGCAAAGGGTAGCACCAAGAAAGCCAGAAGAGTGCGAGTAATCGTGACCACGTTTATCCGTCTATGGTATTCTAAAAATTATCAACATTGAATGCAGGAATCGCTAAGCTATGCCAATGAAGGGAATCAGTCGCACAAAAATCAGCTCATGGGTGGACCGCCCAAGCCTCTGTCCAGACCTCACGTCTTGCCCTAAAACACCAAACCGAAACAAACCAGGTGCCCTCCCACCTTTCCCAAGTTCCAGACTAATGATACCCGAACCATGTGCCCCTCTATTTTCTTACAGAGTCGCCAATCTCCACTGGGGCGGTATTGCCGGGCAGCTCACTCGGGACTGTGGACTGCAACTCGCTTGGGGCTGACGACTGCGCGTATGTCCACTGCGGTGGATACGGCTGGGGCGGAAGATATGGCTGGGGATTCTCTGTCGAGCCGGTCGGGGGAGGCACGTATGAATAATGCTTCAGATGGTCTCCCATGGGTGAGCCGTAGGACGACGGAGCCTGTGACTGCTGCTCTCCGTACGCAGGTTGGTATTGTGCGTGCTGTCCTCCAGGCGAAGGTTGGTACTGCGTCGTCTCGCCCGGCGCCTCAGGTCCCTGGTTGGCATTCCTCCGTTTCTTGAGGAGCAAGACGACCCAGATCAGCAGTCCGATGATGGCGAGACCGGCGAGGCCACCGATGATAGGGCCGGCAATCCAAGCAAGATTCTGGCCACCTCCGCTGCTGTTGCCGCTATCCGCGCCGTCGGTGGGAATCTCGGTCATCGATGTTGTAGCATCTGCGGTAGTCGAAGGGAGAGTGCTCGATGATTTGGTTGATGATGATGTTGTGGAAGCTTTTCCCGTGGTTGTCGCCCGGAACATGGGAGATCGACGAGCGGACTGCGGGGGGAAGCAGAGGTAGTAGCTGAGGGTGGTTTGCTGGTCGAGGTTGTCGAAGACGCTGTAGTAGGAGCAGGTCATGGTCGACGTGCTGCATTGCCCGCGTTAGACGGTGGCCAGTCTACTGACTCTCGAACAAGCCGGGACTCACCAAGTTCCACTGGCGCCATTGGCAAACTTCATGACGGACGAATTGACGCATGCCGTTGGGATCGGGCTTCCGTTTTGCGTGACGCAGCCACCGACATTCTCGCTTTGAGTCCAGTATCCCACGCCGCAGCTTGATGCGCTATCTGTTCAAGGGGAACCATGGTCAGCGCATCCCCTGATTCGAATGTTCGTCTGTTGAGTGTTGTTTTACATACAAGTTCCATTCTTTGTTATGTACCCGATGAAAGCCGGGCTGGCGTTATCAGCTCTCAGCTCCACGGAGGCGAGCTCTGGTGGTGCCGTGATGGTGGGCTCAGGCAGTGCCATGACGGCCGAGGCGAGGCCCAGAGTGAGGACCTGGAAGATGGCCTTCATGGTGAAGATGATTCAAGGCAATCAATAACCACGATGGGTCGACCGCCCTACCTCTGGGGGGTGATGAAACGATCAATCGAGAAAAATCAGTTTGAAGACAAAATCCGCGGTCTAGGAAAGGTGAGCGGGCACCGAGATTTTGTTCAACCTGGAGATTAGCCAAGCCTTGCAGTTCCACAGATGCCAGAATACTGGGACCTTCAGTACGTAGCATGTACATCAAGCCTACGCCTCATCACTCAGGTCCTACTTTATTTAGTGGCCAGAAATGGCCATAGAACATCGGTGAAAGGAGCTAGAAGGCTAGTGTTTGTATTTGCAACTCAACACATGGTTCGTCTAGATCATTTTCTGTGACCGCGAGGCTCGACTTGACGTTTACACTAACATTTCGAAGTGTGCTTTTTTGTCTTTCTTGTGTATCTTTATCCAATACCCCTGTTCTTTGTAGCCTCTGTCGATTATACTTCGGGAGTGACAGTGATCCTTGGTATCCGGAGGAACCTAAGATCAGAAAACTACCCGCTGATCCTTGTTTCAAAGCGCTAATTAATCTAACTCGCTATGGCCTGGTCTGGCAGTGCTCTGCGTGGCAATGTCTTATAATAGCTCACTAGAGGGCATCATCCCTGTCGATGTAAGCACTTGAGCCCGCCCAGCCACCATCTGTGTCCATCAAAAAGTGTCACAAGAGGCAGGACGCATTGCTGATTGCTGCATTTCCTTCATGCTCCACGCCATTGCTGGGTCAGGTAAGCTTTGGCCCCCAAGTGTGCGCCATTTCATCATCATTGTACTTGGACGGCCCCAGCGTCTCATTGGCCTGCTTTTAATAATCACCCAGGACTCTAGTCCAAGCCTCAGAGTGGCATCATGACCATTGCTGTAGGTCATCAAGGGCATTTGCGGCTTTATGTCAGATTTGCCGATCCTTGAATCAGTTAGTTTGTGTTTGCGACTGAATGACTTCAGCCCTACCCTCCAAGACAACCCGGGCTGCTAAAGCTCGACGGTCAATTAGAATTAATACCGTTCTGGCCAGACAATAATAATGCAGTATTCATCACTCAGCCTATCGAGGAAGGTAGTTTAAAGGAACCCTATTTCGTCCTTCCTTTTTCCTTTTGCCGAGTAGCAAAAGTCCATTTCATCATCATCCTTGCCCGAGTTGTGCGCGAACGGACACCGATTACCCTATACCCTCTGACAGAAAAATCGTTCAGCATCACTGCATGTAGATTAACTGCACTCCTCTCAAGCTTTGACTTTATCAAACACCTTTTCTAGTCGAGCGTGTGGTGAGATCCCTAATCGCTAAAGTCTCTTGTTTGGATCTCTTGTGATCCATCCAAGGAGTGCTAAATTTGAGGCTCGCTGCAAGCACCTAATTTCAGTCATCACGTTTGCTTTTGCATTCAAAAACTTCGGCGCATATGTGTAGATATTAGATTGATTTAGAAAGTTAGGACCTAGAGTTACTTTGTGTGAACGGAGATGCCTCTTTTTTAATAATCACAGCCATTCTATTGAAATGAAGGTTTCGATCCGTCAGCATCATCCAAATCAATACCATACCAAGATGATTCTCCGAGCAATATTACTACATTCAGCCTCGGTATCATCGCAGACATATTTTTGAATAGGGCGCTGCTTTGTCTAGAACCTTCGCGGATAATGATAGGCTCTATGAAAGCAAATAATTCTCAACAAAGGTGTTAGCGTTGCTTCTTAGACATTTGCTATTATGGCATAGGAGGGCCGTCTCAATTGTTCAAGTTCAAGTAATTTCTTTTTTGCAGCCCCCCTCAAATGACCGCGGAATTTATCCCAGAGAACAGACGCCTATTAGTTTATGAATGAGCGATATTACATGCATGGTTGCTATCGAACATATATTTGAGAACGGATAGTTTTACTTCGCAGATCGGACAATTACTTGAAACAAACCCATTTCTCGAGGAACTCAGGTTGAACAAAAGTTAATATTTTGACTTCATATTACTAGCTACATTTTCATTTCTTCATCAGGTGTTTGTTGACGGGGGTAAGGGGCTCCTGGCCAGAGAGCACAGCCAGCACGTTTTGCATTGACAAGGCCTCAAATCCACTCTTCGTCTCAAACGCACCGCCAGCAGTGTGTGCCGTCACCGTGACATTTCGGTTGTTGATTAACCTCTTGTTCACGTTCGGCTCGTTCTCATGAACGTCCAGTCCGGCGCTGTAGACGTGACCGCTCTCCAGCGCGTCGGCAAGGGCTTCCTCGTCGATTAAACCGCCCCGGGCGATATTCACCACTCGCGAACCCTTTTTCAGTTTCGAGATGCGAGAAGCGTCGAGAAGCTGCTGCCCTCCTGGTGTGGCCAAAACAACGCAATCTGCCTCTGCGAGCATGTCGTCGAGCTCAGGGATACGACGTGCTCCACCAATGGCGGCCTCTTGCTCAGCACTCTTAGGGAAGAGATCGTAGTAAATGATCTTCATGTCAAAGCAGCGGTATGCCTTGGTAGCAATACGGTAACCAATATTTCCCAGGCCTACGACGCCAAGGATATGGTTCTGGGGGTTGTGAGCACCCACAGGGGCGTTCTGATGAGCGTCGAGGAACTCGTCTTTGTTTCCACTGCGGGCAGCAACATTGCTCCACTGGATATTTCTGAACACTGAAAGAATATGATAGATGGCCATATCAGCAACGGCTTCAGAACTTGCTGATGCACCGTTGCAGTAGAGGATACCGGCTTCCGTGAGCAGAGGGATGTCGGCCCAATCATAGCCAGCACCGGCAGAAGTGAAAACCTTCAAAGACTCGGGAAGTAACGGGATCATCTCGGCATCCCAGCGACCCATTTCAAGACCCGAGTTCCAGAAAGGACGGAAAACAGCCTGGAAGTCTCCCCATTTTCTGTCTCGTAGAGCCTGTAGCCAGGCATCGCGTTGTCTCTCCTCAAGTGACGGCTGGATGATAGTGAAGGCTTTCTGCAACTCCTTGTAGATGTCTGGGTTGAACTCGATGTCATCTCCAAGATGGAGGATGACGGGTTTCTCTGTAGCAGACGACATGGTGTTGGCGGGTATTGGTTGAACTAGCGGATCAGGGATGGGATGACCAGGGCAATTGATAAGATGGATTCAGTCCAAGCACGAGCAGATAAATCAATCTTGGAACAGTTGATGTCGGCTGACCCCGGACAGAGGATGGCACGAGGCGGGGTTGCCTGCAAAGTCAGTTTGGCTCCTGACTCAGAAGGTCTCCGCAACTCGCGATATTGGCGACTGCGACTTGAACTCAAACCATTCTCTCCACACTAGAGTCGACCACGAGGCACAAGCACGCGTCAATTAAACAACGGCCCAGCAGTCGCCTGTCGCGTCGCTTGCGCTATACTAGAAAAGGGCGCAGGTCCCCGGCAGGTCTCGCTTCGTGGTGGAGGAGGTGGATATTTGGTGGAGAAATGAATCAGCTGTTTCTCCTAGCATCGGCATTGAGCCTCCATGGGATCCTCTGGGTGTCTCCAAATGGAAGGGATGTCTCCGATTGGAACAAGTGATTCAGTCGTCTAGAAAATAAAGACTAGTACCTTACTAGTCTCTGACCTGTTGAGGGAGTGTTTTGTGTTTGAGGTTCTCGTTCATCTTTGGTAATTATCTGCCGTTGAGGACCTTATAGTGACTCAAATCAAACAGACATACTCGTTCAGTTGATTCCTCATTCTGAAATTTCATCAATTCATCTGTAACCATGACTTCTGTCACTGCTTCAAAGCCCTACCCCCCGGGCATCCATGTCCCCAGTTTGACATGGTTCCAAGGCACGAAGGAGCAAGAAATCGACTGGGATGTCCAGTCAAAACACTTGGAGTTTCTTGTCAAGTCTGGCCTTCATGGAAGTAAGTGAATATTAGGGTAGTAGACCATATCAATTGCCGTTTGCTGACTCAAGATTCTCAGTCGTTCTGGCTGGTACCAATGGAGAGGCCGTCACTCTGAGCCACAGCGAAAAGAGCGAGCTCGTGCGCCGCACGCGTGAGATGGCCATCAAGGCTGGTCGTCCTGACCTAACCATCACTCTTGGCTGCGGAGGCCAATGCACACGCGACGTCATTGCCGAAACTCGACTCGCCAAGGATGCAGGTGCTGACTATGTGCTTGTGCTGACCCCAAGTTACTTCCACTTCGCCATGAACCAGGATGCGATTGTGTCCTTCTTCCAAGAGGTGTGTATCCCGGATCACTTCCACCATCTGGGCCAGTCTGAAATATACTGACGCTTAATACCAGCTTGCTGATGCCAGCCCCCTACCCATCGTCATCTACAACTTCCCCGGTGTTGTTGCGGGACTTGACCTGAATTCGGAGATGTTGGAGACTCTTGGCAAGCACCCCAACATCGTTGGAGTCAAGCTCACATGTGGTGGTATTGCCAAGGTAGCCCGTGTCCGCGCTGCATTCGAACCAGAGCAGTTCAGCGCCCTGGCTGGACAGAGTGACTGGCTCACTCCTGCCCTTGCCGTGGGAGGTACGGGTGTCATTACCGGCATTGCCAACCTCTTCCCCAAGGTAATTAACGTCTGATCTACTCCGGCACACTGGAACCAGCTAACACGTTTCTCTCTCCCCACTAGTACTGCATTGAGATCTACGACCTGTTCCTTGCTGGTAAGACCAAGGAGGCTGAAGCTGCCCAGCTCAAGCTGGCCAAGATGGAGTGGGGTTTTGCTAAAGGAGGTATCAACGGCACAAAGTGGGTGACGGCCAAGATCCTAGGATATCCTTTGGAGAGCTGCCACTGCCGACGACCTTATCCTCAATACGTTGATGCTGCCAAGCAAGACTGGATCCTAGCCACTTGCAGTATCCTGATCGAGGATGAGGCCCAGCTGAACGCAAGAAATTGAATAGACTAGAATAGCAAAAAGTTAGATTTCCATTAGAATGAATACATCAGATTCTCATCATATGACTTTTCTATTTTTAAAATATTATCTATGGGCTGTAATTTGCGAAACTTAGCAAGCCCGACTCAGCTGCGGAGGTTGGCTTGTCACTTACACCGTGGCCATGCTCAACCCCTGAGAATACTCCAAAACCAAGCCTTCGCCGTCCGATGACTCTTTGAGACATCCCAAGCCCCTTTGAACCCTATGCTTTCAAGGCTTCTGCCCCAGCAGTTGTGCCAGCATTCGCTTCGTGTTGCATCGGACAACTCGCCAACCTGGCTTAATATGGGCCTGAGTGATTAGGGCTAGCGCTGCCGATGAGAAGAATTCCACTCCATATTAATTAATATATCACTCAGCTGCTAATAGCCGTCGCGACAGCCAATGCAAATGCTGCAGAGAGCCCGCTGTCGGCTCGCAACTGACTCTTTGGGCGACCTTCGCCGAGGGCACTCTTCTCCATCGGACCATCAGCATCTTGTCCCTCCACACGCAGCACAGCACCAACCAGGCTGCGGGCACTGCGGGGAATTCTCCCATTTTCCTGCACAGGTGCCCCAGGTTCCCCAATTCCTGGAGTTCGTCGTCGGAGCCTGCATGAAGCAGTTTGCGCCACTCCCCACATGGTCAGTCAGCTGGCCGTTTCCCACGAGAAAGTAGCGGAGGTGGTCCTTCGCCTGTTTTGAAAATTTCTCCCCATTGGCAAGCCTCCCTGGATTGCCTGTAAACTAGGAGAATCCACCTGGGGAGTAAACGTGGTCGTCTTGGAGGTTTAAATCTTCCCCTCAGCCCCCAATTGTCACACTCCGGATTCTATCAAGCGACGAGTCACTCTGCTCGGGAAAGCCTCTTTGTTTACTGCTTATCTGCTTGATTACAATTAAGTTCGAAGACGATCAGAACGAATAGCAGACATGGCTCCGTCAGCCAAGGAAGAGGTTGTCGGATCCGCAACCCACGTCGGCGATGAGGAAATCGCCAAGCCCGTTCGCAATGAGTACCTTCTACCCAAACCAGAGAGCATTGCGAACATGAGTGACGAAGATCTGGGCACCCTCCGAAAGAAAATGGTTCGCAAGATGGATATGGTCATTATGTGAGTTGCTGAAGAGATGGCAGTTGTGATAGTCGATGCGGGATGACTGACAGTGCTGGCGGCAGGCCTATCATGGGGATTCTCTATATTCTCAACTACGTCGATAGATCCGCCCTTGCAGCAACTAAAGTCTACGGTATCATGGAGGACCTCAATATGACCACCGCCCAGTTTGCGACTGCCATTACCTTCCTTTTCAGTAAGACGACATCTTCAACTAAGCCCTGTTATCCTGAGTTCTAATTCGTGTCTCCAACAGTCGGTTACATCCCATTCCAGATTCCTTCCAACTTGATCATGACCAAAGTTACACGCCCCGGTCTCTGTAAGTCACATAATCCATCCCTCGGCTAAGCACGTTAAGGCTAATCTTCTTAGACATTTGCTCTGCTGCGACCGTTTGGGGAGCCGTCAGTGCCTCTACCGCCGCCGTCAAGACATACCACACCCTCCTTGTCGTCCGAGTATTCCTGGGTGTTACTGAGGCTGTCTTCTTCCCTGGTGTGATCTACTTCCTGAGTGCTTGGTATACTAAGCAGGAGCTCGGAAAGCGTCTTGCTGCTCTCTACGTTTTCCAGATGATTGGCAGTGCTTTCGGTGGTTTCATCGCTGCTGCTTGCTTGACACTGGATGGGCGACATGGTATTGCTGGATGGCGCTGGTTGTTTATTGTGTAAGTTATTGACCAGTACGGATCTCGGCCAAGTCCAAATGATCTCTAACAGTATATTTAGGGAAGGAGTGGTAACCATCGGTTGTGGCCTCATCTTCGCAATGATCATGCCCGAATATCCCCACAACGCCCGACTCCTTAAGCCCGTCGAGCGAGACTTCGCTGTGTGGCGACTCGAATGCGAGGCTGGCGCCGGTGAAGCCAACGAAGACACGACGGCTCTGGGTGGTCTCAAGGAAGCACTGCTGGATATCAAGATCTGGGCCCTCGTCTGGTGTATGTTCATGTCTCAGGCAATGGGATCTACAAACAACTTCTTCCCGTCTATTGTCGAGACCCTGGGATACAACAAGATGAACACCATGCTGCTCACAGCTCCTCCCTTCATCTTCGCCGCCATCATCTTCTGGGTTGTTTCTTACCTCAGCGACGTTTGTCTCCCAATCCCCCCCCCTGCTACGGTCTAGTTGGCTGACAACTTGATACAGCGCAAGAACATCATCTACCCCGTTTTCGTCGGCCTTCTATCCATGGCGTGCGTTGCTTATATTATTCCGCTGGCTACTACCAGCACTGCCGGTCGCTATGTTGCCATGATGCTCATGCCCGCATCCAGTACGTTGACAAGATATCGATTCTCGAAGATGCGCTCATTGAAACTAACTCGTGCTGCTTTAGCCGGACCCCAAATTCTCCTGTTCAAGACTCTCAACCTGCACATGGCCCGTCCTTATCCCAAGCGTGCGGCTGGTGTCGCCATGATCAATGCGCTTGGTGGCCTGGCCAACCTCTGGTCCAGTTATCTGTACTACAACCCTCCAGCGTACTACACTGCTTTCGGAACTGGTAGGTTGCAACTTGAATTTTGGAGATAAAATTGGTTCTATAAGTTACTGACGGTTTCTGTCCGTAGTCCTCGCTTGCACTGTTGTTTTCTTCATCACCATTACGATCTACCGCTGGAACGTGAGGAGGCTCAACAACCTCCTGGACGGTTCCCCAGAGGATCAGCGAAAGGCCATGAAGAGCGGAGTTACTCAGCAACAGGTCGATCTCGGATGGAGGTACATCGGTTTCTAACGTGGGCTCGAAAATAGCGAAATCGCCTGATTATGATGGGTTGTGTGTTTACACTCTGGCCTCTCAGCGGCGAGCTCGACGCATTGCATAACATTGAGCAGGGGAATTTCAGGGGTGTCATAATATTTGAAAGACCTCAGTTCAAATAATTATAAAAAGCGCTTTCTGGTTGAATAAATCCTGGATCATTAACGTCGTTGTTTTCTGCCTCCCATTATAGCGCCAACATCGTGATAGACAAAATATTTAATACAATTTACATTATCGCAAAACACGAGTCGAAAATATCATGCATCACGGAGCGTATATCAGCTCGAGTCTTCGACGCGTCCTGCCGATTCTGCACCTCATCCAGCACATGTGCCGTGATGCTGGCGTTGGTGGCGACCTTGGCCATGCGCAGAATCTGCTCCTTGATCCACGCCCTCTCCGAGAGATCCTCCTCCTCCGAGCCGAGCATCAGCAGCGGCCAGAGCTGGCTGACCGGGAGAGCGGCGTCGGGCTCGAGGGTATCGACGAGGAGCCTCGTAAGTATTCGAATCTTCTCCATTGCCTCTGCTGTCTCTTTTGACAGCGGTAGGTGCTTGAATGCCACGCGATGTAGATGAACCTTGCTGGCGTAGTAGTTCGACAGGTAGGTCCTGAATGCCCGCGTGATGGGTATCGCCAGGCTGGCTGAGATGTGCGGCGGTTTGAGATCTCCCTTAATGGCGAGGTCCATCAGCGTGGGCCGTTCGTCGTATAGCGTTCTCAGATCCTTCATTATCTGGGCGGCGATCCGCATGACCTCGACTTCGTCCTCCACGGTGCCGCGGGAGCGGTGCCAGGGGTCGATCATCGAGATGCGGCCCATGTAGCTTTGCACTTTCTGGAAGAATATGACCCCGGGGGAATATAGCACCTGGAAAAGAGAGTCCTCCACGTCCCACTCCTTGACTTCCTCTGCGACTCCCTCAGCGACGGTCTCTGTCTCCGAGGCAATGGCTGGCGAGGGATGGACGATCAAGAGTTCACTATTCGAGGACAGGAAGAGACCCTCCCCCCCGGCTGACACCGCCCTTGCATCGAGGAGTCTGATCCAGGAGAGAAGTCTTATCTCCACGGCTCCAAACTTTTGCTTTTCAACCTGCTGGAAAATCCCATAAGCGCGTTTGAGGTGGTCATGGGCATTGTTCATCCGATCCTCTAGGATATCAACGTAGCATAAGAAGAATAACGAGGCGAGGTAGACTTGGCGCCGCCGGGGTTCCGAGACGATGGATGACGGGTCCAGGGAAGCAACCTCGGCCAGGGCCGTCTCGTAGTAGTGCTGGGGGGAGCGCCCCCAGGGATTCTCCTGGCGCTGGAACATGAGGCTCGAGAAGGCAAGTATAGCGGACCGGACCATGGTGGAGTTGTTGGACATGGAGATGAGCATCTGGCGCATCGAGGACCATCGTCGCTCCGACTCAACCTCGGCCAGAATTGGCGGGACGATGGTCCCGATGAAGAAGTTGATAAGGTCGTGATCCTCCGTGTGTGCTGGACGTTCTGTGAGGGTGGCCAGCTGGTTTGACCCATTTGCGATAGTCCCCTGCTGCGGTATCAAAGATAGACTGCTTGATTGTCCCCCAGCTGGAGATCTCGGATTGGATGCAACCCCCCTACTGTTGACACCCGGCCACAGGTCCTACGATGTGTTAAGTAAGCAGTCGTGGTCAGATCAAATAGGGAGTCTCGCGTTGGTGATCAGGTAACCTACAATTGCGCGGTTCATCGACGCTGCATTGTGATGACTCGGCTCTGGATTGTCATACGGAACAGACTCCCCTGTCGGCTCCCACATGAAACTCGCGTAGTCGAAAAGCTGGTCGACAGCGCCTGGGTTCTGCAGCCACGGCTCATCCGAGATGTTGGTGGCATCGTCGGCAGGAGACCGGACCGGCAGACGCTGCGGCGGCTGTGGCAGCTGCTGTTGAGGCTGCGCTTGATGCTGATTCTGCGGCTGCTGAGCTGAAGGCGTGCCAGACGCAGAGCCGGCGGACGAGGCCTTCAAGACGTCCGGCTCCCCGACGACGAACCTCCACTGGGTCGGCGTGCTGTAGGGGGGTCGCCACTTGCATTGCAGATTGAGCCGCGTGCAGTGGGAGCAGCGCGGCCGCAGCTCGTCGCACCTCACCTTGCGCTTCCGGCACGTCAGGCAGCCGCTTTTGGAGCGTGCTGGCCGGGGATGCGCGTGTGGTGGGAGCTGCTGCTGCGACGGGGGTGCCGGTTGATCCATGGTGAAGGCTCTGCGACATCGAATTGATGGAAACGGCTATTGATGGCTCGTCTCTTTTTCTCCCCAGCACGCCCACATTGCCCCCAGCTGACCCTCCGGCCAGAAACTGTCACCTGGAGAATGGACATGGCCTTGCGTGGAGAAAAAGGGGTGGGGAAACGGGGTAGAAACGGACGAATCTCATCACGCCTGGGCCTGTTGCACGGTGATTTCCGACTCGCGAGTTTGAATTTTCTAGAAAATGAGCATTCCCTAGCCTTCATTCTTATCGCTCAAGGGAAATGAAGCGCAATGGGGTTGATGGGAAGAGAGTGTTCAATTGGGAGAGTCCTCACGATTAACAGACCAATCTCTCAACGAGAAATAAAACCGTCACCCTGGCTGTAGAGACCTGTGCCTGGAGCAGCCTTCTCAATCTCTGATTCAAGAGGCCAAGCCAAGGGAGTTGAGTACGTAATAACGAACCACTTCAAGTCTGGAAATCAAATCACGCGCTCTCTCTCACCAAACTCGTGAGCAGAGGCCCCTGGATATAATTGATCGCAATGCCAGTTTGCACTGGACCAAAATGAGCACGCTTTAATTCACAATTGATTTGGCACAACAGCAATCAAATGACACGAGTATGATATTCACCACGTCTATCTATATACCTTCTGTCATCTCACAATATAGTATAAATCCCAATATTCCCATTTTCCCATCATAAATCATACCCTATTCCCAGCAGGGGCCCAGAAAATCTCTATTTCCTCACAGAGTGTACACAAAGTCCGGGCGCAAGTCACCCTCGATCCAGCGCTGCTCCTCCGACAAGGCTGCCCACCTGGCGTCCATCTTGCCCGCCTTGCGGTTGGCGTTCATCCTGCGCAGGGCAAAGTGCATGAAGATGGTGCCGCCGAGCAGGCACACGACCTGGTAGCCGAGGACGACGCCGTGGCCGGTCCAGAAGTGCGGGCTCTCGCGGGTGAGGTAGATGTTGGAAGAGACGACGCCGTTGAGGTTGCCCCAGCCGACGACCATGCCGAGCACGAAGGCGCGCTTGAGGGAGCCCTCGGTGTTGTTGTTGAGCCAGGAGAGCGTGTTGGGGATGGTCGGGTAGATGCCCGCGGCGCCGAGGAAGGTGCCGGCGTACTGGACCTGGAGGTTGTTGGAGCCGAGGAGCATGACGAAGCCGGCGACGCCGATGAGCACGGTGAAGACGTTGCAGTAGCCACGGTAGCGGGTGTGGTCGGCGAAGAAGCCGATGGCGACGGTGCAGACGGCGGCGACGGCGTAGGGGGGCACGGAGAGGAGCTGGCCCTGGGTTCCCGTGTGGCCCATGCCGCGGAGGATGGTGGGGAGGAAGAGGGAGAAGGCGTAGAGGGGGGTGAGGCAGCCGCCGTAGATGACCATGTAGCCGTACGTCTTCCAGTCCTTGAGGGCGGCGTAGATGTGGCGCTTGTCAAAGTCTTCCGCGGTGCGGCCCTGGCGGTCCGCGATGAGGCGGCGCTGGACGCGGATGCGGTCGTCCTCATCGAGGAAGGTCGCCGTCTCGGGCCAGTCAAAGACCATCCACCAGCAGAAGACACCGACGAGGGTAGTGGCGAGACCTTCGATGATGAAGATCCAGGCCCAGCCGGGCATGCCGCCAACACCCTTCATCTTGGCAATGGCAGCGGCGAGGAGACCACCGAAGGAGCCGGCGAGGGCGGCGGCAGAGAAGAAGAGGGAGGAGCGCACACCGATCTCGGAACTCTTGTACCAGCAAGAGAGGTAGTAGTTCACACCGGGAAAGAGACCAGCCTCGGCGATACCGAGGAACCAGCGAGCAGCAAGGAGACCTGCGTTGTTCTTGCAAAGACCCATAAGGGTCATGATGATACCCCAGACGACGATGATGCCGGTGAAGAAGATACGGGGTGTCAATCGCTTCAGCAGAGCGTTGGTGATGGGTTCAGCGACGGCATAACCAATGAAGAAGATGGTCAGGGCCATGTTATAGTCTCCACCGACCATCCCCAGGTCAAATTCCATGCCCTCCAAACGAGCATTGCCAATGTTTGTTCGGTCAAGGAAAGAAAGGAGGTACAGCAGCGAGAGCCAGGGGATAAGCCACAAGTCGACTTTTCTCATCAGCTTCTTGTCCTATTATGGGCGAAAGAGAGGGCAGGTTAGCGCAAACTCGCCTAAACGTGGGAGGGCAGGATATAAGGTTATGGAGAGGGGTAAGAACTCACAATCGCCTTGCGCTCCTCGTCGGTCTTGCCGGCATCAGGGTCTGGCAGGTTGGCCAGGAGCTGGGCGCGCTCATACTCGATGCCGGACTTGTCAACATGCGATGAGCCCTTTTCCAGCTCAATGGGGAGCTCGGGCTTCTCGATGTCACCCATGGTGGCAGACGTCCCTCACGCTTGTATACCAAAGCAGTGGACGAGGGTATTGAAGGGAGAGAGGAGGGTGGGCTGTCTCGGTGCACAAGAAGGGTGAAAACGTGGGAGAGATGGAGAAGTTTGGAGGGAGGATGTGACAGAGAGCCCAAGAGAGAAAGTTTGGGAATCGTCCGAGTTTTTATTTATGATGTTTGGACTTCATGGCTGAGGGTAACTCTCTGACTGGCACTCTACTCCGCATCGGGGGGTGGGGGGAAGACAGGACAAGGGAAACCCCGGCTGGACCATGGCGGGTGCCACTTCTGTTTGCATTTATTGGCCTTCCCACCCCATGTATGCCTGCTCTGCGAAATGTGACGCTCTCTCGTGGGAATGGTTGGCTTCGTTGATGGCGGTGGGACCGTCGGTTGGTCATCAACCCGGGGCAGTCGACCATTTTGGCGGGGAGCCCCGTAACTCCGACCCAGAGTCCAGATCAGGTTCTCAGATAGAGTCGATGGAGAAAGAGGTGGAGGAGATCCCAAGAATTTGCCCCAGTCTTCCAACCTGCCCCTTGCTCCTGTTCCCTTGCAGTGCTGACGGGTTCATGGTTCGCGTCACGAGGAAGCCTCACTGAGACAACGGAAAGAGCGCTAAGACAATAAACTCATGCTTTAGAAGCAGAGTAGCGCAATGTGCCTGGGGACCGCAGGATCCGAAAACAATGCTTCTGGGCGCTTTGCGGATCCGATGGTGGGTGGGATGAACAAATGGTGTGGTGGACCAACAATAAGCTAAGCAAAACAAATCACTCTTAACCAAATAAGATTTTTAAGCATCTCACTGATTAGCCCGCAGCGTCTCCAACAAAGCCTGCTAGGGCCAAGAGTTTGACAGTTAACCTCGGGGTTAGAGGGCAAACCAACATATACGCTAATCATGAAAGGGGCAGAAGATCAACGCAACAGGCAGCAGGATTTGCAACCCCGTCTTTTCTCTTCACTTTGGCAGCGTCGCAGTCGTATCAGCCAGGGTCGGTCTCTGTGGGGGAAAGAGAGGGAACCGGGAGCGAGCCGGTGAGAGCTGGCTGCTACTCTCCCTGCGTCAACAGAGAGTGCTGCCCAGTGCTTTTCCCTTCACCCGGCGTTGCCAGGGGCCAGCCTGAATCAGGCAGGAATCTACGAATCTGACGTCCCCGCAGATTCACAATGAGGGGGAGAGATGAGGGGATGGGGTACATAAACGAGCGAGACAATTAATCTTGGGCGGATCCCCCGTCCATTCAGGCTGCCCAGTCACCACACGCAGTTTCTTCTGGTGGCACGTTTTCCCCCATCATCATGCGACGAGCCGGTCCACCCCTGCCGCCGGTGATGCTTCTAGATTCCGGTGCGGTCTTTTTTCTCGCGTACGTATCTCGAGGGATATCTGAGTATGTGCGTCCGCCACCACCATATCTGTGCTTATGCTGCGTGGGATCCCATCCCCTTTCCCCGAATATGCTCTTCCATCCTCTGCCCCGAGAAGCCCGAGGATGGAGCAAAGATTGGGCGAGAAGTGGCAATCTCCAAGTGAAATCCCCAACCTGTCACACCCAGCCACCCTGGTTGAGTTGGCTGTCCCCTCATCTCCTCTGAACCCATACCCAATCCCAAGCCTTGCTTCCTGGTGGAGTTCTTGACCGCACCGCGGAGTTGTCGGAGATTTCTGCCTCTCTCCTCTCTCCTCTCTCTTCACCTAATACTCTATTCCCCCATAGCCTAGTCTAGTCCCATCCTCCCCGCTCATGAGCTAAATTTCAGACGAAGAATGCTAGGGAAACCCATGACATGCTCTATCTTGTTAAAGGAAAAAGAGAATAAAAAAGTGGCAACACCATGAACAAGGTGTGTGGATGGGTCCGTGTTCGCGAACCTGGCTAGAAGCATAGCCGTGCTTCGGCTAACCCTCAAAATGCATTGGCCAATATCACGCACGCTAAAGCAGAGCAACCCCGAGGAAGAAGGGGGTCCCGAGTCAGAAAGGTCACCTTCTCCAACTGCCAAGTGACTCTTTTGGGTAGATCCCGACGAGTCTTACCAATCTCACGATGGCAGAAGAGGGACCATTCTCCTCAATGACATCAAACATTACATATTGCAGGTAGAAGAGAGCGCGATTGTAGTAAAGAAGCATTCTCATTAAGTCTAACATCAGCGACAGACTTGACTATTCATTCATTACAAATTGGCATTTCATCCAGAATAAAAACACAGACAAGCTTCCCAAACTAATGCTGGCGATGCAGCCTTGTTCCCTTCCCAACGCCACGAAAGCAAATGATGATGAAGAAAAAAAAAGACCATATAAAATGAGAAAAATAGACACAGAGAAAGGGAGTAAGAAAGGATAATCCCAGCTACCCATTCTGTGTAGCGATAACGCGTATCCCCCAACGGACGGCCTCCAACAGCCAAGAGATGGGGTTCATATCACATCACACCCCCAGTTCAAGGCTTCTCCTTAGCTACCCCACCAACTATTGGAGATGGGGATGATCCTGTCCAAACTCACCGCCAGGCGATGCTAGATCGCACATCAGCCTTTCGGTTCCCACCAGCGGGCGTCGACCCGAGACCAATAGTCACGCGCCGAGTCTCGCCAGAGCCGTTTCCAGAACGTCCATTATCCACCCGGAGGCTGCCACCAAGGTTCATGCGCCTCGCCTGACTGGCGCTAAGGGCCCTCTCGCCTTTGCCATACAGCTCCGAGGGAGAACACGTCATGGGTGGGCTCTTGCGTCGCTCTGAGCTGCCCCGTCTGTTCCGCGAGATGCCGTTGGTGCTGCTTGCCAGGCTCCCAGAAGCAGGCATACTAGGCCTTGGGGCTGCTCCCAATGATCGTTCACCACTCAGAGACCCAATCGACGATACACGTCTTCCGCCAGAAGCCCCTGCGCCGGCCATAAGACTCACCCTTCGCGCCTTGTTGGCCGAGTGCAACGCGCTCCTAAGCTTGCGAGCATCAATGGCGCCTGATTCCGAATCGGACCCAGACTGCTGCGACGGCGGGTTGTTCTCATCTACTATGACCTGGGCGATGCGCTGAGAGTTGGGCGAGAAGCGCCTTGTGGCAATCGGCAGCTGCCCCTGCCGCGGTGAAAGGTTCCCGGTTTTAGCGACGTCGAGTGACCGCAGCGGAGGGGGCGTTCTGTCCGAGTCTGAAGGAGACATCGAGTGTCGGCTCGCAAGATTAAGGCTCATCGTGGGGGCCTGTTGCGAAGGAGAGCCGTCCACCGCCAAGGATCTTCTAGACGCCTTGGACAGGAATCCGGCCTGGAACCGACTGGGCTTGGCAACGGGAATGCTGGTCATTTCCGGCAAGTCCAAGCTTGTTGAGGTACTATCCTCCTCGTCAATCGTGGGTTCGTGCTGCAAAAAGACGGGTGCGGCTGGCGCTGGCTCGGTTGTAATTGAAGGCATCGTGAACTTTGGTGGCGGAGGAGGAGTGCTCTCTGCGGCGGCAGCCTCAACTGGATTCTCTGGAGGAGAGCTGAATTTCTTAGGCGTCTTCTCAAAGTCGGCCAGCGTGCCATCCTCGGACTCGTCGTCGCGCCATCGGACGCCTCCCTTCTTCATGACTGCCTTCTTCACAGGGGAGAAAGAGACTCCCTTCTTTGCAGGGTTTGCAGCTTTGCGTCGTTTCGGAGACGCCTTCAATGGGCTCATTGTTGTGACCTCAATTTGTGTCATGGTAGGGAAAACAATGGGCTTTACGGCCGAACCAGGAGCCCTCTTCTTTCGTGGAGTGCCCTTGCGCATCGGGGGGAGAGCATCTATTACAGGCAAGGGTCCGTCAGGCTTGACTACCTGCGACGCGGCATTGAACCCGGTCTGGAGAAGCGAATGGATAAGCCCTCTGGCATGGGCCACAGCCGATTCCTCGTCCATATCAAGGGTCTCGGAGAGCGAAGCCAGCATCTCAAACTGGGCAGTCAAGAGAAGCTGCATCATGGCAGCGTCGCCTCCCCTTTCCTGCTCAAGCACCTCTCTGTAGCTCTCCCGGTTGAAGTTCATCTTGAGAAGCTCAGCTTCCCGTTCGAGGTTGGCGATCTCACCGGTATCCGCACCATCAGTACTCTCGAGCTGCTTGAGGCTGTGCACAAGCGCTGTGTCGATAGCCCGTTCCCAGGTCGGCTTCTCTAGTTTCTGATGGAGATGCTGGCGGCTGTTCTCAAGCTCAAGGAGAATGCCACTGGCCGTCTTCCGGATCGCCAAAAGGTTGGGTGGCATCGCCTCCTCATCGCCGCCGGTGTGCTGGTCACAGACGGTGTCGAATGCCCCGATCCAACCTGACAAGAGACTGATACGGCGCTCAAAAGCCCTCAGTTTCTTCATGCAGTTGATGCGTTCCTGACGATCAGACGCCGAATGGTCATAGGCCTGGCGAAGACGCTGCATGCCCTCACGAGCCAAACCCTGGCGCTTGTCGCACTGCTTCTTGAATTTGGCGAAGAAGAGGGCCTCGGCATCCTTCTGCTGTGCTCGCAACTCGTTGATGAGCGCCATCTGTTCATCGATCTTGACCAAGAAGTCCTTGACGTGACGGTTGACATTAAATACGTTGCGGGTGACCTTGGTCTGGATGTTCTTGGCTCGGTTGGCATATCGTAGAGTATTATGGGTCTCGTCGTAGTGAGCGCTGGAAGGCGACACGCAGACAATCATGACGGTCTTGCAGTTTCCTCCGAGAGAGAATTTCAGCAGACGGGTGAGCTTGCTGTTCCGGTACGGCACATGGGTCTTGAGGCGGCGATCGCAGAGGGCGTTGATGCAGCCGCCCAGAGCCAGCAGAGACTTGTTGATGTTGGCACCCTCAGTAAGACGCTCGCCACGGTTCTTGGTCACAGAGGCTCTCTCAGACCCTGCCAAATCGATAATGCTGAGAGTTGCCATGGTGTGTGGCTCGTTGACGTCTGCGTTCCTGTCCTTCTGGGCCACGTTGATTTGGAGCACGGCGTGCGATCGCGAGGAGGTGGCATTGGCCTCTGTGGGTGACACTGTGCGGTATTCGTTGCCCTGAACAATCATATCCATGACCTCTTGGACGTCTTTGGGATGGTGGCTTGACAAGCCGGAGACTGTGACGGCTTGGTTGCTGTCCTCGCGCAGCATCAGACCGGCCTTGCTACCTCCTGGCACCAGCAAATCTCGGATCGTTTCGTTGTAGATTTCCAGGTAGCTCAGACTGAGCTCCGTGGTCTTCTCCTGGCTGCGCTCGTCAATCTTCTCGAACAACTCCTGCATGGTCAGGAAGATGATGCCCGGATGTTGGGATGTGCCCGTGATGGTGTGTGTCTTGCCGCATCCGGTGGCACCGTAGGCGAAGACGGTGGCATTGTATCCGTCGAGGACGCTGTCGAGCAGGTTTCGTGTTGTGCCCTCGTAGACGTCGGACTGGCTTGTGTGGTCATCAAACACGCGATCAAAGGCAAAGACCTGGTCCTTGACCTTCTTGGATGTGGGCACGACGGATCGGGAGAATTTCTGTACGGGGTTGTCTTCGGGAGGATCGAATACTCTGTAGATGGGGTCTCGATTAGCACTCGGTGCCTTGAGTCGAGGAAGGGTCACCAAGGGGCGAGAAGCTTACAGGCACCGGTCGTCTACGACCTTGATGACATTGCGCAGGCCGCGCTGGTGCAGTTTGGGTGCTGGGGCGCCAGCGAGCGAACCGTCTCCGAGGAAAACTGTGCCATCGTCGTTTCTCTGACTGTGAAGATCGAGCTGAGCGTTAGCTTTGCCATGGTAATCAAGCACTCGAAGTCGCCGGGGCTTGTCTTTGGGGGGAGAGAGGGCGGAAAAGTCTTACAGTTGTGCAGCTTCACGGATGGTAAACGGCCGTACTCGCACTGGATTCTGGTCAGCTTTGGCCCCTCACTCTTGCTACCTCCATGTCCTGGACGGGATTTCGTCCAATTCGCTGAGGCAAAAGGTGCCAACATACCCGCTACTGTGATGGAAGACTGTCCGCCAGCTTGCGCCATGGTTGGCAGTGTGAAAATGTGGTCGTATCGGTGTCGATGCGCTTGTGGTTGTTTGTCCACCGCCCACGGCGAGGTGAGGATCGATGGATCTTCTGGCAGTCCTGGTCGACTTGCGTGTCTAGTTTGCGAAGCTGGGCGAGACGCAGCAGGCTGTTGGCAAAGGGCGGTGATGTGACTGTCTGTTGTTGGTGCCCTCCGACTTCGTGATGGGGATGCAATAAACAAGCAGAAAAAGAATGCTTGTGCAGCGCAGAAACAGCAAAAGAGATGCTCAAGAACAAAACCCAAAAGACAACAAACAAAAGTGAGTGACTAAAGGGATTAAGGACAGAGAGAGAGAGCAGCCGTGCAACGCGTCCTGGTGGGTTTGTTGATACTTACTCTGTTGCCGGCAGGAGGATGGATGGACGAATGCACAATGCAAATGCAGCTGAGGAGACGGGAAGCTAGCTCGACTAATTAACGACGACGGCGAGCTGGAGAGTTAATGCCTGCTGCCCCCTTCCTCGGCCGTGCTTTGATTTTTCTCCAATAGATGTTTTTAGCGGCATCGACAAGGGTCGAAAACAACAAACGTCACTGTTGTGCCGCGTTGCCTGGACAACCGCGCGGACCCTCTTAGCGCCTTTGTACAGCGCTGTGCTATGGGGCCTGCGCGCTACGGGCAACGCCATTGGACAGTGTCACATGTTCTGAAACTCGCCAACCTCAGGCCCCAGCACTTCATGTCCGATATTTTGCCGGAAGCGATTAGATAACCGCTCTCAACCCCGCTATTTTATGTAATCGCTGCTGACAGTGTCTTGAGTGAATAAATCATGCATAAAAATATTAAATATACACTCGCCTTGCAACTACCCTATACTTGACCCAGGAGCAGTATTTTGACTGCATGTATAAGCAGAGTGTCTCGATGCGTTGACAATAAAGTCATGGCGTAGACCAATATGCATTCAGATGTTTTTTCCTATACTATCAGGTGAAACCTCTGAGAAGTAGGCGGTAGGATTTCCTGAGCTTCCTACTTGTTGCGGAAGCAAAGTGTCAACCCCGGTAGATGGTTCCATTTCACCTCCTCTCAAGCACCCTCGTCATGCAGTCATCCAACTACGGAAATACTACCTGGAGACTTTTGCAAAAGACTTTATGTACATTCCATGACCCATTTAACTGGTTCATCACAAGAAGCGACATTCTGCCGATCTCATCCTGCCTTGCTATGGCTCGTGGAATCAAAGACCACAATCACCATCTTCATTGACCATATCTGTGCTACTATGCCGTATCCCTGGTAGTAAATATCAGCATGGCTTCGTGGCAGACTCACACATGCCCCTCAGACAACACATTTGGGCCCATAGTTCATGGGTGTCGCGATGACTTTGATTTCACGCTCCTGTTTGAACATCTTTTTTTCACCATTGTCCCATGTGCAGTATTTATCTTTGCTTCCTCTTACAAAATTAGACAATTATGCCGTGTCGAGCAGATCGCAAATGGAAAGCTACTCCAAGGGATAAAATCTGTAAGACCATTAGGCCTGAGTTCCGCATCGTGGCATTTCTCATTATCTGACAGGTAGTTCACCTTGCACATTCAATCCTTCGCCTAGCCATTCTATATAATTTCAGTAAAACCACTGTCATCGGTTATACTAGTGCGCGTCTTCATCATCTCGGAATAACAGCTACAGCATTTGCCTTCCTTGGCGCTCTTACAGCTCTCATTCTGTCATGGCTGGCGCACTCACGATGCCCGCGGCCTTCATTCACCTTGACCATTTTCCTCTTCCTCACATTTCTCCTCGATTTAGCACAGTCCAGAACTCTCTTGACCATATCACCATCATCATGGGGCATCGGGTACATATTCTCCATCGCGACAGGCGTTAAAGCCCTCGCTCTGTTGCTCGAGAGTTATCCCAAGACCTGGGCATCTGGGCTAAAACAGCCAAGTCCAGAGCCAACTCTCGGGATTTTCAGCCTCATGACTTATTATTGGCTGAGCCCCCTCATTCGTCTTGGGTCCCGAAAGCTCCTTGGGATCACTGATTTATACAATTTGGACCCGCCTATGACATTTAAACAGCTGGATCCCAAGTTCTGGGTATCTTGGAATACATCGAGTAATTGGAAAGGGAAGACCCGATTGCTTGTCGCGCTTTGGAGGGCGACGAAGTGGGAACTGCTCGCGCCCGTGATACCACGGCTTGCAAAGCTTGAGTTTGGCCTTTGCCAACCTTTCCTGATCCAGGCTGTCGGGCACTTTCTGTCCGAGCCCAAAACATCCGAGTGGGCACGAGAAGGTAGAGCACTCGTTGGAGCAACTGGAGTGATCTACCTGGGATCGGCAGCCTCTCTGGGATTGTACCAATACTACAACCAGAGGGCAAGCAGCTTCCTTCGTGGCCTTCTGGTCGTCGGAATTTACAGAAAGACTACTGAGCTGAGGCTATCCTCGGATGACAGCAAGGCATCTCTAACGTTGGTAAGTGCTGATGTCGAAAGAATCCAGCAGTGTGCCCACGGATTTCATGACATTTGGGTAGGTTACATATATCTCCCGCTTGCGCAGATGTAATTGACAGTCGCGTAGGCCAGCATAATCGAGTTCTTCATAGTCGCTTGCTTGCTCTACCTTCAACTAGGCCTTGCGTTCCTTGTTCCAATCGGTGTAGCGAGCATATGCTTCCTCATCACAGTGGGCATTGGTAAAACTGCTCCCCGACTCCAGAGAGCATGGGTGGACGCTACTGAAAAGCGAATTGGGATCACGGCAACTCTTATTGAGAACATGAAAGCCATCAAGATTATGGGCGTGAATAAACAGCTGGGCGACTTTGTTCAGGCGATGAGGGATGCGGAGATAAATGCGGGCTCAAGTTTCCGAATGACAATCATTTATTCAGTAACTTGCTCATACGCTCCTATGATCCTTTCCCCTCTCCTGACATTCGCGGCAACTAGCAGAGACTTTGACACTACAAGAGCATTTACTTCACTAGCATTTATCAGGCTGCTCACGATCCCTCTGGGCAAGTTGTTTCAGCTTCTCCCGGCTCTAGTTTCGGCAACAGCCTGCTTCGACAGGGTCGCTTCATACCTGGAGGCTGAATCCCGTTCAGACTACCGGCTGAGATCTTTTGTGTCGTCGGAGTTACCAAATGGATCTAATTCTGGGCGCCCAAGAGATAATGATGCCCGAAATAATGAACATGCAACAGCGTCCCTAAACGCAACTCCTGCCTTTTCTATCAAGGATGGCTATTTCGGGTGGAGAGACAACAACTTCGTCCTGCGCCAGATCAATCTGTCAATTCCACAATTAAAACTCACCATGGTTGTTGGACCAGTAGCCTCTGGCAAGTCTACATTCTGCAAAGGCTCTTCTCGGAGAAGTTCCTTACATCAGAGGGAACGTATACTTTACTTCAAGACTTTCGAAAATCGGATTTTGCGACCAGTCCCCATACATACCAGATGCGAGGCTGCGAGATGTCATCGTAGGCCACGGTGACTACGACGAAGTCTGGTATAAGGACGTTCTCGAAGCCACGGCTCTAAGTCAAGACATTGCCACTTTTGCCCAACGTGACCAGTCTACGACTGGCTCGAATGGGTGCAATCCAGAGAGTTGCTATCGCGCGTGCACTCTATGCAAGACCATCGGTGTTCGTTTTCGATGATATTTTCAGTGCGCTAGATAAGAAAACCGAGGATTCAGTCTTCTCGAATTTGTTAGGATCTGAAGGCTTGATTCGCAGATTGAGGGCCACTGCTGTTCTCTGCAGTCATTCGACTAAGCATCTGGCCTGGGCCGATCTAATCATTGCCCTGGGAGCCGATGGTATGGTTAAAGATCAAGGAACGTACCAGGAGCTCAAGGAAAACCAAGAATATACGCACTCTCTGGACATAAACGAGACTGAGAACGCCAGGGATGAGCCTGGCGGCCCCGACTCTCAAGAATCTGACGATTTATATGTCGCACAGCCAGATTCCACACCAGAGTTTGAGATCGATGATCGTCAAAGGCAAATCGGGGATTTCGCCGTGTACAAGCGCTATCTATCCACTCTTGGTCCAGTTCTGCTATGTCTCTTCTTTCTCTTGACCCTGGCGTACAGTGAGCAGAATGGAAGCCTTTTGCGAGACAGTAAAGAATGAAAGTCAGGGCGACGCGACTGAGACTCCATCAAAAGACTGGCCATGGTACGGAGAAATCAAGATGAAAGATGTTTCGGCTTCATACGAGTATATGAAACTTGCGAGAAATACCTTCAGCGATCAACCTTACCCGTCAATCACCGGAAACCAGGCTCTTGCCGTTAAGGAGCTAAACTTCACCATTAAAGCCGGGGAGAAAATCGCAGTAGTTGGACGCACGGGAAGGTGAGTACTTGCATTATAATCCAACGACACAAGTAGCGTACTGACCCGAGAAAAGTGGAAAGTCGTCGATTGTGCTCATTCTTCTACACCTACTTGATCCTCTGCCCTCTGACAACCAGACAATTACAATTGACGGTGTACCTCTGAGCAAAGTAGATCGTGATACGTACGCTCTAGAATTATTGCAATACCACAAGATACCTTCTTGCTTCCCGAAGGAACCTCCTGGAATGTCAACTTGGACCCATACGCGGTCGCTTCTCTTGACGAATGCGAGTCAGCGTTGAAGCAAGTCGGGCTGTGGACTTTGATTCTCGGGCATGGAGGGTTGGAGGAGCCCATGAAGGCAGACTTCCTTAGTCAGGGCCAAAAGCAGCTATTTGGTATTGCGAGGGCGTACTCCGTGCACGCGTTAGGGCCCGACTGCTCTCCACGCAAGATGTTCATGATACCGGTGCGACAAGACTGGGTGGTGTTGTGCTTCTGGATGAGGTGGCGGCAAGTGTCGACAGCGCCACGGACTCGCTGATCCACGAAATTTTACACCGGGAATTTGAAGGGTATACGGTTCTAGCAGTCACGCACAAGGAGCACGCACTACAGGATTTCAACCGGGTCATGGTATTGGAGAATGGTGTCATAAAAGAATTTCGGAATGTGGCTAAGTCGTGAACCGAGTATGGCAGGTTTGGAAAACATGTTCAGTTCACATTTTGGTGTTGTTCTCTTTTGAGACTGCACTTTTCAAATTAAAAGGATCAAATATCCGTCATGCTTAAAATTTATATTGGCGTTTAGAGCAAAAGCAAAAGAAAAGTCTCGAATCCTACCAATACTTTATCATTCTGTGATCCGGTGTAAGCCCTATAGGAATAACAGCCAAGGCAAATTCCATCCTCTAACTCATCGATGATTCAAAGTGCATCCCCATGTATACCATTTCCCGAAAGGATGCACGCAGATAACGCTACAAGATGATGAGACTGCCGCTCATGGATGGTGGATGAGAATCGAAGAATCCTCCTGGGAAAACCAGAACTCCATCGTTCCTTCAAGAGCATTACATACCCAAATATCATTCTGAGTTAGGTGTGTACAATGTTGATGTTTAGAATAATCTCCGCTATCGAGTTTATAGATGGCACGCATTGAATTCGGTCGCTTCGATATAGATTGCCAACATAGACGGGTAGGTTTGATGTAAGTCTGCACACTGTCAAGGCCGATTCGACAGTTCCCCACGGCACGTTGTGCCCCGTTTTCGTAATGGAATAAGATGCCTGCGGGTGTGCCTGTCTTTATGCCTTCAAAAATTTCAATGCATGTGACAGACTCGAGTGAAACAGAAGAGAAAAGTGCTGGACCACTTGGAATATTGGAAGGTGGAGCGCTCAAAAAACTAGGAACTGAATCATCTTTTTCTGGGGCAAACGCGCCAAAGACCGTGATGGGACCAAATTCGGTGATGTTGTGTATTAGCAGCTTCGGGGATGATGGCATAAGAACAACATCCTTATATCTATATCTAGCTGGCAGTGGTCCGAGAATGACTTCTCCGGCCAGCTTGGTTCGGAACTATAAAACAGTTAGTTGGGTGAGCTTCAGCATGCCGATGTAGAGGCTGCAAATGTGCTTACCATAAAGCAAGGCATTTGTGACACGGCCCTGTTATCCGCACTTTTTAGACGTATACCAAATGATATGATCTCATCACCTCTGGGCAATGGAAGATACACCCAAGCGAGACTTGCCCGACGTTGCCGCGAGAATCGGTTAAAAGTTTTCGTCGCATCCGGGGAAGATGGGGTGTGTGGATGTATTGCGTATACTTTATTGTGGGAGAAGAAAAAGGTGAGACCAGTGACTGCGTGCAAATCGATTGTCGAGAACCGCATAGAGTTTCCAATATGCCCACAGAACTTGCAGTCTTCTAAAAGGGGTGGATTAGGCATATCCCATATATGGAACCCATGGTTAATGTCCGGCGTCTCTAGGCGTAAGATGTTGTACTATAGCAGAAGTGTTAGAAACAAAGCAACAGGCGCAATTCGGGACTGTGGGGAGGCTCGCCTTGAACTCCGCAATGACACTCTTAACAAGGCTCACGTCTTGGATGGCAAACTCCATGGTGTCTGAACGCCAGTCTTGGTAGTGTGGCATGCTGTCCAGCCTTTCTACCCGTTTCAGGCCTCTACAATCACTGGTAAGACGTATAATAGGTGGCCCTTCTTCCTCTGGAGTAATAACTGGGGCGCTTCCTCTCGTCCACGCCAGTACGTTAGCGAGGGGCACCGAAACATGGGACAAGCCATCGGACGAATCTTCTCCAGGAAGATCCCTAATAAAACTCAAAGCGGAGAGGTAGAGCCAAAATAAAGCTGACTCAGAGCTGTGTCGTATCATGTCTGTCAGCTCCTGCGGCAGGAGCCTCCAGGCGGAAAGTCCGAACTTGTCCGCCTTTTCGTATATAAGCTCCAGCGGGCAATCGGCTCTCCCATCAACACGGGCATTCAGGGAGAACCACCACGGGCTTCGTGATAGGACCGCTACCCACAGACGATCGAGCGCATCTTCAAGAGCACACTCTCGCTGAAACAATGCAAAGCAGTCGGAGTGGACACCGACTGCTCTGCTAGCGTGCTTGCATTGCTGACACTTCTGGCGCCAGCAGAGCGTCCTCCCGCGATAATCAAAAACAACCTCATTACCCGTGGGAAACTCTGCGCCCTCCAGACACGGGGGAGATTCAGTTGAGAGTTCACCTCCTATCACTGTTGGGATTAAGAACGAGGATCAGTCACTGAGTTGCAGTTTAGAGTGGATAGATCCGGCGGTCTGGGATGGAAGTTGGCTCACACGGTATAAAGCGATCACCAGCGGCCAGCGCCCTGCCGCAAATGCCGCACTGGGCACGGAAGCAGGCATGGGCAGCCATGTCAGGAACAATGCGATCAATTTGAAGATGGGATGATGAGGGGGGAGCGAGGGACGACGAGCCCAATTGCAAGATTACGGTGAAGGACTGACTGTCATCGGGCTCGGAACATCAAAGCACCGACGTGTGTTTTGCAGGAGGTGTGTCGCCATGTCTCTGTCCTGTCATGATGCCCATGTCAGCACAAAGTCCTCATGTCAGAACGAATATCATACGCTGCATTGGGGGTGCCCCGTAATTGTTGTAATCACGATTTCCGGCTGCTGCTTGATGTTCATGCATCGTTCCTTGGATACGTGACATTCAATTATCCTGGCGCTACCCTAGACCGCCCTGCAAACCCGAACACGGTGTCGACGACAAAGACGGTGAAGCCATCTCACACCTCAGGGGGGGACCAGTCGGTGTGTGTCGCCGGTAGCCAATGGCTGTCGTTTTCCGGCTCCAGCATATCGAGTCATTTTGGTTCTTGGATTAAATTGGTGCTTGAATTAAATTGGTGCTTGACTGGACATTCAGGAAACAGACTGAAATGCCTTTTTGATCTGAGAAGGCAGCAGGGGAAAGGTTCTCTCTCCGCTCCTTCACGTGCCAAGTAGCATAAGCATAAGTGAGCTGCCTAGTTTTTCGCTTGTCAAGGGTCAGTGTGTTCCTCCGGCAATCGGCAGCAGGACAAGACCCGCCTCTCAGTCAGCTCATTCACTAACACATGCCAGTCTTGGCGAACGACGTGATGTGTCAAGCTGAAAACGAGATCAGCCTCATTCACCCGTGTCCCAATGTATTCCTCGATCGCTAGTGGGAATGCTAAGCTAGCTCGCGAGCGGTGCGATTGATAGACCATGCCTTCCCATACAAGCTCATCGTTGTTACGTTCCACACATACCGATCCTCGTTCAAACGGGACACAGCTGCTTTCCGTACCTGCATCAAGCTTAACCGACCCCTGGATGGGCAAAGCATGTTGAACTTGAAAAGGGATGGTGCATGCTCCACTGGCCCATGGCCTTCGTTTGCGGCGGAATATTGTTTGTCCTCTGTATGTTGGTAACAGACACGGCTTCCCTTCTGAGGAACCCTGTGGCACTATCGATTGACCGGTCGAGACCGTTAGCGTAGCCAACGGCACCGTTCGCCACCTCATACGATGACTAGGGTGCTCGATCTTATCTGATCTTACAGGGGTTGTGGTTTCGTCGATCTGGAGTTGAACACTTTTCTTTTAGTTGGCGAATGGCAGTAGAAGCCTGTCATGTTTATACATCATAGAGCTGGACAATGCTTGTACGAACGAGAAGGGTCCTGGACTTTTCATCACGGCCGGAAACTGCGGTGATGGTTCATGCAAGAGGCAATGTAGGAGTGCCAAGCTCAGCTCATGTGCTCTAATGCTCGCAAAATGCAAGGTACCTTGGAATTATTGGGTGATACGGCCCTAGATCGGTTGCCAATGGGAGCCCGACCAGGGAAAAATCTTCTCATCGAGATATGGGGAAACCAACAGAAGAGACCAATCCAATTTCCCACGCGAGCCACATCCGGCTGGGCATCCAAGGCCGTTCGGCTGGGTCCCTGGCTCGGCGACGGCCGGCCTCGGATCAGATAAACTAAATGTACAATTAGATTATCAGATCATCTGATAACTCCACTATCCCGGCTTCTTTTGTGCGTGGCGGAACTGATCAAGCATAGCGTACTGGAATATCACGCACACTAGACTCTCAGCTGCCTTGTGGAGCTAATCAAGGTCATCGTCAGGGCCAAGGTTCCGTGGAGTCCTGTTTTGGACATCAGTAATAACTATTGCACTAGTAGTCATGCTGCATACAGAGAATGATGAGGTATTACCGATACAGGGAGAAAGAGGGAAGTGGGAGGAGGGGAGCCTGGCCGACTTGTTCTTAAAAAGAGAGGCTTGACCTCGCCCTGAGTGATCTCGGCTGTTCTCCATCCTCTAAACTCACCACTCGCTTCATCCGTCTTTCGTTCGAAAGTTTAAGCAACAACTAATACAATGAAGACTTTCACCTCCATCCAGCTGGCCGCTGCCGGTATTCTCTCGCTGGCCTCCGTGGCTACTGCTATCCCGGCATGCGCTGTATGATGCCCCTTTCTCCTGACCCTCACCTCAGACCAACCAACTCAACATCTGTCCGTCACACTGGCAGCAAGATGTCAGACTGTCGAGAATGATTTATCATACTAACCAGAGTTGTTACGCGTGCAGGTCAACTGTTTCTCAAGCGTTCTCACTGAGCACCCTCCTCTGACCTGCACCTTGCCCGACATGTATTACTGCTTCTGCGCCTTACCCGATCTCCAGGGCTACTTCATCCAATGCGCTCGTTCCACCTGCGCTAATAACGCTTCCGCCGGAGAAGCCATCCAATTTGGCGTTGATCTGTGCTCCGGTATGTGGTATTCCCTCGCCTAAAGGAAGTAGTTAACTAACGTATGATCTCAGAGCTTGGCTACACCATCACCGTGCCACCTGCAACTCCCTCGGTATGGAAGCTCTCCATTTAGGACTTTGATCCAGTTGTGTGCTGACTATGTATGACTCAGACCACCTCGGCTGTTGTCTCTAGCAGCAGTGTTGTTCAGACTACCTCCGCTATTGTTTCCAGTAGCAGTGTTGTCCAAAGTAGCTCTGCTGTTGTCTCCAGCAGCAATGTCGTTCAGTCGACCTCTTCTACTCAGCTACCCGGCTCAACTTCCGCTGCTAGCTCTGCAGTTCAGTCATCCTCTGCTGCTGCTTCATCTGGATCTGCTTCCGCCTCTGGATCTGCCTCTGCTTCCGCCTCTGCTTCTTCCTCAGCCTCCGTTTCGGGCTCTGCTTCTGCTTCCCGAACCCCCTCAGCCTCCGGAGCTGCTTCCTCCTCCGCCTCTCGATCTGCCGGCGCATCATCCCAGGGTGGCTCGAGCACCACCCCTGCCAGCGCCACCCCTCAGTCGTCCATCACCCAAGCCGGCTCCGACCTGACCACCAAGACCATCTACGACACCCGAGTCCAGACCGTCACCTCCTGCGCCCCCACCGTGACCAACTGCCCCGTCGGCCAGGTCACCACCGTCGTCGTCCCCGTCACCACCACTGTCTGCCCGGCCTCGGAGAACTACGCCATCTCCACCGTCTACACCACCAGCGTCCGCACCGTCACCGCCTGCCCTCCCTCCGTGACCAGCTGCCCCGTCGGCAAGGTCACCACCGTGACCGCCCCGGCCTACACCACCATCTACCCCGTCACCTCCGCCCAGCAGGGCTCCGACTCCACCGTCGTCACCGTCACAAACAAGCCTGCCACCTCCGCCGGCAACCAGCCTGCCGGGTCCTCCACTGCCGCGGGTAGTGCTAAGACCACGGTCCCTGTTATCCCTGTCAGCATGGTAAGTTATCAAGATCTGTTGAGAGTCGACATGCGCAATCTTCATGCTAATATCTCGCAGGGCAATGCTGCTGCCGTCTCCAGCTTCTTGGCTGCCGCCGGTGTTGCTGTGGCTTTCCTCCACCTCTTCTAAGCTTCGTGCTCTTCAGAGTTTCTGCTAGGGGCTCGTATTTATGGTGCTCTTGGTAAGGGTAGGTCAAGGTTGTTATTAGTATATCGAGATACTTAATATAATGGTTAATAAAAAAAATACATCTTCATTAAGGACGGACAAGGAAGGTATTGTGACCTGCGTGGTTCCAAGAGGATAATAAATGGTTTAATAAAGTTGAAAGCCCACAATGCCTAGATATTGATTACGAGTCGTATTACTAGATGCCACTTCCGAAGCGCAGGCAAGAATGATAATGTGTCAACTCTTCTCCCAAGAGTCGGTGGTCGTCTTCCCCTTCCCCTCTACAACACCGTAGGCCACGTCTTCTCCCACCCGGGCTGTCTTCTCTCCCCCCATCTCCTTCTCCAGCCCCCACAGCTTCTTACTTAATCATCCAGCCCATCACGGATCTGGAGATAGTTGAGGTATCTGGTCTTGGTCCAGGATCTGAAGCGCTTCCCCCACCACATCATGGGAAGTGAGAGACCAAGAATGACAAAACTCAGCACACCAAGAGCGATGAAACACTCCTGGATACCAGTATCCAGCCAGTAGCTGGCAACGAAGGTGAAGATCATGGCGAGCGTGTTGTTGATGACCGCGACCCCCACCATGCCCTCGAGAACCATGTCCGGGTAGCAGTCAGCTAGGTACGTGATGCTCAAGTCTCCCGCGCATCCGTAGCCAAAGCCGATAAAGCCTAGACCCACGTACGGCACCGGCCAGCTCCATCCCTTGGCGGAGCCGATGCCGAAGAGCCACATGCCAGTCGGGAAGATGGCCATGCAAAGCGTCATGAGGTGCAGCCGGAACTCGGCCTCCATGATACCCCTGTTGCGGCGGCTCCTCCAAAGCATGAACTTGTCGCTGCAGTATCCACCGTAGAAACAGCCGATGACGCTGCCGATGATACAAGCAAGGTTCATGTTGGCCACGGCGGCGTCGTCGTAGAACCACGGCTCGTCGGTCCAGGTATCCTCCTCCACGGTGAGATAGAAGGACAGGGCAATGTTCTGCATGCCCCACTGCAGACCAGCGTACCAGACGGCGGGGAAGGTGAAGACGCGCAGGGTATGCCAGAGTCGGTGCAGATATTGCATGAAGCCAGTCCCGCGCAGGTTGCGGGCTGGTGTGATCAGCCTGATACGCTGCCAGTACGTCTTGCGCTCGGTGTATCCGACAGACAGACCATCGCTATCGCGCTCCACGTCCGTCGCGCTGACGCCCACAGGGGGCTTCTCGCTAACAGCAGTCTTTTCGCCCTCGGTGTTCGTAGCAACAGGAGAAACGGCACCGTCGATAGGGGCAACGTGCTTTGTCTCGGTGGTCTTCTCGTCGGGTTCGCCGTTGGTCTCGAGAGCGCTTGAACCGACCGTGTTATTGCTCGAGCGTTGCTCCTCGGCCCTCAGGTATCGATTGCGATCGAATGCGGTCTCCTCCAAGCAGAAATAGGTCAGAACCAGGGTGCCGGCCGAGATTATGGCACCGAAGTATCCGATCCAGCGCCAGCCGACTGTCTGATCGTGGGCAATGTAGCCGGCGATCAGGGGGCCCAGGTATGTGCCCACGGATGTAGCCAGAGTATAAAAGCCAAGCGAGGTACCGTTCTGATGCTCGAACCAAATGTCGAGCAGGGACAGTTGGACAACAGACTCGGCAACGGACTCGGAGGCGCCAACAAAGAGCTGCGACCAGATGGTATCATTGGTACTGCTTAGGTGTCCGAACCAGAGGTTCCCGCCGAAGCCGAGCAGCGCGCTCAAAATGTATCCGATTCGACGACCGTAGAGATGGACGAGCGGGGAGCTCAGCAGGGTCCAGTAGCCAATGGCGAGGAACAGGACACCTGCGCCGGTATTGAAGTAGTCGTAGCTGATACCATACTCCTCCTCAACGCCGGTGGAGGCGACACCAGCGATGTTGGAGGTGGCGGCGGTCAGGGCGACGATGTAGCAGACAATGATGGAGTGGAGGACCTTTCGAGGGCGGCTCCATCTCAGGGGATCGTTGGGGGAGTTGGTCGGGCGCGGGACGAGGATGATGTCGCCATCCTTTTCGAGCAGAGACTCATCGGAGGTACTTGCGTTTTCATCCGTGAATATTCGTTTTGTGCCTGGGAGCACATCATCGTAGAGATTGGAGGTTGTCGGGTGACCGTCCATCAATTTCGACGCGAGGCCAACTCGCGATCGGCGATGCTGCGTGCTGATTGGCTGGTTGGTCGAGGAGCTGTCAAGCAGAATGACGCGTGACGTTTAGCGATGTTTAGCGGGCTGCGGCGCGGCGCGAACTGCTGTTGGCGGGCGGCTCAGCGGGTGGCAGGCGAGCTACAGGGAGTGGGTGCCTGTGGAGAGCGCTGGTTGGCGGTTGCTGTAGGGGAATGGGTCACTGTCGCGTGCGCTGATGAGGGGTACGGCTCCTTAGAGCCGCATGCGTTCCGGGAGCAAGCAGTGAGGGAGAGAGGACCAACTCGACGGGGGAGAAGGGAGAAGACGATGGGTGATTTGATTAGCGATGTCAGCAAACCATGATTTTCTGTTGTGGTAGGAGGGAGGAAAAGGAAGAAAGAAGCAGGCGAAGGGACCAAGGAGGAAAAGGCACGATGGCGATCAGTAAATGAAGAACAGAAATGGAACAGGAATGGAAACGGCAGGTCAGTGGGGAAAAGCCCGAGGCGAAAATTTTTCTATTGATCTGGCCGCTGTCTCGGTCGTCATGCCACGGCCTTGAATTGCCCCCAGCCTGGATGGAGTCAATGTTCCCTTCCAATTAAAAGCTTATCGTTCCACATCCTGCCACGGCTGGTCGTTCGCCACTTTGCCTCTTCAGAGCTGAGAGCGCCTAAAAACCACGCAGTCGGGCCGCAGTATCCAGGTCTGATCATCGACCAGCCCGGGGAGGTCTTTGGAAGAGACGCGATGTGACTGGGAGGCTGTATGGGGGTCCGGGGTTCTCATCCGCGCGCTGTCCGCAGAGTACGGAGCAGGCATCTGCTGGTACGATGCTTCTGGCCTGATGCTCTTGAAGCCGTAAGCCAAGTACCCTGACAGCCTGATAAGAGCTCCCAATTTCGCTCTCCCCGTCAGCTTGGCCCGTGTTCCACACAACTGATAAGGCATGTCTCTCAAAGACAAGTTTAGTGAGACACAATACGGAACTCGGCTCGGCACGTTACATCATTGAGTGGGCTTGGGTTAATCCTCTGTCCATGTCTTAACCCATTACGTAGTAGGCTATAATACAGACTCAGACTCATCTCCAACTGCAAAATTTTGGCTCAGTTCGAGATGTTGATGGGGCAATATGTCGCCAAACGTGTGTTTTAAAATTCCCTGGCTTGAGGACGATCGTATATTTGTTTGAGATACTGAGAGGAACGGCATGCCATTTGGAGAACTGCGTGGTCACAAGGTGTCTTTTCATTCCAGTTCAGCCTTCTGGCAACAACCTAACCGTATGTACCAGTAAGATCACACCACTCGCCAATCGACCCAACACAAACGTAAGCTACGGAGTTTTGCCATATTACCTGGCTTAATTCTGTGCTTAAAGTGTGTAAGACAATTCTTTGTATATTTGGATTGGGCTTTAGTATAATACAATGGTTGAGTTTGCGCACTCGAGAGTTTAAGGCGCCAGTGGTCTTGAAACTCCCCCGGACGAGTTTCTTTGCTTCATCAAATGACCCTTAATTCACCGTTGGACCAAGGGAAAAACAGCAGGGCTAACGGACAGCCAGCTGAATCATACCTAGTCAGACTCAACTAGTCTTTTTTTTTTATTCAAACGGTAGGTACATATGTGTTTGTAGGCTGATGGGTAAGTCCCGTGAACGCCGTTGCAATTGGAATAATGATAATTAGGCCAATCTCTCCGTGACAGCTTCTATACTTCGGTCATGTCGCTCTCAAGAGCCCATATTAGGATGCTGGACTAAAGCCTGACCTTTCTGCTGTCTCACGCGAACTTTCAAATCGGAAGCTTCAACTTCATGCATCACCCTACTAGCAAATCTACCCTGATGGGTGGCTCAATAGTGTGCAAGAGGATCTCAGACACTTAAGCCTATCTAGTGTAGGTAGGCCCTTCTTCTTAACTGTACATGCTGTCTGGGGCATGCACAGTCAGAAGAGAAAAACACCCGTAGCATTGGGGAGCCTTGAAAGGCTGTGCAATGGGGTTCGTCAAACGCGTCTTTGACGAAGTACCATATGTTTCGATGACTCTCAACCCTTCCCAGGCGATTGGACTTATTCCTGCCTTTGTCTGTGGCCAGAAATGAGATGGATCATCTGCGGTGGCCGTGCCAATGCCGAAAGACTCATGACCGAGCTCGCTTGGGAGTTCTCAGGTTCCAATGTTGCATTTTGCGTTCTGCTTCTGGAAATTGGGTAAGGCTGCGCATTGAAGCCGGCTGCAGCCAGTTCCAGGTGTGGTTCAGGGCACAATTGGTGCTGGCTGGGCTGTAGCCAGCCGCTGGTGCTGTAACCCATCACCTGAACAACGTCCTCTAATGTAGGTAGAATCAACTGTCGGGTGAATATCCCATTGCCTTTTTCCACCATGAAGCGAGCCCTCTTTTTCCCAATTCCTTGCCGAATTCTGCAACGGATTCTGTCTCGTAGAAGCCCGTGGCTAGCAAATTGCCTGTCACGGTGTCATCAGACGGCCGGCCTGCTCCCTGCCGCTTCTTTTTGGCACCCTCATCCGTAACAATTATCCCACAAGACGGAGCAGGTTTCGCGACACAGCGGAAATCCTTGTACCGCAGCGCGTGGACAGTGGCCAGCCATTCCTCCAGACCAGCGGCGTCACGCGATTCGGCGAACATGATGCCTGGACACCCGCCACTGCGGACAAGCAGCCAGTCGACATTGAGCTGGCTTGCCGCGCGACGGACACGCTGTAGCTTCTTGCGTGAGGTGATGTGGTGGGTGCGGATAAGACAATTGAATATGATGGGCGCGCGAGACATGCTGCGGTGCCGAGCCCCGTGAAATCAGGATGCCATTGTTGATGGAAGAAGCTGGTGATGAGTTTGATCTTCCCTCCCCGATGGCTCGTGCTGACTAAACATTTGCTCTTGCCCAATTCCACATCGATGGAGAGAAAACAAGGCTGAAGACTACACGAGATGTAGCGGCTGAAAATAATCTGGTGGTTGTTTCGCTGCGTCCGCCATCATGCGGTTGGGAAGATAGCAATGGCCAACCACCTGGTACGCATTATCGCCCATAGCGCCGTGCCATGGCCGCAGCACAATGGGGACAGGCAGCCCGGCCAGTACCCAGACCTCGTCTCTCCCTGCCTCGGCACTCTGCGGCGCGAGGCCTAGATATCCGCTCGCGCTGCGGAAAAGCACGCGTGCCTCCAGATGGGAGCCCATCGAGAGTTCGAACTTCTTGGCCCTGTCTTGGATTCTTTGCCGTTCCTGCTGTCGTTCGTCGGCGTTCGCGTTGGGCGCGACTACGGCTGCTGGCTGGAACGCCCTCAGCGTCTCCCGGATTTGTGATGGAGAAGGGAAGAAGCCGTCCTGGTTCAACTCCCAGAGCTGGGTCATTGCTGACTTAGTCGCGTCAATGAGGGCCACAGCATCTCGTGAGCTGATCGTCTCCGTTTGCGGTCCGGAGAACATCATCTTGCGAAACTCATCTGATTTGGTCAAGTTGGGCATGGGCAATCCGCTTCCCAGTCTCGGGGCGTTGGGGTCGCTGATGTTCTCCTTGAGATAATCATTCATCTCATCCAGCTCTCTCTTTGCCAGCAGCACGGCGGCTGTGGGATCCCATCTCGACTTCTCTTCAATGACCCGCAGCTTGTTGATCATCCAGTCTGCGAATTCAGCTTTAAGCTGGGCCCTCGCCTTCGAATCTTTGTTCATCTTGAGCACGGAGGAGGAGCAGAGAAGCGCGCTGAGCAACCGGTCGTCGGCTGGATAATTCACGTGGGGCCCATCCATTTTGTACAGTGATTTGGTGAGCGCCAGAATAGATCGCCAGTCGCCATTAGCCATGATGTTATTGAAGCTAACAGCTGTCGCTTGGATTGTGTCTGCTTTGTGGCCGTGTACAGCGAGCACAGAGTTGGCCGCGACAATCTTGATACCACGCTGAGCACCACCGTCTGCTTTCCATCTCTTCTTTTGTGATGCGCCTAAAAGATCTAGGGGAAGCAGTGCTGCAGTGAAGTCCGGCATCCATGAAGGAAGAGTACGTTTGTTGCGGAGGCTGCGATCTTCCACTTGAGTGAGAATAGTCAAGTCCCCTTTGGCTTTGATAAACTCGACTGTAAACTCTTTGATGACCTGTTCGATGCTCTTGTTGTAGTCCGGCTTGAAGTTCGGGAACCGGGTGCCGAGTCTTTGGGCACTCGTTTTGGCGAGATCCAGCATCGCGAAGAACTTGTCCCTGTGATCTTTGGCCTGCAGTAGTCGCCCTGCCATGAGTAGCTTGTACGGAGACTCGGGGGAAAGGGCCCTGAACGCAAGATTCTTGATCGTGACGTGTAATTCGATTGCGCTGGACAAGGGCTCGGCACTGAGTTTACTGGATTGCGACTCCAAGTGCTCCCACATCGGCTTGAACGCATCCACTTCCCTCCGCAAGAGGGCCCAGGTGTTGTTCGAGGAGAGATACTTGGTAGCTCGTCTTATGTCCTTCCACACAAACACCTGGCTCCCCCAAACCATGGTGTTCTCCCTGGCGAACGCCAACTCCTGGACGATCCAAGCCCGTTGGAAGTATGGCAGACTGAGCAAGACTACCGCACTCATCCAAGCCACCGAGCTGAAGCGTTTCATCTCCGAGGCCGGATCGTAAGAGGCGCTGGTGTAAACTGGTTTGGGAATTGAAGATAGCGCCGTGATCACCTCGTGGGCTTGCTTAGTGTGGCTGTCTTCCGGGCCCAGCCAGGAGATGACTGCCTTGGCCGACTTGTAGATCTGTCCCATGAAAGCGACCTGAGACGACTTCTCGACATCATCTTGCTGGTTGATACACAGCTGATCCACCCACAGCCGGTCGCATCCCAGCCTACTGGCTGTTGACTGCCCATCACCATCGAGTGTGAACAAGGCACGGAGAGCATTGTGCAGGTTCTCGGTTATGGGTATAGACTCGCCGTCACATATGAGCTCATGCTGCTTACCTTGGGACTTGACCTGGCTTTTTTGATAGAGGGAAATGCGTGGGTCAAACCATACGTAAGATAAGGCCATGTATGATGGGCCTTGGTTGATATCAACAGTGTGCAAGCGAGCGCTGATGGGTTCTGATATGCCTGACTGAATCACCTCCAGAAGGCGAATGTTGGATCGCATCGGAAGTTTTTTGTAAAACCCCGGTGGAACAGCCAAGATATGCTCTCTTGGCTGTACTGACTGAGCCAAGACTGTGCCAGACGATGCAGTAACGTCCTGCTTTTGCTGCGATTTGAGGATTGTCTCCGTCATCTCCCGAAATGTCTCGTTCAAATGCTCCAGCATGACACGGGTGGCACTGTCCGATCCGTCTTCCTTTGTCGATTTCAACAACACCTCGTTTATTTCCACTCGGATCTCTTCCAACTCCCGAGCAGTAAGTTCGGCGTCCCGTCTCCGTATATGCCAGAAGAACTTGAGCACCTTGGGGCTAAAGGCAAGCTTGGCCATACGGGCTATGTCCCATAGGTTTTTGCCCATGCCGAAAATCAACTCCTTGTTGCTTAGCGTGTCCATATCATGCTGTGATTGAACGGTTCCGGATTGAAGCCCTCGCGGCTCGTCTGAGGCTACCTGCGGCATTGGATCAGGTACTTTCGGGTGGTCAACGGCAAGACGGTGTTGGGAAGCAGCAGCGATATCGCGCGAGGCAGCAAAGCCGTTGCGAAGATACTGGGAAATGGGCGCCAGAGGTCCTGCTGCGCCACTGAGGCCGTTTGAGATCTTGAAGAGCCCGGTGACGGGGCTGCCCCAGGAATCTTGCAGGAGGTCGAGGTAGGTCTTTGCAAACTCTGCTGCATCAGGTCCGTCTTTTGAGCACCACTCCTTGACAGAATCCTGACGTAGAAGTTCGCCTAGTCGGAGGGCCAGAGCCACGTCCCTGGGCCCATCCCGTGTCGCGTCGTAGCCTGATTTCTCTAGCCTCTGCGACCTCTCTTTGAGGCATCTTCTAACTTCATCTTCTTCCTCTTGGCTCATTGGCTTCAGCCATGATAAAAATGAAGACATGTTACTTAGTCCAATTTGCTCATGTGTTCTCAATTGATTCGGAGGTAGACAACATGTATTGTGCTCACTTTTGCGGCTGGATTCAAGCAGGATGGTGCAAGATATTCGAAGGTTGGCCCCACGTGCAAGGCATTCTCAAGGGCGTCCTGTCCACTGGAGGTTACTGGCTATGATCTAGGCATGGAGGCCTTGACAGGGATTGAGCAATCCTGACTTATTGTCATCCCTGCCCCGGATCTGACCTTTTTGAACGAGCGAGAGTGTCCCGACTAAATCATGCCGGAATGACTAAGATAGCCAAAAATGAACCCTCTATGAGCCTTAAATGGGAGACTATGAATAGTGGACTCTACAAGGATTATCTGCGGTTTTGAAGGGGCCGGGTTACGTTCCATTTGACCACAACCAGGTCGGCGCCAGAATGGGCTGTGCGAGGTCGGCTAAGGTGTAGCTGGAAACAACGAATGTGCGAATGGAAACCCCGTATCATGATACCTACACTTGTATGGGAGGTAGTATGATTATAAATCCATGATTATCTATCTACTGGTTGTCTACAGCTTTTCAACAGCTGGGTTCAGATGACCCCTGCTTAGGGCATGACAGGCCGATCCGAGTGTGGAATAATTTATGGTTCTATTGATATTACAAAGAGACCGTTTAACAGTTATAGATCGTCGTCGTCAGGCGGCCAAGCTGTCTAAGTTTCAACGCCATGTGATAGTCGCGTGGCGTGACTGGACTTTGTCTTGATGATGCAATCAAGCATGTCCTCTGACCACCCGATTTGTTCTGTACGTACGGATCTGCTTTAGGAGCGCATGTTTCTTGTGCCACTTTGCACCACTGCCTCCAGGGCTGGACTTAGAGAAGTAGCCCGAATGTTTGCGGCGACACTACTATGCCGATTTGCGAAAGTAAGTAAGAAGAACTGAAACTGAAATATAACAGAGGTTTGTTGGAGAGCAGTTTATTTGTTCCAAATCAGTATTAGGGCTGAGCTCCAAACACCCAGGGGAAACCATGGCTCTGTCTAAACACAACAAGGGCTGAATCAAATGAAAAGGCTCCCCGAAAGATGGCCTACATTTAGATATGAACGGATCTATTCTCAATAATACGTAGCTTGCGGTGATTTGAGGAAAGACTTGGCTTGGGCTTTCTACTAAGAGCTCCTTCTAGGTTCTGTCATTTTTGGGAGTCGAAGCGAAAATGATGAATTCAATGCAAAAACCGGTAACTGGTTTTTCTGGATTATGAACCGAGCAGAAAATGTCTCCCACTTCCCCCCTTGATGAACGAGAATGTTCCTGAAAATTAAAGACGCTCACATCATTCGTCTTTCTTCAAGAGAAGCTTAAGAAGAGTACACGACCTGAGAGGCAACCAAGAGCTATTGTTGACCTTGCCACAGCCGATGAGCATGCGCGATACTCCGCAGGTAGCCAAAGCAACCTCTCCTGTTGACCTTTCATAATCCATTCACGATCGACGCGTATCCTATTGCCGAAGTGTTTAGCTTCTTGAATACCAGTAGTGGTTGACCTATTTCCAATCGAAGGTGGTAGACTCTGTAGATCCAAACTTAGAAATCCCATATTGGTAGAGAGCAGAGAGCTTGTCGTAGAGTCGAACGAAACTTGGGTAATCCGAGCGTCGACCTTGAGGGTCTGTATACAAGTTCTAGTCGCCGTATGCCAGACTTTAATCGTATCACCCTCCAATCCGCTATCATGAGTGACCATGGCGAGGTACTCGTTATCTGCCGAGAAGGCTGCCAAGTGCGGAAAGAAATCAGGCCCCTCAAAGACCTGCAGGCATTTACCAGTTGGTACCTCCCAAAGCCTAAACGTGGAAACGTATGAACCCGAGATGAGCTGATGGCCATCTGGCGAGAAGACTACCGAGCTCACCCGACTAGTATGGCCCTCAAGTGTGTGCACACATTGGCCTGTCTTCATGTCCCACACCCTAACTGTACAATTAACCGAGCCGGAGGCAAGCCATTGGCCATCTGTTGAGATGGAAACAGATGCAACTAAACCTATATGACCTTTTAGTGTCTGAAAACACGTTCCTGTTGTTGTATCCCAGATCTTGATCGTCTTGTCTCTGGAAGCTGAGGCGAGCAACCGACTGTTCGATGAGATGGCCACATACAACACTGAATCATGGTGGCCTTCAAACGTCCTTACGCATTCCCCCGTTGTCGCATCCCATATCCTCGCCTTTCTGTCCTTCGAACCGGCGACAAGCCACCGGAAATCTGTTGTGAACACTACTGACGTTACCTCAAATCCATAGCCATGGGGAATTTGCGCATATGAGCTAGTTCCTAGATCCTAGATTTTAATTGTAGTGTCATAAGAGCAGGAGACGAGCCTCTGGCTATCTGCCAGGAAGGCGACGGAGGTCACCATATTACCATGGACACCAAAAGTCTCCATACATGTTGCAGTTAGTATATCCCAGACCTTGACCATACCATCTGCTGAACCTGATGCGAGTCGCTGACTGTCCGCCGAGAACGCCACTGAGTATATCAATTGAGTGTGGCCTTCAAGTGTTTGCAGGCATGTGCCTGTTGGTATATCCCACATTTTGATGGTCTTGTCAGCGGAGCCCGAGGCGAGCCTTCGGTCATCTAAGACAGCCACGGCCGTCACTTCATCGCTATGCCCTTCAAGCGTTTGCACGCATGACCCTGTGCTTATATCCCAGATCTTGATTGTTCGATCGCGAGAGCCTGAGGCGAGTTGTTGGCTATTCAGAAATGCCACCGAGTACATCCGTCCTTCATGACCGACAAGTGTTTGCAGGCATGCACCTGTCGCTATGTCGAAGATCTTGCTATCGTCGTCAGAGCAGGTCGCGAGGTATTGTGTACCTGAAGTGGCCACAGAATATGCATAGCCACTCGCTTCTAGTGTTTGCACGCATAACCCTGTTGCTATATCCATGATCTTGATTGCTTTGTTCTGAGAGGCGCAGGCGAGCCTCTGGCTGTCTATGAAGGCGATCGCGACCCTCTGCAGCTCATCATGATCCGCAAAGGTCTTTACGCATACTCCCGTTGCTATATCCCAGACCTTGACTTCATTGTGATAGGAGCTAGAGGCAAGGCGATGCCCATCTGGCGACACGGCGAGGGACCTCACCTCTTGCGAATGGTCCTCAAGCGTTTGGACGCATGAATCCCAGTCTGACTCAAACTTAGGGGCTAGCCTAATCCAGCTCGGCTCTTCCTTTTTGAAGAATTCCCTGACTAGGCTTTTGGTAGGACTAAACACGAGAGCTGACACATAGGCTTGTAATGGAGCAATCTCTATTACTCGCCTATTGGAGAGAATGAAGCGGCGAGCATCCCGAATCGTCAATTTCAGTTTATTAGACCCGATTTTCACCTGAAATGATGTTATTCCAATTGCAAGTGAATCGAGAAGGTGGGGGGGGGGGGGGGAGTCTCACCATGAAACGTTCAAGTTTCTCCATTGCCAAAATCCCTTCCACTATGATGCGTAAGAGACCGAGAGCCTCCAACCAATAAAGGTACTTAGTTTTAAAGAATTCGTGAACTGCACCCCCATCGCTTAGGGCGGTTTTTCCCACCTCTGTGTCGAATTCTGATTCATCGAGATGGTCAACCCAGTATATACAAGAATACCGAACCGCAGACAATGGATCGGGATCGGGTATTGATATTTCGTCGATGAAAAGTCCTGGAGCCTTTACCCCATAAATATCTCGCTGAAGAGTTTCTGATAGACATTGCAGTGAGTTCAAAAGCATAGCTCGATGCTGATGCGCGGTGCCGGGAGGTAGGATGTAGCTAAAAGCCTTTTTAAGTAGGTAATCCTTCGCAGATTGGTGCACGAAGTAGATGAAGTCCTCGCGAAGTGTCAAGAAAGAACCACAGGCGCCAACAACTTCTTTGATCTCTTCCTTGTCCATGTCTGTAAGCGACTGTGCCAGAGCTTTTAGTTCGTCCAGTTTAACGGGTCGATATACTGTCGAAGCAATGGCTAAGACCTCTCTGCAAAGGTCAGTGTCTTCTGAATCACGCACATGCTCCATCATTTGGCCGTATAGCGAATCAAGCCCCCGAGGGAACGACTGCAACTTGCTGAGTGTGTGTCGTTTCCTAACCTTAGGATCTGCGAGCTCTTGATAGACCAAGGCTACCCAGAGGAAAGTGCCGTCAGCATTTGAAATTAAGTGATTTTCAACAGCTTGTTTTGTTTCTTGGTCGTAATTCTTGTCGCGGGCCAATTGTTCCACCTTGTATGCAATGTACGTCTCGACAGCCTTGGAAGTTGAGTTCTTGTTCAACTCGAGACTCAGTCCGATCCAGCCTTTCCTCAATGTCTTGCCAGTTACGACTGGAGACTATCCACTTGGCACGACTAGGCTGTGCAATAAAATCAAGAAATTGGTGCCGGTTTGTCTTACACTCATCAAGTGCATCTATAATTAAGATGGCACCCTCTAAGCTTGGATCATTGAGCATAGCGGTCAAGATCTTGGACAATGATTCCCACGCATTCAGATCCTCGAAAAGTTGCTTCCCCGCGTGGTCGTACTTCTGGCGGATGTGTGGGATAAGCGATGGCTGTTGTTGAACAAGGAGGTAGATTAGACCACGAAGCACGGCTGTCGCATTACTCAAACGGTCTTCAGTAGCCTGGCAAAAGAAATAAGACAGGCAATTGGCGGACTTCTTCTCCATTTCATCAATGATTCCACATAGAAGCATCGTCTTGCCTTGCCAGGGTCGCCCGTGATCCAGAGCAGTTGGCATTGCGAATCGTCACGCCATCTTTTGAAGTCATCATGTTCTAGGATCCAGCGGTAAGAGTCCCTCAGTAGGCCACCTTTGGTGCTCTGGATGCGTGTCCTATCATCACGAGGGTCAGTTTCGCGCAGATCTCTGAGGCATTGTTCATCTTTGTCATCTTGATATCTCTTCTCTTGTTGGCGCGTTTGGTCCTGGATTGCTGAATGGATGCCTTGCAGATTTGTCTCAGTAGCCTTCGCAGAGTCGACGAGATTTTGAAGTCGCACCTTGCTCTCTTCAGTATTGTATTGTTCCATATCTCTTTGCACAGCAAGCTCAGCTTCGTGTATCCCACTGAGATGACCAGCCCAAGCATCGATTTTGAGGAGATCTCTTCCGATAGTAACAGCCCAGTTTCGGTGATAAAGACATACACTCTTCATCTGGTAGGCGAGAAGATTCTTATAGAGTTGAGCGATATGGTTCTCTAGTCGGGCTCGCAGTCCTGCGACAGACTGTTCAGCCTTATTCTCGTCGAGAAGCAACGACACCAAGTTCCAGTACCACTCCATTCTCGACAGGACGTAGGTAATGCCGTTACGATTATCACGCGCCTCAGTGATAGGGTTCGAAAGGATCTGTCAACAGTTAGCAGATGATAAAAGATTAGCCTCCCCTCACTGAAGAAAGTTCGTTACACTCACCTCTAATCCGAGGCAGACGCCGGACCAGGCTATAGCAGCTCCCGAAGCAGCATGGACCGCATTGCTCACTACTTCTCTCACTGCTTCCACTGCTTGTGAGCTTTCGTCAATGCCTCGTTTCAAAGACGCGACCTTTCCCGTCCGTTTCAGTCCTTCCTGCACCAATTGCTGCATTTGGAGACACCTGGCCTTTCGGGTTCTCTCTATCTTATTTTCCATCGGTTGCGTGGTGACAGGAGTTGAGCCACTTCGGTATAGTTCAGCTGATAGAATCTTCTCATATCCTTCGACCAGCTTAGGCTCGCTCGATGCAAGCTCATCATAAGCCTTGTTCCAAAGCCACTCTTGTAGATTCGGCAGGGAACAGATATCGGAATCTGTCACAGAAGATGGATCGGCGACTGGCCGAGATGCCACTTGGATTGCCGTTGAAGAGTCAGACTGGGGCGGAGACGGTGCTGGTGATGCTGATGGGGGTGGGGTAGCCTGCACCAACCTCTTGGTGCCGAATCCGACTTTCCCAAACCAGCGAGGCGCCATCTTCGGTTATAGGATAATAGAGCAGACGAGATAGTATCCGTACGTTTGTTCTTCTCGGAGCAGTGGCTAGTAAGTTATGGGGCGATCATATTGTTAGGCAGGACCCTGTTTTTCCTTGCGTGTGCGGGGAGACAGCTGGCATGGATCAATCCCTGTGGCTGTGCGCATCTCGCGAGGCGAATCATGTTACTTTGGCGCCTCTGCCAAGCAGATGGACGCCTCGCCTTATGCGAGGGCGCTGCACATCGCCAAATTGGGATGAAAGCTCTGGAAGCAACTGAGGTGTTCTCGCTGACGTCCTATTGCCAGACCTGAGACCACTCTCATCTAGCTTTCCTGGTACTACAAATCGTATTAGGTGACGAATTAAATCTATAGGAGCACGAAGGCAGCGTTGTAGAGCTTTCCGTTCTTAATGCTATCTTTCCATTGTTTAATCCCGTGTTGATGATTTGGGGGCCCGGAAAATTACCGCGTTGGGAACAATAGAGGTTTTCGTAACAGATGTTCCGGCAGCCTATTTGGAGGGTCATATATTGTAGTTTCAGAAGGTCAGTTGGACTGGTTTCAGAGGAATGTAAATTCGTGAGTCTTAGCTACAATTCAATTCAGCTTTGAACGCAGGTATGTCCATGTTTGCTGTCAGCAATCCTTCAAACGTCAGACGTACAAGCTCATTGACTCTGGAGGAGAATCATCTCGATGCTCTACCAGAAGTCGAAATCCAAGTATAGGCCTTAAAAACTTTGCTTCAAAGTACGAGGATACTCACTGAAGTAGATCCCACTGAGCAAGCAGTCTCCTCGCGTTTTGACAACTACAGTGTGCTTCAAGTTGCAGCCTACGGAAGCCTTTCAACGCAAGTGCCCATGCTGTCCGCATTTTACCTCGCAGAAGGCTGCAAAATCATGGGCAAGGACTTTATGTGGTAAAACTTGCGCGCTGACCTCGTTGTTCTCGGTGCTCGGGGGACTGGTGGTAGCGACTGGCGGTGATGCGATTGGATTTCCCTGCCCCCTTCTAGCTACCAGCGTCGAGAGTGTGTTGGCTAGTCCTTGGAGTGCTTGGGTAAACGTTGCCTTTAATTTAAAATAATCTCTCTTGCGGGTATCCCGTTCCTTGACCTTGACGCCCCTCATGAACCACGGGTATTGTCGGAAGATGAGAGATAGATGATCTAGGCTATAAAGAGAAGAGATGTTTGTCTCTCTGAAGAAGATGGTGGACGTCTCCTCCTAGTAGGAAAATGTCTACCTAGAAGCAGATCTCTTGTCCATGATGCCTAGTCAGAGCTAACTACGCTATAACAACATTCAATCAATCAAACAGGTTAATTTTCTCTAGCGAAGCTATAGATACAGGCTTGTATATACTTAATTACACATTCCACACTGTATTGCCTGCAGAAAGCCTCACTCGGCACGATATCCTGCGAGCCGAGACTAAAGCCTAGTTGCTAGAAAGTGAAAACGCTTGAGGAAAAGCTCCTTACATGAATGCTTGTACTGAATACTTATTGATATACGATAAACCATTCCAAACCTTTTCTTCGCATCTAGAAGTATCTTTAGCATGAATACGTCCGGCTAAGGTGACAGAGCCCAAACTAGAATCGAGCCAAAGCCAGAGCTAGATATTCATTTCCAAGAGCTGTCAGCCCTAATCCCTGCTAGATTCCAAGATGTGGCGGCCCAGACCTCGGTGGTTCCCTAACCCTGCCAAGCTGGTAATCTAACCATCCTTGCAACTGTTGACCACCCGCGCGCGACGGTAAACTTTGAAGGATCTGGGCGTAGATTACATGATATATCTGAGACACAAGCGGGCGGCATGCGTCTCCGAGACTACGCTAGGGAGACCAAAAAACCACGTGAGAAGGCAGGATCAGGATCAAGTCGTCTTTCATTCAATACAGGCCCAAAACCTGGCTCGGACAGTTTAGACTAATGCAGCTAGTGAACAATTTCGCGAAGGGAAAGAGAAATGGTAACAATTTATCAGTAGGACTCTGAGGAAGAGCCAGATTAGAATTCCCTTAAATACTTTGACGAGGCAACTACAATGTACTATCCCAATATGCCACGAGAAGATTTAATAGAGAAGATGTTATCGTCCATAATGGAAACAGTAGAAGACCCCTCCAAGGTTGTTGTAGAACAAGGTGCACCCAAAGTATCGCGAAGGAGCAAATGCCTACTATTTTCAAAGTAGGGTACCAAAGAAATTCCACCTAGCTATTAGATAACCCTTTATACATTAAAAAGAAGCTGTAGCGGCAGCAAAGGAACGTGATAGTCATTTCACAGGTCATCAAGAAGCCAACCCGTGTCTTCACTTAGTTAGAAGTTGGCATCGGCCTTATAGCTGCTATGCCCATTTTATCGGCCCGTGTGCCGGATTTAGTGCCGAACATGCGTCTTCCCTGTGTCATGAGCAAGCCTGGGGGCATGGAGTGTAAAGAAGGCTTTGTCTTGCTTTAGTTTGTCCATCTATGGTGGGAAGCCGCGCCTGAGGATGTAAGCGGCTGACTATATTTGAAACAACACCCGGCGACTCCCACGCAGGCGCCGAAATTTAGCTCCGTTTAAAGAAGGCTGGTGGAGTTCCTTTTGGATTTGAATGCTTATCTCTTACCCCTTGAGACAGAGTATATAGAGCTAGCTTACACCAGCTCGTTTTACAGGAAAGAAAGCAAGGAGCCAACTCAGCAACTCGTTCCTCTTCAAAATTTTCTTTAAACAAGCAACTCGTCTCTCCAGAATGAGTCCGCGATCGTTGAGGGCTGTGGCCGCTCTGGCCATCTGTCTTTGCCCGGCCGTGCAAGGTGACAGGCTATTCACTGTCAATTGTGACCCATTGACAATCCAACGAGGCGACCCCATTGTCTCTCCAGGCCAGATTTCCTCCCACGTTCATGCTGTAACGGGAGGAACCAACTTTGCCTTGACAGAGACGAACGAGCAGGCTGTCGCGGCAGCGGCCACCACTTGCGACAAGATTCTCGATAACAGCAATTACTGGCAGCCTCAGGTCTACCACGAGCGCTTTGATGGCAAGTTTGAAATTGTCAAGTTTGAAGGCAATGTAAGTCGACAGTGTTCTCACACCCAACAACCTCACACCACTGTTATTAATAACTTGCCTTTGTCGAGTTAGGTCGCATATTATATTGAACGTGCTTGTGACTATGCTCCGGGACGGACCAACTGTAATACTGCCCCGAAGCCTATAGCTCCTCCTCAGGGGCTTCGCATGGTTACCGGCAACCCGTTTCTCCGGTATTTTATCCAGCCCTATCTGCAGTAAAAAAATTCTGATTGTTTGGCAGAACGTACAATAGTTCCGACATTACGCAGCGTGCTATCCAGACTTTCTGTTTGAGTGGTCCCAACGAGGGTGAACGTCCGACTCTCCCTCGCCTACCTTGCGGCCGGATCCGTGCTGAGACCTTCTTCCCGTCATGTTGGGATGGCAAGAATCTCGACTCCGACAACCACAAGAGCCATGTAAGTTGTTATCCTTAATGGATGTATCCTAGCTAGAATCGGTGGCCTAATACTGTGACTTCTAGATGGCCTTCCCAGCGATAGGTGACTACAACGGCGGAGTCTGCCCCGAGTCGCACCCAAAAGCCATCTTGTCTGTCTTCTTCGAATTCTTCTACGACACGGGTGCTATCGAGAACCCCAATCGTCTTGTATATGCCCATGGAGATGCCAGCGGCTACGGACTGCATGGTGATTATCTACAAGGCTGGACAGACCAGGATAGGCTCGAGACGGCGCTTGATACTTGCGAAGACGGCGTGGATAGTGCCGGCTGCAGCCTCAACGTTGGCAGTGATGGGCATGCTGGCCACCCTAGTTCACAAGTACTCGCTACTCCCGCGCCTGATGAGGATGTCGGATTGAATGGTCCGTTGTCCAAACTTCCTGGGGACAATCCAGTTACGGGAGAAATCCCTTAGGGTACTCTGAATGTAATCAAGACTTTTTGAGGGGGTGCTGTTTCCGCACCAGGTGGTGACAAGATGAGATTCGATGTCGCTCTCGATATCTACTCTGCCGGAACCAGAGAGGGTAGTATTGATCAGCATTTAAAACTAGGTATACCAATGGCAGCTTTTCTTAAATTCGATATTCTTTCAAAATTCTATGAGATGGTATTTTCCACATGGCCCAGAAGGGTCGTCTTTGTCTCTGCACCTTCTAGTTCGTTGAGGTGCATGGAGCAGTGATCCAAACAATCCGAATGTGCCAGGTTATTTTTTTTTTACCAGCAAACTGCGGAAAAATAAACCGCTTCATTATCTATGCAAGTGATCGGCATACTTGCGCCCCAGTCGAGAGCGTGATACGCCAGTACGAGTGCTCAGTCTTTCCGTGGGAAACGCATCTCAGCCCCAGATAGCATGTGGAAGATACTGCGAAAGATACACTTCTCTGTATATTCAATATTGCCCGAAGTGATACCTCCACAGAAGCCAAAGTCGATGTGGACTTCCAGTTTTGCCACTCATCTCTTGATCCCTGAGGTTGAATGTAAAATGGTGGGCTATAGAATGATAATAGGACCGGTCACGTAGGGGGCTAATACAAATAGAACACCAGATACGTCTATGGCTACATCTAGCAAGAGGGAAAAGTGCAAAGGGTCTGTCGAGACATTATCCGTGTAAGTTCTGGACTCGACGAGCAACATGGCCGTGGCTGGTTCAGGCCTCTTAACCGAGGCAAGATTCATTTCACGGCGTGTTAACTCAGAGCCCCAACAGCCGTATTCATTCAGTACAAGCCCTACCATCCAGTCGGTAACGGACCCGATCACCACACTTGCTACCTCAGAGCCCCCAACTCAATCTTGCATAACACATTAGGCAATAATGAGGCGAGCGCTAAGCTTTTTATGGCAAATTTGCACACTCATAACCCTGCAATGGAACAAGATCTGGGTAATCATGCCCAAAAGATTTATTAACTTCTCCCCGCGTTGCTGATTTAATGCCTGCTTAGGCAGTGTCTAGAGACTTTGCCAATATCTGATCATATGTCAATTCGCATTAGCTCCCCAAAAAGGACATTTATCTCGCTCGGATACGTGCGACTATAAAAGCTGCACGGCTTCTTAACCCAAGGCAGCATCATTATTGTCGATCTAAGAGAATCAGGGAATGGTCTTTTGACACTGCTACACGGAGTTGTTCTCTCTACTCTTGGCGCTCCTCTTCTCAACACTTAGTGGTGGAGAAACTAGAGTCGCACACTCGAAGCAGTCCTTTGCCAAGAATTGGTCCTTTGCCAAGAATCGATAATTTGGTATACGATGTTAATAAATAAGCTCGTACTTCTAGGTCTTGAACATCACGGAAGCCGTGGGGTCACTTTCCGTCGCCCATTTTGGCTCGTTGCTCAATTTTGTCCGTTTCTCCTCCCACATCCCGTTAGCGTGAAACAAAATGGCGACAGGTGACATTCCGAACATCATGCCGAGCGAATACGATTGGAAGGATTGAGCTTGAAACCCTCGTGTTACAAAATAAAGTTGCACGTCAAAGGTTTGACCCCTGAAAGTCGGGTGAATTATGATTTGCGGCCCGCTGAGAGTTGCAGCGGATATTCCATTCTTGCTTCATTTGTTTTGTTCCGTGGCATGTTAGTTGAGACAGCGTTAGGATAGCTTCTTGTCTCAGGTTGCATTGTTGGTGAGAGAGCTATCAGTAAATATTCCTCCAATCAGAGCTTAACTACCAGCATCTGCAATATAGTTAGTATAATCACAATATTGAGGAGTATATAAGGAAAGATCAATCCAAGACGAGATAATGAAGTGCAATAGCATCAGTGAACCAAGCAGTCTTAAATCAACACATATCAATCCATTTTCCATACCAGCAAACCATTCACGATGAAGTACAATACCCTTGCTATTCTTCTTTCTTGCGGCCTGGCTTCTGCCCAGACTCTCAACATTCCCACACGAGTTGGGAATGTTGTTGCCCTTTCTCAACCTTCTGTCATCAGCGGTTCGGTCGATCTTGGAAACCGCGAGTATGACCGTGGTGTTGACTGCAAGAGCGGCGAGAACGGCGACAAGGACGCAGTTTTCATTCTCGAGAACGGCGCCACCTTGTCCAACGTCATCATTGGCGCTCGTCAGCTCGAGGGTGTTCACTGCGAGGGTGCATGCACCCTGAAAAACGTGTGGTTCCGTGATGTCTGCGAGGGTAAGTTTTCCAAGAATTTGCCGACTAAAATATTTTGTTTCCTAACTTGTTGATGTTATCAGATGCCGTCTCAGCCCTCGGGACCGGCGATGTCCTCATTCAGGGTGGTGGAGCCCAAAACGCCGACGATAAGGTCGTCCAGCACAATGGCCGTGGAACCGTCACTATCCGTGACTATACTGTTGTCAATGTCGGCAAACTCTACCGTAGCTGTGGCGACTGTACCAACAATGGTGGTCCTCGTCACGTTGTTGTTTCCAATGTCCGCGCCAACACGCTCAAGTCCGACCTGACCGGCATCAACTCCAACTACGGCGACACTGCTACCATTAGCAACTCTTGTGGTGTTACTAAGAAGGTTTGCCAGGAATACAAGGGTGTTAAGAAGGGAGACGGCAAGAGTGAGAAGGTCAGCACCACTGCTAACTGCCTGGGAGGTCAAGGAAAGCTTTCCAAGTTGCCTACCTGTTAAATGGAGTCGCTTGTGGCACCTGAGTTTGACTCAGCTCATGGAATGGGCTGAGACTTTTAGAAAAACATAGGAATTCCAAGTTAAAATTTGGGGTTGGAGCAGTATTCAAACGGTTTCTAGTCAAATTGAAGAGCCTGAAGCAGTGCCGATATCTCGCATGTACGAGAAACCGCAATATAACTTAAACTTGTCTACAGATTCAGCTCGTAATCGTTGGTATTTTGCCATCATCAGATCATCCATAAGGAACGTGCACAATCCAAGGCAAAACAGAGGGGCGGTCCAATTAATGTTTTGGGTCCTCATATCTCGAAAGCCACTTCTCTGTTTCCTTATGCTAATACAGCATCCAACAAACAGGCTAGAGACTTGGGTCCTTGTCAACCTTTTCAGTGACTCTTTCGGGTGCTTTCTGTCCATTGCGGCCTGTTGCTAGGAACTCGAGTGGCCTAGGAGATGTTTCATGCCCAGACTATCCATTAGAGGGCAAAAGATATATGCATTCTCCTCTTCGAGAACACAATTTAGCTTCCATCTAGACCTCATAGTTAACCACAGTTCACCTCTGAAGATCTTAATGAGAAAACTGCATTAATCATAACAAGAAGCGTCGTATAAAAACAAGCAGTCTAATCAAATTACTCAGTTACCGTCTACTCTAATGATAGATCTAAGTCAAAGCTAATCTAAAACTAATAACAAAAGCAAAGTCCCAATATCAAATGTGATGTCCCCGGAAAAAGACCGAAAACCCACTCACCGCACCATGACATATCCAAGTGGTACTTTATGACCTTGCACCCCTACCTATCACACATCGGTACCCCGGCAAGGGCCGCCTGGCTCTCATGTAGCAATGTTGTTGATAACACCATTCACGATGAAATTGCGTAAATGGTCACTGAAAGCTTCCTAAGCTCCACCACGAGGATCTTGGCAAATACCATTCTGGCAGTTTCCACTCAAACACTGATCATCAAAGCCACAGTCCGAGCCGTTTATGGCTGATCCACGTTTAGGGTTTTGGCAAATACCATCCTGGCAATTTCTGCTCAGACACTGATCATCGAATCCGCAGTCAGAGCCATTAACAGCCGAGCCACCACTCGGCTTAGGCTTTTGGTCCTGGCATGTACCATTCTGGCAGCTTCCGCTAATGCATTGGTCATTGAAACTGCAATCAGAACCGTTGATGGCTGTTCCGTTCTTGAGAGCCTGGCAGATACCCCCCTTGCAGTTCCCGCTCAGACATTGGCCGTTGAAGCTGCAGTCGGAGCCATTGATAGCTGATCCGGTGGTCTGCTTTGGCTTAGGGTCTTGACAGATGCCATCCTGGCAGTTTCCACTGCGACATTGACCATCAAAGCCGCAGTCGGAGCCATTAACAGCCCCACGGGAAAGGTCCTGGCAGATACCATTCAGGCAGTTGTTGCTCTTGCACTGGAAATCAAATCCACAGTCAGAACCGTTGATGGCCTGCCGAGTGACATGAGGTGCCGCGTTGCTAACGCCAGCCAAGGCGATGGTCAAGGCGATGATGCTGAAGTATTGCATGACTAAAGTTGGGATTCGGAATAAGCAATGTTGTTATTTTGATGCTGGGTTTTCGGATCAAAGCAGGAATCAAATACTGCTTGTGTTAAGTGATGACTAGAAAGAGGAGGAATGGAAATCGAAAATTCGGAGGAAATCAAACTGAAAAGGTTACTGATTGTATGATTGAAAGACAGATGAGATGCTGAGAAGATGGTGCTGAATGTTCCGTACATGCAGCTGGAAAAAGCGAAGCTTTATAGTTCTTTTTTATCTATCCCGATTTCATCTCTTGGCCGATGGGTCTTGCTAAAAATTGTTTGCATCGACATACTTCGTCTCTTACTAGATATTAGCTGACCAAAACTTACCCGCATTTGATCGTGCTTACCGGCAAACTCACCATCCGGCTCCGCCCCCATGGCAGTGAATGTTTCTCAGCTAAGCCACCTCGCGCGGGAGAGACTTGCCATTGGTATTGGTGCTATTTTCAAGCTGACTGTGGCGTACATTTGCATGACTACGCTTAAGACTTGGAGTCAAAACGGCTCTTCGTGATCAACCAAGGTGCTTCACGACAAAAAGTTGGTTTTTGGACCCCATTCTTGCACGCCAGGTCAAATGCTAACATTGCTACGTAGCATAAAGAGCATAGCTCTAGTGAAGGCCTTCTCGAGCCTAACAATGGAACTGGCGGTCCTCGCGGCACACTCCGGCAGTAAGCTACTTTGCTGACACCATCACACATGAATATAGTAGTCCAATTATAACAGCACCTGAAGACCAGATATCCGGTACGGGAGTTAATTCCTGTCAAGAGGACTTGTGTTAAATCTTCATCGGTTGTAAACAACCTTCATTTTCTAATCTAGGCACCGCCGTAAGCATTACATCACCTCCGAGCATTCTGGTGCTTGTAATGCTTCGGGAGCTAGGACTGCGACCAGACTTGATTTTGCTACCGAGGCTTTGTTTCACAGCCCCCACCCTGGTCATCACATCTATGGAGCACTTACTTGGCAAATCTCTAATGGGACCCGTGATCGTACACTTGCTTTAGGAAGATATGTGTCAAGTAGAAGTGTTTTGTTATCACTATCCACCTAACTTTTTGCCAGACTATGAGACCTTAGTGAGAACCATCGCCTTGGAGTATATTAAACTCCAAAAGCTAACGTGAACACGGGTTCTAATGTCTTCAAGTGCGTATATCTGAAAGAGTGTTTCCATCCCCCTCCCCCCCTTACCCGTGTCATCCTACACACCGTACAACATCCAACATCATCTCCAGCAGACCCACCAAAGCTTTCAAACGACGCAAAAGTCTTACCCGAGCGTCTGATGAAGCCAACCAAAGATCACGCGAGTCATTTCTTGAAAGGCCCCAGATTGAGTGTGGTAACCGGCTTCTCCAGAGAAGAGGTGAAAGGTAGCCTTGTCGCCAAGTGCGTCCTTAACTCGCTGCGGTTCGCCCTTGAAGAACCCTTCAAATTCGGCATCAGCAATCCATACGGGCATATTGATACGGTCAGTTATGCCCTCCAGGGTATATTGCTCTGTTTTCTTGAAGAATTCATATGGGGATTTGGTCTTGAAAGCCCACAGTCCTTGTTCGAGACCCCAACGAATACTGGTTGGGGCAGTGGAGTTAGGGGCAAGCAGTGATAGTGCGACTTGGTCAAATTCCTCTTTTTTACCTGCTTCATAGATCTCTGAAAGGTCATCGGGAAGCTGTGCTTTGTATGAGTCATGAACAGAGAATACGCCGCCATTCAAAGCCACAGCTTTTATCCGTGGCTCAAATGCTGCAGCTCGGGCTGCTAGGTAGCCACCCATGGAATTTCCGTAAAGAGCCAGTCGTTCAGTGTCAACCTCGTCGGACTTTTCATTCAATACATAGTCGACAGCAGGTGTGAGAACACGCTCCCAGTCGGGGATGAAACCGAGATCCTGGCTTCTCCGGACGGTAGGCTGTCCAGGGCCTTCGTATGTCAAGGCGTTCCATCCAATGGCCTGTGCATGCACAACCATAATATGGTACATATCCTCCTGTGCAGCGTCATAACCATTGCCAATAATCAATGTTGGCCTCTTCTTCTTATCCTTATCTGCGGAGTACCAGATGGCCTCGACGGTAAAGTTGTCGGCGGGGATTTGAACCCGCTCCCCAGGGATGGGCAACGCTGCCAGACCTTTGTTGAAGGCGGCGAGCTGCTCGTTCCAATATTGTTTGATAATCGGGTTATCCCAGTTGCCCTTACTGAACGCGTCCGCACGGCGAAAGTAGTTCGCCACAGAGAACCAGGTGTCTCTCACATTGATAGGGTCGAACGCAAGAGTAGGGTCCAAAGCCTGGGCCTTCGTCTTATTAGCAAGGTTGAATAGGACTCCAGAGAATGTTTCAAAGTCTCCAACTTTGATATCTTTTGCAGCTGCGAGGAGGGGAGCAATGTCACTCCCTCCGCCGATAGCCTGCCCGAGGCCGCCGAGAATTTCGAAGTGAAAGGTAGGGTCTTCACTAAGAAGTAGTATTGGCTCCTCCTCCGTACTCGCAGCCTCGACGAGGTATAGGTTCGACACCGCCTGGAGAAGCGAAATGTTGAGAATCGTGGAAGCTTTCATGTTCGAAGTTAGGAGATGATCAAAAAGGAAGAATAAGTAGATGATGAGCTGTTCTGGCCGCTGACAGACAAGACTACAAATCAAGGAGGAATGCTGTTTCTTATATATTGATTTTCCAATAGCTTAGTCTATACCCTCGAAATTTGACGCATTACGTTAACTCAGAACGATTGTTGTTGCATCACGGCTGGACCATGTCCAAGAACACAGCCGACGCGCCTAGAACTAAGCCGAACTGGGGGCTATTTTAGCGACGAGGTTGACGATCCCTCCTAAAACATCTTACAATTATCCAGAAATCCGGGGCATTACCATCGGGTTTCGCTACCGCCGTTACTAAGCCCGCACGTTTCCAGAGAACCCGGAATTCGATGATAGAGTTAATTCCTCTCATACGATTCGCATCGCAAAAACAGCCCCGTTTCAAGTACGCACAACTGTTTCCAACTACTCGTATTTGTTTCTGTCACGCAAGCCCAGTTCGTTCCTGCCCCCCAGTTCCAAACCGGGAACATAAACATATTCCAAATTCCGAATTCCGCTGTGATGCTAAGTTATGCTTAAGCTGGAAGTTCCGTTTCAACCCCGGCTGGCCTCTGTTTGGTGATTGAACGGGTACAGTATCCTCTGGCAGGCCACTGTTGCAGGCGGGTTCGGGATTTTTTCTATTTTCAGCGCCGGGGACTAGGTATTGGAGCCTTGGTTGGCTTACTTTGGTCATGTAAACGCCGAAGCAGGCTTCAGAGTTCCAATCTTTTGCAACTCTGGTAGGTCCCTGAACTCTTAGAATCTCAGTGAAGGCAATAAAATAATACAATATGCCAAATGATGTATTTTAAGTTTAATGTTTGATACCGCATTATTGGTGCAGTTTTGAAACTATGAGCCGGAAATGAAATAATGACTAGTATGGACTCATGTAGCTAGAGGTTCCAGCATTGAATGCGCATTCCTTTTACGGTTCACACCATCCGTGACTTTCGGATATTGAAGAGCAACTCCTGGGATCAGGGGACCCGTCACTTTAATAGCCACCTTTACTGTACATACTGAAGAAGTAGATTCTCTTGTAGTAATATATAGAGATTTCAAAAGTTGCATCTGAACTTGTTCTCTTTGCCTCATGTATAGGGTAGTGTGACCCCCACGCAATTGCTGCTTTGTCAGCATTCTGGGGTGAGAGTTACCCTGAGACGGAAATTCGATTAACCGGAAAGACGGGTCAGTCTTTTCCGATGCCGAACAGTCTCAGATGTTGGTTGCTTCCTTGCTTCGTTGAATCGCTTGGTGAGTGCCTGAAGTTAGTAAGGAGAAGCTATGAGGCTTGTTATGGGCTTACTTTGCTGAAGCCCAGTCAATCTGTTATTAAATGCTCGCTTGGTTCGTAGATGAATACCATGAAAGTTGAGGGCTATGCGTTCGGAAATCCGTCGTGTTCCGGCTTTTCACCCGAAATGGAAAGTGGGCCAAAACTCAGCCCATTCTTGAGTCTCATATAAACAAACCCCGAGATAATTTGATGAGGAAGAAGCGTGCCTAATACCTACAATGGACCCCAGTTACAAGGGACGGCATGCGTATTTTCTATCAGATGACACTCGACAGTAGGAGTACTCGAAAGCAAAAGCAAGCACCGTGAATTGGAATTCCAGAAACCTTGAAGTCCAAGTTAGGTAAATGCCAAGCTTTCCGGAAACTGGGGTACTGGACAACCGGAGCTCGAGGTTGGGGCTGTATTTTGGGTGAAATTTTGTGCATCAAGTGGAGAGCTTGTCGTAGAAGAGCTCCTCCTACAATGTTCTAGAGGAGCTATTAAATATAAGTACGTCAAGAGGCCTGATTTTGTTGAAATAGGACGTTTTCCCGACCGGCTATAAGGTTGATCAGCCGAGTAGCGGAATGGGTCCTGCATAGACTGACCGGGGTTCTCGGCTCAACATCTCCCTCGGCGACGGCGCATTAATCGGTCGTCCGTGTCGAATCGTCACCGGGAGAAGGGAATCCAGTAGACATGATGAAAAGACCGGCAGCTTTCACATGTCTCAGGCGGACTATATCCTCGGTGACGGCGGCGGCGACCTCCAAGATCGACATTCGCCGGCTCCGGGACGCAAAGCCCGCGGACCAGGCGGTGCTCCTCCGTCGAGCACTCGCATCACCAACAGCCAATAATACCTCAATCACAAGCCAGCTCCTCGATTCAGTGGCGGCAGGAAGCCTGCCGGATCTACCTGTGCGAACATGGCTGTCCGTCGCCGAAGACCCTCGGGTCACTGTCGCCGTTGTTTGTCAGCGGCATAGTGTAACTCTTCGACGGCTAGCTATGCCCGTTCTCACGGCCCAGCTTCGCGGTGATGCCACTTTTAAACCCACGTGGGATGCTCTCGGTGGATCCGAGGGCATCGTCAAGCTCATTTCTCAGTTTAGCTTGACAGACCTACGGTTATTTATCAGAAGCCTCCGTGGGACAGCTCTTGCCGGGGGCCAGACACGGACGGAGCGTCAACAGAGAATGGGAGAGTTGTTTATGATTCTCAATGATGGCAGTCGGAATCCGGATAAACGTCCATTGGACATGGAATATGCGCATCTTCTGCCAAGCTGCCCAGCTGAAATGGCTCTGGCATGGACCGATCAAAACAGTGCACACAAGTCTGTGCCACTTCGATGGAGAGACTTGCTCGGGGATAACCACATGGTCAGAAAATCTGTTCTGAAGCGAGTAAAAAGAGCTCATCGAACCACAATAACTGAGATGCACTTTCGAAAGTCTTGCCCAGCGTCGGAGAGCAAAGTGAGTTGGGAAAAAGTCCGGCAATCTTTGGCCCATAGTCGAACCTTGAGGCTTCAAGTATTTCAACTACTCGCCGCAAACAATGACTTCCACAGCGCACCTGTTGGCAATATCAGGGATAAGATGATCTTACCGCTTGCAAGGCAATACAGTCGTCGACACTGTGATCCGAAGGCTGCATCCGAGTTTTGGTCCCTTCTAATCGAGACTTTAGATAATTGCCCGGCCTTGTTTGATTACGAAGCAATCAACAACCAAGGGATATCTAGGTATGATTCAGTTGCCAGGCATCAGAGGTCTCCATTCAAATATCTTGTTCGTGCTTGGGGTCACAATTTAGTGCCCGATGCAGACCTTGAGGCCTATCTCGAAGGATTTCCTGAGAGAGAATCAAAGCAGATTTCAGTCGAAGTTATGTTGAAGCAAGTTCCAAGGGACAAACGGTATGCGTTCCTACGTTTATTCTTCAAACACAATCGAGGGTATCAGCTGGACATTGGATCATCTTCCAGCCGCTCAAGTGATACGCTCAGGGAACTCAAGATCAGTATTGAGGTCTTCCTTCTTCTCCCCAGACCCGAAGCTATAAATTTGTTTGAGCGCCTTCAAGAAGCACATCCGGGATACGGCTACTCTGCCCTTGAGCCTTGGAATTACAAAGAATCCGAACTCGGGAACCTGTTTCAACTCAGTACAAACAATGAAGATGAGTCATTGAATCCGGACGGCCCAGCCCTGCGGGGATTTCTCCTGCGGAACTTCTCACATAGTCCTATTCCCTGCCCTATCGATCCTCGCCACGTGAGAAATCATTTACGCGTAACGGAGCTCTCTCGTCGAAAATCGTTATCCCAGCAAGGGCGCACGGCAGAGGTCAGGGCATTCTGGGCAATTGCTGCTTGCCGGCTCTGTATTGCCATGGGCGATATTGATGCTTACATCAATACATTGATATGGGCGCGTCGCTTCAACAAGGACGCCATGGTACTCAAACTTCTATATCATGACCAGCAACTCCACATACCGCCCTCGTTACGTCTTCTGTCTGTGATGGATGCTGGGCATACAACAGCAGACATTCGGGAGAATATTCAAAAGGCAAACAAAGTTTTGATGACGCTTCTGGAAACAGCGGCCATGACGGTCGATTCCCCCTCTTTCTGTCGGTCTGATTGGGAATCGGTGTACCAGCTGATTCCCAAGGTGGTTGAACTTCGCTTGAGAGACTATCAAAATATGCAAATTCAGATGAAATGGTCCGATGAGCAAGTCTTTAATGTTATTCTACAACCAACCTTGGATCTGATGGTTGCAGCAGAGTCGTTGATCCTCCGGCCTGGGAATCAGCGCCTGGGATTTCAAAATCCGAATGGGTTCCCATTGTTTGGTAAGTTGTCATCGACGACGGAGTTTACTCCTTTAGTAATAAGATTCTTGGATTTGTTGGCAGAAAACCGGGACAGTCTCTGGGCTGGATATCGGACGACACTTGATGCTGAAGCTTCGACACTTCTAACGCCATGGCCACAGGGCCTCCCAGTTCAGTGTCTGTGGCCAGAACATCACATCATTCAGGCTGGAAACGCTTCATACTTGCAGAAGCGAGCTCAGGACGTCGTGTTTTGTGATCCACAGGCGGCTTTGTCTCCCGCGCCGAGCTCTGCGAAAGCCCATGCGAGCATCGGCGTTTTCGTCGACGATTGGAGCGTGGCGCTCCGAGTCTACGTTCATGGTAAAAATGGCGATTCTGATTACGAAACGCGGCTTAAAACGGCTTGGGATTACGCACTCCATCATCTCACAGGCGATAGAATGTCGACAGAAGAGGCACAAAGATTCTGGGCTCAGGTGTTTCCCTACTCCGCTTCAATAGCCAAGGTTCTTGATGAGGACGCTCCTCGTCGTTGTTACACGAATATCCCCAAACATGAATCCGATGAACCATCAAGAACAACAGAATGGGACCCTGATCCAACTTATAACGCCATAACTGCATATCGAAAAGATGAGAGACGCCTCCGACCCGCGACAGTTCTCGACTGCATGGTCAAACCCGGTTGGAAAATGGGCACTCACTGGATAAAGCGGAGACTGACTTGGATGGAACCAATTATTCCAAAGCATTCAAAAACTGTGCTCGACTTCTGGCATCCGAAGTCTTTGTCAGATTGTCCAGGGTCTGAGCTGGATAATCAGATGATGGCGGCTGTTTTGTGTCTTGACAGTACACACGGAACGAATTGCTCTCTGTCTAAGCAGCCAGTTTCGGAAAAGAATCAACCCTTCGACTCTAAACTATGCTTATCCAAAGGCTTTTACGAGAGAGAAAGCTTGATGTTCGATAAAATAGTCTCATCTCTAAGACTGAACCGCGCCCGTCTTCCTCCTCAACTTCTGGCAGGGCTGGGAATATCTATCCTGCGGCGAATTCGGGAAGATCCAGTCAAAATTGAGGGAGCATACGGACTCTTCTACATGATTGTTCGGATGCTGTCGGATGGGCCACAACCCTCACTCGCCAGCCCCCTCATCAAGGAGTTCATCGTAGAAGTCCCCAGAGCTAGTGATTGGCATCAATATCTATTGAGCTCTCACCACTTAAACCAGCTTGAGCCCCAAGATGCGGAGGCTTTCATTGAGTCGCTCTCCGGTGGTATAGTAGAGAAGCTGAGATTACAGAAAGCAAGAGAAGCATCAGAAACCGGCCACACAGTCTCGGAATCTCTTATCCGAGTGTCAACAGTCAAATCTGTGGAGCAACTGCTGCGAGGGAAGAGCTTCACTACCCCACAAAAAGCTGTGAATATCCTCGCCGAGATACTGAGACATAGCTCCCATGTCGAAATACAGGTGGCTGCGATAAAAGCTCTCACTGGGTCACTCGCAGAGGACAATGAAAACACAGACGTTTTACGCCTCTTGGAACAATATGCCGTGCCTATCGCCTCAGCGCTCAACGAAAGGCACCCCGACGTAGAGTCGGAATGGAAATCAGCCAGCAACGGGGGAGAACTACCGCTTGTTGACCATAGCCAGGATGGCCACATTGTGTTGGGCATGCTCATGCCCAGGAAACACAAGTCTTGTAGTTATGCGCTGCTAAAGCTTGCCGCCCAGGCCCTCCGCATATCTAGCCAAACCAATTCACGGTGGTTAGCCCTTTTCATGGAGAAGTACGGATTCGGAAATGGAGCTTCGATATTGCCTCAGATTCCAACCTGTCCCGAGAAGTTTCTAGAGTTGCTGCGACAGAAAGCTCTTCACAGCATATCAGTGGAAGATTTCACCATGATTCGCGACTATGTGTTGTTTTTGCTTAACCAGCCAAAGGACATTCGAGAGTTCACTACTTACGTACAGAACAACCGAAAATTGGCAAGTTCCAACACTGGCAGACACTGGCTTCATTTGTGGTCTAAAACCTCTAAGGAGGCATTAGATTTGGGTGGAGGTTGGGCAGCAGAGATGTTGGCGTCTTGGAGCACCACCGGCCAAAATGATGGCAAGACTTCAAACATCTCGTCCATGGCGGAAGATTTTGTGTTGCGCATGGCTGAGATAGCGATATCACGTGGAGACTTGGCCCTTTTTGATGATATTGTATCCCGGATACCAGCAAATGGTCCTGAGGGAGTTCAAGGGAGTGCTGGTTCTGGCAGGGTAATCAAGCAACTTATTACGAGGATTGATGAACTCAGAACACCGGAGTGGCAAGCTGACCACCATCGGCGACCATTCGCGTTGCCAAATACGTTGCATCTGAGGTTGAGACTTTTAGATCTCTCACATGGCGATTCCGGGGCTGTTTCCGCATTCGCGGAGATGATTGTGCAGTTATTACGTGAAATCACAACAGGCGGCAGACTGTACTATGAAGAGTTCGAGATCATACGGACGCATATTATGGCAACAGTTCCCAAGCAATCAGCGCAATCGTTGGCTATTGCTCTAGGAAGTCTTGATAAATTAGATAGCCGGGCCACTCCAACCCCAGCGGATCATCTCCGGACCAAGCTTGCAGCAGAGCTTCTTGACTCTGACAAGTTTAACAAAGAAAACAATAGCAATGGTGAAGCAAAAGAAAAAAATGGGCTGGAAATTTGGGAAATGCTGAATAAATGGAGCATGAGCCCGATTGAAGAGTTTAGAAACCTGGCATGGCAGATGAATGTCCAAGTTCGCTAGTCTCTAATCATTGTATACTACGAAAAAACACGGAATGGTAATGTCCTAGGAGGATAGGAAAAAACCAATATCACAACCTAGCAAGGCCCATATCCTAATGTAGGCAGTCGGTTTTCATGTGTTATATCGGCACAACTGCCTTAGTATATCATGGGATCATCATGATTCAAAATGAGGATGCGTTGCGGTTGGCGATGACAAAGTTTCTCTATAGATCCTCAAAAAAAAGGTTGTATCATTCTATAAAAACGTAGCCATTAAGCTATACACCTCGCTTAGGCGGATTCAATCGTGATAAGAAAAGTCAGCGAAGAAGTGACAGCTACGCCCTTGTCCTCTTCAATAGCCTCCTTAATGTCGGATTCGAAAATCATCTTGAGCCTCTGTAAATGACTTTTTTTCGTGTGGTCAATCTCGATCTCCGCTTTCATATCAGCAGGCCCGTTCAATGTGCAGCGAATATCCGATGGTATGGCATCGTCAAAACCGCGAACCAGTTCATCCTTGAGCTGCGCCAATGTCATATCTGAAAATCTTGCTTTCGATTCCCACGATTTCGTCACCTTAGGCTTATGCGATTTGATGGCATAGTACCATATCTCGGGTTCTAGGAGTATCCGCGCATCGGCAGAACTAGCATTCTCCAGGAGAGCTAAACCGGTTTCCTGTCGCCTTTCTGACATAGGTAAGGACGAGTAATGTGAAGCGTCGTCTAAGTTTATCACTGCAGCTTGAGGGGCGCGAGGATGCGCGCCTGGTGATAGGAGGCCTTGGGACACTGTCGAGGAAGGGGAAGCAGAGAGTCTGGATCTGCATATGTTTTCAACAGTCCTGTTGAGTGGCAATCTTAGTTGATTGACTCGCGATTCGGAAGCCAAGGCAGGGTTCTCTTCACGAGCCTGAGAAGGCAACCTGTCCTCGCTCTGATCATTATCTTTGCCGCGTTTATCCGCGCCATTGAAAAGCTCAGTCGAAGCAGATATCGTTGGGAAACTCTCTTCGGCTAGAGCCCGGACTTCAGCTTCCTGCTGGGGGCTAAGCGGTTGGGGGGCCGCAAACTCATATAAATCCAAAAGAGAAGGATCAGGTACATCCGCTTTGGCTAGCTCTCGTGAGCGGTTCGTTTGATTGTCGTTACGAGTATCACTTGCATCCATGTTCCTGGACGAAGTAGGCGTCCTTGGGGTTGTGGTGTGGTTGCTTTTCCGCTTTTGGCCAGTCTGGTGGTCGCTCCTCTGCTTATGCATGTTCTTCGCAAAGAACATCTTGCGCATCGGCTCTTTGATTCTGTATTCAACGTTAACAATGAGTTGGGCGAATGGGGTAAGAGGCGAGCTTAACTTACTTCTTTTCATCCCGTGGCCAGATGAGGCTCTCGTTGTATAATGGAGAGCATTCATCTTCAGGCCAAAGTGTTGATGCTTCTTGGCGGAGAAATCGATCAGTCATTTCCACCACGAATTGTTGGACGTTGGGTTTCTTAAAGTCGCCCCACGCCTTGACCGCTGGGCACTTTTTGGCATAAGAAGTAGTGAAAAAATCCACGTATTCTTTCAGTTTTGAGCTTCCATCACTACCGGACCTCTTTTTCCCATAGTTCAATTGCTCGCTTAGTTCCTGAATTGTCGGCATGGCTTATGTTTTGCCTCGAGAGATATGAGTGGGAGGTACCTAGTGTCGGATTCGGTGAGCGTTCGGCATATCAAGAGTCAAAGGAAACCCAGCCAACGATTCTGTTGCAATTGGCTGAACCTGGTCTATTATAAAGGCTGAATGGCGGTGACATTTGATGGATTCTAACCCTTGAAATACGGCCCCGTTTCAATATGACCCGGCTGCGGCCAATTGGTGCAAGCTGGGCGGTTACAGCCAACAGCTTTCGTTCGGTGGCTATGGAGACACTGAAAAGAACACACCGGCTTCATCAGCTGGAGGCGCAGCGGCTTGCGGCGCAGTGCACCAATGCGACCTCCAGACAGGCCATCGTTCCTATCCTATGGCATAATGCGATGGCATGCCTTTATTATTAGCAGCCATGATTCGTTCAGCCCCAGTGGCGTAGCCCAACACTTGAGCAATATGAATTCCGCCTAACTTTGCGTAGAATTTTCATTAAGGCTTTGAGTACCTAGAGATGTGCATGAATCTTGAGCTATGAGGGATTATTTATTGTTTCCCAACAGGCATGTATAATTGATGAAATAGTTCTCAATACTGTAAGTAACATTATTCGAACTAATGAGGTTAGACGAGATGTTAAGAGGTAAACCTCTAGCGCCCAGACCCATCTACAGGTTTTGGGATGGCCGAAGGATACAAACTTCACGCGACCAGTTGGATTTAATTATGCTTTGTTTTCAAATGACTTAGTTTAAATCGAGTACAGTTTGATAGTTGAATAAAATTCCTTTGAGCCGTATCTAGGTGTCCACATGATCTTTTCCCATGATTAATGATCGCTTCTCCTGATTTCTCCCTTTAGATTGGTTTCTTAATCCAATCACGTAGATTGTTCAAGGACAGAATATCATTCTCCTTTTCAGAAGTAGAGGATACCTTTATGTTCTCATACAAACCTGGAGAATCGAGTGAATCCAAATTCTCTCCACAAGGCTGACAAGACCCAAAGCCAACCAAAATCGGCTTGTTGCCTTTAATCATGATGTTGTTGGGATTGATATAATTATGGGCGAGGCCTAATGCGTGTAAATGATTTACAGCTGATTCAATGTCATCAACAAACTTGTCTTTGTCTAGTTGGTTGAACTCCGGGGTGTTGACATATTGGTTCAAGCTTAATTCGAGGCGTTCCAACCAGATTGCCGTAATCCGACCTCGTTTCACTCGACAGCCAAGGTATTGGACGAAGCTTGGATGAGGCGATTTATATAGTTGCTCCATTATCAATGTTTCTCTTAGAAATGACTGGGGAATGAGGCTGTTATGGTTCTGGGGAGAGTAAGAGTTCAGCTGAGGGCGCTTTAAGAAAGCTAACTCCTCCGTAAAGGTATTAGGCGCCAGAGTGAGGTTGGCGTTTGCAGGAGCTTCAAGCCAGACTTTCTCATCGGGAACGCGCTTGAGAGCCGAATTGTATTCGGGGATCGAGGTGTCCATTTTGCCCTTAGACGTCACCCCGAAATACAATTCATCGTTATTGCTGATATGATAAAACCTGGTTGCTTTGAGTTTAGTCACCCCGCGGTCATAGTTTTCAAGAATTGTCAAGTCTTGAAGAGACCGAACGAGCTGTAGCTCCTTGTTTGCAGTCTGAGCAAACATGGTTCCAATTTCTCTGCAATGCGACGGGAAGATTGAGAATGACATGACGAAGAATATGTTTGGTACTTGCAGGTGTGGACAGATGGTAGATTTGGTCCGTTTGTTGGGCATACATGAAGGGTAAAATATTGATCGTTTCTAGGAGGTGCCCAGGTCCTGACAGTCTGACTGAGACCGATGCCAAGGTTCAAAAAGCTGCTGATCGACCAATCACTCAGCTATCACGTAAACATTACATGGGTACTTTGATTGTATTTCAAATCCGGAGATAACCATTCAGAGATGAACATTTACTCCAATGGCCAATAGAAACCCGTCCTTGACGCAAGGCCCCTAGACTTGTCTGTCTAAATCCTACACAAGACATCCATCACGGCTTTTCTCGTTAGGCCGGGCGTTGGATTAGTAAACCCGTGTTACCAGAGATGTGGTCTCGATTTCTCAGCAAGTGTTCCTCATCACCAATCATACTTTGGCCATTCCTATGAATAGAGGTTCATTTATTGTGAGGATTTGCAATAGATTATTAGTGTTCATTCGCAACGTCGACCGGATCTCAAGAGAGTCGGCTAAAGTAATCCAAACCAGACTCGGATCCCGCCACTCAAACATAAAAGCAGGATAACTTCCGTCGTATCTATAAGAGAAGACCGGCGAAGGGCTGAGACTAAGACTGAGCTATCTTTTGAATTCAACATTGCCGATATTCATTTAAAAAAAAGAGCTCTAATTGCCTTCTACGTATTGTTTTTGGTTAGGGAATTGACATGAATCTCGTCTTGCCTGCATTGGGTTGTATTAACACTACGAGGGTTGCGTTCACATTCGAGTGTTTTCTATCAGTCCTATAAGCTGGTATTCTCTCGCAGAACTTAAAATAATCTTCCACTAAGTGTAATATGCCTAAGAGTTTGAGTTTTGTTCATGTGTTTGAAAAAAAATTTGAATTAAGATAGGTTAAGAAATTAGAAGGAAAATGTAGAATTGACAAAAATATCTTGCAGCATCGGTTGTAAGCTGTGAGCGCACCGCACCCCGAAAGTCCCCCATATTAAAAGAGCCAGCTATATATCCTCATGATCATTATCAATGCAATGTATCATATTATTTTATCCAATACAGGTTGTAAGCATTTCATTAGCATATGCGACGTCTCAAGATCCAAAGTTCGCCGGGCTCGTCGATCGTCAGCGGACATGCCGATTGCTAAGTTCCGTCGGAAGCTTCCTGTCTCGAGGTAATTAAATCGGATCTCGACTTCGCTCCAGAAGTGTTGGCTTCTCTTATCGACCGAGCCCCGTCTGTCGAGAATCCAATGTACCATTTTTGTTGATACCCTGATCTCGCGGCGAAGTGCATGGATGCGTTTCTCCTCGAGGGCAAGGTCGCCTGGTATCCAGCGTGGCGGGGATATGCAGGTTAGAGCTTCGCTCAGCCGTATGGCAAGGTGATCTAGGGCAGACCGTGGCTCTTGAGACGGAATAATTCGATGTTTGAAAGTTCCTCTGCTTGGTTGCCCGTCTAGACTGTCCTGGGACTTGCCCTCTCCCTGATAGCTGGAAATGGTGACAAGAGCAGCTGCTCTATCAATTGGCACACTCCCCGATGATATATCGATGTCTGCTAGGGCGATTGCTATTGGCTTCATCCGAGTTTCACGAGACCTCTTGCTGTCCGGTTTACATGCTCTCACCAATAGATCTCTAGGGTCTTTTCCACATTTCTGCAGCACGAGTTCCAGAAGATCATGACCGGAAAAACACCACGCCCAACTACAATATTGCTGAAAAAACGTATCCCGAAGTAGTGACGAGATAGTCATCGCACTGAGAGCACGGACTGCGTTGAAGATTGTTGTATCCACACTATCCTCGGAAACATATCCTTTTCGCATCAGCCATGGAAGGGAGCAAAGGCTCCGCGCGCCAATCGACGCATCTGAGGAATCAAGAGCCAGAATATGTTCAACAATCTGTGACTTTCCTTTGAAGGCAGCCAGCCACAACGGGGATGCAGATACAAGATCCGAGGACGATTGTAGTTCGGCGGGTTTATACTCTGCCAACGCATTGACGACAGATGGATCATGATATGCGAAGTTTAGGAGAGCTCGCATTTCTTGAAGGCATCCTTCGCCATTCTCCTCGACCCGAGGACGCGATATTGCTAAGAAATGGACGACGGAGAAATTGCGGTATTCAGAGTTATGTGCTTTGCAGACGGCCTTTGTTGCACTCGCACTGAATAGGCAGGCGCCTTGAATGAGGTGATTTCTGATGCACTCGAAGCAGATTGGTTCTTCGGTGACATAGTTATCTTCAAGATAGCGAACACCTAACATAGCCGCCTTCTCAGGATCATCGGCTGCTAGCTCAATCATGGCCTGCTGACATTCAAAGAAGCCTCTGGCGGTAATGGACGAATTCTGCGGCGGTGTTGTTTCCTCTTGGATTCTCATGACATGGTTGCCGGCCAATTTCATCCATAACCCCGCCCAATGACTCTCTTCTTTATCTTTTGTCGCTTTGCAGATGTCATAAACAAGCTTTATGGCCGCCAGTGTGTGCCTATCATCATCACCAAGAGTGTTCTGGAGCATTGTGACGGACTCCAAGGCGTGACTTTTGGCTGATGTCCAAAAGTTTATCTTAGAGTATGCCTCCGCAAGTGACTTGTGAACAAATGGAACTTGCTTCTGGTCGGCGTTCGGGTGCGTGATTGCATGCTCCAGGGTTTTAATGGCATCTTTAAATCTTCTCTGTCCCATGTATGCTTTTGCCAGTCGTAGCCGCGGGTTGAGATCAATGTGGCTTTTCTGTCCTTCTTCCGTCGCCGCAAGCTGAACGAGCGGATCTAGTTTTTCTTGTTCAAGGACTTTGATGGCATCTTCAAACATTTGCTTCTTCAACAACCAATCAATCTTCTTTGACAGCTCGACAGCCACAGTTGTTTTTAGCTCCCCGTCCCGCGAAGTATATTTCTGAGCTTCCGTGCTAAACCCAGGGCTATTCACGATCACTACAGCAGCAGTCAAACGGACCACCTGTAGATGAGAGGGATCAGACAGTGAATCCATGTTGTCGAGCATCAGTCGAACCAGAGGAACAGCGTGGTCATCTTCACCCTTCCTCACCAGATCTTGGATGACCTCGAGGCTGCTTGCCATCATTTCTATCTTCAAATCTTGGGATTCAGAACAGAATTTACTAATCACTCCAATTAACGAAGGTGTCATGACACTGAATTCGATGCTGTCGCGTATGAGTGTGAGCTGGTCCTGATGTGATAGGGTAGTGGGCTGACGCAAGAGGAAGAGCAGGTCTGACGATGAATCTACTGGTTGATTCTCGTTCAACGACCTAGTCGAAACACCCACTCGGTTCTTTCTCAAATTGGACCCGAGGGTGGAGTTTGTCCGTCGAATGTCTGCTGTTGTTGTCTTTGTTCTTTCTGTCGTTGGAGAAGTAGCTGTAGCAGAAGCCGGCTCTTTCACTAAGGGAACCTGCGCTGTTAGGGGCGATAGGAAGCTTGGATTCTGAGTTGTGGGACCCCAGCTTGCAGATGGTGCGTCTGTATCGGTTGCAAAAGTCTGGCTAGCTCGAAGCCAATCATTTTGAAGATCTGCCCCCAGACTGTTTGGAAAGATATGTAGTCTGTCAGAAAATGTAAAGTTCCGTCCATCATGTTGAGAAACTCACAAGGATAAATCATTCGATCCATCGTTAGGCGCGTCATCTGAGACCTCTCCGACCTTGGCCAACCATTCATGGAGACTAGCTTGATATGCGCCCATTCTGTTATCAGGCTCGACTTGTAATAAGTCAATAATGAACCTCTGACTTATTTTGCTGGCGCCTTTCTGTTTCAAAGGCGATTCCAATTTAAGAGCGCGAGCTTCTTGGCTCGAGGACAAGTATTGAGAAAGGTTTGTTAGATCTTTGAATGGTACCTGCCCTGTAAATAACCTCATGCTCAATACGCCTATTGACCACATATCGGCAGGGAAACCTGGCTTTGAGTTATCATCATTCATAGCAACGTCGTTGCTATTAAGACCGATCTGCTCAGGCGCTGCATAACCAATCGTCCCAACACCAACCGTATTGAGAGACTCCTGGAGGAATCTCTGTTTGCTGATACCAAAGTCTGCTATCTTTACGGACCAGTAAGGTCCATTTGAGATCACCATAATGTTCTTTGCGTAATACATTAGTCAACAGCTATTCGTAGATACATAAAAATACTTACGCTTGGCTTTAGGTCTCTATGTATGAACCCTTTCTCATGCATATAGACAATGCCCTCCACGACCTGCGAGATGATCTGGCGGACCTCGTCTTCAGGAAGCGGCGAATAGAGATGGCGGCTGAGATCACCCCACTGGTGGTATTCCATGGCGATGAATATCGAGGAGTCGTTCTCGAACCAACCATGTGATTGGACGAAGCAATGCGAGTACTAGGCTTATTAGGATACAATCTTCAAAATGCGGTGTCAGATTTCTTACTTGGGGCCGGGAAAATTGGACTATAGCCTCTAGCTCTCGCGAATAGTCCATCACTCTCAGTTGTTGATCGTGCTTCTTGATCTCCTTGACGGCTCTCATCCTGGAACTTGACTGCTGACATCGCTCAAGCCTGACTGTGCCGAAGCTACCACTGCCTAGGATGGGCCGTTTCGCATCCAGATTCCAATTTTCGACCCGTCGCGTCGGCACTGACTGCCCGCCGGCGCCATTGTGGTAGATGTGCTGTGTGCTGCCATCAAGAAAGCTGGTATCCAGTCTGGCTTCGGCTACCAGATCCGACAACTTCCTTGCCAGATCTTCGGCACGTTCGGTTGACATGCTGAGGTATCGAAATTACGAAATTTCTGCTGCAGATACCGCTGGTAGTAGGCAGACAGGAGACCCCACAGCCAGCCTGGGGGCGGTTAGATTAATCTTGAAGTGCCAATGATGAGACTATCGGCAAGAGAGCATATCGCGAGCGTGTGGCAGATCGAAACACCTGTCAGCTGACAGAGTAATTAGGTAGCTGTCAAAAGAAGGCGTGGCAAGTGTCGAATGCAACATGGGACATGGCCAGGGTTTCTTCGTGTGTGTTACAGAGTCTGCACAGCACAGACAATGCTGTAACAGGGCCACGTCGATCCTTAATTTTGAGCCCGTATACGTAAGATTATTAATTCTACTTGATCTCTCAGACAGAATCGCCCTGGGCTTGGATCTTTGGAGACAATCATCGCAGCGATTCTCGCGATCTATCACATCAACTGCGCTTTCGATTGGAGCTTTTTCAGATACACGGAACTGTGCCGTGTATCGTGCGGGTAATACCGGCGGGATACGGAAAGGATCAGAAGCTACGATGGAACGACATATGTCGCATAGAGCGGAGATAGTATGGAAATATCCATCGCTTGGATGATTCTCGTCGAGAACAAATCTTGTAGATCACGTTTGCGACAAACAAAAAGCAGAAATTGACCAAAGCAAAGAGGGAAGAAGAGGACTTGTCCCATTTCTTTCTCACTGGACTGATTCACGCAAGGTCTGTGCTGCTCAATCCGTCAACGGATTCTCTAGGGGCCGCGACAGGGACCAGGATACGAAGAGTTCCGAAAGCGATGACCAAGACCTAGTTCGCCACCGCCTCTACAATTGCCCCAGCAGCTCCTTGATTCAAGTTATCCAGGATTTCCATGTCCTCGTCGTCGAGGGAGAAATCGAACACGTCGGCGTTGGCTTTGATCCTCCCAGTATTATCGCTCTTGGGCAGAGGAATCCAGCCCTTTTGCAGGCAGTACCGAATAAGCACCTGGCTGGAGGCCACGTGGTGCTTCTCAGCAATACGCGCAAGTGTGCTGTCTTGCGCTTTCTGGTTGCGCACCAAAGGAGAGTATGCCTCTACTGCGATGCCATGGCTACGGCAGTAGTCGACAATTTCTCGTTGCTGGGACCATGGATGCAACTGCAGCACGTTTCAGTCAGCTATGCTATATGATGATGGTAGAATAAGTTCATGGAAGCCGCGGACCTCGATTTGGTTTACGTGAGGTGGCCAGACCTTGGCAAATTTTCGGAGCTCCTCGATATGCTTGATGCCAAAATTGCTGACTCCGATGCTCTTTGCTTTCCCTTCTTCATAGAGCCTCTCTAGAGCCTTCCACATTTCCTTTCGATTCTGCTCCCCGCCGCAATTGGGGCTGTGAATCAAGAACAAGTCCACGTACCCATGCTCAGGGTCCAGTTTGCGCACGCTATCCACGCACTTTTCGTAGCTGAGATCCTCCGACCCACCTGGATAAAGGATCTTGGTCGTCAAAAAGACATCTTGGCGACGCAGGCCAGACTGCTTTACAGCTAAGCCAACCTCGGCCTCGTTTTCGTAGTACTGGGCAGTGTCGATATGCCGGTAGCCATTCTCCAGTGCGGTCAAGCATGACTGCGTGCAGATACTAGCAGGCGAAAGATAGACCCCAAACCCAAGCTGCGGAAGCTTGTTTGAGTTGTGGAGTGTGATGGAACTGTTGATTGACAGAGGCTGCATTGTCGATAAGTAATGTTTTGGGTGAGCAATATGGCGATAGCTATTGAAGAATTATTTGTAAATAAACAACGGTTCAAGAAATGAGGGGTAGGAGTCGTTTTGGCAGGACTACTTAAAGTTCAGATTGCATAATGACGTGGATGATTTCTCCATGTGTGACGACAAGCTGCATCTGCCGGAATCATACATAGATGCAGCATTGTCTTAGCTCTTCGTAGAATACAGCTACTCCCCCTCTCAAACCCGTGTGCGAAAGAACATTTGATATGCTACAAGCCATAATTATGTCGCTATCTTACATCGTTATAGCTACTAATGATCACCCCTTTCTGCCCATTCATATAACGCGCGACTTGAAAGACCGTGATGCCTGATGGATTGGTACCTACCATCCAGCTCCTCTCCAGCCCGCTGAAGTTGATATATCACAAATCATGTATTGCCGGCGTGATTGGAGCCGTAGGAAATAATGTTCCCACACGGAGCACGGAATAGAAAAGAGAGCCTGAGTGTGTGGGGAGCTATCCTACGAGCAACGTTGGGCAATGGCATTTCGAGATATCTCAAACATGATCAAGACGTATGCTTAGAGAGCTTTTAAAGCGACGTGAAACTCACCAATAAATGCTGGCATTTTAACTAAAAACTTACAAATGGGTGGTAGCTCTCAGCGACGGCTAGGAGTGAGTCTTCGTAGGAAGTGGCGATAAGAACCAAGTAACCCATTTATCCCATCGATAACCTCATAAAGAAGTTAATTGTTCATTTGATGCAGCTCATATGTAGCTTCTTCGGATCTAATTATATGGTCAGCTTGGCATGGTCTTAACAGCAGAGATGAGCTTGCCCACTACACCCACATACCATAATTCACAACGATCCACCACATTGAGCTCCCACTACGAAACATATGAGCATCAACGAGGCATTTCATTATCAACCGCAGCACGAATAAATGAGCTGCGTCAGGCTATTGAACCGTGCCGCTGGTGCCTAGCTGACGTAATCATGGTCCTCTTCTGCCTAAGTCCCTCATTCACATTCAGCCTGAGCGAACCATCACGGCAATTCGTTATCATTATTCACAGTTCATCCTCATAATTTCCCTCGTGAACCCAGATTCTGTTACTCGATACGAACCAAATACATCATGGCATGGACCGCGTCTACAAATCCCGAGCAGGAGTACCACGAGTCGGTCCATTCCGTTGAGGAAAAAGCATTGCAACTTGCCGATCTCATTAAACAAAGTAAGCACTTCATTGTATTCACCGGGGCCGGAATTTCGACATCTGCAGGTAAGTCATCATTCTCTAACAAGATACGGACACTTCAGGTGACAGTTGATGCCAGGAATTCCTGACTTCCGCGGCCCTGATGGCACATGGACACTCCAGGCGCAGGGGCGAGATAGAACTGGCCCGACGACTGATACCCTTCAGGCGATCCCTACCTTGACACACATGGCGCTTGTCGAGCTACAGAACCGCGGGCTGTTGAAACACGTAATCAGCCAGAATTGCGATGGTTTGCACCGACGGAGTGGGATCTTGCCGGTACGTAAATCTCATGCTTCCACACGTCATCGTCAGGCAGCCAATGTTGATGATCTAGTAGGAGAATATATCAGAGCTACACGGAAATAGTAATCGAGAGTATTGCAAAGACTGCGGAAAAGACTACATTCGAGGTACGATGGAATCATACTGTCGATATCAAATGTGAAAAGCCAGTCCCCATCATCGGGGGAAAGCTGACTTGCTTTAGATTTTCATGCCACAGCCACCTACCAGATAAGCGTACACGACCATCGAACAGGTCGCAATTGTCCACGATGTGGTGGAGATCTCCACGATAGCATCATAAATTTTGGAGAAGCACTACCAGATGATGTCTTGGACATCGCGTTCGAGCACGGCCAGAAAACGGACCTATGTATTGTCCTCGGTTCATCGCTGAAGGTCTCACCTGCCAACGAAATTCCTGAACAGATTGGCTGTCGCCAATATTCACTTCGTTGGCCAGCTACCTTGGCGATCTGCAATTTGCAGCCAACACCACACGATGATCTTTCCACTATCCGCATTTTTGCAAAGACTGACGACTTGATGGGCAAGGTGATGGAGTATCTTCAAATTCCCATCCCACCCTTCATTCTTCGCCGACGTGTGGCTGTCAAGATAGAGAATGACTCTCACATTACCACTCTGATTAATGTCATGGGGGTAGACACCGATGGAACGCCGGCATCCTTTCTTCGCACGGTCAAACTACTAAATTACAATTATTGCATGGTTACGGAACCGTTCATAGCGTCTATCGGTGGCCCTTTGCAAGTGGACACTATGTTCAATATTGAGCTTGAATTCATGGGCCACTATTGCGAGCCAAAGCTTATCATACCGCACAAATTCAAATGGCCGGAAGGTGCTAGAGAGTGCACCTATCTGCTGGAATACGATCCAAGCACAAGACAATGGGAAGTGGCTCCGGAGACGGCGATGCAAACCACACATGTGTAGTTATTTGTTAGCCCGAGGTTGTCAAGAAATGTCCGATAAAGAAATAGGAATCAATGTTATCAAAAGTGGTCAAGTGAAATTCAATGCGCGTGTTTGGCCTGCATTCACCCACTTGAATCTCCTCCTTCCCGTCCAGATATGGTCAAGAGTTGGCAGTCCAACGCATGTTTAGCGGGGCAAGGTATCCTGGAAATTCCGTAGAACGTGCCTGTTTATCTTGATTTGCTGGTCTAGATCTTGTCGGATTCGTTCGGCGTGGACAGCCCAAGGTTGCATTGGAATGGTGCGCTCGCCGCAGGTAGAAACTCTGTCCAATTATTTTCAGTCATTTCCACATTAGAAAGTTTCACTCCCATCAGTCCAGTCCCAACTTGAGTAACGAGAATCCCCATGAATATCGATAGACGAGCTTGAATGAGCCCCAGATCCGGCACGGGTATTGCGACTCTAGCCCATTTGTGCAAGGAACAGACTCTAGCCCACTCCAGGCTGGGTATTACCTTTGGATTAGGAATGCAGATCGCTTCTTTTACTAGCCTTGCCTACTTTGAATAATTTGTACTCAGGCCAAAATCACATAAGGCACGTAGGCAGATATGCGAGTCATTGAATCCGTGGCCTATAAAAACGCCACCCTCTCATCAGGCAAACTTACCAGCTTTTCCTTCTACGTTGACAAATACGGTTCAACTGACAGAAGGTATCCCAACATGGCCTTTAACGGGACTGCAAAAGACATCCACCTGGAGGACGACCATATGCTCTGTATCAAGCTTCGAAACAACAGTCAAGATTATGTGGACGCATCACTAGATTTGAACGATGTGGTCCAGAATACCAACGGTTTCCTCAGCTTGGACTTGGCAAGTGAGTTGATATGGAAAAAGATCGCAGGTGACTATAGTGACCTAACTTGCATAAACAGCCGAGGGTTTCGCAGACACCACCAAGAACATCTCACTCATGGTGGATGACGATGGGCATGTCATGCTGTGTGCAGACGCTCAGAAGAACGATGGCTCATATCGAAGACAATCGATTCGTATTGACAAGAAATTTGAAAACATCGACGGGGTGCTCATTTACAGTACGTGGGTTTTCGTTGTGTTGACTCTTTTGCATGAAATTAACCTCTTTGGAAATCTAGCGGGCGAGTAGTATCAGAGCGACTATTGCGTCATCTCTTATCTTTCTTTTAGAGAACGTAGCACCAGATAATATCAAACGTATTTGATACGTAAGAGAGAAGAGAATCAAGTTCAACAGCAATGGAAACTGCCAGGGCCCGACAAATTAGCATAATGAATGTCAAACGTTTTTGATATTTAAACAATTTCTTTTATGCAGAGGTAATACAATATTTGATGCTGGAGATTTGTCATCATAAACATTGAGTTTAGGAACGAGGCTTCGGCATCTTAAACCTTTTACATGGACCGTTTCTGATCGTGCTGGCTAGTTAATCTAAATCCATATTCGTGGTTTAGACTTGACTACTAGAGCTTACAGATTAAACCTAGAAACTTTCAGCCATTCAATAATACGGTGACGTAAATGGGCCTCCAGCTTCTTGAAACTGCTGCACTGGGATATGGTTCACTCCAAAGCCTGAGCCTCATATCCGATTTCCAAGCTCAATTACTTCAATCTCGATTCGTTGCTTGCTCGAACTATAGCCGAGACACTGGTCTGAGGTCTTATTTACTCGTACAATGAAGAAAATCGACCTTGTTCTTCCACTATGTTCATAGAAAACGGGGAGTTTGGAAAGGTCGGGCTCTCTGGGCGCATCATCGTCCCCAGTTGGACTGTTTGTTGGTTGCAGGCGAGATAGTGCATCTGCAACCAACAGGACTCGCTTTTGGCTCCGTATGAGTAAGCTGTCAATTGGAACTTTTGCGGCCAGTATGTAGCAATGGCCTGATGTAATGCTACGCAGCCCTGCCAGGGGCACATTTATTCCTCCATGTTCAGGCGTTCCGTGTTTCTTCCTTTGGAGAGTTGACAACCAAACTACCAACCACTTTTAAATTGAAGAAACAACACGGTCTTAAACTCAATCGCAGTCATGATTAACTACATCCAAGTTAGGGCTTTGGTGAACGACCATCTACATGAGCTAAGCGGCGTTCTACGCTCTCGGGTCAATGCCCCTCTTCATGCGAATCCCGAGCTTGGCTACCAAGAGCATTTTGCGCATGACACCATCACGACTTTTCTTGGAGAACTTCAGCCCAAGGTTGAGATTTCAAAGAAGACTTATGGACTAGAAACCAGTTTTGAAGCTAGATTTGGCTCTGGCGGTCGTCTAGTGATATTTTGTGCTGAGTACGATGCCCTTCCGGGTATCGGCCACGCGTGTGGCCACAACCTCATTGCGACCTCATCAGTTGCAGCATTCCTTGCTACAGCCCATGCGCTCGCTCAGCTTCAGATCCCCGGGCGGGTAAGACTTCTAGGTACACCTGCCGAGGAAGGCGGTGGTGGTAAGGCCAAGTTGATCGACGCTGGTGCCTTTGACCCGCCGGAAGACGTTGCAGCCGCAATCATGGCTCATCCGGTCGGTGCCCATCAGATCCTAGCTAAAGACGACGAAGTAGGTCTTGCGGCGCCGATTCTTGTTGCGAACCACAAGTTCCAGGTCGAGTTCCACGGCAAGACAGCGCATGCTGGAGGCGAGCCGTGGGAAGGCAGGAATGCATTAGACGCTGCAGTTTCTGCTTACAACAATGTCGCGCTCCTGAAGAAGCAGACTCGCCCTGATGACAATATCCATGGCATTATTGAGGATGGTGGTGTTGCGCCTGCCATTATCCCTGGCTACACTCGCATGAGCTGGGCTGTTAGATCCCCCACGTCTGAACGGAGCGAACTGCTTGCCGCTCGTGTCAAGAAATGCATGGAGGCTGGTGCATTGGCGAGCGGGTGTACAGTCAATTATATTGAGTATGTATTGCCTGCATCTCGAAGCAAATTCTGGTAGCTTATTGACATCTAATCTTTTTCACAGCTCACCCACTTACCAAGACCTTCGAGCAAATAACACTCTATGCCAGGCATATGTTGAGGAGATGGCATGTTTCGGCAATAATGTGTTCCTTAAGCAGAGAATGGAATTCCCTGCATCAACAGACATGGGTAATGTATCATACCATGTTCCCAGCTTTCATGGTACCTTTGTTGCTTCGACTCTGGGCGTTCCAATTCATAGTCCCAAGTTTACCGCGGAAGCCGCTACAGATGAAGCACATGCCGCCGCGATTGAGTGCGGCAAGGGAATGGCTATGCTTGCGCTTCGGGTACTCGCCGATGATCAAGTAGCGACAGGCGCGCGGGAAGACTTTAAGAAGAGCTAGGGGCATCCTGTGAAAGAGTTTTACCTCATACAAATTATCCTGAAACGCTTAGTTCTAGCTCTTTGGGGCAATTCTCACACAAAACCTACATGGCTGACATATAAGTTGTTGTTGCTTCGCCATTAATAGCCAGGGTATGTCTACAGAGTTCAATCTCTGACGGACAGCCCCTTACCGAAAAACTTCAAAATTATGATATCATTCCCCCCACATCTCTTAGATCGTTACAGTCGGCCTGACTAGTGTCAAGATGGTGTTTCCTGGCTCATTATGACTCATCAACCCCACCTTGACTTCCAAGTGCCGCATGCCTTTAAAACGTGTATACCTTGCCTCTGTTCCAGACGCATTCTGTCTGTATTCCTTGCAAATCCGCTATGAAATGAATAACAAGGGTCCATCAACCTAGTATTCAGAATGTCCACAAAGGCAAACCATGCAATCGTGTTTGGGGCTGCTGGCCTGCTCGGCTGGTCTGTCCTTAACCAATTGACCTCCAATTACCCCCAAGCTGGGACATTTTCCAGAGTAACGGCTGTCGTCAACCGACCAATATCTGAAGACGATCTGAACTTAGCTTCCAAAGTTACTCAAGATTCTGCAAAGCCAGAATTGCAGATTGTTTCAGGAATAGATCTACGAAACGGCACGGGGGAGGCTTTGGCACATCAGCTTCAGACCAATGTCTCCGACGCTGAGACCATTACACATGTGTTCTACTTTGGTATACTAAACCACTGGCTACAGTATGATGAGACAAGCTAATTTGAATCAAGTGTTTTCTGCACTCAACAGCGACGCCGTCGAAGAGTGCAAGATCAACTGCGATATGATGCGGAGGGTTGTAGCCGCAGTGAATATAATAGCACCAGGGCTCAAAGCGTTCATTTACCCCGGTGGTACAAGAGTATGTGACTGTTCAATTCCACAATGATTTTTTCTCGAATATTAACAGACGCTCAAGGGGTATGGAATCTATATCCCTGGTGGCACTTTTCAAGCGCCGCTGAATGAGGCGATGGCAGACCAACTTCCTGATGATTATGCCAAGACTGTGGCCTACCCATGGTTCAGGAAGATCCTAACTGAGGCCAGTAACGAGCGGGGCTGGTCATGGACAGAGGTTTGCCCCGATGCTGTTATTGGATTTAGCCCAAACGGCTCCGGGTGGTCTCTTGCCCTCCACTGGGCACAATACTTGTCTCTGTACTCGCATAACGAAGGCAAGGGTGTTGCGAACGGAGGCTCTAAAATTTCGGTGCCGTTTCCCGGATGCGAAGAAGCACTGGATAGCAAGTTTACACCAGTGTCCAGCAAAATTCTTGGGCGGATCGCCATATTCGCCGCATTGAACCCTGATGTATGTGGCGGAAAGGTCATCAACATGGCGGATGATGCGAATCCTACAACCTTTCGTCAGCTTTGGCCAATGATTGCTTCTTGGTTCGGGCTTACTGGGGTTGGCCCTTCTACGGAGACGGGTGCGCTCAAACCAGGCGAATATGTCAAGAAGCATGAAGCCATCTTCTCGGAGAAGAATCGCCCGAAAGCGTTATCTGGTGGGGTTGGAGCTGGGAGTAAACAGTTGGACAGTGTCGGATTTTGGCTCACATTTGACCGACAGTTGAGTTTAGACCGGCTGCGAGCTTGTGGTTTCCACGAACACCGCGATCCAATCGAAGGGTGGATTGAGGCATTTGAACAGTTCAGGGAGGCGGGTATCATTCTATGAGGATTAGTGAACTTTAGAAAAGTTATGTTCTATCGTCGTCATTAGACATCCTTATTGAGGAAAACAATGTCCCCTGCTATTCATGCAGTCTATTCTCCACGATCTCACGATCTCGAGCCACCCACGACGGCTTTCAGATGATGTCAACATTAAGGACTAGGAAAAACCCCCATATGTATTACGTATAAAAAGAAGAGTTGTATCTTGATTCGAAATAACAGGCCCTGACTATATGGTATCAAATTGTTTCGTTACAATGTATCTTTTCCTTCCTAAAGAGTGACCACAATCTTCTTAGCTGAAACACCTTTCTTCTGCAGTTCGAATGCCTCTTGGATCGTCTCCAACCCATGGCCGACCACCAGTGGCTCTGGCGACGGGACGAAGGACCCTGATTCAAGAGCTTCTGGCAAGTAGTCAACGAATATTTGCTTGTTCAGGCCCGCTGCAGCCATTCCGTCCATGCTCACATAGTTCCACTTGATTCCATTCAGCATACTTCTGGCACCGTAGGTCGCTGTTTTGGTCAGGTACGACGCCGCCGACGACACCATCCCCATGCGATTTGGCTCGCTGTCTGGCATTGGGATCGTGGCCATGGCCACAAATTTGTTCGCGCCTTTGGGAGCCTTCTCCAGCACACACATGCATTTATTCCCCGAGCCTGGTCCTATGGCAACAGCGCCGGAAACCACCTTGCCTTTGAGGCCCTCTGCTAGTTCATCTACTACTGTGCTGCTGTTGTAGTCCCATACTCTTGAGGCTCCTAGTCTGCGCACTAGGTCGTGGTTCTTTGGGGAAGCAGTTGTGAATACTTCGTAGCCAGCGGCGACGGCCAGCTGAATAGCGCAGCACCCTACGCTAGATGATCCACCCCATACAAGAACTGTCTTTCCTGTTGACGGGCGTGCCGGTACCGTGGGCAAGTCAAGCCCGAGGTAGGAGCTATCAAATAGTGCTGCTGATGCGGCTGCGACACCGAGAGGTAGAGTCGCTCCCTGGACAAAAGACATACCTGGGGCACGGATATGAGACACCCAGTTTTCTCGCAGTACTGTGTAGTGTTGGAATGCGCCCTGCGACGGCTCATTCTCGTCTTTTTCCGTGCCACGGCATAGCCCAAGTACGCGGTCACCAACTTTGAAGCGGGTGACTTCGTCACCAATTTCGACGACCTCGCCTGCAGCATCGAACCCAAGTGTAGAAGAGTACTTCAACCAAGGAAATACGAGGTCGCCTCGGGACTGGATGAGCCAATCAATGGGATTGATGGCCACTGCACAATTGCGAATGACGATTTGGCCTTTTGAAGGCGTGGGGTAAGGGGCCTCGGAGACAACTAAGGAGCGTGCCAACTTGGAAGGCAGCTTCGCAGCGTGATTAGAAGGCATATTGAGTGTATGGTAGGGGTTGCGATATGAGTGGAGTCTTGAGGAAATAGAAAGTTGAAGAAGAGAGTATATAACCGTGGGTTGATTACTGTTTGAGACTGATGATGGCATATACTATCCTCCCGAAGAACATTTATACAATCTTAATATATACAGAGAGTATTTATTGCGCCTATATTCTACTTCGAACCGCCGCCTCGCACTCGCTTTCATGTTGCATCGTGTCTCTCCGCCGGCTCAGACTGTGCCGCCATATTTTCAGTTATCCAATCATCGTCCGACAATCCTCGCACCCGCATAAGCATCAGCCTCAAGAGTCACACTTAACCGTTTTTAAGTATGGCCCAGGTCCGAGCTAGCCCGATGCGACTGTCAAGGGCTTCTCGCGTGGGAGATGGAACCGACCGACGGCTTCATTCTCCTCTCCGCTCGAGCGATCAACTGACCCTTCGAGATGCGGATCTGTAGAACGGTTGTCGCATTCGGGTGCCAACCCAATACACAAGTTCTATAAACTCAGTCCGCATCAAAAACTGAAAGGCGGTAGAAATGGATCTTATGATTTTAGATGCTCAACCATAAACAGCACATGAAACCGTCAAGCATCAATTAGTAGCACTATATAAAACCGTAAACTAGTGATTAGGCTCAATATTTACTGTTTCCACGGTATATGCCACCAATTCGTGGCGCCATGAGCCTCATTTGTACCCGTCGGAGCAGTCAAGGCATTTCCTGGCTTGCTCCATAGATGACCATTTCCATAAGCCCCTTGCAATAAGTTGCTTCTTTTGCCGTCCCAGAATATGCACGAGATATTGCTTGCAGTCTGATGATATCGTTCCAATACTTCTTTCTTTGCTTTTTGGTCTCGGCAGCGCGTAGCAAATGGGCTTTTTGACCACGGCATGTTGCAAGTGCAAGCGGAATAATCACTCACAACCATTGAGACTAACACATTTTGCTTTTCTCTTTGATGTGAATAATTGGCAGACTCAAAAATGATTGAACTTTCCAGCTTGGATGAATTGACGGAGGTATTGCCATCTTTGCCTCCTTTTGCATGTCCGAAGCAGGAGGCAGTGAGAAGCCGATTTTGCCGGTGGAACGCAAACGAGGCAGGATTCATTCAACAAGGGCTCCTTCGCCCCACCAGGAGCGCTACGCTGCGGCGGATATCACATCTGATTTGGGACGAGGATTAAGGATCAAGGGTTTTGGCACGGGTGGGAACAAGCGAGGCAGGGTCTAGGTGGGCGCTCTCAGTTCAGCTGCCAACTGCTCATGCACCGGCATGAATTTCTTCCTTCATCTCGCTAGGATGGCTGCCAAGCCACGCTCTGTTCCGATTGCCGCTGCCGCTGTCTTGGATTAGACTGCCAAGAGGCTTGGAGATCGGGGATCTTCTACTCGGGAGGGACGAAAAGCCATTCCTTGGCTACGTGTCCCAAGCAAAGCAGATTGATATAATTAGATGTACGGCCAATAGAGCATGAGTGAGGAGTGTAAAAGGCCCTACATTCGGGGGTCATTAGGACGATGGGGGCCGCCCCACGCATATGTCTGGCCTGGCCCAACAATGCAGTGAGAATACATTGTGAGTCTCTCTTTTCCAGTCAGTCCGGAAATTGTGGGCAGCGTCGAGTCATAAGATCATCGCCGTGGACTTGGCTGACTTCTGCCGCGTAGCCTGCCGGTCCCTCTCCAGCGCCACTACCAACGCGATGCCAAGCTATCAGTTTTCCCTAAGTGACCCAGTGAACCCATGGGCCGGGAGAGAGATGAGCTGCTCATCGTTTGCTTGGCGGTTGTCGGCATCCACTCGTCGGCGGGATGAGAGGATTTGCTGGTTTCCGAGCTTATGTGCTGGTGGAGTATATCTAATCAGATTGATTATCAGGGAATAAATACATTGTCAAAGCCGATAGTGGGTTGATCCGCTCGTTCTGCTGCGGTCTGGGCCGAAGAAACGTCTGACCTTAGTATTCTAGGCAAGGGTCGACAACTTTAATAAAGCTTAACGGAGGTAATAGATTGGGTAAGTCGGCCCTACGTAAATGAAGCCCACCCAATCAGCGACGCCCTGCAACCGGACAGTGGTAGTCACAGGGCTCCTTTCACTCCCTTTCACTCCGTGATGGATAAAATCGCTCTCAGTGGGGGCTAGAAAGCACGCGCGTTTACTTCTCAAGGAAAAGATCAACAAGGATATTTGCTCGGATGAGGGCAGGCCGGCCAAAATCGCGTGGCCATGGCAAGGGTATCCCGAGGTCTGGTGTGGGAGTGTCCTTACGTTCCGGTAGTATTGGTGGGCATAGAAAACATTCTCTCTATTTATTGTGTCAAGTAATACAAATATCTCTCTCCATCTTCTCTTTTTCTTCGGTTGAGATGAACTTAGGAGAAAGACATACTAGTCTCGTGTTACTCTAGAGATTAGAGCATATTCTTTTCTAACCATGACAGACATTACCAAGACCTCCGCCGGCGATACCACGGCCGGCGTCGATCCCGAGAAGAATGCCATTCAGGAGTCATCGCCACAGTAAGCCTCAGGCTATGAGTCGCATGCGGAATCCCAGGATTTCCAGGGTGGTGTTCAGGGCGCCCGTGCTATGACGAGTGTTTGGACCAACAAGACACTCATCTCCATGTTCGTCATGTAAGTATCAATCTTAACGTGGAATGCCATGCAGAACTGGCGATAATCCGTGGCAAGGCTGTATCTTGTCTCGTTCATTGATATCCTCCTTCAATCAGTCCAGTCATCTTTGAACCCTTACATTACCTCCTCCTTTGGAAAGCACGGTCTTCTGAATGTCGTTTCTATTCTTTCCACCGTTCTCAGTGGTGCCACCAAGCTTACACTAGCTAAAGTTGTCGATATTTGGGGCCGTATCGAGGACTTTATCGTTATGTTGCTCATTGTCACCATTGGGTTGATCATGAAGGCTACCTGCCAGACCATTGAAGTCTACGTTGGAGCCCACGTTCTCTATTGGACAGGCCATATCGGTCTCATGTACATTATCGACATTATGATCGCCGATATGACCACCCTCAAGAACCGTATGATTATCGCGGGCATTAACGGTACCCCGACGATTTGCTCAACCTTTGCGGGTCCCAAGATTGCCGAGCTGTTCTATACAAACGTCAACTTCAGATGGGCATTCGGTGCTTTCGCGATCATGCAGGTTGGAATTTGCCTTCCAGTCTTCCTCGTCATGCTCTTGGAGCAGCGCAAGGCTACCAAGCAAGGTCTCATTAAGCCCAAGGAGGCTTCTGGCCGCAACATCATCAAGTCCCTCTGGTATTACTTTATCGAGCTCGATGGTAAGCTTGCCTTTCGATGAACATTTGGCTCACCCATTCCAAGATCTGTCCTAGCATGTGCTAGTTATCGGGCTCATCTTGATTGTTGCTGCCTTTTCCCTATTCCTCCTACCTTTCAGCTTAGTCTCCTACCCCCCATACGGCTGGAAGACAGGCTACATCATCGCAATGATTATCATCGGTATTCTTTGCTTACTGCCTTCGCTCTCTGGGAGTGGAAGGTTGCACCCGTTCAATTCATCCCCTGGAAGTATCTCAAGAACCCTACTATTCTGGGTTCTTGCCTTCTCTACGGTGCAATGTTCATCTCTACATTGTAAGTAATGGATTAGAATTTTCGCCCCAAAAAATGAAAGACTATATGCTGATTCTCGAGTGAAGCTGCTGGGACGCGTATTTCTACTCATACCTGCAGGCTGTGAACAGGCTCAGCATTACCACCGCTGGTTATGTCCTGAACGCCTATTCCCTCAGTTCCGCCGTCTTTGCCCCCTTCATCGGAGCGTAAGTGATTAGTAACAAGTCTACATCGGCAGAATGCATCTAACCAAAGAAATAGTGTCATTAGCTACACTGGAGACTTTAAGTGGTCTGCCATTGCTGGTGTCCCACTGATGCTTCTTGGAACAGCTCTCCTTATCCCACTCCGAACCCCTGAAACCGGTCCTGGCCTAATTACCATGACCCAGATTTTCGTTGGTGTTGGTGCTCAGCTATTCGCATCTTGCGGTCAGCTCGCCGTCCAGGTCGCTGTCACACACCATGAAATTGCCGTCGTGCTCGCCATCTGGGGCATGTTTGGCTCCTTCGGTGCAGCAATCGGCAACGCGATTGCCGGCGCGCTTTGGAACAACATCCTCCCCGAGCAGCTGCTCCTCCGCCTTCCCGAATCTGTGAAGAACCAGTCTGCCACTATCTACGGTGACATGGTTCTGCAAATGAGTTTCGAAGATGGCAGCCCAGAGCGAGAAGCTATTGTGGGTGCTTACGGCTACCTCCAGCGAAGAATGGTGATCGCCGGTGCTTGCTTCATGCCCCTCTGTCTCTTTGCGATCTTTGTTTGGAAGAATACCAACATCAGGAAGCTTCAGAGCGAGCAAGGTATCCAGACCAAGGGCAGAGTCTTCTAAATGCCGACAGGCCTTTTCACAAAATATATCATTGATGACTCATAGATTTCACCATGTATTGTTTAAGCCAACATCGGATGATCATAATGGAACCTGGCCTTACCTCCATGTTCTATCTCTGGCATTATCATTTGGGTATCCTGGGGACATTCAGGTTAGGTCATAAACCATGCTTTAAATTTTAATTGTAATAAATCAATATATTTACGAAATTTGTTCTCTGTGGAAGTCTAATTTTCTTGTCCGCAATTCCTAGGTCAAAGGACAGGTGTGACCTAAACAGCTTTTGTAGTCCGCAAGAAAAATCGGCATATCATGGGTTAATAGCTAGGGCCACACAAGTAGACTTGGAAGAGAAACGGTCGTCGAGTCGCGGTATGCGACAAATCTACCTAATTATCACTTAAACACATCTGGATGAGGCTGCTATGTGTAGTGTTCTAAAGCCTCCGTTTGACGGTTATCGGACAGGGCTCTGAGCGCAAGTTTAAATAAATTCTTGACCGAGTTAGTTAGCTAGACATGATAATACACTCTATATTTGGGTATGAGCTAATTCCGTTCGTTCCATTGTCTGGAGTTTGGGATTTGATTCCATCTGGTGTCTCCATTGTATGACGAGCTGACGAGGCCTTATGCTCTTAACCGGCGGGACGTGGAGAACAACCCCCCAGTTTAAACGGACGTGACCAAAATTGCCCCATCTTGAGACCCAACTGCTTTAGCTCCAATTATTGACTTGTAACTGTGTGGTTGGATTTGCGATTATGTTTCTCGCTGCATCTGTGTTTTGTCTTCCTTACTCGTGGGGCAAGGCAACGCGTCGACTCTACCGTAGGAGCCTAATGCAGGCACATTGATGGAATAGCCTTAATCCCGTTGTTTAATATTCATCTACAATAACAGAATCTGTCGGAAGGGTAATTCCTGGAGGAATGGACTCCAGACAGTCAAGAGTGATACACACGGTATTGAACGTAGGTGGGCGTAATCGCCGAAGAGTAGGATGTGGTGGCAGGCCAGATTTGGAAATATGAGCCAGTAGTCTGTCAACACTCTACGAATGTGATTGTTGGTGCAATTGGAGGAGAAGACACTTCGGATGACAGGTGACACTGTTGATGGAGTCGGGCATGGTTGCCAATAGTTCGCCAACACTAATACAGAGCTCACAAGCTAGATGAAACAAGCAGCCGATATAGGAACACCCCTCTTTCAGATGAGGTCGAAGGCTGCATCATCCCCCGTCGTCATGGCCCGCCCCGGATCCCTCGTGATATGCCAAGAGGTGACAGCAAGACAATTATTGGTGACGTACATGGATCCGGTTAAGTGATGTGCATGCCCATTCATTTCCGGCGGGGAGAAGTCAGTGGACGCGCTTGAGCCTCATCATGGAACAAGATGTCTGGGGCTTTACAACTTAAATCATCGACTGAACTCATCCGATGACACAGGGGCAGCAATCTCGGGCAGCCCTGGCCATGCCCCAGCCATGAAAATGGTTCGATGAAAACCTGAAAGCGTTGACGACGACCCTGTACCCTTCGCCGCAGGAGGATCCAATAAAAGCTTCACCTGCGCGAAAAACCGTGCCAAGCTTACGTCGCCCTGTGGGTCACGATCAGATTAGATGGCCAAGACCGGGGATCAAGAGGCGCCTCGAGGGATGGACTGACGTGGCCCAGCCCTTGAGCTAATATCAAAGCCCCATCCCGGTCTCTGTCTAACTGTACCGGGTCTTGAACACCCGATAAGGGTGGTCATACTAAAGGGCCTCACCGGTCCCAGGCGCTGGCCCAGCCTGCTCCTCCTCATGGGATTCAGCTTGCCGTCAGTCCATCATTGACGTTTGCGGAGCCATGTTCAATCTTCGACAGCTGGCGGCTCTGGCCGTCATCTGCTATGCCTCGCCCAGCCATGCGGCCTCGTCGCTCAAGCCAAGCAAGGACATCGCCAAGGATCGTGCGCCTCAGATCTTCAACTCGGTGCACGACTCGATGCGCCAGTGGGGCTCGAGCCTTCACCACAACGGAGTGTCGTTCTTCCTGGCCACCGTCCCCGAGGGCGTCCTCCTCTACCACGGCAACAACCGACCCGAGTCGCCTACTGAGCCCGACTGGCTGGCATATGAAATCGAGCACGCCGAGCAGTTTGCCATGTCGAGAGGGCCTCCCCCGGGCAAGGACAAGGCGCGCGCCGAGCGTCGCAATCCATTCTTCAATCTCAACCCGGTTGACACAGAGACCCAGCAGCACATTCTCAACACTGGTGATAAGGAGCCTCAAATGCCGGATGATGACGAGAAGAAGAAGGGTGGCTGGCTGCATGTGTACAAGACCACCAGAGCCCTTCCCTTCTTATACATTGACGGGATGAGCGGTGGTAAGACGGAGATGGGAACCCTAGATTCACAAGACTATCTTCTACGCAACAAAACTCAGGAAGATGAACCCAGCCAGCCACATCGTGGTCCCATGGGTGAAGGGACTCGTGCTCGGGAGCTGTGTGAGTTGAGCACTTCGTGGGGCTTACAGGGTGTCATTCGCATGGAGGCTGGCTTTGAAATCATCAAGTGCGATTTCAAGGACGGACTGGAGGAGATTCAGACGCTTCAGCGACCTGTAAGAGACTCTGATGGGTTTGGCCACCCACCTGGATATGGCCCTGGGGGTCCTGATGGAGACCGCCCTGATCGTCCTGGGAAGGGTCCTGATGCTCCTGGAAAGAGTCCTGATGGGCCAGGTAGCGACGGTCCTGATGGCCCTGGGAAGTGGCCAGGTCATGGCCCTGATGGGCCAGACGGCGAGCGTCCAGATGGTCCTGGACACTGGCCTGGTCATGGGCCGGATGGTCCTGGACGTTTTCCTGACCATGGCCCAGACGGTCCTGGCAGGCCTGATTATGGTCCTAATGGCCCCGAGAAGCACCCTGATGGACCTACACGTCGGCCGGGTAAGGGAGCGCGACCTTGGCCAGGGAATCCCCCGCGCCACCGTGAAGATGGGTTTGATTACCCGCCACCACCTCGCGGCCCTTGGTCTTGGCCTGGTCCTCCTCCTCCTCCCGGTCCTCCTCGTTCACGACGCCGCGAGGATGGCCCCGAACATCTACCCCCACGGCCAGACCATTGGCCTAGTTTCCGTCCACGACACCCCGAAGATGGTCCCGAGCATCCTCCACCACCACCTGCGCATTGGCCTTGGCCTGGTCCGCCTCCTCCTCGCCATCCACCAGATGGAGGTGAGCTCCCATCGACAGAAGGTCATCAGCCACGGCCCAGACACCCTCATGGCCGTCCTGAAGACGTGCCTGAAAATCCAGCTGAAGGAAGTCCCGGATCGTGGCCCGGGCCTCCTTCACGTCAATCTGAAGACGAGCCTCAATACCCACCACCACATGGCCCTGGGCCACGGCCAGAACAGCCTCCACGCCGCCCCGAGGATAGACCCGAACATCCACCACCACCGCCTCGGCATTGGCCCTGGCCTGGTCCTCCCCGACGCCCTGAAGATGGATCTGAGTACCCGCCACCAAGAGGTCCGAAACCATGGCCAGGACATCCCCCTCGCCGCCCAGAGGGTGAGCCTGGAAACTCGCCTGGAAAGCGACCCAGTCGTGGCCCCGGTCACGGCCCAGGGAACGGTCGAGGGGGAAGCATCTCAAGCTTTGAGTTTCTTCGTGGAATCTCAAACAGATACGACGGCATTGGCTCTACTCGCACGATTTTGGACTATTCGTCCATGGTATCTGCCTATTTCTTCCCTGTCAACTTGACGAATCCCGACCCCAAGCGTCCAGATTTGCCACGACTGACCAACCTCTCTGATGATGAGCTCAAGCATATTCGGGGAGTTATCGGGGACGTCGCCAAGGAACGATTGGACGGAAAGGCACCAATAATAAACTGGCAGGATGTTGCAGATCTCATCGTCAAGCGATATGCGGAGAGGCTCCAGTTCATGACACAGAAAGGAACTTCGTCCAAGCGCATTTCGGACGAAGCAAACTTCATGCTGGACACTTTCATCGACTATTCCACTGAAGAGAAGAGCCAGGATAACTCTGGCAGCATCTCCCGCTGCAGCAGCCTGTACTTGCAACCGATCAAACCAAAGACCACGGCCGATGAGCTTATCTACTCTGCTTTCGAAGAAGTCTTATCACAGATTTGCACTACACTGTTCAAGGTCCGTGATATTTCTCTCGTGGCTCAGCAGAATGAAGATTATGCTCTCCCAACCGCAGTGGGCACACTGCAGTCCTTGTTGAACTACCTCAAGTGGGCCAGCTTCAAGCGATGCCCTCCTTGCGGTGTAGACGAGGTCTGCCTCATCCCCATGTGGCCGTTTGGAACTGTGGATGCTTACGAGCACCCTCAGTGCGTCAAGTCGACAGACGGCCGTGGCGATGGCGAGAGCTACTGGGGAGACAGACCTGGACCGCCTCCACCCAAGTACGAGTAATTTATTTTCATATATGAAATCATTAGTATAAGCAGTAGATACCGTTCAAGCGATCAATACATATTTTCATTCGTCTATTACGCAGTTTCTCCCTTAGTCGGCATACTTTTTTTCTTAATGGGCATGCTGAGGAGAGCTGAATTTTCATTTGTCTTGGCTCTTAGTCCCAAACTCCTCTTTCGCCAATTGAATCCAATGTCGAGTATATCTGACGTTTATCATTACTTGGTATTGTAAAGAGTATTCCCATCTCTCACTACTCCTTCAGCAGGCTAGAATCTGGCAATTAACGATCATTCTGAAAGAAGAGCAAACGCTTCAGCACATGGATAAAGACATGTTAATATTCTCCACTTTACGCTTATAGCGGCGTCATCAAGTCACTTTTGTTCAATTGAGGAAACCTGGTATTTCGAAAAAACGGATTCTTGCAAAAGTTGGTTATTTTTTGGGCTGAGTCGTGGCGCTGTCAAGGACAATTAACATGGACCCTACCCTATATTCCGAGGCGAGACAGCGTAAACGGTTCTCACATCGACCGTTGGTAAACGATGATCGTATTGACAATAAACGACAATACATGCTCGTTGATTTAGTTTTAAGAGCACTAAAATCAAATCTACCTATCTTCGTATTAGCGGCCGACCTCAGGCCAGTGGGCATATCCTCGTTTGTAGCTTGACGGCATTAGCCACCTGAGATCTCGTGTTGTCACGGATCTCGAGGACGCTTGGCACCTTTCTCGTAATGCCATTCTCCGCAAAGTGGGTTGATGGCCGGTTGCCTTGCGCCGTCTCTACTAGATTGGGATCTATTGGAGAGACCGAGAGTAGCGGGGCGACTATTGAGACTGTTCCAAAGGACAATGGGAAGCTTCAAGACAGGCAGCTGAGTGAGCTGAGTAGTGGTTCGCGCAGGCAACAGTAGCAAATAATGCCTGGGAACGGATGGGCCCTACTCTAGTTAGTGGGGACCAACCTGGAACATGCATATGCCCTGTCGGAGTCACAGTCGCTGTGAGTAAGCATCCCGTACAGTGATTGAAGAGCCAGACACCAGACTTGAAGCCTGGGTCTGCTTGTTGGCGCTGCTTGTTGGAACAGGTGTTTGTTGCCCCATCTATTCATACGCCATTGGGCTTCTCACGCCAGCAGCACGTCGAGGCCGATTCTACCGTGTCTTGGACCCGAGAATCGATCCATTCCCTGAGACAAACGCACGCTAGTTAAGCTGTTGGACACATGCGGTGGGGAACAACCTGACCGGGAAGCTCATCCGCACGAAGGGCCCTCCTTTGCACCAATGAGCAGCCGCTGACGACCTGCACCAGTCAGGGGCAGACCTTCCAGAGCTCTTTGTGTTCCGTCAGGTCAGACCTGGAGGATCGAGGATTGTGCTGTTGTCTCGATGGCGGCGGACCGAGCGAACCATGGGCGGGGAGCAAAGGCAGGGCACCACACATGTTGGTCGCTCCCCTTCTCTTCTCTTCCTTGATCTCTCTACACTTCTGCGAGAAAGAATGACCCCTCCGTCTCGCCGATGCCTGATGCTGCTGCTTACCAGGCATGCTGTTGCGCATTGTAGCAATGCATGGATACCACTCTGACTACACTGCCAATCGTAAGTGAGCGTCTAGATCAAACGCAATGGACCCCCTCAGTGTAACCAACTCCATTGCGGGACTTGGGAAGGCAGCGGCGGAACTCGAGAAAGTCATTAGAGAATATGTCGAAGGCGCAACCAAAAACGTCCCAGACGTTCTGGTTCAGTTGCTCAAGAATATCCAGGCTACTGGGCATGTGCTCTCGCGCCTCGGCAGGACAGTAAAGAAGCTTGATATCGTCAAGCCATCCCAGTTGCAAACCCACCAGATTGTCGCAGTACTCACCGATGGCGTCATTATCTTCTCAGAGCTGGAAACAGCAGCCCAGGATATTGAATGTCCTCCGTTGGCTGATGTCAAGCTGCCATTGAAGGCGCATCCGGATTGGCCGGTCAAGCAGAAAAGGTTAGAACTCTTGCAGAAAAGGCTTGCCGCATTTGAGCAATCTACCTCCATGATTCTTGCCATCCTGCGATCGTAAGTGGCTCATTAACGCCATATTAATTTATACGAGTGGGCGATCATTGACTTGGTGAATAGAGATTCACATTTTGAGGGCGCTCAACATCGTATCCAGCTCACAACCAATGTGGATAGTCTGATGGACGAGAACTTCGATGTCATGCGCCGTATCTTGGCCGCCGACAATAGTTTTGATATAGAGAACCTAAGAGCAAAAAAGGGCTACCTCTCTTCGAGGAAACCCGATGATGAGAATTGGCCATTGCCAGCGTCACCCATCACCCCCTCAAGGCTCGATTCGTTCACAGACCTTGGTTCAGCTCTACCTGGACTTGAAGACCAGTCACGATCTGGGTTTTTGTCTCCCATCTCAACCTCATCGTTCAATTTCGAAGCAGACCTTGCTTACTCTGGCCCCTACCGACGCGCAAACCGAGAGTCCATGGACTTCTCCATGCGCAGCTCTTTCCGAAGGCCTTGGTCCTCGTTATCTGACTCTAGCCAAGGGCAGGCGTCTGTGATATCCGTTATTGCACTCCCACTGTTCGCTGATGATATTACAAACCCTCAGCATTACAACTTTAGCTCCCCTCCGTCTTATCCACCTCCCCCTTACAGTCCAATTGCGACAGTGGGCGAAGGCTCGCGTACAGGTTTTGCTTTACCAACAGTCGTTGAGCTAGTCGATGAGCCTCCTGTCACTCCCGTACCATCAATTACTTCACCTACTCGCGAGCAAATACTTGTTTCTGGCTTGGAGATATTACATCGAATGTATTGCCATGGCACATCTATCTTTCACAACTGCCTCGCCATCAAATCACAGCTATACCAGCTTCTCGGGTTTGCCGAAGCCATATCATCATATGCCTTCGAGTTGAGAGCCACTAACCCAATGGAAGAACTCGTCTCAATTTTCCGCGAGGGGTGGCCGCTTTTCTGGCTCTTCAATAAGCTTGATTCTCGCTTCAAGGTGGTCGCACCAAAACCTGGGGGCGTTCCATACACCGTACCGCTATTCTTCAAGCTATGCAAAGAGTTTGGCTTTGACATATACGAGTTCTTCACCCTTGACGATTTGATGGGAGATGATTATCTTGGTTATCTTAGAGTAAGTCAGTTGATTTTTTAAACGACTCATCGTGCGATTTGGTTGTGAACGGTCCCATTCTGACAAGGCATAGTTTCTCTCAGGAATTGAGCTAGTATTATCCCAACTCATGTCTCGAGGATTGGTCCGCCCCGTCGTCCGCAGAGAATTCAATTTACCTGAAATCACAGAAATGACACCGTTGCAAGCTCATCTTGAGACATTCGTCATTCAACAGAGAAGGTACTTTCTCGACTTGGGAGATCTGCTGGAGATCAAGGATGTGTTGCAGGAGGCCGAACCACTCTCCCATAAGCTCCTCACAGCATTCGAAACGCTCAAAATCATCATCCACTTCGAGGCTCGCTTCTTACTTGACATTGAAGCACAAATCACCAAGCCACGCAAATCACAGGATTGGGGTACTCCATTCCTCACATGGGCTGAGGGTAGCGATACCTACGCCGAGTTCATTTCCCTAGAGGATGATAATGCAAGAGAGCTGAGGCAGCGCTCACATAGGCTAGACAGTTCAGAGCAGCAAAGCGAGAGGAGCACTGTGATGAAGTGCGTTCGGCGTATTATGACGCTGCATGATCAGCTCCGCAAGTACCAAGATTTCTTCCGTGTATGTAATATTCAGCCTTACCCTCTCAACTCTATCCAAAGGCTAATTTATGATTGCTTCTAGGAGTTTGATCTAATGCCCACCGACGAGTTCCAGCCTTGGCAGGTGGAAAACATCGCAAACGGGAAAGTTGCCGTCAAGAACGTCTTAGAGAAGGCATATGAGGCGACAGAAAAGGCAGATATGCGTGATGCCCTGGCTGATCTGAAGTCCCGCATGGTGGATTGGAGGGGCTATCGCATTGATAATTTTGGCGAACTTATTGCCCACGACTCGCTGAGAGGGCGATCCGACAACAGAGCGAAAGACACAACTAAGACCGTGCGTGATCAACTGAAATGCTTTTTGGTTGGGTACTTAGCTGACAGCTCCTCTCTTTGTAGTATAAGGTGTACCTGTTCGAGAAGATTTTCTTATGTGTGAGAGAAGTTGATGGTCCTGCTGGAAAACGCGTGCTGGCACTGCGTGGACGGATTTGGGCCAGGGATATAAAAAAAATTGACAGCAGCATAGATGGTAAGTGAAGTCTAGAGGAGGTTCCCAAGACCAAAAGTCATAAAGCATATACTGATTTTCGGTTGCTGGCAGGCCCGCTTGCCTTTAGGATACATTGGAGCGGCGATGAGGGAACTGATATTCTGACTCTTCGTTTTCGATCGCGAGGTCAGAAAGAGAGCTGGTGCTCGAAGATCCTGCGCGTCCAGGAAATGTCGGCAAACATCCGTTAGGGCGAGATTTCGCCACGAATGACGTTTTTGAAATGAGAGTAAGATGAATGACTACAAAAGAAAAGAGAACAAATGGAAAAGCAATTACCGATCTATATCTGAAATTTGCAAGAAGTCGTATCAAATCGAATTTTGAATCAATGCCGTTTCTAACCCTGTTTTGTTATGCAACTATATGATCTATCACCTCATGCCCGCCAAGGTATACAATATAGCAAGAGAAGCTGGCAGCTGAGATGGTTGCATCGCAACACCACTATTATTGCACATCCCACTTCAAATACATAATCTCCCAATAGGTTCACCGGGGCTTTAATACGCCTGATTTTAGGTAGGAAGACACGAGAGCAGCCGAGCTAGCAAAATCTCGCGTGGTACACTCTCCAAGGCTAACCTCCCCTCCGGTATTTGTGACATGTAGATTATGTTTACAGAGAATAATGTATATAATCTAACTCGCTGAGGCATAAGTAACAGCAAATTGGAGAGTAAATGGGAATTGCTGGAGTCCGGGGTGCTTGAAAGCTGGGGGGTGGCCCCAGCTTATGTACATTAAAAAGGGACTGTTTTAATTCCAACTTTCCAATACAGGCCACGGCATTGATAGACAATAGTTAATAGTGATAATGAGTTTTTGAGTAATTTCTAGACAACATCATATAATATTGTGCCATGGGAAGCATTATTATGGCACTGACTACCACAATTTCTGTCGAGATGTCTATGTCTTGTACATTCATTGTTCGCATTATGTGGAGTGTCTTGGTCCCAATTTGCTTCGGGCCTACAAATTTCCGGCCCGGCGCTTTACCAACACAAAACGGAGCCAAATAAGCTGGCATCTACAAACCTACGAACAACACACAGAACACCTCTGCGTCAGGCAATGTCACCCTATCACGGTCCGACGTCTGGACATGAATCATTCAATTATTCAGGCGTGGGTTGACGGAGTAGAAACCTCCTCCGTTGACAGCACATTGGCGGTTGGTTCGTTGCTCGCGCATCGACGTCGTCTTTCTGATGAAATGTCAAGCCCACCGAAACGCCCGCGCACAACCGAATACTCCGACCTCGACGAGACTCCAACACGCCCCCGACCTCAGTCCGTACGACATGATAGTGATGGAGTCGTCTTCGATGATCCGGCTACACAAGGTGTGACTGCAAAACGTTCAACGTCCTCTTTCACTGCGGTTCTTGTAGCTGAGCATTTTCGGCTCCCACAGCAGTTCAGCAAGCTCCGACCTCTGACACGACGCGATCACGCAGTTCATCCCCTTCGAAGCGATTCCAAAAGACGGCCAGCCTGTTGAACCTGGTGCGGCCCGTTCGTTTCACGAAAGAGCGCGATCTTGGAAGTGTCCTCCCAGACGACGCTCAAAAGCTTTTTGAGGCTTTGTCTGCGGTCGACGTAAAAAGAGGAGATCCTGCCTGCGGCTCTTCGAGGTCATTCGGATTTTCGAGATACGAGGCTTCGCGGGTTTATGTGGAAAACTACACAAGCTGGTGTGGAAGACGAGGCAACGCTCCTTGAAAATCATGCACACCTCCGAGACATTGTTGATGATTCTATTGCCTCATCTAACCTCCATCGATCCGAAGGCGCTTGGAACTGTCTCGTGCATACACCGGTACTACGGCGTGCAATTTCTCGCTTTGCTTCTCTTGAAGTCGAGCCCATTTCCTCAGCTCAGATCTTGCCCGCGTTTCGTCCTTTGTCAAAGGGGAGTGATCAGACCACATCCCGGCCGCCCAACGCTAGTGTATCAGGAGCGTCTGGGCAGGGTTTGGGAACGCCAAACACTCGGCTGAGTGCGACTGCATTGTCAGTCCATAAGATGGTCGACTTTGCCGTGGTCCTTCGTCCCAAAGAGGAGCTTCAAAATCTCATCAACACTTTCTTGGACAACCAGCCGTATACGACGCCTACGGTCAACCAAACTATATATGAGCATCTCCGCACCCGACCGGCTCCTATCTTCATCGAGACCAAGACGTCATCTGGCAACATGGACACTGCTAATGTTCAGCTTGGAATTTGGGTCGCTGCGTGGCACCAGCGTATGCGAAGTATCATTGCGCTCGGGGGGGGGGGGGAACAGATAAGGTAATTACGATTCCCGTCATTCAGGTAGTTGCCAGTGTATGGAACCTCATGTTTGTTCTGGATGCAGGCACGGAAATTGTAAGTCATCTTGCACTTATCTCAACTTCATTCAGTATCTAACACTCGGACATAGCGCATGTTAGATGGCAACTTTCGGATAGGTGATACCGACAGCATTTTGGGCATTTACCAGCTACAAGCTGCCATCTTTGCACTTGCAGACTGGACCAATGATACCTTTGAGCCCTGGTTCACTGATCTTCTGGCCCGCGCAACTGTGTCACGGCTCGAGCAGCGGTGAAATGGACCGGCAGCATTTGGCACGTGAACACTGCTCTATTTATCACGGATGAGAGAGTTCGAGTACAAAGTAACAACAGCAATAGAGATGCCAGACCCAACATACCAACACAATGATTTCTCCGAAAATACTCCCCTTCATTGTGTTTTGAGGGCTGATAAGCATTTCTATTGAGGCTATCTTCTGTTAAGCCCTGATCCCTTCCACCTCCTTTCCTCTCGGGCTTGAAAGAGAATGGCCTTGATAGAAATGCTTTTAGCCCTTAAAGCACAATGAAGAGAATATAGTGGGAAGGACACAGTGGGAGCTCTGGTTACCACAGCAAGTTTGTTGATATCAGAAAATCGGGGACTGCAAAGTCACCACAGCAGAATTATTGTCGCAGTCAATTATCTAAAAATGGCTTCTATCGTGTAGCAGGAAGCAGATATTACTTAATAGTTGCTCAGTAATTTATTATTATTGTTACTGTTCTTGTTATAATGAACCATTGTTTATCCATATCGTGGCCTTTATTAGAAAGCTAGGATTAATAAAACACCTTTGCCGTCCCTATGGTTCTGACTCCCACTTGCCACGCTTCTGTGAGATTATTGTTTGGAACAAGTAGTGTTCAGCTATTAGGCATCTTTCAGTTGTGTGGAGTTGGCCTGCATCATCTCATTTAGGCAGACGTTTAATGCCTCTACTTAATTACCAGATCGTCTATTCCATTAGAAGCCCTCAACCATACTTTACGAGTTAACCCCAATTGAGGGGAATATTTTGCGCTTTCCGATACATTGGACAAATGGCCGAACCAGCCCCATCCCCTTCGACGCCGCTGGACTATCAATTCACATTCGATGACGACTTGGCAGAATACGCCAAGCCCCTGATCGAGTGGCATCAACTTCACAACAACAAATATAGCGGGCTCGTCGCCGGCGCTATCGTCTTTGATGCACAAGGGCGTGTGCTCATCCTACGCCGCGCGGCGCACGATTACCTCCCTGGACTCTGGGAGCCGCCTGGTGGATCAGTCGATCCAACAGATCAGAGCCTGTTGCACGCCTGCGTCCGTGAACTTTGGGAAGAGGCGGGTTTAAGGGCCCGACGGATCATGTGTGTCGTGGGCCAGGGGAACGAGTGGAATGCCGGCTCTAAACTCTTTCATCGTTACACTCTGTTGATCGAGGCGCATGAGGGAGAGGTTCGAACTGATCCAGAGGAGCACTCTGAATGGAAATGGGCGACACGGGAAGAGATCGTAGCGGAAAGAATGGACGACGGAACAATCATACCGATGACCTTTCCTATTACTAAAGAAACCTTGCTTGAGAGTATAAGACTGTACCAGGCGCGTCAAGGAGCGATGGCAGTGATTTAGGATCGATAGCCTAATATATTCACCAGTGCGCAACAGACCTTAGGTGTCGCACTCTTGACACGGTTCTCTTTGCGTCAACTTATTTTCAAGAAATGATAGATATGCAATCCAGAGACTTTGACTTAGGCAAAATTTCATATAGGCGTGTTTATCATTCTCGTTTATCATTCTCATATGCTAACCAAATGCTTGGAATCCCGGCCCCTGTGCCAACCTAGAACATATCATTGGACTGAAGATGATCAGGGTTCGGGCCTTGACTAGGAAATGGTGCTACTCGAGGAGCTGCCTGAGCTGCTGGAGCTGCTGGAGCTGGAAATGGACGAATTATCGTCGCTGCGACTCTTTCGCCAAAATGCCAGCTTTCTCATCCACGAGAACTTGGAAAGTATGGAACGCTTTGGAGTCTTCTTCTTGCGGTAGGGCGCTGCGTTAACAACAGTCACCCCGGGAGGGATCTTTCCGAGTGCGAATGGTGGTGGGATAGGCGGACTCATGGGTTGCTTGATTGCCGGCCCGTTCTCAACTGAGAGGACGGCCAGGAGACCATAGATATCAGCCCGAGTAGTCGGAATGGCGACAACGCGAAGCTGTTTAGACTTTCCCGCATAATAGCAACAGATTTGACAGTACACGCTGAGTTCATCGGAAGGATTGGCAAGTGCCAGACTTTTGGTCCAGTTGTAACTTCTATACCCGAGGTCGGAGCAAAGAGTTTGAAGAGTTTCGGAAGACACGTTGTTCGGATTTGGAACGAGCTCCAGAAAGTGCTTCGGCGTAAACATGCCTCCTGTAGCAGGCGGAGGAAAGGTTCTGTAGGCCTTGATGAGGCGGAAGACGCGGTACGCAAGTGTGTCCCACGCGGGTGCCTGGCATGCCGGGGGAAGTGCGACGTCGTAAAACGCTTCTACTCTTCTGAGACGAATATCGAGAGCGCCCAGAGTGCTGGCGCTTATGATATCACCAGGGAGCTCCAACGAAGCGCGTCCCTCTAGAAGGGCAATAGAACTTGCACACTTGTAATGGGCCTTGTTGTCTGCCATGATTACTAGTGACAAAGAGGCTCAAGAGAGAGAAAAGACCGGAATGACGAGTGATGCCTATCTCATCTATCCGGCCGGTTGGCGTGACGGTTTTAATAAAAGCCCTGGGAGAGGGGAAAGGCAAGGCAGAAATGCCATGGAGCCCGACAGGTAGAGTAGCATTCGCGGAAACCAATAAGTCTCCTGCTCACTGCATCTAGATATGCAAAGTGCGTTGTTCGTCTCAGAGGGTGTGGAGCAAAGTATTGTAGATACATCGCGATTGGTGGTCTGCCTAGAGTGAGGCAACAGTAGTGGGTGGACTGGTTCGCATTGGTCTCACGACACAGCTGACCGGTCCGGAGCTCTTGGGCCTACACTCATTTCTAGCCAATGGTTGCTTAGATTCTGTGAATGTTGCAACACAAATTGGTTTGAGACTTCACGGCTGCTACGTAGGGGTGGTGCTATCATGTTGTCATCATGTCTTGGCCCAGCAGTTGATATGTCTAGAGCGCTTATCAAGCCACACCTCATGCAGCTGTGTCGTTCACAGTCGAACTAGTGGCAGAATAATAACGGTCACGTTCGGCATACATGAGTGTGGCATTTCGCCATTCGATGGTCAACATTAGAACTTGGCTGCCAAGAGGAATACTCTACGCATTGCTCATTTGTTATCACTGAGCATGGTTAAGGTACAATTTAATACTAAAATTCTATCATTTCCCCTCTATTCCTGTCCTAGATCGTTATAGATATGGTATTCATAGCACCGTAGAGCTTGACTTTTTGAGCGCAACCCCATGTTCCCCCTACTGCAGACCATTGATTTTGATCTTTTTATCCTATCAAAGAAGTGCCAGCTGTCGTTTGGGCGAATGGATGATTGGATTGATAAAGAGAGAAGACTTTTGTATGTTTAATTGTAAGCTGTAAACTGGCATTTTGAAATTGTATCGGATTTGCATCGAAGAACTACGGTGTAACTTTCTTCTTACACCTCCCCCGAGACCTTGAGTATAACTTTGCCTCTTGGGCGGCCTGTCTCAGTCTTCTCGAAGGCAGTTGAAAACTGGTCAAATTCGAACACAGAGTCGATGTTGACCTTGAGTCTACCGGCTTCAATCATCTCCGTAATGATGTCCAGATCTTTGCCCAGTGGCGTGATAACGAACCACAGACTCTGCACCTTCTTCTTGACATCATCGGGACGGGTGTCCTCTGGGACGCCGCAAACACTGACGAGCTTACCACCGTCTTTGACGGCGTACCACGAAGCTGCGAGCGAGGATCCACCAGCGCAGTCGAAGACCAGATCAACTTCACGCCCATTCTGGTCCTCCTTAACCCAGTCACCGATACTTTGCTTCGTGTAGACAATCGCTTCCGAGGCGCCGAGCTCCTTTACATAATCAACATTTCGCTCTCCGACCACAGCAACGATTTTCTTCACACCGGCCTCCCGAGCCAGCTGCACCGCCCAACTGCCAACACCGCCGCTGGCTCCAGTAATGAGAACTCGTTGAGTTGCATTCTTCTCTAGTGCAGCTTTGTCGCCTTTGAGGGCCAGCTTATCCAAGGTGCCCTGTGTAAACAAGCCCTGGTAGCCAGTCAAGGCGCTGATGGGCGCGGCTGCCGTCTCTACCCAGTTTAAGTTCTTGGGCTTGATGGCCAGCTCAGGCTCTCGGGCGAGCACATACTCGGCCGCGCATCCCGGACGGTCGGCATTGATCCTTGCATACACACGGTCGCCGGGCTTAAATTTGCTCGTGGACGGGGCTGAGACGACGGTACCGGCGAGGTCCTGGCCCGGAATGGGTATCTTATCAGGACCGATGAATTCCGGGGCCCAGAGGGCCCAATCTAGCTCGCCTTTGCAAGGTGATGTAGCATGAACCTTGACGAGAACGTCTTCTGGGTGGGTTGGAATTGGAACGGCAATCTCGGATGAGATGAGGTTGTGGGAGTTTCTGTCGGGTTGCAGAACAGCCTTCATTTTGGGGGGGATGGTTGCTTGGTCGGCCATTTTACAGCACAGTGTGTACTTGGTTATTGGGAGTTGGTGAGATATTATAGCCAGAGCCTCGTGACTTAAGAGTTGTATGAACTGCAGGAAGTTGAACTGACTGCTTTCGAGACTAAGATTTTGCATTTATACATCATAATATATCTTCCGCCACCCGTCGCTTCCGACTGATCCAGAATCCGGAACTCGCCGTACGTGAGTGTGCGGCTATAACTGCAGCGAGTACCCGCATTGCAGATACCCGTATCGGATCTAGGTAGGCAAGCTCAGTTCGGCAATCCACGCAGTTTCACGCGGCAACCGGCCCAGCAACAGTGGGGAGATGTTCGTCAGAATGATGAATGACTCGAAATGACATCATGTGAAGGATTAAGGTTTTGATAATAGGATACTCGGTACTGGTGTGTGAAGATATGTATCTTCAAAGAAGGTTAGTAATGTTGGAGTAGCCGCCAAGTTAACGAATTCACGTCACTTTGGTCAAATCACCATTACCAATCATGCGATAGTGAATAAACCCCAACATTAAATGGGTCTGGTGTTTCTTGTCGATTGAGGGGTAGAGTAGCCTAACTAACTTGACGTATCCGAACTGCGTCCGCCATTATCTGGGGACCATCATTTTCCAAAGCGAACAGCCCAGAACACATCGTGCATACGGTTCTTCTGTCCTGGAGTAAATGTGTCTCTGCATGGATCTGCGGTGTAGTCCATAAAGTTGTTTACCTTGTCAGTGCCAGGCAGGTCAGGGCATGTATCCTTCGTGCCAAGAGGGCATGTCCCGTCGGCAGAGGTAACTTTCTGGGCTGGGGTGTCATCTATGTAATCACCCTCCCCTTCGCATCCGCCCTGAAAGACATGAAACAGCCCAAACCAATGGCCTACTTCGTCTATTTGACACATAGGTTAGTGATAGAGGCTTCTCCATCTTGGAACGTGGTATTCTAAAAACCTCTACATCGACGCATTGGAATGACTGCTAAGGGAAAAAGGTTTTACTTACGAATGAGGCTAGTTCCATAGGCACGGTAAGGTGCGTTTTGTTCGCCTAGGAGCACATTCTTTCGGAGGTGGCATCCGTCGAGGAAGTAATCGGACTTTGGACGATCAGGTTTGGCGAAGTTGCAAAAGGCTGCAGTGCCTATGAGATCTTCATAGTAGTAAATATGCAGAGTTTCATAGGAACCCGTTCTGGTCCGCTTCCAGTAATCCTCGGTTTCGGGTGTTGAGCTAAGAATCTCATTCTCGGCTTCATCTAGGTTCCAGACCGAAAGAACAGCGATAGTGTCGTTGACCTCGCGAGCGATGCCTCCTAGACTGAGATTGATCCCGTAGAGGGCATCTGGAGAAGCAAGTGAATTGAGTCAGTTCTGGTTAGAAAGAAACTATAGAGACAAAATGTGACAATGGGGTGCTGCCGACTTACAAGTGTCTTTCAGTAACTCGAATTGCGCCTTTACGTGTTCGTTGGAAGCAGTATCCTCTGTAGAGTTGGCGAAAGCAGCAATATGGAAGTATGCGGTGACTTGAATCTCAGCGGCCTGCCCCTCCAGGGATTGTGATGAGACGACGCCATCTCTTTGCTGCTCGATGAACTTGACAAGAGGGCTAGGGGTCCCCTTTATACCACACTCAGAGTCCGATGACCGTTCCTGAAGATTTTGGGGCAAATAAGAGGCGACTGCAATGAAAGGCAATGCCGAAAGAAAGAGACTCCGATACAGAAGCATAGTCAATGTCCGATGCCCTGTGTCTTTCTTGAGTTACATTGTAACTTCTGAATTTTGCTCTCTGGCCTTCGGCCTTTATATATTCCTCAAGCCAGACACGCATCAACGGCAATTCATTTGCATCATAGTGCTTACAGGAAATAAACGCAGCGACCAGTCGGAGTTTGCGCCAACTACGGCCTGAGCGATGAAGCCTGGGACAAGCAGGGATCGCTGCCCACCGTATCCTCCACCCATCAAAGGGCAATTCATCAACCCAACCACGGGGTGATTAGTGGATTGACGAAGGATCCTATTCACGCTAGTCATGCTGGTATTAGATGCTTTGGTGGCTCTGGCGTAAGCAGCTGGTCACCAGACCGACAGTCGCTGGGGATGGGCTCAATGGTGTGTCGCTGGGGTATGTACCGGTTCGCTTCTATGAAGCTTGTGGCACCGGTATCCATGAGACGACATTGTTTTACATCGGCGCCACAGCAATACCTTCCCCATCTTATCCATTGTTCTGTGTTGAGACGGACCCCATACTCTGGAAGCTCTCGCCTAGCTCCGCGAATCGCTCAGCCAAAATGCAACAGGTTCTGCTATTCAACCATCTTTAATTGACATAGCTGCCGTATCTAGACTCTCATGTCTCATCTTGCTAGACGAGGTTTTGCATGGATGTGTTGCTTTTAACGGACCAAGCAAGCGAGTGAACGAGACACGCTACAAGGATATTGGCCGAAACCTCCGCCGTCTATCATTGTCCCATGACTCAAGTACCCTTCCTCAGACTTGGGCCGCTCTTTCACCGATTCTACAAATCTCTATTTTTGTAACGCGACGAGAAAGGACGTAAGACATGGTTCGCGGTCGTATTAGGTGTTTAAGCCATTTTCGGGACTGCGAAAGCGCGACCCCTGCCTTACTAAAGTATTCCCGCCAATCACTGATATGTTCACCGTAATAGATGAAATCAAACGTCGGCAGATTTAGGTTTTTCGGTATGTTCCATCGGCAATGTATACTACACGAGCCGTGCTGATCCTTGTTACCAAAAGCCTGGCCAGGGATCTGTTCATCAAAGTCAAGCTTCACCCCATAAAACCAACAATGATCATTGGAAGGTTTCACTGGACAGACTTCGGCGTTATTCACGAGATAATTAGGATGGAGACGAGGACGAAATTAATTCACGCACCACCTAGGCTTTCAATCCGTCTTCAGCCGAATGGGTGGGTTTTTGTTTTGCTCTAATGCCCGTGCGAGGGCCTCATAAGTTCATGGAGAGCAAATTTAACAGTCTGTTCTTTTTTTTTTTTTTTTTTTTTTTTTTTTTTTTTCCAAGAATACGATGGATGATCTTGTAGCTCTCCAATCGCTGGATAGTCACCAATGCTGTTTGAATACCATTTCAAATTAATTGGGGAAAGCCAGAAAAAAACCAAAATGTATTAAAATGGGAAGCCCCGACACTTCACTCTACTTATCGCTAATTGGCTTGAATCAAGCTAATTTAGAAGCTTGATGGCTGCAAAAGCCTCAGCTGTCCCAACTAGTCCCTTGATACCTAGATCATCCTTTGCCACGACCTGTTCTACCGTGCTTGTGAATGCCTGGCCCCCAAGCTGGTTCATGTAGTCGTGGCTGATGTTGAGAAGCTCCCCCCAAATAGGATAGATCTTCGCATAATTCTCCTCTGATATCTGTAAGCAATGGGCCCGGATCTTATGAACTGACGCAAAAGTGGCCACAAGTTCACTAATTGACATCTGCTCAACTAGCCCCTGAACGATCCTTCCAGGCAGAGTCTTTTCCGGCTGGTCCAAGATTGCTTTGACAAACAGACCCACATTCGTCTTCTCGTCTCCCATTAAGGGCACCAAGGTTGTAGTCGGCGAAGCCCCAACGAGCTGGACATACAGCTTCTCGCCGTCCATTGAGTTGATGGGGCTCGGCTGGTACAGAGGATAGTTCATATTCCCTGCGTACCATGAGAACCAAGCAAAGGTTGTCTTGCTCAACAGATGAGGAATAGATTTGATGTGGCGATCCACCCGGTTTTTGCTCTCGTAGTACGGGACCACGATCTTCCCACCGCTGTTTTGATGGGAGTTCGGCAACGATGACCATATGTAGTGCTTCAAGGAATCTGTTGCAGCCGCAGCATTCGCAAGGTTGATGCCCTTTTCGCTCTCGATATCCATCGACTTATAGATACCGGCGGTCACAAGAGGTCCGAAATAATCGGTCACAGCGAAGATCGCATAGCTCCCCGCGAAGGCAGGGAGGAGAGTGTCCGGCTTGGTGATATCTGCCTCAACGACTTCGACACCCTTTTCAGCAAGTGCCTTGGCCGCATCACTCTTCGAGTCTCGAGTGATGGCTCTGATAGAGTAGGAGGGCTCATCAAGCAACGCTCGAATAACTGAGCCCCCTTGGGTACCGGTAGCGCCAACGACGGTAACAATCTTGGCCATGTTTTCTGTTCAATGCTGTCGTGAAGATCTAGCGATGTTGATGTCGATCTGTGGTGGTGAAATCGATGCTGCTACTTTGCCTCGTCTTGAGCGGCCCCAACCGGTTTATAAGCGCAGCTTGAAAGACGCCCCGCCGTGCACCGTCTCCTTTATTCAAACATGGATTACCAATGGATATCCTCGGAAGCCGCTCTGATTCTATGTGAACTCGCTCAGCTTAGAAATACAAAGCCGATAACCTCCACAAATGACCGTGTTCATCGGCGGTGGTCCGTGATGTGCGGCGGTCAAAAGTGGATCCCCGCACATCTTGGCAACCGGTATGACTCTCATTATTGTCTGAATTATCTTAAATAGCTCTGGATTTTCAATTAAAATGTACTATACAAAATCCCATCTTCATCAATTTATCAGACCTCGTGAGACTTCCAGCAAAGCAACTAGCCAACATGGTCGTGACCGAAATCCTTCCCGTGTTCTACAATCAGGACCCCAAGTTGCAGGAGGAACTCAAGCAGAAAGCACCCGAGTTATTCACACACTTTCTGGGGGTCAATGGCCTACAATCTTTGTCACGTGGAAAGATTGTGGCTGATAATGGCACACCTGTAGACTCAGGCAGCGGCCGCAGTGCTCTTATTTTGGGTTCGTCGGTATCAATCAATGAGGGATGGTGGTTGATGGAGTATGCTGACTGAATTTATTGATAGAGTGGGACAACAAATCCTCTTTTCACGACTTCTTTCCCAGTTCTCCGGCTTTCCAGGCATTTGCTGGTAAGATGAAACCATTCGTAATCTCTCCTGTTCTGCCTGAACTTTACGAATCACCTGATTCGTCAACTTCGTGCGCTTCGGCAAATATTACTCAAATTATCAAGGTTGCGCAAGGCAGCAACACTGAGAAGGTATGGGTCCAAATAACAGAGACTATTTCTCAGTCGCAGACAGAGGCCCCTCAGTTTTTCCATGGAAGCGGGATAGAGGAGCAGCAAGGTAACTTCTTGGGCCTCATTGGCTGGCCTAGCCTGAAGGTAAGTAGAATTCCCGAGAGCACGGTGTTGGAAGTATGTAGCTAAATCTGTTGTTCAGAGCTACGAGGAATCAAGAAAGCATGCGGCTCTGGTCAAATTGATTGATGAATTGAGTGCCGGGGGCAAACTCTACGACATTGCCGTGGACCTTGCGTCTATTCCAATCTCAAAGTAAATGAGATATTTTCAGGCTACCTTCCTTATCGTAAACATAAAGAGCGATAAAACGTGTAGATATCACAGTATTGCTAGGAAAGTCTCGCCTCCTTCATAGATATGTATGTTATTACATATGTCTTTGTTGTATTATAGAGTAAATGCCCAAATATACGCTTAATAGTACACGGAATGTCCCGTAGACAACTTGAGAGAGAAACCGTAAGAGATTGAGTCTCCGATAGGAAGTTTTAGGAGGACAAGTCGCCAACGCAAGCTACATCCGCTCGATAGAACATGCATCTTGAGTTTCAGTGCTATAGTCAATCCATCCGTATCAAATCTGCGTTCTCTGCTTAAAAAGCCGAACAAACCTAAATTCTTGAAATTTGCCGTGACCTTTCATACTTGGCCTGCTTCAGGGTTTATGGTCCAAGGTTTCATGTCTCAACGTGATGATCGAGGAAAGATTTAAATGGCTGTGTCGTCTGACCGCATTACCCTTCAGAACTAACTGCCAGTTTAGCATGTGATATATAGCGCCCCTATCTCAACGGTATATCAGAGAAAACTATTCAAGGTTTTCTCTCTCAAACCTTTAATTATCGATACAGTAATCGAACATGCTCTACTGTCTACTTAGCCAACTTTCCTAACCAGACACTTGGCTGGGGTCACCTTGTACGCAGCAACAAACCTCAGAGCTGCTTTATAATATTCTCGCCTTCGGGGTCCATCAGAGGTCAATAAGCACTCACATTCCGTCTACGCAATTAAACTTAGCTTCCAGGGCTTGATTGATCAATATGGACTTTGCATTGCCTTCCATCAGTGGAGATCCGTAGAGCGTGTTTAAGTTCATCCGTCTACATGCACAGCTCCAGCATGTATGAGTTTCCATATATAGATGAAGCGAGTCAGACCGTGGTTCCATTCATTCTTGACTACAAATCCAGAGGTAGTAACGAAGAAAAGCGTGGAGTTCACCCAGTCGCCAAAGCGTTCCTTGCATGATTCAGATGAAACCAGCCTGAGGATCACTACCAAGTTTAGTAACAGGGGAATGTTAGATATTCCATTGATAGTAGAACAAAATAACGCGACAAAACAGATTATTCAGAAATCTTACTCCTGACGCCTCATCATCCTTGCCTCAAAGTGGCTGCATTACGACGTATTGGCGCCAAGTCTATTAATAGTCAAATATGTACGTGGTGCATGGTTCAAAGACAGGATTTCAGCGCCCCCATCTGAGGATACAGCGGCTATCTCATAAGCAAACTTTTAGAAACAAGGTCTGGAGCATCACATGGCAGACATGCGTTACATCGTTTCGCCTAATGCAGCCCATTCAGTCCTAAGTGGGAGTTGGGGGAGTCAGCCCAACTGGCTGACCAAAGACTCCACCGCATTGCAGCGCATACATTCCTGCTGACAATATTGATTTTCCAAGCGAGGCCCCTTCATTTCATGGTTTGCAATCTTCAAGGACACTTTTCAATGGAATAGAGCTAATCTGTTACCTCAGGTTTACTCCCGAGTTGGGATGTAGGCTCCTAGTTGGTTTATGAGGCGGATGATGCCAAATAACGTGACGCCACACTGATTTGCCGCCATGCCTGCACGCGGCGAGGCAACTGATGGAAAATGGTGGAAGAAGATCACGGCGCGGCTAAAGGCCCAAGCCACGAAAGCCAAACACGATGGCGAGAGCGACAAGCAACAGCAAAGCGCCTCGCAGCAGGATCAAACACTACAGCCGGCGACAACGACGGATGCTAACACATTCGCATCTTATAGCCCTACTGTAGACCCAGAAACGCGTCATTCCCTTCCAGCTCAGTCTACTCCGAACAATAATTATGGGAAAAGAGTAGATTCGCTTCGAAATCGACGAGCACGCAATCCGGTCGCTACTCTTGAATCTGAAACCCCGGAAACAAGTACGTCCGTCGAAAATCCAACAAGGTTATATGCTGCTCTCGCCCATGCCACCCACGAAGGAGACGAAGAATCAGTACGGACGCTATTACTTGATTCGGGGGCGCGAGTGCTTCCAGGTCCAGCGGAGCCAACCAGAGATTGCGGTAGCTTTCGTTGCACAATTCAGCCCAGCCCTTTGCACGAAGCTATATCCATGGGACACACCAATCTTGCGAGTCTTTTACTTGATAGATTCGTCCTGAACGGCGGCCAGCATGGCGAGCCAGCCAGCGGATCTGAAAAGTGGCAGTTGGCCGAGATGAGAGATGTGAAAGGGAGGACACTTTTGGCTACCGCCTGCGTAGTAGGAAATGCCGATATCGTGAAGAAACTATTAGATATAGGCGCCAAAACCGAAATCCGCGACAGAAATGGCCTCACCGCACTCCATCTAGCAGCCCGATCCCCCACACCCTCTCCCTCTGTCGTCAAGTTATTGATTGACTATGGGGCCGATAAGAACGCCAAAGATGACAGTTGGATAACACTTTTGCAAGATGCCGAAAACAACCTGCTGCCGGAAGAAGTGGCCGTTCTTCTAAGGCCAGCCGCCTCATCTCCACGACCGAAGCACCGCAGGAAAAGGTCGCGAGTTCCTCTTCCCAAGACGAGCACGGATCACCCACAAGTGGATTCGAAGGATGGGAATCAGGACAAACCTGACACATTGTGGCTAGACGGAGTGGTGATACGTCACAGTAAGTGAGAGGTCTTACCACCAGATTAGCAAGTCGTTGCGATACACAGCATTATCGTGAATTTACACCTGTGTTTGCTTATGAATACCATCACGAAAGAAATATATTCGGTTTACAGACGTTCCCTTTGTACATAAAAATTCGCAACGCAATCCTCGGCAAGCGAGTAGCCATTGAGGCGGGTACGAAACGCATGTTAGATGGTCCTGCAGGGATATTTGATCCCTTAGCTGGAAGGTTTTGATGGTTTGGTAGAATATTTTGATGATTTAGTGAAGGGCAGAGATCAATCTGATTCTAGTTTAAAATCTAAAGTTCCGGGGGAGTGCATCATGCTCTCTTTTGATTGCAGGGTAGAGAACTGCCGTTAAATATGGCTACGATGATCTCTCGATCCTAAGCTTCCAGATACCGAATCTTAATTGACGTAGCAATACTAATAGTGTAAACCCCCCCCATCGATGACCATTGTATGGTATATGGAGGTGTACTATCGACCAGGATCAAAATTCCTAACGGACAAAACAGAGATAAAGGCGTTGAGCCTCGTATTGAATTTTCATATGAACCGGCAGTAATGAATAGAATCTAGGGAGTAATGCCTTGCCGTTCTTTTTCAATATCACCTTTTGGATTGATGTTTCAAACTTGTAATGGTTCCTAACCCGAGTGTAGGTGCAGAGATAGACTGGAATTGGCTAGCACTTTCGTCTACGGGAACATGAACCTTGGGATTCATGATACTTTCCATTAAGAATTAATACGGAAAGAAAGAGAACAGAGTTTAATAACAATGAAGCTGCCAGGGCCCAACAACTCAACACAATGTAATGGAGAATTAATAGTGTCTTTTTTGACATCTACAAAAGAGAGTAGAAAACTCAATCTGAAAGGGCTCACGTAATATATCTTGGTCGTCTTGTTCTTTAGACTTAGGTGTATCTTTGTCGTACCGGCCTCACTAGACCAACTCCGGGTCTAAAGTTTGGAAGAACGATATGCATCTATATTAGATTCCAATGCCGATCTTCCGCTGTACCAAGTCGCTCGAATATATTCATCAAAGGCTTAATGACTCAGTGATGAGTTAAGACTTGGTTGGAAATACACCAGCCACGAGCTCGCAACTACGGAGTTGCTTGAAGAGACATCACGTGGACTACGGACAGAATCATGGTTATAGAAATTCACAGCAAAAAGAAATGACAGGGAAAAAAAATATAACTATCAGACTTTTATCAGACAGCTGATTCTCGACCCTGGCTTCGGAGTGGATTACATGCGAGGAACTAAACCAGCGCATATCTGATCCGCCCCAAATTGCCAACCTTTTGGAAGACGTCGCAGCCTTCCAACTAAGTTAAATTGAGGAAATTACCACCTCTTTACTAGTTTCTAAATATTACAATATTCGTGATTAACTGTGATAAGCTGGCGATAAATGCAGATAGTCTATCCCTAGTCTCTCTAAGATAATCCTACAAATATATCTAGCCTCAACGCCCGTCTTTCAATAATGGTGTGATAGGAGGGTAAATGGTGCAATCCAGCGCATAAACCCCACACTAAGGTCCAAGCCAAGCAGAACAACACCGCGTCTTAATAATTATTGTAGGGACCGATCACGGCGTCAATCACGACATCGATAGGTAAACTGACGCCTCAGTCCCAGATCCCTATCTCCGATCGACCTGACTAATGAGACGACTAAACTGGAGAACCGCTTCCTATACAATATGGAGCGAGCCAGCTCAAGATATCGCTCAACAATGCATCCTGTTAACCTCATCAGTATTCGGACAGCAAATTTGGAAAAATGCCTTCTGCGGTTCCTGTGATTGAGCCATATACACATGTTCCTGAAACAAAGGAAAAGCTCGACTGGGCATCATGTGAGCAGCAATAATTACAACCTTCCGATTGTGGTGACAGTTAATGTGACTAATAATTCCCCCCCTCATAGTAACGACCATTGATCTATCAAAGTATGGGACATCAGAAGGCAATGCTGAACTAGCTGGGACCCTGATCCAAGCAATCAAGACCAAGGGGTTCTTCTATGTTACCAACTTTGGAATTTCCCAGGACGATGTAGATCAGCAATTTGCCCTCGGCCAGGCGTTTTACAATCTACCTCTTGAACAGAGGTTACAGTATGCCGCCGACCTGGACGCAGGAAATTACACGGGTTATCGACCCGCAGGGAGGCGACGATTGAACGGTGGCCTTCCGGAAAAGACAGAAATGTGGAATATGTCTAGTAGGTTGCCTTAAGCGGTTTCCCCTTGCCCATCGTATCAAGGCAGCAAAATTCGGATATTATGATCTATTAACACAATAAACAGCCGAAGATGGTCAGGTCAGGCAACCTCTTCCATATCCCCTTGACGGCTACCGGGATGAGATCGAACAATTTTCCAAGGTTAGATGCACCCACAATGAAGTCGAACTGTCAACATCCTAACATTCCTTACCCAGAACTTACACGACAAGATCCTGGACCCTTTAAATCATTTGATTGCTCTAGCCCTAGGAGTGCCTGAAGACACTTTTCAAAACTTCCATAAATGGAACCTGAATGATGAATCGCACTTGAGATATATGAGATATTCCAAGTTCACGCCCGAGGAGGTTGATTCTCTGAAGGACAACCTTTGGATTCACGGACATACTGATTTGGGATCTTGGACCTTGCTCTTCCGTCAGCCTGTTGCGGGTCTTCAAATCCGCGATCCCGAGTCGAATGAATGGAAATGGGCAAAGCCACTTAATGCGAGCTTGACGGTCAATACTGGCGATGCCCTCAGTTATTTGACTGGAGGCTACATTAAGTCTACCGTTCACAGGGTAAGTTGTGTTTCTCCAACGGATCGTAGAAGAGGAAATTCTAAATCTTCATTGACAGGTCAAAGTGCCGCCAAAGGATCAGCGGGACGTTGATCGCTTGGGTCTAATGTACTTCAGCCGCCCCAGGAACGATCTGCCACTCAAGACAATTGATTCACCCATTCTTCAGCAAGCAGGAGCGAAGAATGATTTTGAGTCCGGCGGACACAAGATACCAACAATGGAGGAATTTACCAAGTTGAAGCAAAAATGGAATCAGCGTCCTGGATTCAGTGAGGACCAAGTCGAGGGAAAGGAAATTCTCCCTGGTGTTGTTCAAAAACGCCTGGTTTAGTTGCAGTTGTTGCTTTGTAAGAGACTTCGAGCCTCTGACTATTTGACAAAAGAACAACTTGCTATTTCTAGTTTCTCAAACTCCTGATCGTGCAAATGAAAGCTATGGTTCATTGAAAGGCTTCTTATGAAACTCAACCCACAGCCGATTCTGAAGCGCATTCCATACCAGAATGATCCCAAGCCCGTTCTAGACTAGAACTAATAGGGACTGTAAGTAATTGAAGGGTTGGATAAATACTCAGGGCAGGATAAAATGAGATACGATTGAAAAGTATAATTGAATCTTCTACACCCATTAGACCTCCTGCAAAGTTGTAGCCCCGATTGCGGCGCCAGATGTGGGAATCAAGAAATTGCTTCCTTGCACCTTTCCATTTGATCCACGGGACCCTTTGAGTGTACCAGCATCAACACTCTTAAATGAGCTATTGGACCATGAAGTGGATGAATCCCAAGAGTTTCCGGACGAGGAAACCGAACTGACAAGGCTGACCTGGCTGTTGGCGTTGACTGCAGCGATGTTCGCTTTCATCGTGGAAGAGGAGCTTCGCATGACGTAGCCAGTGTCGCCGTTGTTCCACGCCGTGTTGCGCTCAAATGTGATTGATCCCGGGTTTCCGTTGTCGATAAATCCCTTCTTCAAGTTCGAGAAGGCGATGGAATTGCGTACGATGTGGTTGGCCGCGGGGTTGCCAGTGATGCCCAACTTGAAGCCATTTCCATCTCCTTCAAATGGAGAAAAGCCCCAACGATTGTAGCCATTTCCCCAGGCATATACCTCTTCAAGGGTGACGGGGGATCCAAACATGTAAAGGTCCAGTCCGTCGTCAACGTTATCCCACAGACGCGCATTGCGGAGAACATTGCCCTCTCCTGTTCCGTCTTTGCAAGCAAAGCCGTCGGCACTTTCACCGTTCTTGCGAGGATCTCGATTGCGGTATGAGTCGAGATTCAACACGGTGTTGTTGGCAGATGCACCCTCAAGCTGAAATCCAGTCTCGTAATTATCGTGAGTCGAGAGTCCCTCGTAGTAATTGTGTGAAGCGTCACGGGCATAAATTCCGTAAGGCCCATTGATCAACCTGACTCAGTTAATATTTCATCGGTGTCCGTCAAAGTTCGATCCGAGGTGCACATACTCCAAATTATAGAAAGCCCAATAGTTGGCATTCTGAATGTGAAAAATGCCGCGTTCCTTGTTTGGGAGACTTTCACCGACGCCATATGGCGTTCTAATTGTAACAGCGAGTGAGCACGATGCTGTTCGATAACTTATCCTGGTGATGACCAACTTACCCTGGCATGTTCTCTCCATTAATGATAACCTTTTCACTTTGGTATGGCTTGACAGAGATAGGCGATGTTCTGGTGCCGCTCTTGGCGACCTGGATATTGGCCGATGGGCTATAAGTTCCAGCCCGCAAGTAGATCGTGTCGCCCGCGGCCGCAGCGTTCACAGCCGACTGGATAGAGCCGTAAGGAGAGGTCGCAGAGCCATCACCTGAGCCGGTGGGAGACACGTAAATTTCGCGACCCAGCACGAGGGTGCTGATGCCGAGCAAGAGGCTTGTTTTGACTGTAAACATGATGTCTTCCGCACTCAATTGAAGTATCTGCAGAAGTAATCCTCAGATTCCGTAGGAAATCATTTTAGACGGATATTGGCCTTTTATTAATTGCGATAAACCCGGGATCGACATAAATAATTGTCGGTGTATCTGGCCCACACATGGGACGGCGAAACACCTCCCACGAGTTTCCAAAACAGACCTCGGAGATTGGACTCCGAGAATATAAGATGATATCAGGGTCAACGCCCACCACTTAGTTTCTCCAGAACACGCTTTATTGGTGGATTATGGAGAACCGCCATTCATTCACCCGTGAGAAAATTGGTTTCGCGATATGTGGAACGAACGCCCTTATCATTCCCGGTTGTTTCTGATGGCCTACTCCCACTTCCCGGCAGCCACCCGCCTTTGCGCAGCCAAATTATCTCAGCGTTGCACTTGAAACATTTCTCCCATCTGATAAATGGCGATTCCAGCTGATGCCACCCTGCCACACGGCGAATCTTGCATTGACGCGAAATCAATCCTCCGTCCTGATCAATGGGCAAGTGGTTTCTTCCGGGTCATCACCCTGGTGCCTTCAACTATAATGTCATTGAGTTTCAGGTCATTCCACTAGCAATCTATCTAGGTGGGTAATTGGACGGTAAGCTTCCAAATAAGCTTCATTTATCATTACGAGGTTCTAAGATATCTCATGCCAACATCATAAGGGCGTTATGAATTGGTCAAGACTCTTTGTGACGACGTGAGAAAATTTGCTTCCATTTGCTACATTTCATTATTCGTCGATGATGCACTATATATCCCTCTTGGTACAGTTATAAGAGAGAGTGCGCCAGACAATCTTTCCACGCGCTTCTTTCGCTATTTTGACTTAAATTGTGCGGCTTGTCAAATCTACCCTGAATATCCTTAGTTTCCCTAGCTCATATAAAGATCAACTCGCAGGTGGAACTATGCAAACATTGTGGGTGGCTTTGTTCCTTTCAGTTTCTTGTAAGTGTTCGAGGGAACGTTCGTAGAAAACCCGATAATACCAGACCCATTAAAGGAAATAAAATCAACTGTCGAGAATTCCTCGAGCATGACGGGTGTAATTTGATTTATCTTTCGCTTGAAAGATATCTGAAACTAAAGTGATGTGATCTAATTGAATACCGGGCGGCAGGTTAAATCATCACGTGCTGAGAAAATGAATACTGAAACCCAGCCCCGGGTTTCCCTTGGCTTAGAATATGATTAGACCAAGATACCTTGAATTCCCAAAGCCAAATAGCATTAGACTCTATAGTTATATAGTCAATAACAGAATATACAAAATATCCAATAAGTCTATTATCTAGCAAGCCCTGCTCCGGTTATACTACATCAGTTCAAGTTTCTAAAACTATCTATATATTCAGCGGTACCTATATACTGGAGCCTATATATAGCGCTAGAAGTTTAATAGCTTCTAATTAGGCTGTAAAAACACTTTATAATATTAAGTACAGGTACTAACTTAACTCAGTATTATTTATATCGGCTATAGCTCTCTAAGTAGGCTTAATATAAAAGGTACCCAGTATAGGATAAAATATAATATATTAGGTTATATAGTTACTAAGATAACTTCTTATTAGGGTTCCGGGATTTCGAATAAATTATATTATATACTTACTAATAGGTCTCTACCTATTAAAAACCTGCTGCAGAAATACGGGTTATAAACTAAATTTATATTAAAGTAATATGGGAGCTATTTCCTCACAAGCATCTAATAACTAAACCTGGCGTATCAAGACTGGGACTTTCAGATAAACATGAATCTACATCATCATGAGAATAGCACTCATTGACGATTAGCTGGACCGGAGTGAGCTATATAGAAAGGTGACATCACGAACGTTCATGTATTTGACAGATATCACCTCGGACAGCGTCGAGATGTTATCATTGAAGGTGGCCTTGTTAGGCTCACTACGACAAATCCAGACCAGGTGGTCAATGACGTGGCGAAATATATGGCCAAAGCTCGGACTGATCTCTTTCTCTTCTACTAGACCAAAAATCTCAACCCTTTGTCCCTATGTATAGGTTTCGGTAAACCGATGCCTAGGGTTTACAGCTGGCCATCGTGTAACTCATCATCATACAGCAGTCATTTAATATTATCTTATATCGTCTTTTTTTAATTATGCATCGCGACCCTCTTCCTCCAACAGGGCAGAATCCCTATCGTATAGTAAGTCTTGGTTCGCGTATCAGCCATCCCATGCGGTTGTAGCCTCTCCCATAGAATTCTAGGCAATATTCATAAATTTCAAGTGTCTTGATTAATACCAGCCGGTACCATGAAGTGTATAGGAATGCAATTTCTAAGCGGCATATTCTAAGATCCCTTCAAATTCGATAATTACGAGGATTATATTCAAAGGAGCCCATTCGGCTATCACTGTTCAACTTACCTAAGTTTAGACGCCTACCTACGGAGAGACAAGCTTCAATTTACTACAACAAACAACTAGATACGATAGCATTTACAACTTAGGTCGTCTCAAATAAATCAAAGGTCCAAAGCGCGCAAATTAAATTTCCCTGCCAGGCGGTAGATCCAGCATCAAGGTGGATAGCGGGAAAAGTTACGTTCGGTATGACTCGCTCCCGGAAGTTTAACGCCTCTCCCTCGTTCAATTATCGAGCCGTGCAACTTAGCGAGTAAATGAGATGACCACGTAGGTATTTCTGAAAGAGTGGCTCGGTGAGGGAACGCTGAGAGAACAAGGCAATCGGTGTAGTTGAGGTAAGGCGCTGCAACCACCCTGCTGACTTGAACAGGCAGGGCCTGAGGCCGGGCATAAGCTGTCCTCTAAGGTGACCAATTGGTTGTTCACCAGCCATTAGAAACGCACTGGACGCACAAGACCTTGTTTGCTGCATTATCGGCTTACACTCGCGCCCGGGCTCAGCCTCTTGTGCAGCGCTGCCGTTGGCCACTGGCAGCACTGCCACGTCACTCGAGCAGCGCCTAGCAGCAGGCAGACACGGCCAGTGACTAATGAAATAGAAGTAAAGGCGTCCATTGTGATTAGTTATGACCATGAATGAGTCGTGCCCCGCTGTGGAACGCGCCGGGCTCAGCTTCTGCAGGCATTAACCACCGTCATCTGCCTCGCGCGCATCCCCGAACAACCATCCTCCATGCTTCCCGCGAGCTGACCGACGGTGCGCATTGGTCTCTTCAGACACCCCGGATCGCTTTTCCATCCTGCTGCCATCCCTCGACCCGGCGACAGCGCCATGGACGCAGACAGCCCCGTCGTCCCTGCGCCGGACTGGTTTCTCAGGAACTGCGTCAAGACGGCGCCCGAGATCAACCGCCTCGCAGCGCAAATCACCCTGCGTGGGGAGAAGACGAGTAAAGAGCCTGTCGCGAAGGATCCAGCACCCGGCGCAAAGTCTCGCAGTGAAAAGGGCGGCTCGGCCAAGAAAGCCGCCAACAACCGGTACGAGGTCGAGCCGTGTATCTACGATGAGCTTCTAGGACTTGTCGCGGCAAAGTCGAAGGAGGGCGATGCCGCATCCTTCATAGACGATGCGGTTCTTTTAAGGCTTCCAGACAACGACTATCCAGGGCGCGACTTCCTGGTGTCCATGGTGGCCAAGTTGGCCAGTGATGTCGAGGCCGATATGATTGTCCTGGATATTGACGACCTGCACGACCTTGCAGAGTACTTTTACCTGCGTCAGACCCCCAAGCCCCCGGCAGGAAACAGGGGATCTCTTCACTGGTTTTTGAAGCCCTTACCGAAAAAGCCTAAGCAGCCCAAGAAGAAACCGAAGACGGATTCAGGCTTGAATCCTCCTAATGATTCCGCCCCGGCATCGGATGCCGATTCAGGCTCCGACTCAGGCTCAGATTCAGGCTCAGATTCAGATGCAACCCCAGAGTCGGGTTCAAAATCCGACGCGGATACAGATTCAGAATCAGTTGCCGAGTCTATTCTGTCGTTAGATTCCACGTCAAAACCACCCAAACCCGTCAGCAATCCTCCGCCACCTCCACCAGCCACCTATAAGACGACATATCTCTTGAGCCATAGAACTGATAAGATGGCGTCTATATACTCTGGGCAGGCGTTCACTGCAAGAAGGCCTATGCCGTCGCGCCATGCACTTCCATCTCTTTCTCGGGCGCTCTCGCGCACCGTATCCGAGTTTCGGACAATCTCGTCCATGTTCTTATGGCTGATGGATGTGAGAAAGGGCCGCATCCGACCGCCAGAGCCAGCGGAAGATTTGAAGTTGCCCCCAGTCAAGAATCAGATTAAAGAGAATGCTGCCGCCTTCTACCGCGCTATCTTGTCCTCGCCACATGCCCGAGCGGCGCTAGACGAGAAAGACGCAGAGGCCAAGAAGAAGGAAGATGATACGAAACAAGTTGAGGATATCAAGGCCTATGATACGAAGACTGAATTTAAGGCGAACGGAGTCAATGAGGCTGAGACTGCGGAGGTTAAAGCCAAGGTGAATGGGGTCAAGCAAAGTGAAGCCGAGGAGCACGAAGCCAACATGAACGGAGTGAAGAAGATTGAGATTCAGGAGAATGGCGTGGAGGAGGGCGCAGTCAATGAGAACGCGGTAAATACCAATGGAGTGAATGAGAGCGATGTCAAAGAGAATGGCGTGAGAAACCGTAAGGTCAAGGAAAATGGAATCAAGATCAATGGAGTACGGAAAGAGGAGGAGAAGAAGAAGATGGAAGCGGAGATGAATGGAGTGAAGGAGAGTGAAGTGATGGGAACCGAAATGAAGGAGAATGAAGTAACCTCGGATGAGGAGAAGAACGCTGAAGGGAAGGAAGATAATAAGAAGAATAGAGAGGAGGATAGTAAGGGTAAGGATAACAGCGGTAGCGACGACAAGAGCGCGAAAGTCGAGGAGGATGAAGCAGGCAACAGCAGCGACATTCCCCTAACACAACAGCCTCAACCCCGAGGCCATTTCACTTTCCAGGACCCCAAAGGCAAAAAGGCTCGGCCAATCATTCTTGTCATCCCTCAGCTTGAAAAATTCAGCCATGTGACCAACTTCGCCTTCCGAGGCCTCAAGGCACTGAAGGCATCATCACCACACCTCAAGAAAAGAATGATCACGATCACAACGACTTCACGGTCTGACAAGCCGCCACCCAGCTCAGGAAAACGGTCAGTAAGCCTGTTTCCCGACTCGCCTTCACAGCCAGAACTCCCCCGAGTCAGCGTGTTCAGCGTGCGTCATTTTGGGCTGAGGCCCAATCTGTTCGAACTACTCATTTTCCCTGTCAGATCGCTGGCACAAATTGCTTCCTTTTCTCGCGATAAAGATCTTGTCTCCCAGCGACACAGCATCAGGAGACTCCAGAGAGAGATGAGGGTACAGGAGAAGGACAGAAGCTTGCCCCATCTGCAGCCATATGCGGAATGGAATATTCCAGACTCCGACACCAACCCCATCGCCAAATATCTCAGAGGCGGCAAACTCCATGCTATACCTGAGTCGATGAAGGTAGGGGATTTGTTGGTGAAGACAAAGAAAGCAGCCAAGCTCGAAGATATCCTTGCAGTCCTCAAGCAAAGGTCAGAGGGATCCGAGGCGCTGAGTAAATGGAACGAGAGAGACGCAAAGGGGGGCTCTTCGGCCGACCTACCTCCCCGTGTGGTTCGCGTCATCAAGAGAGTCACCGAGGAAGCTGAGCAGTCTTACAGCGAGTTCAATGCGGATCTGGAGATTATGAAGACTCTAGTACATCCAAGTAAGCATCCCAACCCGTGTACCCCCAATTTCAATCCCCTTCTCCTTTCGAGCGTTTTCTAAACATGAGTCTGTAGGTGAACTCTCCCAAGGCTGGTCAGATATCGAAGTCGAACCCGCCATCAAATCTCGTGTGCAGCGCATGATCTCTCTTCTCAACCGCCGAGCAGAACTTACCGGGATTCTCAAGAAGAGCGCCATGGGAGGCGTGATCCTCTACGGTCCCCCCGGGACGGGCAAGACACACCTCGCCCGCGTCATCGCCAAGGAAACCTCCTCCGTCATGCTGCGAATCTCGGCCGCCGAGATCGAGCGCACGTGGGCCGGCGAGGCGGAGAAGGTCATCCAGGCCCTCTTCAAGCTGGCGCGCGAGATCTACCCCTGCATCGTCTTCATCGACGAGGCGGACAGCATCTTCGGCCGGCGCAAGGACTCGGACAAGAACTGGGAGCGCAAGATCACGAACCAGCTGCTGGGCGAGTTTGGCGGGTTCGAGAACGACATCGCCTCCCCGCTGCTGCTCCTGGCGACCAACTTCCCCAACGACCTGGACCCGGCAGTGCTGCGGCGAGCGCCGAATAGACTTTACATGGGCCTGCCTTCGACGCCGTCCCGGCAGAACATCTTCAAGATTTGTCTGCGCGAGGAGAAGATGGACAAGTCTGTCGATCTAGAGGAGCTAGCGGAGAAGACGAGCGGCTACACAGGCTCGGATATTGAGTACATCTGCCAGCAGGCGGCCATGGCGGCTCTGGAGGATTTCGAGAACGGTGGCTCGGAAGACAGTGATTCGGAAGGAATTTGTCTGAAAATGTCTCACTTTTCCCAGACCTTGACAGGAGCGAGTCCCTCAGTTTCGGGACCTTCCATGACGGGGATTGAATCATTCGCAAGAGAGTATGATCGCTCCGCAGTGGACATGATCAAGAGGACGACTGATGATTTCGGCGGCTTCAGCTCATACTTGTACATCTAGAATAAAATTGTAACGGGGGAATCTCAAAATCATGATAGATTTGTTGCTTGGGTCCTTTTTTCCAGGCCGCATTGTACCACTTAGCTCAAATAAATCACAGCGATAACTACAAGTACCACTGCCATCACTCCATCAACGGAACTTCTGGGCCAATATCGTGACCCGGCACTATCATCATTGCCCGAGCTCCCAGTGTTAGTTGAATTACCACCATGTTCCAGTACAAAAATCTCTCCCGTACTATCAGAGGTGAGCCATAGGCGCTTCTTGGAATCGAACGCAAGGCCAACGGGGCGGAAGCAACTGCCTGGACACCTAGACAGGTCAGGATTCGTCAACAAGTCAACGGCTGCGTCTTGACTGTCATTGGCGGCCGTGGGCTGACCGTCCTTGAAGGCGATACTGGCAACACGGTACCCAGCTGGTTCATCTCGATTCCCTAGATCGGTCATCAATCTGTCAGTCTAGTTTTCTTCAAGACCAATCGCATCTTATTCTCTAATAAAGTAGGTATCACTTACAGCTGCCGTGGAAAGAGACGTATGCGGTGGAACCATCGTCTGTGAATTTGATATCAAGAGGCGCCGTGTGTGGAGGAAGCGCAAGGCGCGGTGAAATGAAATCCGTATTGCAGGTGGTATCATTCACGGAATTTTCTGCATCATCAACAGCAAAGCTGTTACCCGTCTTAAGAGAGCCAATGTTGGGAAAATCGTCGGTCCTCCAGACCGTGAAGCACGAAGGGTATCCGTAATTCCGACCGTCAGGCTTCTCCGCAGTTCCGTGATAGTTCAGCTCCTCTCCAGGGTTGTCGTTGTGAATGTCCTCGCCTTGGCGTTGCAGCTGGTCAACGGAGTTCTCAACAGACCAGATGCCACCGGTGGAAGGATCCTCGGCGACACCGACGGAATTGCGCAAACCCCAGCCAACGACGTCGCCATCTGTGTACTCGATCCCGTCACTGTTTTCGCCGAGGAGGGAAATGTTAAAGCTGCGGATCTGGGAACGGCCTGAATCGATCTGGAGAGTGCCCATGTCCATATTGCCGTCGCTTCCGCGGGAGACGAGAAGGATGCCGGGCTGTTTCTGGGACGCAAGAAGTGTACGAGTGGTATGTCCACCACTGGCCATGTCCTTGACCAATGTGCGAGAGGTGCCGCTCACTTTGACGGATGTACTGTTGTATCCCCAAGATAGTACCTTGTCAGATGTGGAAACGTAAATGGCGGTGCCATCTGCAGATAGAGCGACGCCATGGTTAAGCTAGAATTCGGATGATCATGTGTCAGTACGCAGATGCGACAGAAGGCCTGTCTCCTTCAATGTGAACCAGCTCAGAACACTCTATCTGGCCATACAATCTCCCTTCAGTAAAATGAAAAACGTACATTTCGATTGCCAATCAGCGTCGTCTTCTCGCTCACAGACAAACATGTCCCCCCGTCATCCTTCAGCGTGAGATGGATCAAGCCTACACCGGAATCAACCACAAGCAAACCGCCATCGTTATCGAAAATCAGGCCGCGGGGCCTGGTGAACCCATTGGCAACCAGACGGAACGCCCAGCCGTCTGCCACGGCGGGCGTGGGATAGTCGACGGTCAGAGTATTGGCGCAGTCAGCAGCGAGGACGACGCTGGGCAGTCCTGCCAGGGCAAGGAATGGCAATGTGCGCTTCACCATGGCGTGAGACGATTGGCACAGGTTGGACAGGAATTCGGATACGGAGGATAGAGAATATGCAAAGGGCAAAATGATTCATGATTGCTCATGATTAGTTAATGCGCGTCGAGACTCCACGTGACGCCTCGTCATAGAACTTATGCGTATGTTTCAAGATTCCTTAAAATTAATTTAACTAAAGGCGGGTTGGCGTGGATCAATTCATTAAGCTTAATTGAATCAGAATCGACCTGTTTCCATCCCCAGAAAGTGTCCCATCCCTCAATGATTGCCAGGATGTTTCCGAGGATCCCGGATGGATCTTTGCGTGAGACAACGCGTCATCTGGCTGAATGCCAAGCGATGATCGCAAGAGCTGAATTGCAGGGGGTCTTGCAATAGCTGAGCCACAGCACGATCCGTACACTTAGATAACCCCATTTCCTCCTGGCCCAATCCTCATGGCCCAATCCTCCTGGCCCATGGCTATAAAGAAACACACAGGCAGGAACATACATCTATTATCCAGACTATGGAAACTTCTCTAGGCCATTCAGTGTAAATACCGCACCCTTAACGGCAAAATGTTCACGTACAACAAGGCAACATATCATTGTGGTCATTCCCAATGTCTCTCAATTACAATGCATAATCTATCACATACGTTTACATCATGAGTCCATCTCTACGCAGACTTGCCCAAGCTCTTCTTGATCTCAGCCACAACAGCAGCGGTAACCTCCTTCGTCGTGGCGTTGCCGCCCAAATCGGCAGAGAGGACGCCCGCCTCGCACACGCTCTCGACAATCTGCATCAGCTTCTGCGCGGCCTCCCCCTCGCCGAGCCACTCTAGCATCTCCGCGGCGGTCCAGAAGGTGGCGACGGGGTTGGCGACGCCCTTTCCGGTGATGTCAAAGGCAGAACCGTGGATGGGCTCGAACATGGACGGGTTCTCGCGCGTAGGGTCCAGGTTGCTTGTAGGGGCAATGCCAATGGAGCCAGCCAGAGCGGCAGCCAAGTCTGACAGAATATCAGCGTGCTAGAGAAATTCACGTTAGTCAAAGAAGATACACGCATAAAGAGTTACCTCTTAACAGCACTTAAAGTGTACTTACAAGGTTGGTAGCAACAATGGTGTCCAGGGTCTCGGGCTTGAGAACCATGCGGGTGGTCATGGCATCAACCAGCATCTTGTCGACAGTGACATCGGGGAAGTCCTTGGCGACATCAGCGGCGACCTCATCCCACAGGACCAAGCCGTTTCGCTGGGCATTGCTCTTAGTAACAACGGTAAGGAGCTTGCGGGGTCGCTTCTGGGCCGTCTCAAAAGCGAATCGGATGATGCGCTCGACGCTGTGGCGGGTGAAGATAGACACCTCGGTGGCCGTCTCCCAGGGGCGACCGCGGTGGGATCGACCACCGTGACCGGCGTATTCACCCTCGCTGTTCTCGCGGATGATGACCCAATCAAGATCTCCGGTGTTGCAGTTGCGGAGGGGAGACTGGGTGCCCTTCAGCACCCTGGTAGGGCGGACATTGGCATACTGCTGGAAAGGCTGGCAGATGGCCAGGCGAAGACCCCACAGAGAAATGTGGTCGGGAACGTCTGATTCATTTGATTAGTTGCCAAACTTGAGAATTTATGTGGCCATCGTTCAAATATAAGACTCACCAGGGGCACCGACAGCACCGAAGAGAATGGCATCGTGCTTCTTCAATTGCTCGAGACCACCATCGGGAATGTACTTTCCAGTCTTCTTGTACGTGTCTGAACTCCAGTCATAGTGGGTGAAGTCCAAATCAAAGGACTGGAGGGTTCCAGACAATGCCTTAAGAACCTCAATACCAGCTTCAACAACCTCTGGGCCAATGCCATCGGCGGGGATGGAGGCAATGCTGTAAGCCTTCTTGACAGGGTTGGCGCTGGGAGACATGATGAAGAGGATGTGATAGAGACTTGCTTGTATTGAAGTCAGCCTAAAGATGGAGAAGAGGTGAGGAAGCAGATAGAAATATGCACGACATCAACTTCCACCAACTCTTTTTTATGGCTGCAGGCTCGCTGCCGAGCCCGGAATTGCGATGGCAAATCCGTAGTATGTCTCCTCCCTGTGGGGATTCGGGTAATGTGTTGACTTGGCGGGTGGAAGATGGACTGACTGCGGACATTTCTTTGTCCGCCTGCAGCCATTTCTGTGCCTTGATTTTTTTTTTAGTCATCTTTCAGTTAGCCAGGAAATCCTCCTAGTCTCGGGCATACAATTATCCGCTACTCGAAGATTGCACAACTTCCATTTTGGTACCGGGCCTGCCTACCCTGCATCCTAATACTCCCTACCTACCACATAGCACTTGAATGCTTGGTTGTCTATTAATTAGAGCATTGTCTAGAAATACTAATGATCTTTGCTATTCTTGATTTGATATCGATTTTAATGTGTCGGGCATTGATCAGTTTCGTTGTCTCAAAACTAACAATACATGTACATCCATATTTACAGGTGCATGTAGGCTGCTATCATGTCCTCTTTATGTTTTGTAAACTTTTGCAAAATTCATTCCAGAGAACCCCATTGTAGTATACATTAAAAATCCGATGCCACCAAGAATGGGTTATCAATAGCATTAAAAGAGCTGGCAAACAGCTGATCATACCAGATCAGAGAATCTTGCCCCTCAAGAGGGCCGGTAGCGGCAGAGTCACCCAAGGTATCAGTAATGCCCGGATTAAAGACGTCAAAACGATTGGAATTAGGGGTGTTGATGCTGTAACTGACGCCCGGAGCTATATGTGTCCGCGGCTGCAACGATCCCTGAGACTCGGGAGGACCTGGCTGTGGCGGCGAAATACTGGGCTCTGACAATGAGACTGTGCCGTGATTTGGCTCGTGAACCTCACCCGTGCCTTGGCTCTCGTGGAAACTGTGTCGCGCACCGCTGCCGTCTGGCACGCCGCTTGACATGTTCCACCTGGCGCCCGAGGCAGGTCGTTTGCTTCGCGGACCAAGAGATGCTGGCTGGGAGGGGGCCTTGTCGATGCGTCCCTGGTGGGAGGGAACGGTGGGCGGTAGATCCCCGATCGCTGGGGGATGAGGGTGCGACATTTCCTGCACCGCCGAGAGCAGCTCGTCAATGGCCTCGAGGCAATACTCTGGCCATGCCGTTTGTCGCGTCGCCAGATGGCTGAGAGTCTCCTTTCCCGCCATCGCATGCCTTGAAGAAGAACAAGTTTAGAATCTTTCCAAACAATACCGATGGAGGGGAATGTTACCTCATCGCCCTACTCAGCGGAACCTGATTCTCAAAGGTCGCGTGCAGGAGAACAAAAGCGCTAATCCAGATCGACCAGGTGAATGAAGGCCAAAGTAAAGGCAGGCCTAGCCGTTTTCCAGACTCGCCGTTTGCCAATTTATACTTGCGTTTGTGCCGATTGAAAATACTACAGATGGACTTTGCTGCGGAAATGCAAGACTGGAAGGCCGAGGAGTATGACGGCAGAGAGGGTTCAGAGGCCAGCGCGGGGCGGTTCAAGCATATCGTAGACTCGTGCTTCAGAACCAAGAGCATGAGACGGTGGCTGGGGGATAATTTGGGACGATGACCCGGCTTATCGGATGCCTCCACGGCATCAAGCTCCTCCTCTTCCTCTTCCTCCACATCTTGGATCTCGTTGGCCCATCTGGCCAACTCTATCTGAACAACGGCTGTTTTGTCCGCAGTTTCCTGTCGCTGCTGGACAGATTTGTTCCGCAGTTCAAGTATCAAACCTCGTATTCGAGCGTGTTTTGCTAGAAGCGTAAGAAGCTGGAGTCTTTCCACTCCGTCATTGTTTGCTCCCGGGACGCCGTGACGCTCCTCTCCTGGATAACAGACGTCGAGGTCGTCATCTCGGATGTCTAATGGGAGTCCAAGAGACTGACAGAGAAACCTTTCCAGGATGTAAATGCACCATAAGACCCGGCGCCTGATGGACGCGTCCTCTGGACCGAAGAAGCCAAAGCGTGCCGGGCATCGATGGAGCCCAAGGTGAAACGCCATTCGCACAATCAAGCCGCCTAGTCGCGAAGCAGCGTTCAGGTATAGCATGGACGTGAGAAAGAGCTGGATGGAGAGTGCTGCCTGTGTTGCGCGGATTGATGCTGGTTGGCTGAGAGCGAATTGAGAGCTGGTCACTGCTTCTTCAACGCTTTGGAAGACGAGATGGGAGGGGATTGGGTTTGATAAGGGCGTTCCTTGGCGGCTGTCTGCTAGAGAAATAGACAGTACCGATCTCAGGATGTTGTAGTCTAATACAGATAGTGACGCCACCCCTTTGGAAGAGGCTTCTTCGAATATGTGGAGGACATCTGGGCCATGGAGGAATGGCAAGATGGGATGCCAGGATTCGAAAAAACTCTTGGACCAGTCAATCAAGGACTCGAAGCTCGGAGATTGGGAGTCGGTCAATGGGACAGATGAAACCTCGTGGGGCTTCCAAATCGGCTTTCTGGTATCGAAGTTGTCTGAAGGTGATTGTCGGAGCTGATCGTCTTCTCCTGGGACCAAGGTGTTGACGGCAGCCGTGTTGGTTTGGGATGTCCTGGAAGCTGACTTGCGGGCAAGCCTCAGATAGACTGCGCGTATATAGTGAATGCCGCTCCCGCTGCCGACGAAACGAGCAACGCCATGCTCGCCAGAGTCTCGCATCAATCCATATTCACGAGGGGGCTGGGAGCCAGCCAGAGACCGCTTCCGTTTCCGGGAGTCTGCGGGATATGGCGTGAAGCAGGAGGTAGTGTCGGAGGTGCTCAGGGGTGACTGATTAGCATCCATTGCAGCCAGCCTCGAGATGGAGCCGGTGCATTGGTGCATATGGATCCAACCAGTTCCAACAGTAGGGAGGACGTCGTTCGGATCGCCCACGGCCGTTGACCCGTGACGTTGAGTCACGGGGAAGAATGTTAGGGCCCCGGATGGGGTAATGATTCCGGACAATGAAATGTCCGAGCGGCGGGGTTTTATTTGTCTATGAGGGCCATGGGTTCGCCCTTGTTCTCTGGCAGTTCTTCAGTTCAACCGTGGGGCTCTTCTCGCCTCCAAGCGCCAATTCGCATGGCCGAAAATGAATTAGTGGTACGAGAGGATTCTGGCCCGACCCAGAATCCAATTGCTTGTACCAATTGCCGGCAAAGAAAACGCAAGGTACGGATGCTCACACGTCCAGGCCCCCCACAGTCTCTTGGCTCTTGGCGGCGGAGGAGGGTCTCCCCAATGCCGAGCATCTCGGGTTGATATCAATGATTGACATTTTGCAATAGTGTGATCGTCAGCTGTATGCATCCCCTATAGATCTTGGCCAAGGATTGGTGTTCTGAAATTTGATGCTCTCCACAGACCGAATTGCCAACAATGCAGCAATGACCCGGCAAACTGCCACTATCCCGAGCAAAGCAGACGGTAATTGACCAACCCCAACCTCCAACTTGGCTCATTTGTGCTAATTATGAAATGAATCATAGGGGAATCCCAATTGGTTTCATTAACAGACTAGAAGCTCGCCTAGCAGAAACAGAACACGCCCTACATCGCCTTCTCCAGTATATTGATGAAGGCACATTCTATCCTTCGAACCTCGCACAGACCCCTGACCAAAGTAAAGCCGACAGGGTCAAGGAATGGGACAGCTTTCCCTTGGAATCTATGATGGACATTAGGAGATGGCATGAGCAGCATGTCGGAACAGCAACCCCAGCAAGTGGTACTCACAGCTCGCAGCAAAACCTGTCACCCCATGATGTGGCTTGGCAGCCCGGCCACTATAGTCAGAGCCAGGGCCCTGATCTGAGCCCAGCTTCATCGTTCAATCACGCGCCAAACCTGGCATCTCAAAGTGAAGTGATAGGGCCACCTGTTGACTTGAATCAAGCACCCGCGACACTAATCGACCCATTGTGGGGGAACACTCCGCAGGCTTCGGAGGGCAAGGCGAAAGATTTGAGCAAAAATCGACCAAATTTGTATTTTTAGTTCAGTATTTTTGACTTCAAATAATCCCAAAACAACTACATGGGATTTAGCGACGCTTCTATGATCGTGCCGGAGGTCTGTCCTTGCCGATTCAATGCCGACCACCCCCGAGATGTCCTTTTTGTTATCTTACTCTACCTGTTCATTAATAAATCAATATTAATGTATTCGTCTTTCCTGGAGCAAATTCTAGCTCAGACATAGTTGTGAGAGCCTCTTTCAAATATTGAATTCATGCCTATCAAGCTGTAACCCGTGCTCTGATGTGCATTGGGGTCCTCAAGCAGCAGCTTGACTCACGAATATCGCAGAAGCCCTTCAGTGATGCTCTCCGCGGGGAACCCCGCATTTTGGTCCCTCCAGGGCCTAAATGTAGTGGAGCTTTAGGTTTTACTGACCAACAAATGGGATTCCAACGGGCATATCAATGACGTCCGTGTTGTTGATGGAGATATCATTCCAGTTTTGAAAACATCAATAACAAGGGTGAGATTCACGTATTTCGACCAGGCAGACGGCGAACTCCGGACAGGCGAGCTCCGGAATAGCGACTCGGGATATAAAAGGGACAAACACATGGGAGGTCCGACAGGGGGGATCCTAAGATGCCCGATTGTCACCCTGCTATCAAAGCCTATCGCCTCATTGACGTGCGGAGAGCCAGCTGCCCTGCATGCGAGATAAGGAAGACAAAAAGTAAGACATGGCCATATCAGCTTGTTCAGCGTGGCGTGCCCCTCCCTCATGTAACCGAGACAAGCCGTTGATCTCTGTCGTCCCCCTCACGTCACTCTCTCCAAACCAACCATCATGCCCAGAGCCAGATTGACGACGCTATTTGTCCGTCTGAGGAGCTGTCCGCCACGGTCGCAGATATCCAGGTATTCTACAATTATTTCCCAGCGCGCCTCGCCACTTCCACTCGCGACAACCAGCGGCTGCTCCAAGCGCCCGAGAACCGGACCAAGCGTGCCCTCTGTCGCGCCTGAGAGACGACAAATCGCTAGGATGGGCGGCGCAGCGGTCGAGAAGGAGGGCCTTGTCATTCCTGTAGGTCGTGATAGCGCTGCGCACGGCATATCTAGCTAACACGCGTCGGTATAGCTGATCGATTTCTCGAAATTCCTCCACGGAACGCCCGACGAGCGGAAGGAGACGGCCGGGGAGATCCTACGCGGATTCCAGAATGCCGGCTTCATCTACCTCAAGAACCACCCGATCCCGCTCGATGTGGTCCAGCACACGTTCTCAATGTCTGCCAACTTCTTCCGCCAGTCGGACGAGGCCAAGATGGACGTCGCGTGGACCACCCCCGAGGCCAATCGCGGGTATTCTGCCCCCGGCAAAGAAAAGGTGTCGGAGCAGATGGATATTGGCGATATTACAAAGGAGCGGGACGCTGCGCCGGATCTGAAGGAGAGTTACGAGATCGGACGCGAAGGCGAGGAGAAGCATCCAAATCAGTGGCCGCAGCGCGAGGAGGGACCGATGGCTGGGTTCAAAAAGGACATGCTGAGCTTTCATGATCTCTGCAAGGGGTTGCACTTCCAGGTGATGAGCGCAATCGCTGTCGGCATGGGCCTGGACGACGGCTTCTTCGACAAGCACCTCGACGTCGGGGATAATACCCTGCGACTTCTGCATTATCCAGCGGTGGACTCGGGCGTGTTCGCAAATAATGCAAATGCCGTGAGAGCCGGCGCGCACAGTGTGGGACATCATTTTTACCAGCGCATCCAGACCAATTGTCTTTGTGACGCTGACTAGAGGACAGGATTATGGTTCCATCACTTTGCTATTCCAGGACGCACGAGGTGGCTTGCAGGTAAGAAGTCCGACCGGCACGTTTGTTGATGCCACGCCCATCGAGGGAACCATTGTTGTCAACGCAGGCGACCTCCTCGCCCGTTGGAGCAACGACACCATCCGAAGTACGATTCACCGTGTCGTTGAGCCACCTTTCAAGCAGGGTCCAACTCACCCGGCCCGGTACAGTATTGCGTAAGTAGATGCAATTCTCTCAGATTGCTCTCGGCGAGGCTGATTTGAGATCACAAGATACTTTTGCAATCCCAACTTCTCCAGCTTCATTGAGGCGCTTCCAGGAACATATGGTGCAGAAGGTGAAAAGAAGTATGCAGGCATTACTAGTGGAGATTATCTAGTACAGCGCTTGACAGCAACCTATTGATTGCTCTTGTCATGTTTCTTCTTTTGTTATTTACAATGGAGTATATTGGGTATGAATTACAATATCTATCAAATTGAGTATATATCTCTAGATGCATTAGTATATATTCGAGTATGCCAGAAGCCGTCTATCAATGCCATGTCTAATAGCAATATCGCCGTTATCACATCATTGCCATCGTTCGTTAAGGATAATGAAGGTTTCGAGTCGAGCTGCTCTGGCTAGAACCATCCGGATCCCTCTCGCTAGCAGCGAAAGTAGCAACCGTCGTTTCCACCGTCTTGACAATGCCGGGTCCCGTATTTTGTAATTCGATGTCTTCATCGTCGGCTTCGATTTGCGTAATATTGGTCGTATTCGGATTTCCTTGGTACACAGAGCCTCCATGTCCCATGCCGGTGACCTTGGATTTTGATTTTCCTCCCGTTGGAGCACTCTTGCCCTTCTTCCCGTTGGTCGAGGTATGTCGGTAGTAGATATCGTCGCTTGCGGCGTGGTTACCGGTCGATCGAACGATCTTGGTGATGAGCTCGGACATCTTCAGCTCGATTTGTAGCTTCAGGAGATAACAAACAGGATGGAAAGACAGATAGCTGGGCGAGTTAATTAGAATGTGTGTTGAAAGGTATCATGGTTTCATTATAGGTGTCATTGACATTACTTACACCATGCTGTTTTTCAGCGACATCGTCCCGACGAGAACAACCTGGAACATTATTAGCTTCGCCATTCACCTGACCAGGGCCGAAGAGCAACTAACATCAAGAGAAAGCGACAAGAAAATGAGGAACAAGTTCAATCTGAACAATGGAACGTATTTGGTCAATCCATTCTGGATGAGGCGTGTTCGGACGAGGTAGATGAAGTAGCCGTTTAAAACACCATCCACAATGGCGAATATGACCTTCTCACAACGGTCCCAAATCAAGTTCAGGTGAATCCAAGTGTCGTTGATCTGAAGGCGAGCGGGCATCCAGATGATGAACACGCTGATGTTCACTGCTAGAATGATGGCGAAAACAATCCACTTGAGCCTGGCCGCCTTCCCCGGGACCACGATGAGGAGCCCAAGCCGATTGAGGATGATCTGAAGGAGGAATTGGATCTGAAATGCCCAGAAAAGTGCTGCGGAATCAAGTCAGCTCAAACCTCACCATTCCAACGACAACCCACAGAGAACCTACCGACGCAAAAGTAAAACCCGAAGCTAGGAGGGATGTAGCCCCTCTGGAAACCCCAAGCCAACACTCCCAAGACCTGAGACGACAACCAGACAGCCCAGATCATGAAAACATATGCCGTTATCCTGTGTGTGCGCCTCCATGAGCGATATGACTGTTTGCCTGCTTTGGTGGCGGAGAAGATTGCGATGCCGAGAGAAAGACCCCAGAAGATGCTGGTCGTGTTCATGTCCGCATCGTCTGGGACCTCGAGCTCGTAGGTATCCGGGATGAGGAGGCCATATTTGGCGCCCATGGTGAGTGATTAGAGGGCGTCCCTCCGCTTGCGGTCAATCGGCAAGTCTCCAGCAACGCAGCATATCAACGCGGGGAACAAGAAAAAGAAAACAGGGACGCATAGAGGGGACACATGGTATTTGGCCAACGCAGAAGGGGCAAGTCAGATATGACTACATAGCAACTAGGCTACCGTGGATTCTGACTCGAGATGCACCATACCCTCAAAGAGGCACCTCCTCCACCCGGACCTTTGTTAATGACTTCTTTAGGTCTAGCAATGGCCATGACTGCTGTCTCTACCAGTGAAGGAGGGATAGCGTTGGTAGGTGACGCCGATCCCACGTGGGGTTCGACTGCTAGAGCATGCTACGGTGGACTAAGATTGTCAAAACCATCCGATGTAGACGTGGTTGCGAGACGGTGGCCTTTGCCACGTTTGTTTGGCCGCTAGAATTTCTGGAACCGGCCTTCTGCTCGTTTGGCAGACTTTGGCCCTAATGTACGAATTACTACGTATGTAAACGTTTCGTAATGCGTTTATGCGAGCTTCATCGCATGGGATGATCCCAATTTCCCCGAGTTCCCCAGCTCTCCCACAGCCGTGGTGCACCCAATCGGCTTGGGTCAGGGGTCAGCCTCCAGATTCACCACTCCCCGGAGACCCCTTGGATGGGGATGTGATCACTGCAGATCAATAGTGGGTTAACTCACTTCAGTTAGCAAACGTCAGCCTTGATCCATAGTCACTCTGCTTAATATTAGCCAGCGCCTAGCTCGAAACCACAGACCCGCTGATACGAATGTCAAGAAACAAACATCCCTTCCATCTTCTGTAGAATCTCATTCTTGTCAGTGTTTGGAGCTTGGAAACAAGCAATGGAGGGAAGAGTTGGAGCTGGCTGGTCTGATACCCGACTCGAGATGGTCTTGGATACTCGAACTGAACTTTGCGGCAAGGTGAGCAGGCATGCGCATGCGAGGCCCACTGCATTACCGGTAATGTTTACGCGTCCAAAAGCCAAGATACTAAGACAGCTAGTGGCAGTTGCATTTTCACTACTCTGTATCACGTAGTGCTATTGGGCAAAACGTTGTCTAGTGTACCGGGGAAGAATAGGAGAAGCAGCCAGCATAGATGGGGAATGACACCAAGCAGCCATCTACTCAAGGGCGGCAAGGAATTGCCAATGTTTCATCAGTGATTTTTGAAGGCCGCTACTCACCGCTAAACTGACCGGCCTTGCCACTAGCAAGGTGATGCGGTGGCATTCTCATTGCTTGTTCCTCTTTCCAGCCTGGCGTCCTCGAGATTTGGCTGGATATGCCGACTTTAATGGCCAACCATTGTCGAAAGGGGACATTGAGGTGTTCAAGCGAGATGTTCTCTTGTGCAAAGGCCAGCTGCCGCCCCGCCCCCTCCAGAAGGCCCTGGATCGATCACCCGGTCATATCGGCATCGTTTCAAGGATGGGCGTAGCTTACGGTGAAGTCTCAGCTCCCCGGTGAACCTGATAGGCCATGATCGACAAACCATACCAGTTTGCAAGGTCCCCGATGGCGATCATTATCCGCCTCGCATATCAGAAATTTCACGGCCATTCATTTGGTAAAACTGGGTAGGTACCCATGTCAGCGTGAGATCGTGCACCCTGGGACCCTGATAAGTTTTCGTCTTGGCGGCGGGCTGAGGCTAATCAAGTGGCACAAGCCCAGGGCACGTATTATTTCCCCTGGTCTCACTGCATGGTAATGACTCGTAACATGGCTGAATCGTAAGAGCTTGGCAGGATAAGTTGAAGGGTCAGGTCAGAGAGGGGAAGTCTGTGTATTTGGGTAGTGAAGTGCATGAGCTGTAGCATCTTAGGATTTCAACATTGAGGTGGAAAATTGACTATCGTGTTAAGGATATTTATTCATTTTTGTTCCCGCCTTGATTCTACATGAACCTAACACCTAGTTATGTAGAGCGTAAGACAATATCTCATAGAACCATGGTCCATCTCACAGGTTTGCCTCTCAAAGCGGCAAGCACTCCTAGAAGTAGGTACCTGTGCTCAATTAAACTGAGCTGTCCGTAATCTCGCTTGAGAGACTCGCGATGCATTTGCAGCGCCCACTCGGCCTCGCTTTTGTTCACCACCTGCGCCCCTTGACGCGAACTGCTGGATGCGTTTCTAACAGCCTTGTTGACATCGGAATCCAGCCGCGGGTTACATCGATCCGGCGCACTGCGTAAACGCTTGTACACATCCGCAAATTCAAAGCTGTACCTAGCCCTCCACTTGGTGAACTCCTCCACGCTGAAGAATGTCTCCAGCTCTTCCTCGGTGAGCAGGCGAGTGATTTCCGACGCTGATTGCGAATTGCACCTGCTGTATCGAGAAATACGCCTCTCAGCGCTGTCTATTCCGTAGAACTCTTTTTTGGCTTCTTTATAAGCCTCTTGCTCTTTTCTCAGCATTTCTTCAATGATCTTCTGAGGGGTCTCCCCCTCCAACTCCCTGTTGATCTGAAGCATCTTGATGAATGGATTTCGCAGACCCAGCCCCCCAAGTTGCTCAGGCAAATAGAAAAATGCATCTGGCAGGTTGACCACACCAAATCGGGTCTCAATCATCTTCCTCAGATGACTGACTACACTGGTGTTACTCCCCCCTTCATTCTCTCGGCCCTCCGCAAATAAGAATCGTTGCATCGATTGATAGGTTTCAATGATACTCTTCACATGTTCGCCGCCAAAACAGTATTCTGGCTGGCCAAAGCTATCACCGAAGAAGCGACCCATGACACTGTTCCAGGTCTGCACCCATTGCAACACGCTCTTGCATTCATCCAATTGTTTTTTGAACTGTTTCAAGTGGGCGTCCACCTGGTCCTCGTTGATCTTCCACTTCTCAGTCTCGGGGTCCAGGATTAAATGTCCAAAGCGAACAGCTCCCTCTGGCAGTATGTTGTGAATTTCGGCGTCTTTTGTCCCTTCTTGGAAATACACTGAGCCAGTTTTCTTCTCGTTGAACTCCAAGCCCAGGATCCCAGCCAGATGTTTGAGAGTCTTCCAGGCGCGAGCGCAATGCTCAGGCTCGCCAACGAACCAGAGGTCATCGTGTTGGCGGTAGAGAAGCATGCCGTCTTGCTGGTTCACTGCAACATCTAGAATGAATAGAACGAGCTCTCCAATTAGTTTTTCGGGGGCATGCGCCATTGGCATCCCACGACGACGAATTCGCGCACCCTTGCCGTTCGGGAATTCTGGCGAGTGAATATTCAAGGGAGCCTCCAGAAACTTCTTGAAGAAGGACACGGCCGCATCGGTGAAGCCAAAGAAACGGAGGACGGCAAGAATTGTTGAGTGAGACAAACCCGCACCAAACCATTGTAGATCGGTCTGAACCATGGCAACTTCACCGTTTAGCGAACGGTGAAGCAACAGCTCAGTAGCCAATGTCTCAAGCAGTCTTTGTTTCGTACTTTTAGAACCTTGATCGTCCCCATCATCTGAACGATCGTCGTCGTCACCGTCGTCATCGTACGCTCCCGGAATTGAATCCACATCATGAGGCAACGCTGACAAGAAGAAGTGGTTTCTGTACTGTTCCATTCGGGCAGCATCAGCACTTTTCGGAGGGATCGATCTGTAGGCCCCCATGTAGTACTTGCGTCTTGTCTCCTGAACAGAATGAGGCTGGGGTCCAGTGTTTGTTTTCCATATTGAGTTGCTAGAAAATACGAGGGTTTCAAGCTCATTCTTGAGAAGAATAGAGAGCGTGGTGCCAAAATAGTAAATAAAAATGGCCTGCAGCACGTCTTCATCCATCCAGATTCTATATTTTCCATTCAGCTGTTGTCTTGGAAGAACGGGAACTAAACAAAAATGCGGTGAGTTGATTGATCAGGAAAAGCAATCCAAGGAACTGGGTAGACTTACTTCCCTCTGGGCCGACGTTCCAGTCCCAATTCTCGAAGTCGGAGACTCTCATGTTGAGGACATCAGCAATTTCATCCAACACGACATCGTCATCGAGAAACTCTCGCAGAATGACCTGCTTTTCATCACTTAATAGATCCTCTTTAAGCAATCCTTTGATACACCACCTCAGCGTAACAAGGTCAAATGCCCGGTTATTGCGCTCGAAAAGGGTCCTGCATCGGGCTGCGACTTTTCGTTTCAATTGCTCGAAATTCTTTGTCGCGTTTTCATTATGGCTTGGTTCAAATAGATCTTGAAGATAGAGTTCAATCTCCTTCTCGTCTGTTTCGAGCGGCTCAAAGACCACTTGTTCAAAGTGGTCACATAGCTCCTGCAAGCGCTGCTTCTGGCTGTCGAGTACCTCAAACGAGTCTTCCGCAGCTGCTGTGGCTTGTCCGTCACAAGCCGATGAGTCCATCCACTCAGTCACCAAGCGCGCATAGAGGTGCCCCAAACCCAGCTTTCTGGTTGGTACCTCGAGTTTAGAGCGTAGGCTGTGCTCATATTGGTTGATGAGCTCTTCTGGAACTGAGTTGTCGTACTTTGCCTGGTTCAACCAGTGATGGATGTTCTGAATGCTGTCGTCTCTCTGATCTGGGCATATCTTAATCACTCCGTCGAGCAGTTTCCTGATCCGTACCAGTTGATCGGCGCAAGAATCTGCATCTTGAAGCAATTGATTTTTTTGAGATTCGTATCTCTCGCGCTGCTTTTCCAGCTCCCGAATTTTTGTCAACGTAATGCTCTGAAGAGTCTTAGAGCGGGCTGAGGTTGATGAAGCCATGATGAACAAAAGGCTTTGGAGAAGTATGCGCAAGTACCAAATGTTTGGTTGATGGAAAATGGAGTGGAGTGTGGTGTGGAAGATGATGAAGGATGCGGGAAACAACCGCTGCTCGAGGTCGTTCTTCACCTAGGTATTTATGCTTTCAATCTTACTGCCCAAGTTTCTTTTTGAGTCTTGATTGATGATTCACAGGGCATTTGTGTTTGGCTGTCGTAGGTAGAGTTTGCCGTGGCTTTCGAGGTGAATGGAACACTGTGGAACTTTACTCGGCGTTTACTATTCAGGCAATTTTTTTAGCGATGTAAATGTCTTTTTACGCCCTGCAGTTGTCAACCAATATCCACAATAATGACTGATTCACTAACAGAGACAATAAGGCGTGTTACGTGTTGGCTGAGCCCCGCTCGCTGCTGCCTGTTTGCGAGGAAATGGATGATTCCAGAAGGACAGCGAGGTGAACGGTCCAGGTCTCCCTCTTTCCCTCTCATCCCGCCTTCTGATCTATTTTCTTGATTAGTTTTGCTAATTGGAGGCGTAAATGCTGGCTTGAATCTAATCAATCACGCTGAAGTTATCACTCTGGGGAGACGCCGCTCTCTGGGTCCAAGTATGATATCAAATTACTGGAAGCAGTCATGTCGGGCGCAGCTTTTTTTTTTTTTTTTCGCGCTGAACCTTATTGATGTCGGGCAATAGGCGTCAATCTTGATTGAGGCGCTCTTGAGTTTGAAGTGGCGATTTTGCTGTGATGCTGCTGTAATATAAATACGACGACTCTTGCATGCTCTGACTATTTCCATTCTCTTCTGCATGCGTATAATTTGCAAGTTGAGAGATTTTCAACCAAGTTCCCATCTTCGAGAAAATTCAAGTTGAAAATGCCGGAACAAGACGACTCTGTCTCGGCCGTGCTGCTTTGCACAGCAGTTCACGCTATTGGGCAAATCATCAGTCATGAGATGTATCGCAACTGGAATAATGAAAGCATGTGGGATGACCCAACTTGGCAAAACTTCACAGCTACCTTCAATGAGGGAACAGCTTCTTTGTTCAATGAGAGCTTTTCCGATTGGGCTATCAACAACAATACTCTGACTCTTGATAATGAAGGCGGCGCATCGAAGAGCTATTACTGGAACATCTTGCCAAGAGAATTACTATCCTTTACATTCATTGCAGGACTGATGTATCTCTGGGATATATGGCTAGAGGACCTTCTACCTACGCGACCACAAGGCGTCGGAGCAGACGCGAAAACCGAAAAGGCCGTTGACCCAAATGAGCCTAAGGAGGAGATTTTGGGCCGCTCGACAGTAAAGTCAACCGCTCGAGGGGCATCAATCAGCTGGCGCAACACGTTCCTGAAGTGGCTGATGGACATCATTCTCGGGACAATGTGGAAGAGTGCTGTCTCTCTGGTGATCGGAGGTGAGGCACTGACAATTGACTCCTTCTTGATAGTAAGTACTGGTATTTGATATAAATATGACACATGAGGATTCGGCCTAAAAGAACCAAGCTAACCATAATATCTCTCGTACAGGAAACTTCCATTATCGGGGTAACTGGGTTCTTACACCTCAGTTACATTGTCTCTTTCATTGCGTTTATTGTCATACCTGCGCCGCAACGCCCGCTGTTTAGGACCAGTGCGGACGCGCTCGCTTCTATATTGTGTACTTCTCTATCTAAAATCGCGATCGCTCGGTTCTTGAAATCCGCGTTTGGGCAAAGGCGCATGATGCGAGTGACCGAGTCCCTGCGGGCACTCTTGGTGGAGCAGGAGAAGACTCGACAGGCGCATTTTGTGGATGAGTTGTAAGACTCAGAGAAAAGACAAACCCCTTTTATTCAATTTAAAGAAGCTTGGATAGGTATGCGGTCATCAAATCTTTTTGATAGAAAAAAGTAGTTACAAAGTGTTTGGGCCGGGGTAACCAGCCGGGGGTGGCACTCTGTGCATGGAAGGCTTTGAAAGGGTTCGCAAGCGTTGAATCCTTGCATTGACAGATGTCCCCACGTTTGATAGATACGGTAAACCAAATTATTCAATAGTCCAGTCACCATTTTTCTTCAGACCAGAGGGAACCTTGAGTTTCTGGCGCTTCAACTCCTGCTCCATGGTGAAGTCCTCAAACACATGACCAGGAGGTGAGTTGGTGTTCTCAAACGTCTTCCCAGTCTGGATAGCCGTCAGAGCATCCCAGTAGTGATCAGCCGCGTATTGTTCCGGCAGATGCGACCACATCCAACGGCCCCAGCGGACCTTGAAGTGGGGACCACGCCCGAGCGCTTCCTTGACGTCGACGCCATCTAGATCGTCCTGGTTGACAAATGCAGTTCTCTGAATAGTGGTGACACGTTGATACCTATAATGAGCAAGTGTGAGAGCTTGCCGCTGGTGTATCGCTGGGACTGAGTACCTACCTAAGCACATTGTGCACCCGTGTTGACCAGCCAACATTCTCCTTGCCGCCTTGCTGAAGGCATTCCGCAATAGAGATGGCATCCTCCATGGCCTGGACGGCTCCGTTCCCAGAGGTAGGGAGGAAGGTATGAGCAGCGTCGCCAAGTTGGACCACGCGACCGCCAGGTGATGTCCAATGACGGTGCGGGTTGCGAAAATTGAGGCTCCAGTTGACGATCGATGCAGGGGAATGTCTGATGAGTTTAAGGACGGCCGGGTCCCAGCCGTCACCCATCACTGCAATAACATCCTCGGGCGTCAGATTAGTTGAAGTTCCCTCCGAGTGATCCTTTTCTAAAGCGCTTCGTTAGTTCTGAACCCAATCATAATGCAAAACACGGCCGAGCCTCAACACTTGCCTTGCTGTTAATCACCCATGCAACATAGTCTTTGGAAGTAGAAACAACATGATGTGAACTTTTTCCGATATAGACGCGGTTGATACCTGCCTCACCGTCTCTAGGAAACAGGTGCTGGCATTCGGGACCTAAATCAGGGAGATCTGATCGAGGAAAGCCGGTGCGAGCAGCATAGTATCCAGTACGTTGTACTGGCGGAACGTTCCCTTTGACAATCTCCCTGGAAGCCGAGTGAACGCCATCTGCAGCAATAATGACATCTGCCTCAAAGCGTTCGCCATCCTCCGTCTCAGCGAATGCTGGGCCGTCCTTGAGAGCCTCGCCATACTTGACAACTTTCTTGCCCCAGACGATGGGAATCCCCAGCTGCCTGATTTGAGCGAGCATCACTTCGGCATGGTTTGGTCGAGTGATGATCTGTCCGACTGTGCCGAGCCCACTGTTAGCCTCAACATCGGAACCCCTCCATTCAGGCATGGCAGAGTTGATGAACTCGCCGTGATACGAGTAGTATGAGATGACAGTCGTGGAACTTGAGGGGCATGTTCTCCTTCAAGTAAGGGTATTTTTGTATGGTTGATAGCGCCGCTGGGTTCAGCCCAACAACATCACCGACGATGGACATTTTCGGCTCTCGCTCGAGAACCGTCACACTATGGCCTTTTCGGTAGCACTCGAGTGCAGCGAGCAGTCCGCCAACACCGGCACCACAGATGACAACGTTGATACGAGTTGGAGCATATCTCTCGACGCCGTTGCGTTCGACAGTAGCATCTGCTTCGTGTAAACCCATGGCTAAAGTTTAGGATTCGGGACTTGATTCGTCCAAGTTTCAGTTGAAAAGTGTGTGTTTATAGTTGTTGAACAGAGACTTTTGTACATTGGATGAAGTTGATTTTGTTCCCAACTCACTGTGTGGCAATGCCGACATGCCATCCAGCCAAGCGCCCTGGACAGTCACCTCCTGAGGCACCGGATCTACCGGCATCGGCGGCGAGCGTTGGTCGAACGTCTGAGCAAGCTTGATCTCAGACAGCCGGACGATGTTCCTGTCCCGAATCGGGCTTGGCAGCTTCCAGAGCTTCCCACGCAGATAGGACTTCGTTGTGAAGCGGACGGCTGTCGGTATCAGTGTGCAACCGACAAGGGCATGCAGATGCACTGGGCGTCGAGGCACAGTGTCCATACCAAGAGCAATGTTCGAGCCAGTCCCGTAGCTCTGCAGACTTTCTTCCGTGGGATCAAGCTACGTTACTTTGAAGTCAGTACGACCCCAGTATCAACCCCATCTGTGGACACAACCACACGCACTGAAAGCATCGGCGGCCGAGAGTTGGAAGCGGTCAGAAGCTCTCGTCAGCCAGTCCCTCCAGGGATTCAGCTCAACTATGTTGACGCGAGAGCAATGATGTATCTGCATCACTTCACATTGCATACAGCGCCCACTCTTGTCAGAAGGTGCCAGCCTTTGAAACTGTGGCAAGAAGACGTGCCACAGCTCGCCTTCGAGTATCCCTTCCTTCTCAATCACTTCTGGGCCTATCCGCATATCATATCTCAATCAAAAACCCAGGAACAGGCCAGGAACATCGGCATGCTGCAGCACGTTACTCGTCTCTAGGTGCGACTGAGTACGCGAAACATCTGCTCGAGCCCAACTACGACAATACCACAGCAATTCTGGCTTGTGCCAATTGCCTGACTGTAGAGCACAATTCGAGACTCTTCTCGGACCCCGAAGATTCCAACGAGCTGGAATATGTAGCCTTTTTCCTCTCCGGGATTCTAACTCTCCCACACTCCCTTGCGCACCTTTTACCAAGAGGCTCGTACTTTATGCAGTATGTTTGTGAGACTCAGGCGATCGTCGAAGAAGCAAATGATCTGCTCAAGAACGACAAATACGGCAATACCTACCGAAGCACATCCCGCCATCAAAGTAGCGTTTTCTCTCTTCCCTGCCTGATGAGGTTGCAAGGCTAAGCCGGTATTGTCCCAAGATACAGAGACAGATACAACAAGGACAGTTCACACTACGTGCTCTCCTGTACTCGATAGATCGTAGCTATGCTTCTGATGACTTGGCAAATCTCTATGATTCCGCTGCCTGCTGGGTCCGGTGTCTGGATGAACATGCGAAGCAGGCTATCCGCGAGGGAGAGGCATTCTTTCTCATCATGTATGCCTGTTGGTGTATCGTTATACACCGGATCGGACAATACGCCTGGTTCACACACGGGATTGCTGAGATCCAAATCACAGTCGTGCGAGCCCGGCTGGCGCCTGAGTACCATGTCATGATCGACACTTTGCTCTCCTTGCTGTAGCGTTTTTTTTTTGTTTGAGCGTGCAATATCATAGATCGGGAATCAATGGAGGTCAATAGAGATAGCATTTATACAATCAGAAATAACACATTTTTAAGTACCTAGCTGCAAATCTAGAATGACCATGCCGAGGGCGTGCTCGGGTCTTGGGCCTTGAATAGATTGCACCATTAACAACCCATAAGCACAAGCTGAATAAGCGAGAGAAAATGGTCGGCGATGGCTAAGGCAAGCCTTGGAGTTGCGGCGTCGCAAAATGCCGTGCTGTTCAGGCTTCGGACCGTCCCTGGAATCGTCGATCACCTGGCCAAGCTGCGGGTTGGAGAGTGAACTCAAGACAAGCATAGCCTCTGAGATGTTATCACCTATACCTAGCGCGGTTTAATGCAAGGGATCAAAGATCTACTAATCTCAGTCTTCCTTGGCCTAGGCGAGGGCGAACGGGAAGCTGTCGGTCTTGGTCCGGAACCCCTTATGCAGCCGAATCTCCGCAGCGGTCCGATGTCCGCAACTACTCCAAACTGCTTCGGGCAACAACACCACACATCCTGGGCGAAGGACAATGGCTGGCATATAATGAAATCGACGAGTCGGGATACGTCTAGAGCTGCAATCAGCGCCATTTCCCCTTTCCGGCTTTGTCAAGAGCAACGACTGCCACGCCACTATCATGAGCCCCGTCTCGGAATCCAGCTTGCCACAGGCACCTCACAATGAACGCTTATCCATTCTGCAGGGCCCCTCGCAACCAGAATTATGGGAAACCACCGTTGGCGATCTCGCCGATGCTCAAGCTGCAAAGTATCCTGACCGAATTGCCGTGGTCAGCTCGTGGCAGTCGGCTCGTATTACTTATCGAGATCTCTCCAGTCGAAGTAAGCTTGTCGCGAGAGCGATTCTTGGAGCAAGATTACAGCAGGGGGACTGCATAGGCGTTCTTTCTGGTAACTCATATCAGTACCTTGAGATCTTTCTCGGAGGGGCTCGCATTGGCTGCCCTGTGGTAACTTTCAACAACACATATTCTCCCCAGGAATTGCATGCCGCAGTTCGTCAGAGCGGTACGATTTATTTGGAATCTATTAATGCACTAAGGGACAGAGATTGACTATTAATCACTCATTTAGATTGCAAATTGCTGTTCATCGCCCATAGCATCGGCGGCAGGCCGATGAGAAAATATGTCGAGAAGCTACTCCAAACACAATCAGAGACGGTTCTTCAACGCATCACCATTATAGGCGAATCTGAATTCTTAAGAAATGAGAATGGTACTCTGATTAGTTCATATGAACCATTCCTTAAAGAATTGCCGCAGGATGTTGACGAGACAGCTTTGGACAAGGCGCAGCGGAATGTTCATCCGTCCGACATTCTGAATCTTCAATTTACATCCGGTGAGTGCCAATGCCTAGGCTTACATTTGGAAAGTGGTATTCCCGGTCTGCTTTCAGTGTAATAGTATGCTCTTCTAACAGGGTTGTGTTTGCAGGCACGACAGGTCTGCCGAAAGCTGCTTCCCTCACACATCTGTTAGTTTCACATACACTATATCTCTTACCTCAAGCAGAACTGGCGCAACTAACATGCTACTTTCCCCAGCAACTTGATCAATAATGCCAGATTTACGGGCCATTCCATGCTTTTGACACCAGACGACGTCGTATGCTGTCCTCCCCCACTCTTCCACTGTTTTGGCCTTGTCATGGGTTTCTTGTCATCATTCTGCTACGGCAGCGTCTTAGTCTTTCCATCTGATAGTTTCAACGCTCTTAAAACTCTCGACGCATTGGTGAAAGAAAAAGCCACTGCCTTACTTGGAGTCCCGACCATGTTCATTGCCGAACTAGAAGCCTTGGAAGAATCAGGACACCGAGTCACCACTGTTAGGACAGGTTTGGCTGCTGGCTCACATGTGGCTCCATCGTTGATGGCCCAGCTCCGAGAGAAGATGCAGGTGAAGGGGATGCTTATTGCCTATGGAATGACTGAAACCAGCCCTGTCACATTTATTACCTTGCTCAACGACACAGAGGACAGGATGTTCCATAGTATTGGGAAGCTATTTCCTCACACCGGCGCAAAGATTGTTGACCATGAGGGGAAAATTGTCCCCATAGGAACCAAGGGCGAAATCTGTACGAGCGGATTTGCCTTACAGAAGGGCTACTGGAAGAATGAGGAGAAGACGCGAGAAGTGATGAAGTATGACGACGACGGCGTTCGGTGGATGCACACTGGCGATGAGGGCTTCATAGACGCAGATGGATATGGCCACATCACCGGCAGGATCAAAGACACTATCATTCGTGGTGAGTTTCCTGTTGACTGGGAGACACTTCCACTTCTAAACTTCCAATCCAGTTCATATTCCAAATTATAACCAGGTTACTAATCTTATCCAAGGTGGCGAGAATATTTCTCCGGGGGAGATTGAAGACTGTCTACTTGACCATCCTGATATTCGGGAATGTTGTGTCGTTGGGCTTGCTGATCGAAAGTACGGTGAAGTTGTAGCGTGTTTTCTAAGGAAGGCCCACAGCAACTCACCAAGCCTGCCTGACGCAGCTATTCGTGCTTGGGTAGGAAAACGGCTCGGACGAATCAAGGAGCCCAAGCATATATTCTGGCTTGGTGAACAAGGTGTGGGTTCAGATTTGCCCAAAACAGGGAGTGGCAAATATCAAAAACACTTGATCCGTGCCAAGGGGAATGAGCTGTTGAAGAAGTCAACATTGGCGAGAGTGTGGAAGCTCTGAAGGGTCAACGGATAGCATAGAATCATATGTAGGTTGATCAGGAGGTCTGTTTATAACACATTGATGCTTCAGAAATAAGTCATTTGATAGATCAATGAAGTTCTAGTAATAATTAGGAGTTATGGCAACTCGTTACTCAATCTTCTGCTGTTCCCGGAACTGTTGCTTGCATCTACCATGAAATAGAAGGCTTTGTAGAAACATACACTGAAACAGAACTTACATCTCTTGTATATCTCATCAATACGCTTAACCTTACAGTAGCTCACTCAAACATTATATTTGCAGAGCCCTAACCGTATCATAAGTACCTAAAGCTTTCATTCACAATCAGAGAGGAGCCACTACTTTATGAATGACGTTGCTAGAGAACTCATTTAGCTTACCATGTGGACAATAATCATAATTGAAGCAAGACGCCAGGGCTCCGTGATGAGATACTAATAGATACAGCACTGTCACAGAGGTTCTATTTCAGTATACTAAAACGTTTTGAATAGAGTAAATTGCTACTCAATATTTCGTTTAGAAAGGTTTGAATGAAAGTTTCTGCTTATCCAGTCTCTTTGTTGTGTGATTAACCTTTCTTTCATCAACGGAATCTCAATGAGTGAGTCGTCAGAAGATGCTGGTAAATCCACCAGCTCAACTTGTCCTTCATTCGTGTTCATTCCATCTCATCATTTCGTCATAACCGTCAATTCCCTTGTTAAACAACCGGGGCAAGAATGATTTGCGTGCGTCCATCGATCTTTGCCTTGTAAGTTGCCCTTCCAGCCTTATCCGCAGTAATAAAGTCGCCAGTGCTGAGGTTGTACTTGCGGTGGGGGAGCAGCCTGTCAAACCCCAGCTCAAAACCTCTGGGTTCGTTTCCGTTATAGAGAACAAGGTCAAGACATGGGACCTTGGGGTTGGTTACTCACATTAAGCGACATAGCGATTGCGATTTTCAAGGAGCAGCGATGATTCGAGTACTTGAAACTGCATTGAAAACTGTGAGGTTTAACAGTCGTCTAATGTTCACAAGATTTATTTGTAGCTTTATAATCATCTATTGTTGGCATTCAAGTGTATGCGGTCCGCAGCGGATACCTGGCGATATTTCCCAGGCTCTGTTGCCAACCGCCTCTCAGAAACCACAGAGCTTGGAACTCAATGCGGGGAGATGCCAACGGAACATGAGGTTACATCAGTGTGAGGAGTAGTCCGGGGAAATCCACTTTACAAACATGTCTGGTCGAGGTGCTTTGGCTGTTCCCACACTTACGCGTCCTTGAAGGATGTACATTTCCATGGAGGGCGGTGCGGTGCGGGGAGGTTAGGTCCGTCGTGAACAGACTAATGACGACGCCGGTCCGAACTCTGGTGAGTTAGCTCTACTGTTGCCTTGAAATCGTTTTAGATGTTAATGCTCCCAATTCGTGGCTGGAGGTTTACGAGGGGCCTGTCTCTGCCATCAGTCTCTGCATAGCCATTATCTGCCGTTTATAGTATCGATATCAAGCAAAATGCCACACAACACAAGTACTCCACAGTCTCTTACGGAAGCCATTGTCTCTCATCCTCCTGTCGATGGAGAGCGCCAATGGAAGCTTGAAGAAATCAAGATTGGGAAACCTGCTGAATACGAGGCTGTCGTGGAAATTGTAGCATCGGGAATTTGCCATACCGATCTTGGCTGTGGAACTGCACCGGACGGAACTCCAGGGTTTCCAGTTCCACCTTACCCCAGGGTGCTAGGCCATGAAGGTACGTCCCAAAGAGCCCTATCCTTATGCTATATATTTAACGTAAATCAGGTGCCGGTATCGTGAGAGAAGTCGGCTCCCGCGTCAGCAAAGTTCAGGCTGGCGATAGGGTCCTCCTGTCCTTTGCATTCTGCACCCAATGCCACAATTGCCAGTTTGGCGCACCAGGATACTGTTCCCAGTTTTCCCCCATCAACTTTACGGGGAATAAGGAAGCTTTTACAACAATCAAGGAGGGCAAGCCGATTGGTGGATCATTCTTTGGTCAATCAAGCTTCTCACGACTGACCAAGGTCCAGGAGGTTTCCATGGTCAAGGTTAATAATCTGATTGCAGATGATGAAGAGTTCAAACTATTCGCACCTCTGGGTTGCGGGATCCAAGTGGGTTGTTTCTGAGAGGCTGCCTCCTGTTCGAGGGGCGATTAATTAACACTCTCCATTTTGCAGACTGGGGCTGGTACGGTAACTCAGCTGGCGAAAGCTACAGCCGACGACACAATTGCAGTCATTGGACTCGGTGGAGTCGGGTTATCTGCCATCATGGTCAGTACAACGATGCCCTGCTTTTATTTGTAGACATTGTTGATGAGTGAACCACATTAGGCTGCGAAACTCCAAGGATGCAAGACCATTATTGGAATAGATCGTGTGCCAGAACGTATCGAACTAGCAAAGGGCTTGGGTGCTACCCACGGGATAAACACCGCCCAGATGGCCGGCTCATTGACAGAGGAGGTCCGAATGCTCACCAAAGAAGTCGGTACCACCATCACTATCGATGCTACTGGGATGGTACCCTTGATCCAGCAAGGCGTGGAGTTCACCGCCAATCAGGGCCAAGTGATCTTACTCGGGGTGGCGCCAATGGACGCGGGCCTACAGCTTCAAGTCGTCCCTTTCATGGTGGTATGTCTCATTTCCGGGCTAACCTCTTCTTATCCGCATAGCAAGCTAATGGGGATGGCAACACAGACTGGCAAAAAGCTACTCGGTAGTATGGAGGGTGGTGTCTATCCTGAAGAGGTAAAGCAAGTCCCAGCCTTCGGAGTATTGACTGCATGGCTAAGTTGATTATCAGTATATACCCCAAATGATCCGCTGGTATCATTCCGGGCGTTTTCCTGTGGACAGACTTGTCAAGTTTTACAAGGTAAGGCCACTTATTGATCTTTTATATAGCGGATGTTAATAACTTCTTGTCTACAGGTTGAAGACTATCAACAGGCTGTTCGGGATATGGAGGACGGTTCTACCATCAAGCCTGTACTGCTGTGGTAAAATGTCTACAAAAATATCAGGGAGTGAGGCACAAACAGCCGGGGCCAGTTGAATCTACTGGTGAATAAAGTATCCGAAACAAAATGAATTAGTCATTTCTTTCTGAAACATGGGTTCGTTTATGAATTGAAAATATGTCTTACGGTTACAAGAGAGCTTCTACTTAGTCATGGGCCCAACAGACAAGTGAATATGATTGAATTTGGGGGGAAATGCATTTAACGTGGTGTGATCTGATAGAGGCGATTGCTAGAAATGAACAAGATATAAAAGCTAATAGCTATTCACTAATTCCGAGTTCATTACAAGAATATCTATGCTAGGTCATGCATAACACACCCTTGATTTTTGCGTATTGGTAGTTGTTGATCCGAGTGTATAGGGTAGCTTAACATCGTGTACCAGAATTGTTGGATGGAGGGACCGTGTGAGAATTTTATTTCACACAGTTCGGTCCGCCTCGCGGACCGAACATGCATTAGCGTCGTAGCTCTGTGTGGGGAAATTACTCTTCTCCACTGGTGCAAGGAATATGGTTACGACTTGCATCAGCGTGGCGGGCCAAGAGGCCAATCTATGCCTCTTCAAGCTTCAATATTTGTGACTGGGGAGCTGTATGTCACTTAGGGCCGTTGGCGAATGATCATGTGGAAATGAATTTTGTCTCGATGGAGCGGAGGTCCGCTTGATTTGAGTCATGGTCGTCGTAATGCCCTACAACTCATCTCCGGCAGCACAGTCCTCGGTCGTTGTAGTAATGGCACATCTTCTTACGTGGGAATACTATGAAATGCTAAATGCAGGACCTTAAATTTAACTAGCTGACAATTTGCTTGTTACAGAACAGGGTCTGTACGTTACAGAAGGCCTTGAGGCCATTGGCTCCCCACTCAGTGCCGATGCCACTCTCCTTGTGCCCGCCAAACGGGGCCATGGGAGAGAGATCAAAGTGAGTGTTGATCCATATATTGCCAGCTTGGATGGACTTGCCAATTCTTGTCGCTTTCTTGATATCATTGCTCCATACCGAGGCTCCTAGTCCCATTGAAGTGTTGTTTGCACGTGCAATGACTTCTTCCTCCGTCTTCCAGCTCAAGAGAGGCACGATAGGACCTGTAAAATTGTAAGTAAATGGACAACCTGTACAAGTATTGCCAAGTAAACACATACCAAAAGGCTCCTCGACAACAATTCTTGAATCTTCGTCGGGCCTGTCAATGATGGTGGGCGTGACAAAATATCCTTGAGATGGCTCAATCTTTCCACCAGTGGCCACCTTCCATCCTTGCTTCTCGATATCATCGAAGAAAGTCTTGACACGTTCGTACTGCATCGAGTTCTGCAGAGGCCCATGAGTGACACCTGCCTTTGAACCATCACCAACGACATAATCTTTGACATGCCGCACGACCGCGTCTCGGAAGTCCTCATATATAGACTCGTGGACGTAGATTCTCTTCAAGTTGAGACAAATCTGTAAAAAGAATCATTGAGCCAATGTCTATATCACATTCAACAAGGATAACCCTACCTGACCAGAGTTCAAGAATGCATAGAAAGCAACCTTGAAAGGAGTTAGTTGCCGAGTTAAAGTTTTACCCGCTGGGATCTTACCTGTTGGGCAACTTTATCAATGTTGATATCAGGGAGGATGATGGCAGGATCGTTGCCTCCACTGAGCTAGCTGTTAGTATTGGCAATTTAAAAGTACTGGCTGCTTGCAACTTACAGTTCCAGGACTACGCGCTTGAGCGTCTTACTGGCACTTTGAAGGACAAGCTTGCCAGTTGTCGTGGAGCCGGTAAAGCTAATCTTGTCAATACCGGGATGGCTGGTGATCCATGGACCAAGCTTGTCATCTCCGCTCAGGGACTGTACAACACCAGGAGGGAAGAATTGCTGGGCGAGCTCCACAAGCTTGAGCCCACCGTACGGGGTAAATGGACTGTGGTTAGGGCCGTGTTAGCAGCCGTCGATCTTGTAGAGAACAAAACCAATGGAAGATCTTACGAAGGCTTCACAATAATAACGTTGCCCGTCAACAAAGCCGGGGCGATCTTGCCCGTGGCAAGTAGCAGGGGAAAGTTCCATGGAACTATGGCCGCAACAACACCGAGCGGCAGATATCTAGTGGTTACTGTATGCCTCTCATTGTCCTCAATGGCATCTTCTGGAAGACTGATATTTGCCATCCCACGAATCCATTCGATGGCTGAATCAGTCTCGTAATCCGCTTGCGGAAGCTTTGAATTGGTCAGATGAAAAAGTAACCTAATGGTTCAAAAGGAGGGAATCTACTTACTGGCTTTCCCTGCTCTGCGACGAGAAGATCTCGAAATTGAGTCCTCAACTGATCAATAGCGTCGGCGAACGCCAGAACGGCACTGCGGCGTTCCTCATAAGGTACCTGTGACCAGGTTTTGAATGCCTCCTTGGCGGAAGATACGGCACGATCTAGGTCTTCCTCTGTCGCGAGCGGAACCTCGGCCTTGGGCTGTAGATTGGCAGGGTTGACACCATGTCTAGTCTGTTTGGTAGGACTTGGTTTGCCTCCAATGATGTGAACAAATGAGCCTTCAAAATCCAGGTTAGGGGTCGGTCGTTTTGTCTGATGCGTCAGACTCGGGGTAGCTGATGGAGCCATGGTAATTCTTCAGGCGAATCAATAAATGATTATAGAAAATATTGCGTACGAAACAGACGGTACTGGAAGCTTGAGGATAGCCTTTTTGTTGCCTCAAGACTGTGTACCTGGCGCTGGATAGGATTTAAGAAGGGCTAGAACCACCCAGGATCGGATGAGGACGACGGTCCGAATCCGAGCGCTGTGTGAAAAGGCACCAAGATTCGCCCTGTCCCGATTGGTATTGCTAGTTTGGCTTGCGGCGGGGTAAATGACATGCTAGATGATCGTCAGCACCCACAGCATGCGGAATAGTATGGATCTTGATTGGTGTGCGAAGCTCCCCTCATGGTAGGTTCCCTTCGGCTTGTCGGGGCTGTGGGACGGCTTGGTGACGGTCCGGACGCATATGTATTCCCGAAGCATTTCAGACCACGATTGCCCACAGTCAGAGTTGTGGAAGTCATCTCTGGGAGAGAATTCGGGGAATCTGTATTGCACTGGCCATTGATGAAAATTTGGATTTGAAGACATCGATTATTTTCAACACCGTGTTTTACATAGAGACAGGTTGATGAAGTGTTACCTGACTGATTAAGAAGGACGGGCATTGTTGTCGATATCCGGGATCATGATCTTAGTCCCTTCTAATACGAAGTCTATGTGCTTCAAGTCACTTGCACCACAAAGAATACACCAAGGCCATAATGGATGCCTACTGCAAAGAAGTTAAACGATTATACTCTTGGAAATGTTATTGCTTGCAAAAATGATCTTTCTCTGATAAGTGAGAAGTCGTCATGCCCCAATTTTAAAACCTTCCTCGCTATTTCCAGTATATCCAACCTAAGCCCCTCCCTTGGCTGAATCAATTTGGTAGTCCTCAATGCCCTGCGATATCGTCACGCGTCATTTGAAGAGAAAGCGTCAAGTCTTAGTGGATGGACCTCCGCCCCTTGAATACGGAGGACAGGTCCCCTACCGGTAACTGGATTGGAAAGTCCACAATTGCAAACAGAATAGCCACCAACATGTACCATCCAGCAACGCATGTAACAATAAGAGATGCCCCAGCTCCCTTTGATATGCCATTAGTGTTAAATACAGAGTATGGGACACAAAGAACGAGACTGAGCGTATCATAAACAACTTACCACAAACATTTGGTTTGCCTTTGCCGCGTTCCCTTCAAAGTCCTCTGCCTGGAGCCAGAATGCAGCCGTAAGCATGCTAAAGGCGGGAAGTAGACTGAGGAATATGGTAACAAAGACAATGTTCGTTCTTAGCGCGCAAATCAGGTAGACAAAGGCCAGGACCCCCATGACTACTAGCCAGAAACCTAGCGAAGCGAAGTATAAGTCATTGACTAGTTGACGAATAAATTCCCGTCTTGGAACTGGACTTTTGTAACCTATCTAGACTTGCGTTGAACTTCGCATTGGCCAGTCCTGTAGTTGGCTTCTGCGGATCGTTGGCGTAGAAACTGTAAGCCAAGAAGCTGGGGTTGAGTATCCCTCCAAATGAGAACCAGAATCCACCAAAGCTACAGAATACAGTGGCTGGGAAGCTGTTTCCGAGGACCCATTCAAAGGTCCCGCTGAGAAACATCAAGAGGCCGCCCATGAAAAAGTAGACCGAGCTAGAAATCATCAGCTTAAATGTCCATTATCGCACGCGTGGCTGGCGTTGCTATACATTTGAGCAACACCAAAGTCCCCAGCCCCTCTCCATCCCATCAGATCACACGCGAGCGGCATAAGAGATAGGAGAAACCCGACGAGAGCCCTAGATGTCATTAGTGTTGGGAGACATGTCAAGAATAGGGGTAATCGGGGATTGACGGGTGGATCTTGCCGTACATTGGAGTTGGATTACCAAACGTGCGCCTGAAATTCCCCTCGACCTTGTTGGGCGGGGAGAGGTAGAGCTTTTAGAAGAGTTCAGGGGTCATGCTTATGCTCTGTGCAGAGCGAAGCTCCCTGAGTCCTTCGGTTTTCCCAGACTCAAGATCGCTGGGGCTCACGCCGTTGGTGACGAATTCATTGTGTGTGACAGACATGATGCAACAAACTTTGATCAAATTGATAGGCCAGGTGATTGATAATTGGATTCAATATGTAAGTATCAACACGTATCTTGGGATAAGGAGGATATAGAATAAACCAAAACGCAGACTCGTTGTATTTGTGCTTGGGACTTGCCCAGGCACGGATTGCTGATGCTGGGCGGACCGCCCACGCCAAAAAAGAGGATTCCCACGTCTCACGCGGCATGGATAATGCTTACCCTCAACTTGAAGATCTTTACTTCTATTTGACCATGGACTAGATCTGGCATTTGCGGGACTTGTCATTACCCCAGGTTTTGGGGGAAGAGATCCAAGGGTGGAGGTGCGTGGCCATACCCCCTGACCGGTCCGAAGCGGCAGTTGATGACGATGGCTGCGAGCAGACTTGAAGGTAGTGGAAAAGAGGACATGGTGTGCGCGGCAGTCGAAGAGACCAATCGAAGTAGACTTAGCAGGCCTTGCAGCTTGCATTAGTGGTTTTCGAACGGTCCGCACAGTAGTAGTGGGAGGAGTTATGTATAGCTCCTAGCTAACGGCCTAGAAATTACTTTCCGTTCCTTATATAAACTATGTAAGCCCTCACACGATGCGTGGAGTTACAGCAAATTTCATATTGGAGTATTGGTTAGAAAACGTGTTTATATTTTGATTACTAGTCGTCATATAGCCCAAGAATTGTTGTCAACGCCGAACAATATAAAAATATTCATTACCAAACAACTAATTAAGATCATATTATGTATTCCAAGTTAGGCATAGAGAATTCAGGTGCCATGAGGTGATCCGCTTCAGTAGCAGGGTCCATAAAACCTTCAATCGGTTGGATATCCTCACTTAAGTCTATGGCTGGGAAACAGTTGGCATCGTCATCGAATAGAGACTGCTGCAATGGCTTTGCACTTGATTTTTTTCCCGCTAAGCTGCCACACATGAGACCATAGTCGACAATTGGCCATAACACTTCTTCCAACCCGGGATTGAGGTCTGCCGTTGCATTTGCATCCAAGTTGATGGCAGATGCCACGTCACTTGCATCAAATAATAGGAGTTGGATGTGCTGTTTTAGATAGAAGTTAGTTATCTGAAATTGAGTTCGACTGTGTCACGGGGCCAAGGAAAGGTAAAGGAAAGATTTGAAGGAAAGAGAGTGCAAGCAACGGAAGTATTACCATCTTTGAAGCATGTTCCCAAACACGCCCCATCTCCTCGAGTATCATCAAAGCCTGTTGATTCTTTTCTTGAAGTTCAGCCGCCATTTGAATGCTACGCTGTTCTCCGGATCGGGCGGCCATCATGATGATGCTGCCTGCCACAGTGGTCGCGTATGCGTAAAACGAAGGTCGGATGGGAAAGCCAGCGGCTGATGCCTTGTGGACCAGCTCGATGGCGTTGCTGGCGTGCTCACAGCTTGTGTGCAGGGACCGCCGCAAAAAGTTGGGGGGAACTCTGTAACTCATTTTCTGGACTCGAAGACGGAGCAGGATGGGGTGATTTAACAGACAGTAGCACAAGTGGAAGACGGCAAAAGAAAACACTACATGTGCCGCATCCTGGTAGTCGAGAGAGCCATCTGGCTTCATGTGTGCCTGAGCAATATCGTCGACGGATGTACTCTCGACGCGTAAATGATGACTGACGAGGAGAAGGTATGTGTTGATAGACGCGAACTCGGACCTCTGATCCCAGGGGGCCGACTCATCAGCGTCCCGCTGGTGCAAGACATATCGAGCGCACCGTCCCAAGGCCGACGCGGCCAGTATAGTCAGAGCAAAGTTGCCGCCAACCCGGTCCGAGTCGGCGGTCCAGTTTGAAACTTGATACAAGGTCGCCGTTTTCTGCAAGGACCCTTGGCGAAATGCTTCCTCGTCACAAGGTAAGCTCAGCCGGCAGTCCTCATCAGCGATGGCCGGCGGCCGGCTCCTCCCACAGGACACGAGCTTGTCGAGAAGATATATGGACCAAAAGGTTCTCCTACGCTCCTCCTGCTCGACAATGGAAAATGTGCTAGAGGGTTCTTCCATCAGCTCTAGGTCCTGGGCAATCCGTACGGAGAGGCCAATCTTGAGCCATCCCGAACTGGTTCGCCCGGCTTATCCTCCGGCATCCGGGTCAGTAAAAACTCGTGAATTATGCTATCAATAGCTAGGTACTAACCTGTGAAATCGATGATAGCTAGTATATTGGTGGTCTGGGCCACATGCACATTGGGGCAGTTTTCTGCCGTCATATGATCATTGAGAACAGAGAGCCAAGCTTCGCGTGCATAGGCTTCCGTCGCTTGCTGTTTGGCCCATTTGAAATATGGATTGTCGGAGAACCTGAGTGCTGAAGCCAGAACAGCAAAGATGAGGCATTTCGGCAATAGACCGTAGGCGAGCTTTTCTCGAAAGCTCTCCTCTTGAAAATACGAATATGGTTGGTTGTAGGCGTGTTGGAAATACGTGTCGACCAGGGACTGCACCACGGAGTGTGGTGGCAGCGTCGAAAAGCGCCTGTATCGTGTCAGAGATGCCCCTTTGATCCTACACACAAGCGAAACACCACGTACACTGCATCAGGGGAGTCCGAATTTGGCTCGGGTTTATATGTCGCGCCCTGCGATAAACGACGTTGAGGGGACGAGGAAGAGGCTCGCCGAGGACCTGGTACCACATTTATGCTTGGATTCTCGGAATTGAGGGTCGGCGGAGACTGCGACATTCGGTCAAGAGTCACGAAATTCATGCTGGAACGGAGATTCAGGGTCAGAAAGGGTTCTTTCAGTTGCAACAGAAAGCAGGAGAGAGGTTTGTAGCAGACCTTGAGTTGGCCGATCCTTGGTCGCTTAGCAAGGCCAGCTGGCTCTCGATTTGATTGATTCTTTTGAGTAGCTCAGGCTAATGATTGTCAGCTGGTGGATGCTAGAACATGATCTGTCTCTGGGTGGAATTGTGAGCTCACATGCAACTCCGAACTGGGCAACTTTGCCGAATTGAATGCAGTAACTTGTGATGTGTTAGAGGTCGAAGAAGGCTGAGTATGCGAGTATGGCTCGTAGTGACAGCTGCGGCCGACGCGCTGGCAATTCTTGCATCTCGGTTTCTCTCCAGAGCATTTTGTCTTGCGATGGCTAGATGTACCCGTCGTTAGCTACGCATCGGCTACCACCAGACCAGCACGCGTCCCGCATTTGCCTGGCCATTTGGCTGAGATGTACGCGACACTGGACTCGACTTACCGACAATGTGTGCAGGCCTGGCGGATGCGACGAATGGCCCCCGACATGCTGCCTCTGCGCGCGGTCGACTCGGTCCATTCACTAGTTGGCGAGGCTATCCTTACATGGACCTCGCCCTGAGGGCTGGTGGCCATCATATTGGGAAGACGGGATCAATGATCCCGCCAAGCGCTCTGACACCAAAGATTAATCCCTTTTCATGCCGTGATCGAAGAGTGTCTAGGGAGTGTTCAATGTCCTCGGTTCGAAGTCGCGGGGAAGAAAGTGGGGTATGACTTGATTCATGTTGCAAAGTTGGAGCTTGGATAGCCGTCCAGGTTGAAATTCTAACCTGAGCTAGAGAGAGTCAGTCTCTTACCTAAGCCTCTCACTTGGTATGACATGGCATGGCATGGCATGGGCGAGCGGATCATGTGGGAGTGGGTGTTGCTTGGGGAGAGGCACTTGGCTCAGCCAGGCAAGGTGTGACGACACATTTGATGGGGAAGCGAGGGTAAAGAGGACGAAGGAAGCATCGAAATCGGGGTACCCCGTGGGGCTGCGAGCACACTACCAATCTCTGGTGAATACGGGAGCACCGCCCCTCGAATGGAGGCGTGCGCTCGGGCATGCTGCCATGAGCTAGTCCATAGTTGAATGTCATTGCTGCTCAAGGCAAACAGATATCTCCCCTCAAGCCCCTCAAACGTGGTATGCCAGACTAGTCCAACATGGAAGAGCATGGCCTCATATGGCACCCAAAGCACTGTGTGGAGATTGCGTGGGGACGGCTAATCGAGCTCCAGACATCCGTGCTCCCCCCGAATGATGACATTCTAGATTCTGCTTGTCATGTATGTCCATGGTAGCAGCGGTCCGCCCCACGGAACAACCACCGCGCAGAGGTACCCATGCTGCCTTTGCCAACGGGCTATGATCTATGGTGTCTGATCATGGTATCTAGATGCATATACGTTGAAGAAGTGTTTGTATGCTTGGGACTATTTGTTGTTCTGCATCGAAATACTGTGAAACTTGGTCTCATCTCACAATGGCATGCTGCTATATCGCTGCGTTCTGCATAAGCCAGTTGGTCAAAGCTTGCTATTTCTTAGATGTCGGCAATGGTATCAAGTACAACGAAGAGAAGGAAGAATCGGGGATGGGTTTGCCTTCAAAACCGCCGAAAGGAAAAACAGAGACAGCCCCGAGCTCTCCGTCGTCACTTGTCCTCTCACTCGGGGGACTCACCTGCTCCGCTTGCATCCAAGCCGTCGAGGATGCATTGACAGCAGTTCCTGGAGTCAGCAAAGTCAGGGTTTCATTAACCCTTCAACAAGCAGTTGTCGTTGCAACAGAGAATACGGCGCTCGACGAGGAGCTGATGCTTTACACGGTTCGCGACATTGGTTATGAAGCCCAGGCCGGACCTAAATCTCCCCAAAAGATGATCGAGCATCTTCAATACCGAGAATCCACGGATCGTCTCGGTTCCACATTCTCTCACCTGGGGCGTTGTGCTACGATCCTTCAAGTCTTGACGTTGTTGATCTACCTTATACCAGGCCGCTTTGCTCCTTTTCGAGGTTTGAAGTGGTGTCTCCACATGGCGTCCATGGCCGTCATGATTTATGTGCAGTTTAGTCGAGTTGCCTGGATCCATAAGCGTGGGTGGACATGGCTGCGCGGAGGGCGATTGAATATGAATACGTTGACTTCCCTATCGATGGGTCTTGCTTCCCTTCTACCACTGCTAGACTGGCTAGTTATGGGCCGGCTCAACTCGAGCTCTTTTACCCCATGGCGACCGGCCTCGGCCTCGTGGTAGTGGCTGGCAAATACGTAGACAGCTTGTCCCGGCGATCTGCGGCTCAGGATCTTGTTCGTGTTTACAAGCCCATCCTCGATGCGGATTCTATTACACTATATCCAGGAATGGAAGTGAGTAGAGTCGTTTACGTTGTAATGACAACGAAAACAAGATTGACTTGATATTAATTAATCGCTCAGAGAGTGCCGGCTTCATATCTAAGGAGAGATGATAAAATCGTTGTGGAACCTCATACAACCATTCCATGTGACTGCTACGTCCTAGAAGGCTCTTCGCTCATCGGACAGGCAATTGCAACAGGAGAGTCTCTTCCTGCAAGGAAGACTACCGGGGATTTTCTTCTAGGAGGGACGCGAAACCTCAGCAGGCGATTGATTTGCGCTATTCAGAGAGAGAAGAACGACTCTTTCTACACCAAACTTGTGCAGAGCGCGGTAGAGTCAAGCTCAACATCTTCAAACGACCATGAGTTTATCGACACCATTACGAGACATTTCGTCGCGGTTGTGACGGGTCTATCCGTCTTCGCGCCTTGTTACAGTCTATATCCTCTCATCGGCAAAGTTATTCTGTACCAAATCATCCATGATTGGATTGCACATACAATTACAATCCTCACTTGCGCGTGCCCATGCGCCATCAGCCTAGCGATTCCCTCAACAGTAATTGCTGCTATCGGTACGTAATGAAAGCCACAATCTACCTTTTGAATGGAAACTGGGAAACTAACCTGGCTTCTCTAGTCACTGCATGTAGGCAGGGAATTATCATCACCGGTGGCATAAACACACTGGAAAAATTGGAAAAATCAAAGACTTGCGTCTTTGATAAGACAGGCACACTTACGCATGCGCAGCTCGATGTCGAAGATCTCGCCGTTGTTCCAGAGTGGGAGATGGTCAAGGACATGATCTGGGAATATGTCTGCACCGTCGAGAGCCAAGCGATTGATGATCATCCGATCGCCAGGGCAATCCTCGGTGCTGGGCTTCGGGAACTTGGTGTTAGGTGGGCAGAAAGGCAGGGGCTTCGTTACACTCGAAATGTTGTATCCGACTCGGGAAAAGGCGTCAAGGGCGAGGTTCAACTACAAAACCAACCTTGGCGTCACATTGCTGTTGGGAGCCACCGATATTTCAAAGAGCTGAACATCACCGGAACGCCGGAGAGTATCCCAGACGGCACACATGGCAGCATCGTTGTGCTTTTGGCAGTCGATGAAAAGTACGCTGCTTCATTTTTTGTCGCGGTAATAACGAGAAACTCTATCCCCTCAAGTGTAGCCAAGCTCACCAAGGTTTAGGACGCTATCAAGGAAGACGCACCGGATGTAGTGAGCCAGTTGATGCAGGCCGGTTACCACTGCGGCATAGTACGTGCTTTCGTCGACGCAAAGTTTACACAAGTCTCCAACATGCTAACTTTGCATTAATATTGTAGCTCACAGGGGACACGCGGGAGTCTGCTGAGCGCGTCTCGCAACAACTGGGGCTTCCCATAATGCAGTCCGGGGCACTACCTGGAGAAAAACAAGCAAATATCCAATCCCTCCAGGACTCTGAAAATATAGTAACGGTGGCGAGGCTTATCCGAGGAGACCTTACTACATATAGCCCAGAGACTAACACAAAGACAGGTCGGAGGTTGCCTCAACGATGCTCCCTCTCTCGCCGCAGCAGGTGTTGGCGTCGGTCTACAGAAGGACTCAACTACTGCCATTGCTGGCGGTGCAGTTGTCATAATCAACACTCGACTCGGATCCCTCATCGACCTTTTCAAGATTGCCAGGATGACCATGGACCAAGTCCGGTTCAACCTCTACTGGATCTTGGCTTACAATGTTTTCACATTAGGTCTCGCGATGAAACTCTTTAACCCTTTCAATATTTCTTTAACTCCGTATGTGATCCTAAACCCAAAAACATTGTGTGAGATGCACTCTTTAGATATTGACTGAAAGAATACCAGTTCCCTTGCCGCATTACTCATGTCAATATCATCAGTCTTCTTGACCATGCAGGGTTTTTGGCTTCATGAGCGACTAGAAAGAATCACGAGAGCTCCCGGCGACTAGAATTATAACATTGGAGAACATTCTATCTCTCAAAGAGGCATTGAGGAACATATGCGCGGTTGATCATGGTCGGCGTTACTTAGATGTTTTTTTTTAATACAGGAAATAAGAGACGCGGGAGAGCTCATGCGACGGTAATGCAACACGTGGAAGACTTTCCAGAACATTCCTTAATTAATCCGCTCTTCAAGGCCACAGAACGGGTGAGAGAGTTCAAGTATGAAGTAAATACAGCAATGAAAGATGCCAGAGCCAACATCTCAACACAATGAATAGAAGGCTACAGAACACCCATTCCAACGCTGAAAATGTGACATCTGGAGGTTATTTAATTATCAAGGAAGTCTAAATCGAGTTTTCAAAATTTTGAAATGCATCAAGCGGGCCAGCCATCCACCCCTCAGTAATTTGTCGCTCAGGGGAGAATCCCTCAACGTCGGCCGTATGACACGTAGATGCAGCTTGTGATGTTGTCGACTGACGGATATTGAACCCCCAGGAGATATGTTCAGGGATAGATTCTGGGAGTCTACCAGTCTTCTCTAAATATCCTTCTCTCTCAACTTGGCTGCAATGACTGGCGCTAGGAGATGAAGGAGATGGCCGAATGTGTCGTGACTGACTCGGAACAAAGTAGGCCTCCTGCATCAGTTCAATGACGCGCGCACACTGATTGTGCTTGGCCTGAGCTACTATATCAAGTTTATGTAGCCGCTCGAGGTGGACTTCGGAAGCAGATATTGCGAAATGCATCGCTCCGGGATGGAGACAAAGCTCCAGACAGTTGGCTTCAATATTCCCCATGATGTGTGAAATACGCCCTGCAGCATGATTCATCAACACCTCACAAGCTTCCGTCTCATATGATGTTCCGATGTCCTGCTTTGGTGACAGTCGAAGCCGCGATTGGTACGCGTCGAGCAACGCCGTGTTGAACGCCAGGTGTAGAAATGAACGATTGACTGCTACTGCTGCATTTCCCTTTCTTCCCAAATCATCTTGAATTATAGGACGGTATCGTGCTCTCAATGGTAAGGCACTGTACCATTCAGAGAGATGATGTTCAAGCCGTCGGAATGGCCAATTAGCAGTGGATGATCCCCCAATGGGCCAATCTCTGCCTTGCCAGGTGTATGGCGAGCTGCGGGATAAGCATTCATTTCCATATATGAGCCTACAGAAACGGGTTTGCTCAACGAATAACAGAGCCAAGTCCAAATATCCTTGATCACTCCCGTTACAAGAACATACTGTACTGTGAGCCGTAGCATCACTGCCCACATGCCGGAATGGTTCAAAATCGGAAATATCCGGCATTGAAACATTGAAATCGTCCTCTGATATCATCCTGGTTCGGCCTGTTCCCAAGCTGACTAGACGGTCGAGATTATAACAGCACCACCATAGGCGTCGGCGGATTCGCAAGGTCCGTATAGGCAGCGCTAATCCGAGCGTATTCGGGTCGTAATGAAGTTTGCTGGCGAAAGCCTGGGAGATGGCTGCGTCGAGCCAATAAAAGCTGCTTCGGCGACCGCCTGGCTCTTCATAAGCCAGTGACATGAGCAGCAAGACTTGTACGCCGATTTGCTGATCGAGTTCGCAGTTGAAGTCATAGAGTAGCTAAGTTATGTTAACGGGCCCATCTTTAAGATTCGTGACTCCGAGAAGCATCTGACCTACCCTCACTTTCTCCAAGAAAGACTTGCGAGCACTCTTTCTTGTTTGAAACCCCTCTTCTTTAAGATCTTCGATCCTTACACAGGCTGTTCCAGCCGCAAGAATGGCCTGGTAGAGAAGCAAACTGACTCGGGGTGCAACGTGATCAGTTGCTGTGATGCATTCCAGAAAGTGAGAAAGGTCAATAACCGGGATATGCGGGTAAATGTTGTCCACGTATGCGCGTACAAGGGCCAACTGAAGAGCTTGGCTCGGGAGGGATAATGCCCCTTTCGATAGTAAGAAGTCCAGGTCATCCGCATTGATACCTTGATGCAGTGGCCTTATGAACCACGGCAACGACATGACCGTCGAGAAAGGGTCTAAGATGGAGACCTGATCCAATCGCCACAGTTTCGGCACATACTTTTTGTTTGGTTTCGAGCACGATCCGGGTTTTGCGGTCACTGCCAAGTTCGAATCAGGACAGTGAAAACTCAAGCTTTGCGAGCATGGAGAATCTGCTTCTATGAGGTAATCCTCGCGCGGAGACTGCTCCCACTGCTTGTCTTCTGCCACGTTGTAAAGATCGTAAAGGCGGAATGTACTACTTCTAAACTTCCAGTAAGTAATATTTTCTTAGGCTTATAAACAAGTTAGGCTCCTTTTATAAAATCAAATGGGCGACACATACTTGCGTGGGCAGCGCTCCCTCACGATGCAGGCTCGATCACTCCATTGGCAGTTACCACATGGCCATCTTCGTGTCACATCACACCGAACTTTGCGAGATCTGCATCCCAGACAAGCTCGGGGTGCTCTTCCTGACACCGGTTTAGTCAATGGTCCAGTCTGGTGAAGATCGGGCTTTGAAGCTAGAGTGGAAGTTGGCGATGTAGAAATTATAAGACTGGGACTGGGGCAATCGACACCCAAGGATTCTGGTGTTGGGAGAGCTGTGCTCTCATTCTCGACAGGGCAGCCACTACTTGGAGTGATATGGTCGGGCCATTCGTGCGCCATATCGACAGCTCTCCACCAAAGCTCTCTTTAGATACAGGCGCAGGAATGGAAACCGCCTTAATTAAGGCTGTTGAACCAAAGATGGCCTTCTATTGGTATACTGATAAGACACGGTAAACCCCGGAATTGCTCCCGAGCTTGGACGTCAGATCAATACGGCATAGCTATTACATCACCCAACACATTTTTTGCGGGACGGAATAACGACATGGAATCCGATATCTTACTAAATGGCAACAAGGAACGGTAGGCAAAGTACTAGTGTATCATAGATTCGTTCTCCGCTCGTGCGTTGCTGAGAATATACGGTCCGATCGGACCGATGCCAGGGATCGAGGCTGGATGTTCGTCATTGAATGAGACATGAGTCGAGTCGGGATGGCATTGATCTGGGAAGGAAAAATCTTTCACTTCAAATTTGTTCCGAGAGCACTTCGGGTGACGCACCTGAAGGTTACAAAATTTACGCATCACGTACAATCCGCTATGATCCTAATATGGGAGAACATGAGGGGGATTTTAGAGATAAATCACTTCCCATAGATTGTTCTTACTACCTATGTATCATTGATGCCATGCACTATTAGCCGATCCTTGATGAGACTTAGAATTGGCCTTTACCTTCAGGTTAAAATTTACAAAGTCGAGGAGCCTAAGACAGCCGAGACCGTAACGTGTCAAAGAACTATCATTCTATATATTACAAGAACACAGCAACGTTGTGGTGCAGATCTTACAGTACACTCTTAAAATACTCGGAAAAGCACCTTCTCTTCTGCTACTGCATCACCAACCTTCCATGAATAGCCATGGCCACGATTTGGCAGCGGTCTGCCCCACGGAACGAGCTCCTCACAGAGGTCTCTATACTGCTTCTACCAACGGGCTATGATCTGTGGTGTCTGATCATGGTATTTGCAGGGCTTAATTCTATATTTAGATAGTTTACTTGAATCTAATTCTTATAGTTATTCCGAAAAACAATCATCTCTCATTCATATATTAGCTTAATCTGATTTGCTAATAGAATACTGCTAGCTGAACTTTAGCTTGGCTATAGAGCTGGTCCGCTATGAAACTTTAAGAATTAATTTATTCAAATATTAATAAAATATAAGTTAGTTATATATATATTTTCTAAATAGCAGTACTTGACATAGTTAGATAGTATATCTTAGATATATAAACATTTAGACATTTAATCTCCTATTCTTATTCTGCCTCGAACAGAAGTACATCGACCGCTAAGATATCACAGCCCAGGGGCCCAACAGCATGTATGAAGTCCAATACCAGTTACGAATATCTTTGATGTCGACCCTTGAATTTGTATTTGTGGGATTCGAACTGGCAAAATCCAAGGCATCAAATAATCCTTGACAAAGCAACTAGTACACCAAAACCTCCTCATCTCTTTCTCCCCCGTCCCTCCATTTTTTAACCGCCTTCTTCATATCCGCCGCGATATTCTGAGCATAGTCAGGCCCAGCGGCCCCGGCAGGCAAATCCGCTGGGTCCCCCCTCACCCAAGCAACAGGTTCTTTCGAAACACCCGCGAATTTCTTCTTAAGCTCTTCAACCTGATGAGGCTCGTAGCCGCGACCGAAGATTACCGCGCGAGGAGGCCGGCTGTAATCGTGGGTTCCCATCTCATTGGGGCTCTGAGACTGAGGATCGCGGCCTGCAAGCAGATGCGGGAGCTCGGCCTCTGCAGCCTCATATGATAGGATGAAGTGGATGACTGAGGAGCATTAGCACCATTCGTTATTTCAGGAATGTATATCACGAACCTTCATATTCAGGCAGCATCTGCTGGCGGATTAATTTCCCCATCGCGGGTACTTTGCCGCAGGCAATTATGGGCATCGGCTGAGTGAATGAAGACATATTGCGAGAGCTGTACGCTGCGAATAAGGTATTTCGGAGCACTCGAGATGGAGAATTATGAAGTAAACTGGGGTCGATGATCCGATTTATATTCCTCGTTGCGGCGTGCTCGGTCTTGATGATAGTTTTGTTGATTTGTTGACATTCCGACAGAGCATGAGAGCCGGTCATCTCCGACTCGAGTCAATTTCAAAACCTTAAAACTTTGGGCGCAGCTCAGGCCAATCATGGCGACCTACTGTTTTTTCGATTATTCAACAGTCCCGACGCCCCGCCGCCGATGAGTAAAGCAACGCCGTCACACGTTCGCAGATTACCTATCCGTTACATCATAGCATGTCTTCAAGTAGAAAAGAGGCCTCCGAAGCAATACACCATGGCCGAAGCGATGACTGACGCGCCCGTGCCTCGTAGGAGAGGCCGGCCACGAAATGCGACTGATGATCAGCAGGCTCCCGAGGTGGGCACATCCCGAGCAACTACAGAGCAACCTAGAACTGACCCAGGGAATCTAGAGACGTCGAAGGCAGCTTCGCCTCGCGCAGCAAGCATATCGCAAGAGAAAAGAGACCACGGTCGTCAATCTGCAATCTCGCGTACAGGAACTGGAGTCGGGCATCGAAGAGCTCAGCAAGTCGTTCCTTTCCTTCAGTAATCTTCTGTTCGAGGCTGGGATTCTTCAAAACCAGCCTCGTGTCACGGCTGCTCTACAAAAAACCACGCAGCAATGCGTGTCGCTTGCTAAAAGGGGCTGCGACGAGCCCGAACAACCAGCAGCCCCGGCAGACGTATCGCCATCGACGTCTCCCACGCTTAGCGATACAAGCGATACACAAGATACAGTCTCAAATTGCAATCCACTCATAACGCAACTTGATTCACTGCCAATAGTCGGTGATGCTTTCCAGTCCTCGTCGGACCTCGCAGCTCAAAGGCCTAGACTATCACAACTAAGCCCTACGGCACCCTTCCAAGAACAAGCAATGCTGCCGTTCGGAATAATTTTTTCGTCTCCGAATATCCTCTTCCCATCCATCCCTAGTCCCGCCTTGAATTTCCCGACCATGGTATCGTCCGACAGTCTCTTAAAGCAAGGCCGCTGGACACTCTCACAACTTCTAATCCGACAATGCTGCGAGACTGGATATTATCTATTAACAAGCCTATCTGGAGACGACCCTAGGGTCAAAGCAATCTTCGGCAAACGGTTGGCCATGGACGAGCGCAACTGCTTGATCTCCGGATTTGTCGCCGTCATGCACGACGAAATAGGGGACACGATCGAGCTGAGGGCGAAAGTTCTCAATTCAAGGAGGAGCAGCTACTCACCTGAGCGACTCGCCATTTCCTCTCGAACTTGGCAAACTGTCTATGAATCGGGCGCTGATGAGTGGATGGATGCCAGTGGTGTGCAAAGGCTGCTCCAGCAGCGAGGGATTCGTTTTCAGGACTCGAGCTCGCCTCTCTCCAATCCCTGGTTCAATTCGGCTCCGCAGCTCAACGCAGCGCGCTTCATTAAATGTGAGTAATATCGAGATCAGTGCTTCTTTGTGTCTTCTTGTCCATGACTTTTCTGACCTTGTTGTAGATCTTTCCCTCTGCACTATCTGTCTCGGTTGCGGACCAGCGTTCCGAAAGCGCGATGTTGAGAATGCCATTCGCCTTGCAACTCTTGATGATCCTTGGGCGGTTGACCCTGTGTACGAAATACCATGAGCCACGTATAATAACAATAATTGTCTACAAGATGTAATCCCAGCTTGCTTTGCATGGTGCAACGAGTAGAAACAGGATCCCGCTGTGGAGTTGAGGAAATCCTTCCAGTGCATATGTTCCCGGCCCTTCATTTCGAGTATCACTTTGGCGTCTAGGGGCTGGCCGTGAATCCAGCCCGGACTCCAAGTTTACCTATATTTCCCATTTCCATTTTCTCCCTTTTTGGGTCACAAATTTCTAGTCACGTCGACGCCAAATAGAGACTCTGTCATGGATTACCCCATTCTCGTCCTTGCCCACAGTGTGCGTGCGCTCTGGCTGCCAGTATGCCACTCTCTCCAGTCCCGCCTTGCTGGGCTCTCGCAACGGGTCGGCATCGACAAGACCCTTATCGTCGTAGGAGATCTTCTCACCGGGGTGGCTCAAATGCTCCATGTAGGCCTCGGAGGGAGAGGCAAATGGAGGGCCGGGGGCCAAGGGGTCCTTTTGACGAGGAGATTCCAGACAGATCAGATTGCCTGCAGGTGAGGAAGCAAGGAGCTCAGTGTGTCGGAGAGCCCATTTAGGACGGAGCTCTGGGTTCAGAGCACAGAAAAACTACATGGTTGTGAGAAGGAGAGTCCAGAAAGACCAGCCCAACAGCGGCAGTGAGTATACATACCGTATAATCATAAATGACATCAAATCCATTTCGAGGTACTCCAATTTCCCTCAACCAGGTATCATCAAAGAAATCCCCCTGGACGAAAGTGGCCTTCCCTTTCCTGACTTTCTCATCTCGCACGCGGTACCGGCTGTGGTTCTCCCTCTCCTCCTTGTTGCACGCTTCGACAGCCGCGGCGCTGCACTCCAGGCCATAGGCATCATATCCAAAGCTCGCGAATAAGAGCACGTCGACTCCACGTCCACAGCCCGGCACCAGGGCCTTCCTCCTTCGACCATCCTGGGCGATGGGCCCGCCAATCGTGCCAACTCGCAGGACCAAGGTGTCTTCCAGCGCGGGGTTGGGGAAGCCACGATCCCAGGGCAAATTATCACTTTTGTCCCAGAGAGAGGCCCAGCCCTCAACATACTTGTCGCCCTGATATCTAGCCCAGTGTGCTTGAACATCCTTGGGATCAATGTTGGTAGGAGTCGTCATGGCTGTTAGTGATGGAGTGCGGGGGATTGGAGATGGTCGCTCTGGCGTAATAGTGATGAACAGGGTAGAGAATAGGAATAGCACAGAGTGGTCAGAAACTATTGACTACACGGGCAAGTAAACGATATTGGATGTACAATGCCTGTTCTATTTATGCCTCTCTGCACTCGTAATTGAGTGTCTTTACGCTATGATGAGAAATCATCGCCAAGCGATAACGTCAAGCTCCAACGGTGAGCCAATAGTTAGCTATGTGTGGGGTCGAAAGTGAATCAGTCTTTTACCTGTTTATTCATCATGCCGAGAGATATCTCATGCCCACGGGTTTGCTACTAATGAATATGTTCGTAGACGCTGCTCCGCAGACTTTGACCAAGTCGGGCTGGCTATATCATACCGGGCTTTGCGAGATCTGCATCCCAGACCAGCTCGCAGTGGTCTTCCCGAGGCTGGTTTCGCGGATGGTCCAGTCTGATGTGTTGCTGGGAGGACACGGTCCGATCGGACCGACGCTATGGATCAGGCCAGAAGTCTACGTTGGCGATAAATTAGTTCATCTATATTTCTAGCATACATAATCGATGAATGCACTATTGGCCGACTAGACTAAGAATTAGCTTTTGCCTTCATGTTAAAATTCACAATGTCGGGTGCATGTAGAATAAGACAGCCAAGACCGTAACATGTCAATGAACCATTAATAAAACCGTTCTATAAGAGATATCTCAACACAAAGACGTTATGGTGCAGACGCCGCAGTACACTCTACGTGAGAGAGTTCGAGTATAAAGTTAACTGTCAATGGAAGATGCCAGAGCCCGGCATCTCAACACAATGAACAGTACACTCTACACTACCCGGCAAAGCACCTTCTCTTCCGCTACTGCATCACCAACCTTCCATGATGTCTCAAAGCAGCCGTCCACACTAGCTTTCAGGCTCACTTCCATTTTCATACTCTCAATCACCATAATCGTTTCCCCTTTCCTGACCTCCTGGCCTTGAGACTTCGGAATAGAGAGCACTTTGCATGGCATTGGAGCTTTGATATGTCCCTGCGTAGTGCTCTGATCTTCTGCCGAGGTACGATATCCTTCCATATATGAGAGCAAGGTATCCTTTTGAAACCGTACAAACGTCCCAAGAACTGGAAAGTGGCAGAGAATAAACTTTGAACGTCCCTTTGCTTGGTCACTACTCTCTGCCGCTTTGGGCTCGATGCAATATGCAACCACTTTGGTTCCGTCAAGTGACACTTCCAAGAAACCCGGAGTAGGATCCTGACCAGCTGGACTAGGTGAGTTGAAGCTCAAGACTTTGACAATTATTGGTTGAGGAAAATGAGAAGACGCTTTTCGGACATGGTTGCTGATTCGATTATACACAGCTGCCATCTGCTTCGTGCTCGAAGTGGAAGTGGTGCTGTCTTCTACCGCCGCCGAGTCTGTCTGTAATGCCGAGTTGAGGATCTGAGCAAAAGGTATCACTGCAGCCTCGTATTCTTTCGCCTGGGCGCTGTTATGTGCCGCAATCTTCCAAAATAACAAATCCAATTGAGGCGCCAGAATGTCTGAGGAGGCCCCCAAACCTTGCCAATCAGTAGTTACAATATCAGATTGAATGCTTCCGGGATCGAAGCGCTGATTACGGAAATGGGAGCGCACGTTCTGAAACGGCCGCTCAACGTGGGAGCCTCGCACTTTCCCACCGGCTTGAAGTCGCATAAACAGGGACGGGACGACTACGAGTGCTTCTCTAAACCGTTGTTGCTTTTCGGTGAGAGAAGGACGAAGGAGCTGTTGTAGATTTTGTGGAATGAAGGATGTGTTGTACCTCAAGTCTCGGAACTTTGGGTGGAGCAGGCACCGTTGGAGGAAGAGCTGGTTGGTTCTCACACCCATACAGAGTGTGTTGGCCAAAAGGTCAGCCATCTTTTGTATGGCAAGGTCTCTCGTCGGAGCCCATACAACCAATTTGGCAATCATGGAGTCGAAGTAGATGGATATTGCGGAGCCTGACTGGATTGCTGTCTCATACCTGATGTCTCTGCTTGGGCCCAGCAGCCCCCCCGCTGGTTTCCAGAGAGAGATCAAGCCGTTCTCGGGGAAGAAGTCCTTTTCAGGGCTCTCTGCACATAACCGGCACTCTATCGCGTGGCCGTTCTGCGTGAGTTGCCTCGTAGCTGGGAGCGAGCCCAATTCTCCTCCGCATGCAACGTAAAGCTGGACCGACACAAGGTCTACTCCTGTGACCTCTTCTGTGATTGGATGCTCTACTTGCAGCCTCGTGTTGACCTCGAGAAAGAAATACTGAGACGTTTCGACATCGACTACAAACTCGACGGTGCCGGCATTTTCATACCCGATCAACTTGGCAATGCGCGTCGCCGTCTGCCCCATACTAGAGCGAAGCTCGTCACTGAGGAAGGGACAGGGGCTCTCCTCAATGACCTTTTGATGCCGACGCTGCACAGAGCAGTCTCTCTCGAAAAAGCTCAGGACGTTCCCATACTTGTCACCGACAATCTGTATCTCCACGTGCTTGCTGCTCTCAATGTACTTCTCCAATATGACATCGGTTGATCCGAAAGACCTCGCTGCCTCAGACTGAACCCTTGCGAGTTCCTCGCTGAGCTGCGATGCTTGGCGAACAATTCGCATACCCTTGCCACCGCCTCCCGCCGAGGCTTTGAGCATGATGGGATATCCAATGACAGCGGCAGCCTTCTCGAGGTCATGAACTTGCGTGCTAGAGCCCGAGAAACCCGGGATCAGGGGTACATCTGGCGTTTTCTCACTGAGATATTGCTTGGAGCTCCGCTTGTCGCCCAGTGTTGACATGGCACCAGCACTCGGTCCGATGAATATGAGCCCAGCCTTTCCCACGCGCTCAGCAAAATCGGCGTTCTCACTCAGATAGCCATATCCTGGGTGAATGGCTTGCGCGCCAGAGTCCAGTGCCGTCTTGATGAGCAGATCCACGTTGAGGAACGGATTGGTCGTGTGGCTCTCCATACTGCCTAGCAGTATCGCTTCATCCGCCTCGGACACGTGTCTAGACATTTCATCTCTATAGCAGCTTGTTAGTAAAACTACCGCTGTTCAGGGAACTGCGGTTGCTCTCACTCTGTCACGTAGATGACGACGGTGCGGATCTGGAGCTTTCGGCAGGTGCGTATGACACGACAGGCAATTTCTCCGCGGTTGGCAATGAACAGCTTCCGTATATACGGAGCACCGGTGTCAGGATCGAGCGGAATAGGTGCCACCGCAAGAGGTGGTCGTTGTGACAGGGCCTGTCCATCCTGTGTGCGATCCATTTCCGGTCAAGTTCTTTGTAAGATCAACAACCTCCTAGCCAGTAAGGATGGCGAAATACAAGGAGATCTCAACAAGGTCAAGAAAGTGATACTAGTCGAGACATCCTTAATAGGTTTACAGCAGTGCCTATGCTTTCCCGGTGGCACGGCAGGGATTCTAGATTTGCTCCGCGGAGCCAGAGACCCGCATCGGTCCGCGACAACCAGCCTCAACCGAGCCGGACCGGGAAGCGGCACATTCTCCAGACATGATACTTGGAGCCGGTCACTGTACATTTAGTTCAGGGAATGAGCCGTGACCGATACTCTTCTGCGGTGGAAGAACGTAAGGCTTCAATTGTTGGGGTCAGGCTCTCCCAAATACCTCCAAGCCTTTCACACGAGCAAGACATATCAATGAAAGTGTTCGGTTTTTGGCGCTGGTTTCTTGCGGGATAAATAATTACTTGGGCTATTAAACGAAATAAATTATGTATATGGCAGATTTCAAGCTCATTTTCTGGATTTAGATCTTGTCATTGATAAAAATAAGTGTACATATAACAGCCGGTAGCTCAATTCAAACAAGAAAACAAGAAAAGCTTTCGGAGACTTTGACACTTTAGATTCGTGCCAAAAACCGGCTCCCGTGCACACGAGAATCATTTGTCGAGCCGACAATCTCCAGACACATACCCAAGATATCACGAGTATCACGAGGGTCAATGATGCCGTCATCAATGAGCATACCGCTTGTCGCATAGCTTTCGGAATCTTTTCGCGCCTGGGTTTTGAAAGCGTTCACTTTCTCGTTTGTCTGCTCTTCATTCAAAGATTTGCCTCGCTCAATCTGTTCCATGACACCGGCGAGCTGATCAGGTCCCATCACGCCGCACTTCCCAATCGGCCAGGTGAACAGAAATCGAGGTTTGTATGACCTCCCGCACATGGCGTAGTTGCCAGCACCGTAGGAAGCACCGAGAATGATGGAAATGTGCGGGACCTGTGAGCAAGACACAGCCGAGACGAGCTGTGCGCCAAACTTGATGATACTCGAGTGTTCGGCTTTGGTACCGACCATGAAGCCCGTCACGTTGTGCAAGAAGATGATGGGGGTTTGCCTACACGAATTCGAGTTAGAAGCAGAGCAGAGTCCAAAAACTTGTCGATAACGTACTCTTGATTGCATAGACGAATGAATTGTGCCGCTTTGGTCGCTTCATTGGCATTTATTATTGAAATCTGATTTGCCACAATCCCAGCACGGATCCCTGTTGAGAAATGAGCACTTTTGCTATTTGAGTTTTGTGGTTGAATTGTTTTCACAAACCCATAATATGAGCCCAGCACGTCAGCATATTTATTCCGTATTTGGGCTTGAAGATGGACAGCCTTGACTCGTCTACAAGGCGAAGAACAACTTCCTTCATGTCAAAAGGCTTTCGTATGTCGGGGTTGACCAGAGAAAGGATATCTTCAATGGGATATCGTGGAGCCAAGGGGTCTTTGAGGCGAAGCGGGCCGGGTCGAGGCTTGAGAGTGCTTGCCCATTCCCGTGCCTTCTGGATTGCGTCGAACCTGCAAGGCTCCGTCAGCTTAGCACAGAAGGCTCTCAGAGAACGATACCTACTCGTCAGTTGCTATCTGGTCAGCCAGGCCAGTGAGTGTGGCATGCACGTGTGCACCACCCAACTCTTCGGCATTGACCACTTCTCCGGTAGCCATCTTCACCAATGGCGGGCCTCCGAGAAAGGCTTGAGCTTGTTTCTCTACAAAAATCGTATAATCGGACAGCGCAGGATGGTACGCTCCTCCAGCTGTCGAGGACCCGAATACAACAGCACATGATGGTTTACCATTCAACGTTCGTACAGCAAGGTCATGGAAGAGCTGACCGCCTTTGTGGAAGACGCGGAACTGCTGTGGAAGGAATACACCTGCCTAGATGAAAGATGAGCACGACTTTTGGTCAATTGGGGTTGCGGACGCCGGGAGGCAGGCTTACGGATTGAACCAGGGATATCAAAGGAAGATCGTTATCGGATGCGATCTCAAGTATGCGGTTTACTTTGAGAACTGAAGAACGGTTTAGTGGGCAATCCTAGCAACTTGGCATTGTTGCTGCCTCACCTGTCATCTCATTCCACGCTCCACCCTTTTGAGTCGGTATGTGGGACATGATCAAGCACCGTTGGCCGCTATAGCCTGTCAGTCACAAAGCAGATGTTCTTGTGAACCCCAGACACAGATACATACCTCACACTGCCTACCCCAGCGATCAAGTTGGCGCAGGGCGTGGAGTCAACATTTCCGAACCCGGCAAAAGCACATAACTCCAGGAAAGGCGAATCGTCATCTAAGAGTAGGGAGATCCGATCGCGGGCTGGGTGGGCAAGCAGTTAGTTTCTCTCTTTACTCAAACTTGTCTTGCCACCGGCATCAACAAAGGATCCCAGATTACTAACGAAGAAGTTGGCCCCTGCCCTGGTGCCGGTCAATCGAGCTTTGATTGCCTTCATCACTAACAGTTTTGAGGGCCTTGTCTAGTTTGTCTAGGACCGGCTCCCAATTGGTTTTATTCTCTTGGAACTCAGCTTCACGAAGATCCAATTTCGCTTGTTGGACTGGGAAGGAGTTCGACATGGTGTTTGCAGGAGAGGTACAGCAAGTGACGCGTAGGTAAAGGGAGGTTAGTGTTTCAGAGAAACTCTTGTTAACAACGTGTGTAGTACGGAAATATCAGAGATCGGTCTGCATTGACCTCGGGCCCAGCAGTTACCGTCAATTTGGTTGGACGGTTGCTGGCCGTGAATCGCGGAGGTTCGGCATCGGTCCGTCAAGATCCACCTCGGTCCGCGTACAAAAACTGCCTCATTTGGGGCCATGTGAAGAGCAGACATCAATGGTAGATTGGCAATCCCCACAGCAAATCCAACAAATTACGTGCTTCGGCAATAACCAAAGAAACTGTCCCTCTCTAGATGCATCGCGCTTGTTGCCCACTATTCAATGGACCCGAAAGTAACCATCGTCGAAGTTGGCCCGCGCGACGGGCTGCAAAACATAAAAAATCAGGTACCTACAGAGGTAAAAACCGAGCTCATACGAAGGCTCTACGAATCTGGTCTGCGGACCATAGAAGTCACGTCGGTGGTCTCCCCCAAGGCTGTCCCACAGCTGAAAGACTGCCATGAGGTCCTTCAAAGCACAACCATCAAGCAACTGGCCCAGGCCTATTCCGTTCGGCTACCAGTCTTGGTCCCAAACATCAAAGGTGTTAAGATTGCACATGGTTATGGTGCCTCCGAGGTGGCAGTCTTTCTCAGCGCTACTGAAGGTTTCAGCAGAGCCAACATCAACTGCACCGTAGACCAAGGGATCTCAAGAGCTCGAGAGGTCACCTCAGAAGCCAAGAAGCTCGGCATGATGGTCAGAGGGTAGTTATCTTATTCACGCAGTGCGAATTTCAGACATGCTAATCATGTGCAAAAGATACGTTTCCTGCATATTCGCTGATCCTTTCGACGGACCAACCCCAGAATCTGCCGTTTTGAGAGTTGTGAAAGAGCTGTTGAGCATGGGCTGTTACCAAGTCAGTCTTGGCGACACGCTCGGAGTTGGATCACCATCCGATGTTCGCAAACTTATCCAGACCCTCGACAGGAATGGCATCCCCCTCCGTCAGTTGGCCGGTCATTTCCACGACACCTACGGCCAAGCGCTTGCAAACGTTTGGGAAGCATATCAATGCGGTATCCGAGTATTCGATAGCAGTGTCGCTGGCCTCGGGGGGTGTCCCTTTGCGCCAGGAGCTACGGGGAACGTTGCGACTGAAGATTTGGTTTACATGTTTAATCGTGCCCACGTCGCGACTGATGTTGACTTGCAAAAACTAGTCGCAACAGGGCGATGGATAAGCAGCAAACTGGGGATTCCTTCAGCAAGCCGTGCTTCGGGAGCTATATCAGCCAAAAGTCAAAAGGCCGAAGCTTCACGACCCGGTCATGCCACCAATAATCGTGCGATCGACTTGGAGTGGAAAGAGGCATCAAAGTCGGAAGGGTTAATAACACACCGATCTGGTGCCAGCCTCAGAATCACCATGAACCGTCCCAGAAATGGCAACGCATTAACCACGAAGATGATTGAGGACCTAGTCTCAATCTTCTCCTCATCAGCCAATGACTCGACAATCAGTCGAATTGCTATTATCGGGAGTGGTAAATTCTTTTGCACCGGCATGGATCTCGGGAAAAGCACCACCCCGGTCGGCACTGACGAAACCTCGGCCAAGGAGCAGTACGAAAGACTTCACCGTCTTTTCGAGACGATTGACCAGTCCCCCAAAGTTACTATAGCCTGTCTGAATGGCCCTGCTTTCGGCGGGGGCGTAGGGCTAGCATTCGCATGTGACCTGCGCCTTGCCACAAAAGATGCCAGTGTTATGTTGAGCGAGGCAAGGCTGGGACTCAGTCCCGCGACCATTTCCAAGTATGTGGTTCGAGAATTTGGCGTGCCGTTTGCTAGAGAGGCCATGCTGTCTGCTCGACGCATCCCTGCCAATGAGTTGGAGACCAGGGGTATCATCAAGGCCGTTGCAAGCGACGTAGCTCAGTTACAGTCAGCCCTGGACAACCTTGTCACAGAACTGAGATTTGTTTCGTCGGATGCCCTGAAGATGTGCAAAGAGCTGGTTCGTGTGAGCTGGAGCCATGGGGGACAAGAGACTCAGGAGAGGGCCATCAAGCACATATTCGAGCAAATGATGAAGCCTGATAGCGCAGGGTCTTATGGGGTGAAAGAATTTCAAGCTGGACGAAAGGTAGACTGGGACTTGTACCAACGTGGTAAAGTCCAAAGCAAGCTATAGATGGAGCTGAATTTTTCTTAGGATGTTATATTTTAAGAGGATCGGCGGAGTTGGAGGCTCGAGTAGCTTGACTAACAGGAGAGGACGGCTAAAAAATGCCAGGCCTGGCATCTCGATATAATAAATACTGCTGCATGTAAACGCCACATTAGCATTCCATACATTTGTGTTCTCGTGGAAGTATCAATTTTCGAACGCACTTAAGCTTGTTCATGCTCTTTCAAGCTACCAATTAGGCCTAACTATCCCTCTGCAAGCATTGAACAACCTCAATCTAGTCCTCATACTTTCGAGCCCCTAGGTATAGCGTTCCATGGCCGTCGAAACGAAGTATGCGATCTTCACCGCTACCTGGACCAAAAAGAATCCTATTGAGAAGTAGCAACTGAGGTCTGTGCTAAAATAGTGTTTATGAGTGTCCAACTCCTAGTTTTCCTGGATACCAAAAGGATCAACATTTGGGTCGAGATGCCGATTATATTCCATCCATACGGCAATGTCCTGTGCAATTTTGCCACCATAAATCGCTTCAACAAAGGCAAACACAAGATCAATGCCCGAGGATACTCCAGAAGAAGTCCAAATGTTCCCATCCACGACCCATCGAGCGCTCGGCACCCAAGTAACTTGGGGGCGCCACGGCGGAATAACCTTCCAGGCTCCCTTGTACCCAGTTGCCTTCTTGCCATCCAGTAAACCAGTCAAAGAGGTGATTCCAGAGCCAGTGCAGACAGTAAGCAGATACTGGAGCTTAGGGTATTGCCCGAGGATGAATTGAATCACCGGGTTGAGAATCGTTAGGTTGGGCTTGCCGGCGTCATTTGGGTCGAAGCAGCCCATCCCGCCCGGAATAATAAGCACGTCAAACTGCGGAGCGGTCTCAAAGGTGTGATCAGGTATGAGAACCTGAGAAGTCGCAAATGGCTTCATTCCCATGTTTTCTGGGAAACATTTAGGAGAAGTTGCTTGAGGCTGTAGAGTCTCGGCAACAAGAGACAGTGAGATACCATCAACATGAGTTGAAAGAAGATTTAGGACGTCAAGAGGGCCTGCTACATCAAGCAACTGAAAGCCTTCATAAAGGACCATTCCATATTTCTTGGGTGTGGCAGCCATGTTGACTTAAAGAAGAATACGCGACAAGTTGATTGCGAATTGTATATTTCAAGTGGCCGTTATATGTATTTTCTCAAAAGAGGCCTCTAGACCTTGAAAACGAATACAGTACATGAATAGCAAGTACATTGGATGAAAGACAGTATAATATAAGAAATTGACTTTACCCCAGCTTCTAGAATCTCGATTGCTAAAGCGTATATTTGCCTAATCTCTCTCGCATCCCTAAGCCCGTCATTGATCTGCTGGAGAAGGTATTTTATTTGCGGGCCCGCATCACGCGGGCACTTGAAAGGTAGTTTTACCTGCCTATATTCTTCAGGATCTCGTTTCATCGAGCGGAGCCGCGACGGAGCCGCAACTACTCGGCGAAATGGAGTTCCTCAGGTGCATCACTAGTTTCATGGTCAATGCCCAGGGGAGCATACATAACAATCGGGACTAGTAGCATACTGGCGAGTGTCTTATTCGGCTGATGCGTGGGACCATGTTGTTGAAGAGTATTGCAGTCACAGTGGCAACAAGCATGACGCGTGAGCCTGACAGCCCTGTTGATAAAGGACTGAAATCAAAAACCGCAAAGAGCTGCTTGTATCTAATTATTTGAAAATTTATCCAACTTTCTATTTGATACTCAAGGATAGATCAGTCTAATCTCGCACTTGTCAACGCCCTAAGCCGCCTCCTCCTCTGCGGGAAAGTCCACGAGAATAGCACAATGAGAATAGATGGTTTCGGCGCTGGCTTGATTTCCGTACTACATCTCTTGTTAGCCTCGCTCATAGTTCTTAAAAAAAGGAACACTGCTTACCGCCGCATATGCAATCTGCAGCTCTGACTTAGACGCTGGCGTCGTCAGCCATTGTGTCTTCTCGTCCAAGTAACGGCCCCACGATGTGAATATTTCGTTCAGGCGTAGACCTTCTGGTAATTCTTGGTAATACTGTTCGATGAACACACTGAATTCCTTGCCAGCCACTTGTTTCGTTGGAACCGCTAATTCCCAGAGTTTGTGAGCTTCAACGTCAGATTTATGGGGCTCAAGATCTGCCCAATTCTCTAACCAATGCCACTCGTCTTCCAGTTCAATGACGGCTGATACAGTGGGGTTAAGATTTAGTTTCTGAAATACTTCCCAGATTGCTGCGTCAACACCCTTAAGGGTATCCGGAAGCGGCGTCTCGATCGGATCGTTGAATGCGTACGCGTGGGAGCACCAGAACCCCAATGTGCCGCCTATCATGGGAGTTAGTATTGGCAACCGGCTACTCATTTCTATGACTTATGTCGTGCCCATAGGAGAAACTCACCTTTACCGCCGAAAGGGTCCTTGCTCAGGGTGTTTGACACAGCTTGGTACAGTGGCAGATGTGTAATATCAAGTGTCTGAGACATGCCAGTTAAGCGTCCTGTACCACGCACTGCGTACAGATTATATGTCAAGGTGAGGCGGTGACCACTTGTGACCTCGAGAATCTCATGTTCACAGTCGCTGTAGAACGCCGCCCAACGAATAGTGGCAAAGTCGGGTTTCGTAGAGCTAGTACCCCAGTCGTACGTAATCTCCCTGCCCTCATGACGAACCTTGAGCAGGCCACCTCCGTGCTCAAGAGGCAGGCAAACCACTAGCGATCCAAACTGTGATGGAGATCGTGGCGTGTCGACGTGTTTCTTGAATTTACCTGATGGGCTGGTGTAGAGCTAGAGGCCTTGTTAACCATGTTCAACAAGCTATTTCTCGCCGCGCTGTAATTAAAATGCCGACATACATTAAGTTTATAAAGCTCAGCTCGAACAGATCGGTGGGTGGATGAATCAACAATACTCGGTAGAAGGACCTGAGCAATTGTGTCAACAATACCAAGTGAATAAGGGTCAAACGTCGAACAGAATGCGGTCGTGTCCATTTTAAGAGCCTTGCGATATGTCTCGTCATAGACATCCTCCCTTCCACGACCAAAGGTGGCTGGCTGGGTGCCATCCAAGAGCCGCTGAATATCATTCTCAGATCCTGGAGCAAGCGGGAGAGTGATCTTGTCGCATGGATTACCGCGCTGCCCCGTCTCTCCCTCTATATCAGCAACGTCCCAGCGAATGGTGATGGGGTCAGACGTTCTAGGCTCATCGGCAGTAAGCGGATTGCTCAGCCGATCCCGGGTGGGAGCCCGGCGTGGTTTAGTAGTTGCTGGACTTTCAACAATTGGGATAGATCCGCCACAAGTGAACAGGTGGTTTTGGTTCGCCAGAAAAGCCCTGAGTTGATCCAGAGGGGGCTTCTCCGGAGGGCTTTGTTCGGAAGGGGAACCGGTATCTTCAGCAGCTTCGTTTGCTGGCTCTACTGGCTTGGCCTTTTGGCGAGGCTTAAAAAGGAGTCTGGCGACCGGCTTATCGCCTCGGTCACTTGAGTCGGCCATCTGATTATTGAACGTTTTAAGTCTTGATAAGTTAGTTGTTTCGCGTTAAGCGGGAGATTGTCGAGAGTGGAAATCAGAAGGAATTCACGACATTTACAATAAAAAGACACTTGGGTTTTATCTCTAAGCCCGAATGCACAGTTGCGTGAATTTTTGAACGGAAATATATATAGACACAGTCCAATCCCGCTTACTTCTCGTTGTGAGGGTTAATGCACACCGCTCCCTCCCCCTGTATGTAAGACTTGTTCGCGGGAGAATATGCTTACAATCATAGCTACTGACCCACGAGGATCTATGGTACCCTCTAAATCTAAGTTGTCTACTCTATACTCTACACTTTGACATGAGTGCCCTGCATTTAGTGCAGAAAATTACCCAACCCAGCATCCTCAACCGTCAACTAATCAATCCAATGACAAAAGACTGTTTCTTCATTAGAATCTTATGAGCCTGATGACTCAATTGCCTCAGACCTCTCGCCAATCTCACATTTCTGCGTCCTCAGAGCAATGCAAAATTTAAAAGGGCAAAGGTCGTTATAGTAATGTTACGACGCCCTATGTATTCGATCAATGGCCCCCCTACTACAATTAGCGGAAAACAAGGTAGAGTAAGGTAGAGGTGCATAAACAGGTAGCTTACAGATGATCGGCCCAAACACATATCCGATCAGATAGATTAAGATAGGTAGGGCAGCCTGCTCCTGAGATGTAACATTCCATTCGTAGACAATGTAAGTAGTAACGTTACTCAGAAGCGAGCTGCCCATGGTACTGTTGACAAGAAGGTACATAGCTAAGGCCAAAATCGCCGACTTTTTAGTCTTTTATTTATAATAGGGTCAGCTTAAATACAGTAATTTGATACAGTATGCGCCACGTACTATTGAGAAGTTGTAAGGATTCTCGGGGTCGCCTTCTTTCCACCTGATAATTGTTCCCGTGCACAGCTCGTCTACAGAGCTCTGGTTTGCAAGAACGCCCACAGGTGTCCTGGGATCCCGCTTCTCATCTTGGCTAGGAGATTGGCCTTTGGCTCCTTGTATCTGATCCTCTATGTGCTGGTTGGCAGAACTCTTTTGGTTTCCGAATTCTACGCTGCCCATGACGATTTACCAAAAGGCCAGGTATTAACAGGAAGATCTATAGCGTTTTTAGGAAGAGCCAGATTGAAGCGAGGCCAGAATCTTGCGCCGGCGGGACGTTTCCTGAATTAGTTTATGATTTAATGGCACTCGGAAGTGTTCCGGATTTCCACCCAGCAACTAAGTCTCTCTTCATGGTCCACCAACCGCTATCGTGGACAATTTATTCGCTCTCATGGCATTTTGAAAATCTCTCAAAGATCATCTTGGGGTCCAGGACGTCCACTGAATTCTACGCTGCTCACGCGAGCGTGAAACCCGTGATAACTCGTGATAGGCTAGAGCGCCCCAAGTGCATGAACATCTACGCAATCTTACCAACTAGGGTTAGATACAACTTACGGAGCCCATCTCGAACCTCTATTTCGTCGCTGTTGCTCGCCTATCAGCTGTGTTTGGTAAGAAGCTAGGCATTGAGCTGCAAGGCAAATTGTTTATATTTGGGGCTCGGAACAATACATCGTGCCAAATCTTGCCGACATAGGATACTCTGCTAGAGATGCTAGAGACGCAGTTCTTCCTATTCGACACAATTCGTGGTCACATATTTCAATATGTCTAATTAGACTAGTTACAAGACTGCCTCTGAACTTACTGAAGTTTCTCGACTATGGACAACCATGCAAGCCTCGTGCCTGGCTAAGCTAGAACCGAATCCGGGCGGCTTGTCGCTATTGACTGTTTAACGTACAATAATGCAAGTTATGGAACATGAATGATTTACTAATAGGAGAAAAGATGATATTTTTAACAAAGAGGTCGTCAGCGTTCTATTCCTCTCTTCTCATGTATTACATCCATCTTCTCAGTAAACAGCCAGTAAGCAGGGCGCCGGCATTGACCGAGTCGTTCAAAATGCTACCTAGTGAATGGTAGCAACCCACCCGTTACCGAACGAATAATTGGAACACGCCCCTGATTTTACTGAGCAATTACATGCTCAAGCCCATGCTAGCTAACTGTACATTTTCATCTCAAACCGTTGAATGAAATAACGGGGCCGGTTACAACCCTGGGAGTAATTCTCTCGGAAACACCACATCCTCGGGTTCAAAATACACTAGTGACATGGGTACTTGGTAAAGTTGCTGGGGGATCAAGAGCCGCGGCCGCCCAAGCTTCGGACATGAACACCTTCGACCCTTGAGCGGTCCATTGTCAATGATCCACCGAACATGTTGACTTCTTCTCTAGTGAGAAGCAGCACCAAGTATAAGCAAGGGCAATGCCCAATACATTGGCAGAAAAATATTGCACATTGACTTGGAGATTCTACCAAGGTAAGCCTAGAATGACATGTCAGTTCCTATTCTCTTCTCTCTGACCAGCTAGCGGTAAGACCAGGCCGGGCAAAGGAATCAACCCTGCCATTTGGTCGCCTTAGAGCCGGCGATGTGACACAATGGGCTATGATTAACCCTGACTAGCCCTTACAGGCTCTCACACCGAATCCTTGCAAGCCACTGTGAGAACTATTATGTCACCAGGTAGTGCAATGCCACAAGTATCCTGGCTTCTAAAGCGAAGGATGTGCTAGCAAGGGTCAGCACCCGCTCCGCTAGCCTATGGGAGCAATAGCAGAACGGCAGAAAGCCATAATGTATCTTACAGGGGAGAAAGCCCTTGTGCACGAGCGTGTTCCAAAATTAGACATTCAAAAAGGCAGCCTCACTTCTTGAAGATTCATGAGAATGATCGGTGAAAGTTTCTATCACCAACATTGTGAACGATCCCCAGCAGTCCCTATGTAACAAGGGACTTGGGAAATAACATGCGCGAAGGCTACGTGAAGCTGGACCTTGCAGTGTCTATTCCGACATTTGTCGGTTCTTCGCTCTCGTTTCTTGCCGCGTCAACAGTTCTTTTGCTGCAAATAATTTACCCGCCTGGTCGGCATTTTCGCCACGCGCTCATCGTCAATCTTCTGATCTCAGGTCAGTGCTCCCTGCAGACAAGGGAGGGAAAGCCAACCAGGGTTGTTTTATACTGATCTTCCTTAGATTTGATGAATAGTCTAGGCAACACAATCTCAGGTGCCTACTTTCTCTCGCAGGGCAGCACTCCGGCTACGAACGCCAACCCCAGCGCTGCCTGTATGGTCAATGCTTGGGTCAACCAGCTCAGCGTCCAGACTATTGATTTTAACATTCTTACTATCTCCGTTATTGTTCTCATATCAGTAGTGAGAACGCACTGGATATCAAACTTATCAACGCGGGCTCAGATCTTTTTCTGTGTCGGCGCCTGGATTCCGGGTTTAATAACCAGTACGTTTGGCACTCTTCCAGTTGTGACTTAAGCTCGACAGGGGGCAAAATGAATCGAAACTAACTCTTTCTTCCCAGGTAATGTTGCTCTCGGCTTAAATAGCTACGGCTTCGTCAGCGGGAATTGGTGCTGGATACGAACGGATCGTCTCGATCTTCGCTACGGTCTCACACACGGATGGCGGCTTGCTATCTTCTTCGCTACGATAGCCATCTACACGTGCATCTACGTGAAAATCAAAAGGGTTTATGGAAAGGTTAGGGCTATGGGGGGCACTTTCGATATCTCAATCGAAAGCCAAACCAGGGATGCCGAACTAGGGCTTCCATACACATCCGATACGCATCAGGTTCTGCCCTTGGGCCCGTCATCTGTGTCCCAGGAGAATGGAAACCAGCAGCAGGTCAACGCTGGAGGCTTGGAAAATCCAGCGGCAAATCCCCATCCTTCATCCTGGGGACAAACAAGTGCTTCGGGCCCAAGATCAGTGGCACCTCTGAGTTCTCAACCATCATTCACACCGACCCTAAAGTCACAGGAATTCATGCCTCCTCCGCCGAATATCCAGAAAATGTTGTTGATGAACGGATATCCAATCGCCTACATCATTCTATGGATACCAGGCATAGCAAATCGTCTTGTTGAATCAACGGCCGGATCGTCTCCCCAGTGGCTCAGTATTCTTCAAGCATCAACACAGTTTATCGGCTTGATCAATGCGTTGACGTATGGATTGAGCGAACAAATGAAACGTCGTGCTTGGGAAAGTTGGAAACACCGACACGACTTTATAAGAGCAGGTGGTTAGGTTGGCTCAAGGTATTTATCTTAGGCCTGGAGTTAGGTTATTGCATTGGTGGCGCCTGTTTTTTTTCTTCCCCTTTTTCCTTCTTCATTTTGGTAGCATTAGCAAGCGGGTTTGGCTGGATGATCATTGCAACGATCTCTTTCACGTTTCGGGAATAGAAATTTCTCTTTCACTCTTCCTATACACTTAAAACTATGATGAGCAGCAAACTGACCTATGGGTTTAAATGCTGCTTGAAAAACCTCTTCATCCGCCCCAGGGCAGGTCCATTCATACCTTCGCAGTGACTCCCATCGGGGATGAACACCAATTCGTGATCTTTATCCTCTTTGATTAGCTTAGATACGAGCCGCATCGTAGCTGCAGGATCTACATTCGTATCCATCCCACCTACCACCAGCATCAACTTTCCTCTTAGCTTAGCAGCATGGGTGATGTTCGAGTTCTCCTCATATGATTCATCCACCGGATATCCCATCCACTGCTCATTCCACCAGATTTTATCCAACCGGTTGTCGTGACATCCTGAATCTGCGACTGCCGCTTTGTAAAAGTCGCCATGATGGAGTAATGCCGATACGGCGTTCTGCCCCCCAGCAGAACCTCCCATAACTCCTACACGCGATAAATCCATCCACGGTCTTGTTTTTGCTGCTTCCTGCATCCAAACTATCCGATCTGGGAGTCCGCCATCTTTGAGATTCTTATAGGCAACATCATGGAACTTTTTAGATCTCCAATTTGTTCCCATTCCGTCCAAAATGACAACAATATAGCCCTGCGAGGCCCATTCACGGAGCCTTGGCATTGATTCAAATCGCTTTGGGGTAGAGAAATCATGTGGACCAGAATAGAGGTTCTCTAGTACTGGGTACCTTTTGGTCTGGTCAAATTGTGGCGGCCGGATAATAATACCATAGATCAGGGTCTCGCCATCTCGACCGACTGCCGAGAATCTCTCTGCGGGATCCCACCCATTTTCCGTTAAATCTTGCGCCGTTCTTTCATGCAGCATTAGCTGGAGACTCCCTGTTTCTGAACTTCTCACGGCAGTACGGGGAGGAAGGTCAACTCTCGACCAGGTGTCGATGAAGAAGCGGTTGTTAGGAGACCACTTCCAAACATGGGTTCCATCGCCCTCGGTCAGTGCTTGGCAACCGGTGCCGTCGAAGTTGACTCGGACTAAATTCAGATGATACGGGTCCTCGTCTTTCCTGAAACCATATGCAGATACCCATATTTGCTGGTTCGTCTCATCAATATGCTCAACATCGCGGACATTCCACTGGCCCTGTGTGATCTGGTTCCTCACCTCGCCCTTCTCCAGATCAACAAGATATATATGACTGTAACCATCTCTCTCACTTGCCCATATCATCATGTTGGACTGTTTGAGGACTTCATATGACAACTTGTTCGCGTAATTTATGAAGGTGTCGCTCTTCTCTTCGATCAACACCCGCACCGTCCCATCAAGCCCTATCGCCAGTACGCGCATGAGCTGATGGCCTCGCTCGTTGAAGATAAATCGATACTCGGGTTTCCCATCCTTTACGCCCCAACCCAGACTTATCATTTGGTATGGGTTTGCGAAAAGAGCATCGCTTGTTTCAACCTCTCTCTGAGTACCCAAATCAAACAATCTCGGGCGGTCAACCCTCACACGATCGCCCGGTTTTAAGTATTGCTTCTTCGTCAGCTTCGGCTGGAGTTGATCGTCTGGCGCGTAGTTGAGTAGGTGAAGGGAACTCTCCTGTTCCGGCGTGAATTGCCAAGCAATCGCAAAATTGTCGTCTGGCGATTTGAAGACCATAATCTTATCATAGGGCTGCTCTTCTGTGCCATTCTTGGAGATCTGTGTGCGCACAGTCCCATCCATCCCTGTTTCACTCATCCATAGATTATACTGCTGTATATCAAGTTTTATATCTGATATTTCTCCATCTTGCGTTTTCTCTTCATCCTGTCGGGCAGGGATTTTAGCTTCATCGCCAGATTTTGCATCGTCTTCTGGAGAAGGCTCATTCACGATGACAGCATCATGCCCAGTGTCTGGAACGCGATATATGGCCTTCACCTTGCCGCTCGAAGCATCCTCTAGCCTCCAGCAGTGACCAGAGTATGTCTCCTGGCTCCTTGCTTCGTCAGGCTGTATTGTGCCGTAATGTTTTGGCTCCCCTTCGAAGTTGATCCAGATGAGATTCAGCGTTCCCTCTGTCTGGTTCGTAAAGCGGACTCTGACCGGGGAAGTGCTCAATGGATCTGACGGTTCCTCGACCTGCATCAGAGAATTACTCTCTTGCTTGAATGTCCCATCCCACTCAACCAACTCCGTCCCGTATTCCCATTTCTTGCCCTTTGCTAGAAAGCGAGCCCTATTGCCGTCTGTTGTGATTTCAATCCAAAGGAAAGGAAGCTGGTGGGGGTCAAAATCCATCCCCGTCTTCTGGCACAGCTCCTTTGCAAGTTTTTTATGGTCAAATGCAGGCCTGACAATCTTGTCTGCCGCATGAACAAACATGAACTGGTACTTTTCATCGTCGAGCTTCTGACGATACCAAAAAGCATCGCCCCCAGGGGTCCAGTGGGGCGTGACAGCCGTCTCCTGGAGACAGCGATCCTCGATTGAAAGCATGGTATCGCTCGAAGATAAGTCGGAGTCCTGCGATGAACTATGGAGGAGAGGGATAAATGTCACTTCAGGTCGACCAACGACCAACAGGCAGCATTTATCAGCATCGCCTAGTATTTGAAGAGCCAACGCACAGCCCCTTTAGGGCGGGGGCCATGTAGTGTTATGGGCAGAGAGACAACGTTGGGACCCAATACGCGCCAGGCAGCCGTCATCATAAGCTGACCAACTTAACTTGCCTGGGAATTTACTGCATAAAATATCGAATTCAATATCACACATTTTTTGAGGTTCAAAAGTAAAATTCGGTTTAGCATTGGGGTTTTATTAGGTATATAGTTTACAGGAAAAGCAAGACCATTAGTTCAGCTGGTGTTCGAATGTGCCCATGAGTGAACGCAGTCGTTGCTCAAGCCAATCTCTCAACAAGAATGAGAGCACATAACGCAATAATTGAAATTAGCGCCAAAATATTATAATGCGTCTGATTTCCGCTGATTTTATTTTATTTTATTATTTTCAGTTGATTGCGATGCGTCGCGTTTCAGGCTTCTTCGCTTTCGGGACATCAATGGTCAAGATGCCATCACTCAGGCTGGCAGTGACAGCATCCCGGTCGATGCGAGCAGGGAAGTTGAAGTGGCGTGAGAACTCTCCAATGCTGCGCTCAGTGATCCAGTACTTCGCCTTATCGGCTGGAGCTGCAGGCTCGTCCTTTGGGGTTGAATCGGTGGCGTTTTCGTCCACAACCGTGGCTTGTTGCGACTTTGGAGACTCGCCAGTCTCGGTGATGGCCGCTGGATTGCCCGCAGACTCGAGGAGGCCGGTGGGTGAATTGCCGGTGTAAGTGCGCTCGGTCTTGCCGCGAATAACCAGGCTCTGCGGCTCAGGGAACTCGATGGAAACTTGGTCCTTGGTCAGGCCGGGCAGCTCGCCGTGGAGATGATATGCGCCCGAGGTCTCCCGAACGTCAAACTTTGGTTGCCAATGAGAGATTCGTGAGGCTCGGCCGCCTGAGGTGTTTCCGCTGCTTCCGCTGCGAGAGTACTTGTCAAAGTCATCAAGAAGACGGAAGAGGGGTGTGAAGGAGGCGTCGGCGTTGTAGAAGCTTTGGGGGAAGAGAGCCATTTTGATGATTTGATGAGGGTTGTTCTGGAGTTGGGATTGGTGCTTTGAGCTAGGAATTGTGACAGTTGTAGAGTTTGGTTCTGTGTGAAGATGGAGAGGCCCGATGAAGGAGCCCGATGGCAGGCTTCATTTTATAATTGATTGATCTCAGCATGATATCGACAGACAAGTTGATGAAAGTGGTTCTGTCCACCAGAATCGAAATCTCTCGAAGGCGCTGGTGGTGTCTGTGATGCTCGACAGCGTCCAAGTTACAGCGATGAAGTGCCTGGAAGACGGTGGATGGTGCTAGAAAGTCCGCGAATGCCCCACTAAAGCATTCCAAGTTTTGGCTGGCAGTGAGAGCTGCTGGTGAAGGTTACTCCCTCGCCAATTCAATCCTACCCTATACCCAGCTACACCCAACACCATTCCATCATCAAGAAGACAAAGACAAGGCCTGAGATGATTGAAATGTAGGTGGTTATATCAAAAATACATTTATTGATTGTCGTAAGAGATGATTCACCTTCAAAACTCGGCAGTCATCTTTATTTCCACCAGCGCTATGCTACCTCTAACAGTGTAAGTGCGCCTAACTCTCAACATGAACCCTCTCTGACACCCTTCAACAACAGCGGCACAATGGTCGGCCCGGTCGACGACGCGTTCTCGGACTAGGCTAGGTAGTTTTTCGCGTCACTGGATTGTGTCTATAAATAAAATTGTGGGTGATTGTGTAAAGAAAAAATAAAAATCGAGACAAAGTGGAATTTCTTTGGCCATTTTCATCTTTTCACGCGCGCTTACAAACAACGTTAAATAAAGATTGTGACACGTTGATCTCTGCTATCCACCCACAATGCCTATCAGCAAAAAGGACAGAGTAGGTCTCTTTCAATTTCTTGGCTTGCCTCCATGGCTTGGTGATGTCTCTCCTTTATCCCATGGTGCTTATTATCATGTTTGCGCAGCGTAACCGGGAGCAGAAGAAGGCCGACGCTGCTGGCACTCGTGCCCCCGTGAAGCGGAATGGACTTCCTGTCAAGGCTCCCAAGCCTACCTCGATCGTCAGTATAAAATCTTTGTGACTTTGTTGCGTGATGCTCATGGGCGGTGAACGCGGGTGGCTAAACTTTTCCTCCCCAAAAATAGTGCCAAAACTGTCGTAAGGAGATTGTGAACACCAACAAGATCCAGTTGGAGGTTCATGCTGGTACTCATGATGAGAAGCTCTGGCCCAAGGAGAAGTGCTGGCCAGATGATTTCCCCGCAGCCGAAGCCGAAGCCTGATCCGGACCACGTTGTTGGACAAACTATGCAAGTAGTGAATATAATTGTGATGAAAGCTATGTGAGCGGCTCGTTTCGGAAAAAAATACACAGATTCCTCAACTTCTAAATGAATGACATCTCACCCTTTAATCTTCAAGCTGGGAGATTCTCTAATTCTAAATGAATGGCATCTCGTCCTTAAATCTTCAACCTAGGAGTCTTCAACCTAGGAGGAAGCCCTCAGTGCTTCCAAGTTGTAACTAATGGAGTCCTCCAAACTTGTCCATCCCGGGAGCCCGAGCTCCTTGAGCAGCTGCTCCGCCTTGTGTCGAGGCGGGATCTCATGGGGATCCTCGCCGCCAGAGAAATTGTCAGGGAACTTGCGGTTAGGCTCTTGCTTCCTCATGATGTCCAGAATCTTGTCCCAGGAAAAGCGGTCGGCGAAGCCGAAAAGTCTCTGATCCTTGACTTTCTCGAACAGAGCGCCAATGACGTGAAGGCGGCCAACATCTTGCACGTCGACGAAGTACTCTGAGATGGATGTCAATAATCATAATCGAGGGAGTAGCATCAACAAGGGCTTTGACTTACGCGGATTCTGCGCCTTGTGGAATGAGAGGACGTCTCCGTTCCAAAGAGCCGGGATAAGACCACCGCTACTTAGGTAACCCTGGCGAACGGGGTCAAGTGACCTGCCAAACACCAAGTTGGGGAGTACTTGCGAGAGAGTTAGTTTTCGGGACTAAGCAAAACAGTTCCTCTATTCTCACCTGTATTGACAACCAGGTCAGGCCTCTTGCTACGGTTCTCTCGGTGAAACTTCCACAGTTCCTGCTCAGCCTGGGTTTTGCTGGCCTCGTACACCCGAGCGCCGTGATCAGCGGGGTAAGGGGGCTCCGACCAGGCCCGCTTGACAGCCCACTCGTTCTCGGTATCATCGGTGGCGACGATTGGAGGAACGTCAGGATGAGAAGTTACCACTGCGGCGGAGGAAGACGTGAAGACAAATCGCTTCACGCTCGGCTCGGCGTAGGCCGCCTTGAGAGCGTTGAGCACACCAGCTATGACCTGGGGGATCACATTCTTCGGGTCGGGGTCGAACGTCATGATAGAAGCTGTATGAACGAAAATTTGGACACCTGAAATTGGTTGTCAGTTCAAACTGCGGAAAGCCCATTATGCCCCTGAGCAATTGGGGCTTCACAGACCTTTGATTGCCTCGTCGAAAGCACCGTCCTTGGACATGTCGTCAACTTGGACGAGCTCAAACCTGTCCTTGCCATACTTCTTCTCAAACAAGTCGGCATACCAAGCATGCTTCACAGGGTCTCGGACAGTTGCCCGAACGTTGTATCCATAATGGAGGAACTGGTCTGCGACGTGCGAGCCCAAAAAGCCATTGGCTCCCGTCACAAGAACGAGGGAGCCTTTGGGAAGAGCTGGGTTTTGCAGTGGAGACATTTTGAAGGTTGATGAGCTTCTGTGATTGGTGTTATCTGTTTGAAGGGCTTGAATGTGGTGCGATGGTGAAGAAAGTCGATCGGGAGCAGCCAGGACGTCGAGATTCTTAAATACCCAGCATCTACTCTATTGGATCCCATTGGGAATGTATTAAATTGCCTGCGATGACAAATTTTTGGAGCGAACATCGTGATTGGCAAATTTGATAGAGCGAGCGTCGTGATTTGTTGCTGTACGTGCAGGTCGCATCGCGAAAAGTTGCATTCTCGGATGACAAATTCATTATCTCCAGGTACGAACGCCGAGTGTCCACAGCCGCACATAGCCCATGTAGTCATTAACGTCAGCCGGGTCGGGTCGACTCAAAGAATGACTTATTTCCTTTTTGGGCATGAGATTCCGATGCAACAATGAAAGAGATTTTACCTACTCAAGATGCTACATGTCGATAAAGGCTTGAATAATCATGATGGGGGAGTAGCTGATCCAGTGAGGAATTCTATCTCGTTCAATATCATTCTATTGGTCTATGTATTCTTGGTTCTTTATATTATGCGGGTGAGAGAATTTGAGTACAAAGTAAAAATAGCAATGGATGATGCCAGACTCGACATCTCAACACCATGAATATTTCCTAGTCTTAAATGGATTCCAGCTCATCCTCTTGTTGAGTTGCCGCAGGATATTCGGATTATCTCTCCGTGCTACAGTTTGTAGCATGTTTTCGTAATAGTCGCAAGGATCATCGACGCGAGCGCCGTACCCAAGCAGAAGCTGCACAATTTCGTCATTTCCTCGAGAAGCCGCAACAGTCAGTGCTGTCCCATTAAGAGGCGAGATCTGGTTGACGGAAGCTCCACTCTGAAGTAGTAGTTTGGCGATCTCGACTCGATTCAGGGCTGCAGCAACATGCAACAGTGTAGACCCTGACTGATCAAAGCCGTTGACATCAACGCCACTCTGTACCAGGCTCCGAACTGTCTCTTGCTGGTCATTGACAATCGCATTTCGTAGATTTTTAATATCAGCTTCTCGAGATTTGCGTATGCAAGGTCTGATCGACGCTTTTATTTTATCGAGATCGGATTTCATCCGGCGACTGAATGCCGCCCTCGCCCCGGATCGTTGTGTTCCTGGACATCGGGAGAATTCATCGGAACCTTTGCCTTCGCGAGTATATGTATCTATTACCCGCACTATCGGGTAGAAGAGAATCTCTATTGGAGAGTTCCATGTCTCGTTCATTTCCATGAACTCAATGCCCAGCCGGAGGGCGAGGTTGGCTCCTTGCGGTTTGGACACCATCCTTGGAACATTTGATCCGGAGTCGATCCCGACAAGGAGAAGTGGCATCGGGGGCACACGATGGCATTGGCAACCGTTTTGGCGCATGTATCCCACAGTGCGCGCACGCTCAATCTTGTCGTACTGATCTGTTACTTGGCGAAGAGCGTTCTTGTTTGTGACGCTGTATGCCAACAGTATACCATCAGCTTCCCGGATGAATTTGTCGGCCAGAATTGCGTATCTCTTAGACGTTGAGGTGAAGACTTCGGTCATAAAGGGTTTCTCCCTCGTTCCAAGCCGAAGTCCGGTTTCAGTCTGTCTATAATTGGCAGACTCTGCATTCATTGTGCTGAGATGTCGGGTCTGGCGTCTTTTATTGTTGTTCAACTTTCTACTCGAGCACTCTTCTGTATAATTGGCAGAGTCTTGTATCCTTGCAAAATGGTGGTATGAGTATTGGGTCATTGGGGCGACTTTGTCGATTCCGCTCACTACAATGAGTAGTATCTTCAGTGGGTTGATGGTTGAATCGTACGTATTGGTTGAATCGTCCGTACTTGGTGGATCGTAAATATTGGTTGAATTGCAGACGGTTGAACCGTGCATATTGGTTGAACGGTATATATTGGCTGAACCGTACATATTGGTTGAACCGTACACATTGGATGAATTGTACATATTGGTTGAATTGTACATATATTAATTTGCGAATGAAATTGTGAAGATGGAGATGGTGGCCTAGGATGCTGTCCAAGTACATTATTTATTGTGAACTCATGCTCATTATCCTACTTGCCGCCTGGCCGCCATGCTGCCGGCCACTGAGGCTTGGTTTTTTCTGCCTTGGAACTTGCGAAAGGACAAAGCCCCCGTTGGCCGCTCTTGAGGCCGGGCTCACACATTGCTTTCCTTGTCCGCATCAGCCCCGCCAACCTGATGGGCAGGGGTCGATTGGACACCCAACGCTGTAATTGATTTGACCTGCAGGCTTCGGCTGTGGCAGCGGGTAACAGCGGGCGCAGTATTGGAGGGCTGATGGCGCCTAAGAATAATCAAGGTCGCATTGGAGGTTGTCTCTCGGTCTCACAACTGATATGCAGTGCCTCAATCCCCTCGGCCCAGGACATAAGCCCGCCGCGTCTCGTGACACTTCCACCAATGTGATGATTTGGAATTAGGTGTTCATCACAGAGTAGTATGCCATCCCACTGGGACGCTGACCTGCTCCTTTGCAGAGCATAACTTAGTCATGTGTTTTGAAAGTGTGGGCCACTTATTATTTGCCCAAGTTTGTGGTCTACGCAATTGCGGCGAATGCTTGCACCGAACCTATCGCTTGGTAAGCGATAGTGTAAATAAAGTAGACCGAGAGAAACCTGATATCTCATGTACTAGACATTTTGGCCGGTGTCGAATCAACCTCTTCCTGAACTAATAACTAGGCCGTGCTACGCTGGGATTTTGAAGACCTTGTGAAGTTCCTCCTTAACAACAAGAGAGCTGTGGGCATCAACCACTGACAAAAGGCCTTTGTATAAAGAAAAAGGCACGGAATTTTGATAGGTAACCATTTCTTAAGATCCTACGACACTGCCACATCTTACCTCGATCATCGTGCATTTTGTGTTACGCCGTGCTAAATTTGACCTACCCATTCCTTTCACATGTCGTGAGCATTTCATGAGGGCTGTCCCGCCGACTTTGATTGATATCCCAGGTGTCGTTTCTCTCGACTCCCATCTTTGGGACTCTGCCGTCCAATCCAATGCCCGTCTCTGCCGCTTTTACGATGCCACCACGGCGTGTCTCGGACGCAATGGATCATTCGGGGCGCTGGGATCATGTAGTCGATCGTCGCACTGCTCCTCTTCCATCATGTAGTTCTGGAGAATCATGATAGCCCGTTGGATTCTCTTGCCGCTCTCAAACAGGTCTCAAACATCCCCGCTGTATCTGATCGTTCGTTGTACCGCCGCGTTAAATTTTCGGTCGGGTTCGTGGAGAGTCGAACACTTCGTTGGGGATTCTTGAGGCCAGCCGTTCTAGCAAAATGGTGTTGGTGAATGGAAAATGGACACCAAGCCGCGCTCATCACCCACAGCCTCAACACCTTTGCCGCCTGGCTTCGCTGGGGTATGTTTGTTTGTTGGTTGGTTGGTTACATCGGTGGTCAAGTTTCGGAGCAATTGAACACTGCCACGCAACCCCACCTTCTTATCTTATCGCGCAGACCTGCTTAGTAATGAAATTCATGGCATCTCGAAGCCTGGAAGCTTCAATCAAGAAGTTCCAATTCTCGAAAAACTCTGCCATACTCTGTTTCGGTGGCGGCATATGCCATCGATACTTTCTATTGCGTTTGTCTTCAGATGTCGTAGCTCAAACCTCGATCTAAAGCGATCACGCACTTCATCTCAGGTTGACCCAGCGAGAAAATGTAACAGCATATATCACGTCACCAGCCGTGGGAGCAAGCGAAGCAGGATGGATTTTATTCGTTGTTTCTTTGATCCTGCATGCACTAGTCCAGGGGGTTTAGGCATCAGCATTCAGGAGAGGAAGCTCCCCAAGACTCGCCCTAGCACGGCGAGGTACCAGACCCTTTAAGTTGGAATATAATCATCGTGATGAAAATGAATAATTGAATTCCCGGGGTGTAGGGAAAGAGAACGTAAGTTGTTTTTTACATGGGTGCTACACCATCTTTGTCAAAGGACTGTAGCTGGAACTCACCTAATTCCCGGGCCGGTTGCTGCTGTTGTTCTTTCTTCATCACCCATGACCATGTATCACAGCTGTTCAGTGTACAACTGGCATTAGAGTCAATATTTACCCGGGATCAATATCTGTTAGATTTTGAAACAGGCGGTTTTGCTAGCTCCCGAAGGAAGCCTCTTGAGCTAGCTACCCAGACACGAGTCATAAGAAACTTCGTGTACTCTCAAACAAATGCAAGAGCTAGCATATGACGCCGATGTTATCATGACCCATTGATTGGTAGATTACGGATAAATTGCCCGAGTTAGCCCTCTGACATCAGATTCGCTATCTGGTCTAGTCCAAGAGTTCTTCGGTCTCCTAGAAATGTGTATTTTTGCCCGCTTGAAACGGACATGTGGAGGAGATGCCCTATGAAACATGTGATCCATTACAGAAATCTGCTTCTGAGATGTAGGAAGATCTCCAAAACGTTGGCAAGGCCTGTTTATTCAATATTGTGAGCTTGGGTATATGATTTATCAATAATACAGGACTTGTCGGAGGGCTTATTTGCTTTGCTCCTGCAGAAGATATGGCCATGTAGAAAATCTGTCGCTTTTGACCTCCGAATCATGAGAAAGTCCAAGTAGGAATGGGAGCGCAATTACGTTATGCGATAATAGAATGGCGGCTATGGTCTAATTGGCGAATGGGAATTCGCGAGTGACCAACAGGGACAATTCAGAATTATTTAATCGATTCTTCTGAAAGCAACCAACAGGCCAGCTTTTGCCGTTGCCATCATAACACAGGACGGCTGCGGGGTTAAGATGAATGTCAGAACAACAAAGTTTTTGATTTTTTTTTTTCTCTCTTCGTTAATTTTAGCAGTAAGTTTCCAATACAGTTTCCTTTTCCTTCTCCAGCCACTCTGAAAAACTAGTCAGCTTAATGGCGGACGATAGCTCCTCCATGTCCATATACTCGGCCTGCTTCCTCATTACCCGGTCTGACATCATAAAAGAAAACGACACTGCCTGCGAGTCGATATCCTCATCGGTCATAAAGTACTCCTCGAACTCCGTCCCAGTCGCCTCGCCCAATTGCTCCAACATATCGGGCACGCTCAATAGCTCGCTGGCGAAAGGGATGCCGCGCCCGTGCCATTTCTCAGGGTTCTGGAATATCACTACAACAAGCTTGCTGATGTCGTCTGGGTCGGCAAGGGCTAGCCTCTCGCCTTCCCTCATGACGGTTTCCCAGATGTTCTCCTGGCGCAGATGAGGGAGGAAGTAGTCGACTTGTGGTGTGAGGAGGTTGTTCATGAAGAACGCCGGGCGGATAAACGTCCAGTGCTTGAAAGGCCCATCCTCTATGGCCTGCTCGATGACCCTCTTGCCCGTGATGACCATCTTGAAGAACGGCGACAGGGTGGGATCGCCCAGCGTCACGACACCCAGCGACCCCGAGAGCGCGACCTGCTGGACCTTTGCGGCCTTGGCGGCGGCGACGATGTTCAGGCCCTGTCGGCGCTCACGATCCGGATCGTCGGCGTAGGTGATCGTGGAGATGAAAATCTTTTCTACGCCGCTCATGGCGGCCGTCAGCGAGGCGACGTCATCCCAGTCGCCCTTGGACAGCTCTACTCCGGCGGCCTTGAGCTGCCTGGCCGCATTGGAGTCTGGGGTCCGCGAGGTCCCCTTGACGGTCCAGCCCAGCCGTCGTAATTGGAGAGCCAATGGCTTGCCTTGGCTGCCTGTGATGCTGCAGAGGAATACGGAAGGGGGTGGCATGGCTCAGGATGCGCTTTTGCGTGTGGGTTCGTGTCTGCGAGCGGGGTCGCTGTGGGCGGCGTCTCGGTATGTGCCTCTGCCAGAACACCAAGATTTTAATTGCGTGCGTCCGGGTTGGAAGGGGGGGTAGGCGACGGTTTGCGGGTGCGGCAAATATGGGAGTTGGAGGATGCTCGGCGGCCATGCAGGCTCGTCAGCAGTCTCGAGCAGGTCCTGGGCCTATTGTTTCCCTATTTATTAATAATTCTCGGCTTGGCTCCTCTAAACGCCTGCGCATGCTAGGTTTTGATGGCTTCTTATCGTCGTCAATCAGGGGCCGGTTGTTGTAGGGGTCAACCCAGAGGAGGGGGAGAAGAACTTTGCGTCTTTTCCCACCTCGGCCTAGCTGGCGCCAAATCTAATTCTACGGCTGAGGATCTGGAGCACCGGTTCCATTCCAGCAGGCAAGCTGTCGGACGGTCGGTCGTAGGTCGATGGGGTATAGCGAGTGGGCTGCAGGATGCATAGGCGCCGGTGGGGGAGGGATTTCCCAGCAACTCGAGCGAAACCCGAGCCAGCGGTCTAGATGTCGTACTAGCCGTCAGCTGGTATGCAAGCCTGTTGGTCAAAATCTTCAGTGACAGGGATTGAGGTTCAGCTGACAGCCACAATTCAGAGAGAAGCCCGGATAGCACCGAGCTGCGGTCCCGCTCTTTACGTACGCCAACAAGCCCAAGGGCTGATCATTACCAGGTTACGGGGATATTTATCCTGAATTGGCCAGGCAGCCAACTGCTTCCCTCGTCGTAATGATTTATCCAGGAGGCTGGGTATGTATGAGCCTGCAGGCCGTCGGGATCAGAAACGTTGAGCGATATCCGGTGCATTTAACCCCTGCTGAACCTGTAGATAATACTGGCTCTTTTGTGTATACTAAATATTACTAAAGTCAGCCTTGTTAGCGCAGGAGACTGGGCTAACCGAGCAGATGGTGTTGTCTCACGTCCAGGTTTTTGAACGAGCTACCTCAACAGCTGGAGTACAGACTGTATATCTAGAAACCGATCAACGTAATCGTGGTCGTCTGCCTGGTAATGGAACGTAGCGCGTAATCCAATCTCGTATCACTCCCACGCCTCGCACTCTAAAGAGATAGAAGAATCCAAATGCGCCAGCGATATTGAAGGCCACAAAAGCAAACCCAACTCCCCAGTCCATCCATCTCTGGTAATAGTATATCCCCGACCTCGCCAAGACCTGGTCGGCCGACCGCAAAGGGCAATAAGAACAGTTAGCAGTAGCCCCTGGATTCAGCAGTGCGCCAGGTGCGCCATTGTCGAGGAATGGCTGCATGTATGATCCACAATTACTGCCCCTTGGAGGTTGAAAGACGGCGATTTCGGAAAGCGAGCAGGTGATGGGGGTTCCTGATAGACCTGAGACGGCTGTACCTCCCACAAAGTATGTCATCGGGGATACGCGATACATGAAAATCCAAAATCTCGGCAGGGCTGTTGGAATCTGGAATACGCCTGCGAACAGAACCATCATGGAGAACATGATGGTTGCAAGACGGCCGGCCGTTGTTGCGTCTGGCAGCGGCGCCACCACCATCAATGCAAAGGTCCCGGCAAGGATGTAGAAGTGAATTAAGAAGATGCAGACCAGCCCTTGCTCCTCAGCTGAACGGATCCCAAACACCGTGTAATTAAAGATTGCGAATGTGAACACTCCCAATAATATGTGATATGGGAGCTCAACGAGTAGATTGGCAAGGATCAGGACGGGCCAGCTGTACATATTGGAGTGTCGTTCCCGGACCTCATAAATTGTTCGTTGAGCGATGAACCTGGGCATAATCTAAATGATTTTGTTATTCAATCAGTCAGGTGTTCAAATTTTCTCCTCTTTAACAGCGCGATCCTCTTACCTGCTGAATCAAACTGCTGAACGTTGCACATATCATGAGTATTGAGAATATCTTGTTTTGGACACCCAGGATAGAAGGGGGACCTTGGAAGAAGGAGAGTCCAATCAATAAAGAGCAGCCACACCCTAGCATAAATTTACTGGCAATATACGACGGTGATCGCCAATAATTTTGGAAAACCCTCAAGCAAATGGGAGATATCTGTGACAATAGAGGGACTGGGTAAGCGTTCAGCGCCTTATTGTCAGCCGCTTGTTTGATAGTCGGCATCTTTTGTTGTGTCCTGTGCCTCTCCGAAGAAGAGTTTCTTGCTTGCTCTATTTCCCTCCGAACATAATCGGCATTCGAGGATTCGGCCCAAGTCTTTGGCCAGTCAGGCTGCGAACTGCCATTGTTCCCAATCATTTTGAGGAGATATTCAGCAGGGTTCTCGGATTCTTCGCATGTCCTGTGCCCAGGGTCATGAGCAGCGAAGTATTGCAGTACAACATCCGAGTTTGCTCCAATGTCTCCAAAATATGCGACTCTGCCGCCTTGAGCCATTAGTAAGAGCCGGTCAAACTGTTGGAATAGCATTGCGCTAGGTTGGTGAACGGTGCATATGATTCCAAGTCCTCCAGCTGCCAATTTCCGGAGAAGAGACAAGATGGCTTCGGAAGATTGGCTATCTAAGCCAGAAGTTGGCTCGTCCAGAAAGAGAAGCCGCGATGGTCTCGCCGCAAGTTCGACTCCAATGCTGAGACGCTTGCGCTGTTCGACATTGAGACCTTGACCTGGTATCCCCACAATGGCATCACCGACCTCGGACAGGCCAAGAACTTCAATTACGTCTTCAACAAATGCTATCTTTTCTTGATTTGGAATGTCAAAGGGCTGCCGTAGCAATGCCGAGAGCTGTAGGGCCTCACGAACTGTGGACGTATCGAGATGGACGTCTTGCTGCTGGACATAGCCAATGTGACGCTTCAACGACGCGTCGATAGGTTCCCCGTCAAGGTAGAATTCTCCTGTTATGACACAGTCCGCTGATCTTTGAGCTAATGTGTTTAGCAGTGTTGTTTTCCCTGCTCCCGACACACCCATGAGCGCGGTCAGAGAACGCGGTCGAACCCAACCAGCGGCATCATCTAGAAGCCTTCTCGGTTGGCCTTTTATTAACACATCAACATTTACTTTATTCCACGAAAATATCTTTGCCTCCCGATGTATAGAGCTCTCTTCATTTGTGTTGACACAAGCAGCGCTATGCAAGTCAGGTTCGTTATTGATATGTCCTTGGTTCTCGGGGCCACTGTGGACAATCTCCCGATGTACGTCGTTATGTAAAAATTCCTTGGGTACATGTCCGCGGGAGAAGACAAGGACACTTGGTCCATTGGAGGAACTTTTACTGTACTCTGTAGCGATCAGGTATGTGAGGAGGAAGAAGAAAAGGAACCCAATAATGATACCGTAGTTGCGCCAGAGATGGGAGTAAGAATAACCATAGCTGGCTCCGCACCAGGATTCACCCATAACAAAGGAATGTCCTGCAACAGCACCCGGGACTGGACATATGAACGTGTCACCTGCTGAATCTGGATATGGAGGAACCAGGCCCGCACAAGGGTATTTTGCTCCGTGGACCTGGTTCACAAGAAGTGCCTCGAACACGTATGCGAGTGGGTTGACGTACGATATCCACTTGAACCATGGATGCATGTATGGCCGGGGTAAAATGAATCCAGTATATGTAACTAGTGTCAGAACTAGGAAGCCAGATATCGCAAGGGCGGCGGGGAGCGTTTTAGTGGCCGCAGCAATTGTTCTGAACACCATTGACATTGTCAAAGTAGCTGTAAACACAAAGAGGAAAAAGGTGAAGAATTGAGCGGCTGTTCGTTCCGCACCAGACAAAAAGTAAAGAATAGCGTTGAAGAGTACGGCAGTCACGAATTTGATTGGAATGTCAGCCAGTATGCCAGCAAGCGCATCTGCTGAAGGTCGATAGAACGCATAGGAAGTCTGCTTTCGAACAACTGAGCGACCGCTGTATAGGTTGTGGATGTCTGTTACGGCCATGAGAGCATTGAGGAGTACGGAAAAGAAGAGAACAGAGCCGTAAGTGAAGAATGCATTCGTGCTTTGTGGGGTGCCGTAGAATATGGATCCCACCACGAGCGAAATGACGACTTGTCCCAGTAGTGCAGTATAAGTCGATGTTTTATTGTTCCACAACTGCTGGTATCTCCTTTTGATGCAAAGGTGGGTTTGTAACGGAAATGAAACCGTCTGGGGGGCCCTGTTTAGCATCCATTTCGACTTGATTTGTTTTCGAGCCAGAGAAAACTCTCTCCGAGTGGCCTCAGCTTGGGGAATAGAGCGCTTTTCATATTCATAAATGTCTTTTTGAATCTTCGCATACTCTGGAGACCTATGCCAGTAGTTCTCGAACTCCATAGCAGTCCTTGGAACCCGACCTTGGAATCCCTCTCTGGGTGTTCTCTGCACAGGGTTCGTGATAGCTGTAAGAAAGTCTCCTGCCGGCTGCCTAGGAGGATAATACCAGCCCATCCTTTCAAAATAGCTTGTCGCTAAAGAACCCTGACCGAAAAATATCTGTCGGCCTTCGTAAAGTATCAAAATTTTGTCGAACATGTTTATCATAGCTTGTGAACATTGGTGGATGGTCGCCGCATTTGCTGCTTGAGTTACTAGATAAAAAATCAGAATAACTCATTGATTTTGACAAAGTGAGGAGTTAGGAGCTCCTACAATTAGAGAGAGTACGAAGTCGTTTGACAAAACTGAGAGCTGATTCCGCGTCTAACCCTCGGGTGGAGTTATCCCATGCATATATCGTGGCCTCGGCAAAAACTGTCTCTGCAATGGATAGTCTCTTCTTCTCGCCGCCGGATATGCCTCGCACAAAGTCATCACCGACGATAGTATGACGCGTGTGTGAGAGTCCGAAAACCCTGAGCAAAACGTCCACGACGTGTTTCATTCGATCTTCTCGGCTGATTCCTAGTATCCGAGTTCGTGGAGTGCGCATCGCCGCAGCGAACTCGAGAGTCTGTCCTACTGTTAGGTAGGGAAGATGCTCATCCACTTCCTGATTGTATAGCAACTCCCCTTTGAATGTCTCCGTCATAACTTCGTGCGGAATACCTATACACTTAGTTGAGTGATCGTCGCTATTGATTGTGCAGGATATCTCACCAGAGTAATGAAGCACTGAGCTAGGTTCCACTTTGAGGTTCGATATCTCCCCACTGATCGTCCTCAGGAAGGTTGTACACCCGCTCCCAGCACGCCCAAGCACAAGGAGAAGTTCTCCTTTCTGAACCACTCCATCAAGACCATACAGAATAGTCCTGGAAGGTATGGTCCGGAACCTCTTCCAAACTTCGTATGGATAAGTCAACCACGTCGAAATGGTTTGCTGCTCACCGAGTGATACACCATTTCCACGGATGGTTAGATTCTTGAAACAAAACCCAGACCGCGGCGGGGGAGATATTCCGAGTTCACTTCTCAGGCGGGCTATTGTACTGGACCATCTTTCGAAGTCAAAAGACGGACTCGAGGGATCAACGGTATGGTCATTAATCGCAGCTTTCGACAAGATCTTATTTTGCAACATTGTGAAGGAATGGACCCAGCCGCTTCACTCCACGACATGTATTAATGAGTAAGGCGTAGAGACAAGGCGAATGTTGTGTGTTCTTTGGGTGGCTGATGAGTATGAATCCTTAAGGGGCTTACATCCAGTTTGCAGGTAGATGGCGAATGAAGTTTTTTTTTCAATGATTTTGTTGGATCATAGGAAACGCCATTTGCTTTAGCGATTTAGTATCCTCTACTGTCTGTCCAACTAAGTGCAAAAGATTTGGATGTAATGCCTTGTAGCTGTCGAAGAGTGAAACCAGCTTCCACACTATGCATACGAACGTTCTAGCCTTAGGCCGACAGATATGACGAGTGGCTAGTACAAAGTTGCTGCATCACTTGTCCTCCCTGGTAATCTCTACGCCGAGAAAAGCTCAGCGTAGCTCTGATATGAGCTCAGTTCTAGACCTTTCTTGCGAACATTAAACCCCTGCAAACTCAATCGCCGCTTACGGAGTAGCCAAGACGAGTAAAGAATTCCTGTTTTCACTGGTAGCTTTCGTAGGGCATAAGTAGGTGTCCAGTCTGTTTCCCTCTTAAGATGCAGACCTAGGTCCAGACCGTGGAGGTATGTGTTTGTAAACTCTAATTAGTGTATTCCACGTTCAGGTCGGCGATAACTTAAGGGCATAGAGAATGATTTCAAACCCCTTTACCTTTCCTCTTTTCTCAGTATGGTATGACCAGTATCTCTAAGATGCCATATATTGTTACCTATGTGAACTTAAACCTGGACCGCTTACATCAAACCATTGGGTTAAGGGGCCCAGCCACCAGGCGGCCGACGTGAGCTAACAAATGGGCTGTCACCTGCCCCCCCTCCTCCAAGATCCTGCTGCATCTGATGGTGTGAAATGTCAAAGTTGACGGCACGCCAATTTGACAGCCAACGAGCTTGTCTCAATATTGTATATCGTCATGAATATGACAGCTTTTATACAGAGGGCTTAGACTCTGGTCACGGCTGCTAAGCACAGCTACGGCAACCTCATGTTACTAGGAGATACCCCTCTCCAGCCACATGTCTCGTCTTGGAGGGATTATGGATACATTGGGAGTGAAACTTCATCTGACGTCAAAGTTTAGCTCCATTTCTCAGCTATGCCTGGGGGCTTGTCTAGTGCGGCGGGGTCAAAGAATTAACAGCTGCAGAAAGTGGTGTGGTAGTGAAGATTAAACTTCGTACACGTCATTGGCTTAGTTCTCCCAAAACAGAAGCATTAGCTGAGAGCTCACCGACAAACGGACAGCCTCAGTTTCCAGCTATGGATGGAAGGTGCTTCCAGGTTGGTTTCGTAGTCAAGTCTTACTTCGTTAAGTTTTAAGTAGCTTGAATCAAATAAGCACATAGAGCATCACACACAAACCATTCCTATGCCACCTTATATGAGGCCCCAATATCATGTAGACAGGTAAAGCAAAATGGACATCGACTCTTTGAACTTTGTCTTCGACTTTAACCCAAAAATTACGAGCAAGATGAGGTGTCCAAAGGAGCATCAAACGGCCGACCAGTCATATTTGAGGGGGATTGTTGATATGGGGAGGTGTGCTGCTTCTTTCCCCGCGCGTCGCAATGTGCAATCCAGCTAATGTTTGCCCTTTAGCAATGGAATCCGGTTTTCGGTCACGGACTTGTCTCCTCCATTCTCTCGGATACTTCCAACAATTCACGTTTATCGTGTTGACATATCTCTCTATGATTCGCAGTACGACGAAGAGACTGGAGAGCAAATTCCTATCCCCCAAAATGTGATTGGGGATATCATCGCCGCTCTGGTTCGCTTCAAGATAGTATGTAGCGATCTAGGAGTGCTCGAATCCAACATTCACATTGTCGCCACAGAGGCAACACGAAAGGCAATCAATTCTGCCGAGTTCATCAAAGCCATCCAGTCTTCTACTGGCCTCACAGTCGATATGCTTCCCAAGGAAACTGAAGGCCGGGTGGGTGCCTTGGGTGTTGCCAGCGGCTTCTCGAATATAAGCGGCCTCATGATGGACCTGGGTGGTGGTAGCACTCAAATCACCTGGATCATTTCTCAGGGTGGGAACGTCCGCACCAGCGTGAAGGGTTCCATCAGCTTTCCCTACGGAGCAGCCGCCTTGACCCAGAGAATGGACGACATCAAGAAGGGAAAATCAAAGGAGGAGGCTGACAAGGGGTTGGCGCAGCTACGTCAGGAGATGACTGAAAACTTCGCAAAAGCCTACAAGGAATTGGAGGTCCCCCTAAGCCTTGTCGAAAATGCGGAGGCAGAAGGAGGTTTCTCGTTGTACCTCTCAGGCGGAGGATTCAGGGGATGGGGGTATCTACTGTTGTATATGAGTCAGCTTGAAAAACACCCCCATCCAATCTCAATTATTAACGGATATACCGTGGACAGAAAGAGGTTTGAGGATACAAAGGCGATAGAGGAAGTTGCAAAATCTGCCGACAAGGTCTTCCGGGTTTCTGATCGGCGGAGAAAGCAAGTTCCTGCTGTGGCCTTTTTAGTCAACGTTCTCTCGCAGGCGATACCCCACGGGTTCCGAGCAGCACACTTCTGCCAGGGAGGTGTCCGAGAGGGTATATTGTTCAGAGAACTTAGTCCCACGATCCGCGCACAGGATCCCCTTGAGATTACCACCCAACGAGTCGCGCCTGAGTCGGCGGATGCCCTCTTCAAGCTTCTTGCGTTCTCTATTCCAGAGCCATCGAGGCACGACGGGCGTAGCTTTCCCAGCACGCTCGACAGTCATGTTATCAGAGCCTTTATTCATATTATGTATGTGCATGGAATCATGGATAAGGAGCTGGCCTCAACCGCAGCCTTGTACAGCACAAGCACCGGGTTATTGGCTTCCACCCGCGGGGTGTCGCACGAGGACAGAGCGAGACTCGCTTTAATGTTGGAATCCAGATACATGGGGGAGCTTCCTCCTCGAGAGACTAATTTCATGCACGCCCTTCGGCGATTAATCACCCCCGAGGAGGTTTGGTGGACAGCATACCTAGGGCGCATCGGATATTTACTCACTCGCCTCTATCCGGCAGGGAAAATCGACGAGACGAAGCCTCGCGTGGTTTTATCATCGGAATGGGCTTCGGATCTTGGACGCAAGAAAGATAAAGACGGTGTGCGACTGGTGGTCTCGGTGCAGAAGATGAAAAACGACCCTGCGAAGCTGAAGAAGGCCTTGCAGGACAATGTCAAGATAGTAGAGAAAGTTGGCAAGAAGAAGAACTGGATTGGTGGACATGATGGATGGGGCATGAAGGTACAGGTCCACGTGGAGGAAGAAGACATAATGTAGCTCCCTTGCTTGTTGAGTATGCTAAAAGGTATTTTCTTCCTTCTGGTTACAGTATTAGTACTATCATTAAGAGTCACCATATCGATATCAATCAAAATGATCTATCAGGAATTAAGAAGCATGACTTGGTGTTCATTTTTATCTCCAACCACAGTACACACGCGAAACAATCTACATGAGCAAGGTTGGGTTTTAATATTAATAGGCATTATTAAGGAGCATTGGTGTATTTTTATCAATGAAGAACCAAGGGAGGTAGTAGAGTCAGCCTGCAGCTTTAAGATTAAGGATCAAAGTAATGAGAAAGCCAACTTGAACAATGTAGATTAGCCACTGAAAATTATAGCCATCGTTCTCAAATCTCTCAGACATGACATGCACTCCCACTTTGGGTAAATATGAAATAAAGCAAATCAATATACACAGCCCACAATTCTCTGGGCCCAAATTACTTCCTCTCTCGTTGATTAATCCACCACTCCCTCCTTCCTGTTTCTCATGACTTCCCCTAGACCGGAGTTGGGGCCGGCGCATTTGAGGGCGCGCCTTTGTGACCCCTGAGTCTGGATGATGCGGAAGAAAAGTTAAATCGACTGAAGGCCACATAAAAGTCCAAGGCTGGCTTACCTGGAGAAATGGCGCTGTTTCTCTTCGTGCACGTCAGCGACCTCGTGATGTCGGTCGCGATTCTTCCATGCCCGATACAGGCGTCCACCCTAAGACGGTGTTAATATCTCGGTAAATAGAACGGCGAGAAAGTAATTTGGTGAACGAACTAGAAGGGTACTGCCAATATGGATCATACAAGCAATGAACGAAAATGCTAGAACCGTCCTATAATCGGAGCAGCCGGCATTGTTGACACGCACAACTCCGACTGGGCCAGTACGCCACCATCGACCCCAGTAATAGCCCCAATAGTTGTTGTACCAAGTAGAGCTGCAAGCATGAATGCCAGTTCTCTATAAGTCATTTATATTAGCATTTGCCTCAGATTTCTTCGCGTGGAAAAGACAATCAAGCCATACACTTTCCAGGAGGCAAAAGGCCACGAGCCACATGATGAAGAGGACCGTGTCGAATGGGAAGGTGATAACGAGAGGACCGATAGGGATGCATGTAAGGATCGTGTACACAATACCAAGACAGGCAGTGACCATGGTGTAGATAATACGGCCATCGACATGTACGTCAGCAAGATTAGCCAAGTAAGTGAATCGGCTGAGGATGCCCAAAACAATGACAGCACTAATGAACTCTCCGAGACGGAAGAGGCCAAAGAGCACCTTTGAAACAGTATGTCTTTCTGCCATGGTGTAGGATAGATGTGGCAAAGATAGATTCAGTAAGTTTTGGATTATCCCTCGATGGAGAGGTACTTGCAGTATTGTGGTACAAAGTGTTGCGGGAGAAGGCTCTTAATATGAGCAAACCCAAAGATCGTAGTTGTCAATATACCCATAAAACATCGGAATCATGCCGCACGGTAGGAATTAGACCGATTGGACATCCAACTAAGTTTGTGGTCCGTTGATTTAGATGACATGTGACGAAGCGTTCCCGAGGATTGATCCAATCGTTCTGCATTACAACTTGCACACATATCTGGTAAGTTGCTGGACACGTAATGATCCTCCCCTCCAAAGATTCAATCGGGGTATTTCAGACTTTACTTAGACGCCACAAATGAGGCTGGTCTCGACCATTTGCGGGGTTGGTTATTCATTGAAATGCTAAGTTATGAGTATATACGTCAGTGTCGCGTTGCTCGTCTTAGTGGCGCCACCTCCTGTCTGGCATCCCGGGATCTTCGGGATGTCTCCTTTACAAGTCATTCAAACGATACCACTTTGGGATGAAGGTCAAATAGCCTACAGAAACAATCCAAACGTATGCTCACTAGGTCTTGGGTGCCTAGATTAGCAAAAACACGGAAAGGACGTGGGCCAATCACTACAAAGCTACGCCGTTGAAACCATCTTATTATAGCTGTGGTATACCACCCGTGAGCCTACATTTGTTTGAGGATTACCAAAGTCTGCTGCAAGATCTATCACCAACAGCTTCCTCCATTTGGTGGTCCGTTCTAAACTGATATTTTCTCTAAGCGTGACACAACTGAACTGCCAAAAAGGCCAGAGAGCTATGAGATAGGGAATTTTCGCCACTAACAGGACTGTATCTGCTCTAATTATCGCCTTGTCCGGCTCCCTAAATGGCATCAAAAGAAGTTCTCGCCGGCCAGGGCTGGATTTGTGACCGTTTGCGTTAGTTATCCATCAGTAACGATAAAATCAAGGCTGAGTTATCACATTCTCCCCCTGGCTAACCTTTCAGAACTATAAGTCACACCATCAAAGAGCCCAAAATTGGTTCCTATGCTCCTCAGATTGGCATCGGCGAACTCATGACCGCCCCTTACCCGAACACGAAAATCGTAAAACAGCCACGTTCACGTGGAGTTTTCATATCCTGGATCCGAACATGTAGTGAGACGGCTTTTACCCCAAAGCTTCGGGTGCGAGCGGGATAGCATGCCATGGCAGTATTCCTCTTCGGTTAGTAGTCGCCGACCATAGGCGATCAATAGAAACCGTTCAACTCTAAATACAGATGTGGATCCGATTGTGATAGGAAGCTATGCCGAGTCTTCAGGGTGCCATCTCGACTGCCAGAAATGCGCCTAGTGAATGCCATGAACCAATGAGGCGGCTGTCTTTCGTTCTCCAGCCTAAAGTGATGTTTGGCATTGTCTACGCCTGAAATGACGTAAAAATGACCAAGCCTGTACTCTCCATACAGAAATAACGGTCATTTGATCAAAGTGATAGTTCAACCACAGGTGGTGATTTTCATGAGTCGATCTGTCAGCTCGTTTAACACAAGCCCCTCGCTACCCAGAAGCAATTGGTGTACCAGTGGTGAGGGCTAATTCTTTGAACCTAAGTATAGTCGCTATTAATCGATCTAAATCTTCATGCACACGAACTGCTTACCCTTCTTGTCCTCGGATGGAAATGGATTGGTTAATCATCCAACCCATGGCTTAGGCTAGCACATAATAGGGCGAGACACGTAGATTTCTTCGCTTGTTCACAAAACACACAGAAAGAGATTGAAGTCATAACCTAAATTTTCTCACTAAACAGATATAGCAGTCTTTGCATAGCTTCGCTAGTACGAAGATGCTCTAAATTACCTTTCTTCCCTACTTATTGGTATGGAACTGAGTTTATATGTAGGCAGCCACATATGTTGATTTGTCCTGCTGTAATGGATAGTTTCGATTGCTGGGTCATGGTTATAACCTAAGAAGAGAGCATCTTTATATAGTTCAGGTGATTATACTCCTGCCCAGGTACTATGTCCTGGAAATAGCCTTGGATGAACCTGCAGAAAAACAGACAAGGTGGCTAAACGGCACCGCCCTCGTTGCGACTTGCGATCGATCCCGGAATTTTGAGTTCATAAATCCTCGAAGCACATGTGTATACGGAAATATCATAACCAGAAGATGGAGGCTATTGACTTCTAAAGAGACAATGGGTTGTAGTGTATTTCAGCCCGCTCAGCTGAATGATAATCGAGAAAGCGTGCGCATGACCTTGTGAGCCAGCGTAGGAACACACCCTAATATAATATGGACAACTCCTTCTCGCGATGGTATAGTTCCCTTTCCATCGAGCAATCTGCATATTCAGGTGGCTTGGGTAAGTATTTATCAGGCACTGGCTCGCTCAGGGGGTCGTATTCCAACCTTAATTTCAGTATCTTTACTATTGCATGAGGTACGAAGGGACGAAATAGTAAAATCTGTTAATTACTTGAGTGGCTTCAAGGTGTTTCCTTCTAGAAGAAATTGACACTGGCTTAGAGCTGGCAGTCGCGCGCTTCCGGAAAACTACTAGTTGCCATACGATAAGTTTAAGGAGGGAACACCCCAAAAGTCTTGATTTAATTAGCATTCCCTGTTCATGTTGAGAAAAGTGAATCCGGCCTAGTTCTCCACCATGGGCTCTTAGCTTTGTCTTTGGAATGTTGGATATCTGTGGCTCATCCCTTTCAGCCCATGAAAGCAATCAAATCCGGACGGCGTATCTCCCAAGACATGCACAAGTCTGAAAAGAGAGCTAGTAAATGGCGAAAAGTCGGGTTCTGTAGTTAAATGATGGGATTGAGGGACACCATAGTCATTTGGCTTGTCTATCTGTGCTCGGAGGGTTTTGTGCGCGCATTGGAAGCTACGCTAAGGGTCCATCATGCCGTACCTTAGCATTCCTGACGACGAGTTGCACTCTCATACGTACAACGAGATCCGAGGTATGCTACGAAACCTTCTTGTCCTGCTAGACACTCCACTGGCCAGTCTCGGCGGATCTTCCTCCCTTATCCGAGCACTACTCCAAGCAGTTGATATCTCTTGATTCCTGTACCTGCGCCACATTTTGTTTGCGTTGTTGTAGCTTTGGTCTGCCCATCGTGGGGTCTCATAGCACCAAATATCACAAACATATGGTCGTCCACCTTTTCCTTTGACCTGCTCAGTCTGGTCTCGTAGTCCGTCCTGTTTTGTGTTCTATTGATGCTACATTCGCATGGCTAGAATTCTACTGAAAATCAATTAAGCATGCTCACACTCGAGGCGGAGTCGTGGGTGTGGTACGGCGTTGCGTGGCTCATCGTCCTAGCTCGAATGTAGGGTGTCGTCTACTATTATTAGGCATGCCAGAGAGCTGACCAACCATGCGGTCTAGGGTTTCGAGGAGAATGTTACTTGGTTCGTTTAAGAGGTTTCAGATCGACGATTACCTCGTGCTACTGGCTATGGTACGCCAACTGATCTCGCACGCCTGATTTGTGCTAACCACGAGTGAGATCAGGCAACACAGACTATCTTTATTTATTTCCTCATAGTCGTCGATAACACGCCCAATAACCTGATCGATCCAAATAATCCGGAAGACAATGTGGCATTCACACCTGAGAATATTCAGGAGCGGATTTGGGGATCCAAGGCAATATTTGTGGTTGAACAGATGCAATGCTGTACGATTTGGATTATCAAAGCATGCATCTTGTTGATGTACTCCCGCATAACGTAGGTCAAACTGAAACCATCACGCGATCATATGTCGTCGAATATACTCTATGCATAGCCACTTCAGATATAGTCTTCGGCTCCTACCTTAACAGCACTGATTAATTTCTTAGGGTCAACACGGAACAAAAGTTTCTTGTCAAGATCGCGGCTGTATATACAACTTTGTGCTTCATCGTTATGGAGATCTTATGCTTTGCCGCATGGTGTCGACCATTCAGCCAGTATTGGGCGATTCCTCCAACAAATAGTATGAAATGCCCGGATTTCATCTCTCCACATGCTAACGTTGTTTAAATAGCCCAATGCGCTACGTATTTGAACCATCTCATTACGAACCTTGTGGTCAATCTCTCATCAGACCTGCTCATTTTTTTCATCCCTTTCCCTCTGTTCTTCCGATCCTCACTCGACCTCAAGCAGAAACTCATTTTGTCCTGCGTCTTTGCTGTGGGGATCTTCACGGTCTGTTGCATAAGTCTACATCTTCGTTTGTTTGTCGCCCGTACTGATAAATTGTAGATGGCTTGTGCTATTCTTAGTAAGACATACTCGTTCATCGACCCCTTTAGCAACAATTGGACGTACTGGTATGTTCGTGAATCATCAACGGCTATCATTTGCGCGAATCTTCCACCGACTTGGCCCTTGGTCAGAAAGGTCTTTGCCATCAAATCTCCCAATTCGACTAAAGCAAAGTACTATGCTCGCTCCGCTCGACCTATTAACGCGCCTTCGTGATGTATAAATTGGTAATATGCCTCTAAGAACCATTGGGACGGGGGAATCTTGCATTGGTGGCTTATGGAGCAACAAGGCAGTATGAGAGCAAGTTGACGTGTTATCGGCAAGTCTATGTTGCCATCAAATCGCTTTATATGTACCATGAAGCTAGTGGTCTTTGTGTGGTCTTAAGCTCTAAATTCAAAGAATCTCACTTGCACCAACCTTGAGCGAAAAACATTTCTTCCCCCCTCTCAAACCCGAAATAAGACCCTAGCCGAGTCTTTTCGAGTGTAGTATACCGGGATAATTGGATGTAGCACCAATTCTGAGCTGGTGAGAAGTGGGGTTGCTTCTGAGGAGGGAGGAACTCCATGAGAAATGTTGGCCATTCGATGACACTTGCGCCGTTGGATAAGACTAGTGAAACAATCTAGGACCCAGCCCATCTTTCTCAGGTCTTTCTCAAGGCACATTGAACAAACTCTCAATAGCTTCGACTCTGGACGGTGGTAGATGATGGAAAGACAACACTTTTAGAACACTAGACTAAAGGCCAGACGTTTCATCACCGGTGCAACAGGAAGAATACCCTACGGATATCGTGCGATGATTGGTCAACTATTTTAAACCGGCTTCGGTGTAAAACCGTATTTAGACCTCTATGATCCTCAAAAGGTTGCGATGTTGTTTTGTATAAAGAGATCTTCGGGAGGCCTCCCGACGGCCTCCTGAAGTGTGGAGTGCTGATGCCGAGTTGCCGACAACGTTGGAGAAGTCATCATAGACTTTTGCCTGGGCAAGGGCAGATTTGGCCAACGCTATCTTCTTAGGAGCGTGATGTCACACACGTACAACTTACTCTCAGATTTTGAGCGAATTACTTCACCATCAAACTCCTTGCTTGATAAACTCATCTGATTCTAAAGTGGTCTGCTACGATGGCAGAGGGGATTTGGGCGATCCCTCTTCAGCTGACAAACTTCAACATCGCGGTCGCTGTGTTGGGAGGCTTCATCTCGTTATTTGGCCTTATTTCATACCAGGTCAAGGAGAACTACTACCTCTCCGAAGCTCGTGCGTCGTCCATGGACCATGTTTAGTCAACTGAACACATTTGAATAGGGCTGACATTTCGAAACAGTAATAGCGCTTCTGGCGGGTGTCGCCTTTGGACCAAATGGCGCAAACTTCATCCGCCCCAGGGACTATGCTCAGTGCCATAGTCCGGGAGTCTCGGAGAACGACTGTCAAGTTAACCTGGGAGCCATTACCCTGAACTTCTCCCGCCTCGTACTGGGTGTTCAGCTTGTCCTCGCCGGCGTCCAACTCCCCAGCAAATACCTCCTCAAAGAATGGAAATCCATCCTTCTGCTCGTTGGCCCGGGCATGACGTGCATGTGGATGGCTACGAGTGTTCTCGTCTGGGCCTTCACCGGGCGGCCCAGCTTCCTGCACGCACTCGTGGTAGGCGCGTGTGTAACACCTACTGATCCCATCCTCTCGGCCGTCATCGTGAAGGGTAAGTTTGCGGACCATAATATACCCAAACCTCTACAGAATCTCATCGTTGCCGAGTCGGGCGCGAATGACGGCCTCGGATACCCATTTCTATTCTTTGCCCTATACCTCATCAAATATGTCGGTACAGGGGCAACATCTGGGGGTGTTGGGGATGCCGCTGGGCTTTGGTTCGCCTTCACATGGGGATACACTATCTTTCTGAGTATCGTATATGGAGCCTGGGTGGGATGGATTGGAAAAGAACTGCTCCACTGGGCAGAGGAACGCAACTACGTCGACCGGGAGAGCTTCCTTGTCTTCGCAATTTCCATGGCATTGTTTGTATTGGGCACATGCGGATTAATTGGGACCGACGATGTCCTTGCCTGCTTCATCGCCGGCAACACCTTCACTTGGGACGACTGGTTCCGCTTGGAGACCATGGATGATTCCTTGCAGCCAACGATCGACATGATTCTCAATGTGGCCATCTTCTTCTGGTACGGGGCATTTATTCCGTGGAGTGACTTCCACGATAACTCGCTTATCCCTACATGGAAGCTCATTCTCCTTGGTATACTTGTGCTGCTTCTAAGGAGGTTACCCTGGGTTTTCGCGATGCACAGGATGATCCCCCAGATCCAGGAGGTTAAGCAAGCTATTTTCACTGGGTTTTTCGGTCCCATCGGTGTCTCAGCCGTCTTCTATTTGTTTGTGAGCCTGGAATTCATTGAAGAACATCTCAGTGAGGGAGACCATGTCCCTCGCAGCGATGTACAGAATCTGGCGGAGACTACTCGCGTCGTAGTTTGGTTCCTTGCCGTGTGCAGCATTGTAAGTCATGTGAGTCAGCATCCTGCATTGAGAGATTTCTAACAGTCGTCTTGCAGGTAGTTCACGGCCTCAGCATCCCTGTTGGGAAATTGGGATACCTTGCACCGATAGCAATAAGTCGTACGGTCAGTTTGAGTTTGAGCGATGACCCGCGTGCGGCAGGATCGGGAAGCAGAGTTACGCTCATCAGAAAATGTTTCGCCTGGGCTAGGAAAGGCGATGTGGATGTTAGAGATGCTCGACCGCCCCTTGGTCCTATCATCATCACCGACGCTCGCCCCCTTCCATTGCCACCCACCTGTGTGGCTGGACCAGGACCAAGCAATTCACCACGTCAACGTGAGATTCGATTCCCTGAGGACCTTATCTAATAGCAGGATGGCGAGGACAGTATGCCTCAGTGGAGCTGTGGCGGAAGTTCACAAATTCAAGCCCGACAGTTCAAGCTTCGTGAACGGTCACTGGACCGATTGGGCTTGCCACTTCCGGGAGCGTACCATTCTTGACTGAACATTGATCAATCCAGAATCTATTTAGACGTCAAACAAGCCAGGCCGTATGCTAAATTTGTACCATTGAGTGATGGGTGCATGTGTCATTTGATGAGGACGTGAAGATGGGCTTTCTATTTAGGGACAACCCCCATATATACTTATACGTCACCTTAGGATTGAAGTTACTGCATTTTAGTCAAATATCTCATATGGTGGACTCTAATTGGTGTTTAGAGTTTTTTGCTGAGATCAAGGAAGTATATAAATGGATAGGCCTCTCAGTAAGCATATGATTGCACAGAACTACAGAATCAGCTTACGAAGTACTAGAAGTTTCCAAGAACTAAAACATGTCTGAAAAAGGAAGTGAGACCGTAAAAAAGTACTAATTGCTTCCTTGCGACTACTGCATACCCTCGCCAGTATAGCTATGTCGTCTCTGACCACTCTTCGCCATGGTAGCGTTATGTGGTCATGGGCGACTAAGTTCCAGTTTGTCATATTCAACCCAAACCATCTCCTCCTTGGTGAATGAGGTGTACTCCGGGCAAGTTTCAATGACTTTCTAGTTATTCTTTGAGTAGAGGGCTCGGATAGCATCTGCCTCTCTCTCCAAGAATTTATCAAAGGTCGAAAGCGGAACGCCCCAGCTCTTGACCTCATCTATATCATATATTTTTTCCATATCACGTATGATGGACTGCCCAGCAATAATTGGGTTTGACGTCTTCTGGGCCTCAATTTCCTCGTCAGGCATTGGAACCATCTTGAGCTCGCGTCCGGTGACCTTGGACAGCTTCTCGAAAATCTGGGTCACGGTTTGATACTCGTCCGCAAAAAGGATAGCTTTTCCGTTGAAACGCTCCGGATCATTGATGACCGCGGAGGGGAAAGCCCCTAAGGTTTCGTCATCAAGGAGGGGGATATTGGTATCAGGACGCAGAGAAGTGACGTTGGCTCCAGTCTCGACGAGACCAGGGAACATGGTGTCATGGAAAACCAACACATTGGTCATAAAATAGCCTGGTCGGAGGATAGTGAAGTACTTGAAACCGGCATTCTTTACCTCGTTCTCAATATCCCTTTTGGAGTTATGAATGACTGCAAGAATGCTATTTGGATCGTAGTAGGTGAGAACGCCAGTGTCGGGGATGGAGTGGCTAGAGTAGACGATTTGGGTCACGCCGGCTTGCTTGGCGATTTCCAAGATCAGCTTGGCTTGACGAAGATTGGCACCAAAGTCATTGAAGTCGGGCATGAAGTTGAGGAAAACGGCGTTGGTCCCAGAAATAGCCTCCCGGAGAGCCTTTTCATTGTCGTAATCTCCCTGCCATAGTTTGACACCTAGTGCCTCGAGTGCCTTTGATTTAGCCGTGCCTGGATCGCGGGTGAGTGCATGGACTGTAGACCCTTGACGGACGAGGTGCCGTGCTAGAGCACCTCCCTGGACACCAGTAGCACCGGCAACAAAGACAGAAAGCTGAGGCATCTGGTGTGATGTTCTGGATATGGTAGGTTGAGTAGTGGTGATCAATTTGAGGAGTTGAAGGATATCGGTTTGGTGGGAGATATTTTCCAGTTTGCAGTCTCAGGTGAGATGAGGGGAACACTCATGCATATTTATAGAAAGATGGGAGTATTGGAGTATGACAAATCTTTCTTACTGATCCGCAGAATGATGCCACCATCTAACCCCCAACGGCGGAGTTCCGCGCTGCCGCGACACCACTTGTTTTGAAATCTGCCACAAACCCATCAAAGTTGGGATACTATTACTATTGGCATAATATGGCGTGTACTTTGCTAGGCATACATCTTTGATCTAATGTGAACAAAAATCTGATCACTAAGATACAACAATTAAACTTGCAGTTATGGGTCAAATGAATCACAGCAAGGAGGCTCAAAGAGCCTATAACCACCACAAGACGGCCTGCAAAGTGTCGCAACAGAAAGCTACCCGCGCCCCTGACACTACCGGGCAAATTGAGTCTTTACCTTGAATTGAACTCGGAAATTGATTCGGTTTTCATAGGCAAGGGCAAAATTTCACGACTAAGACAGTTCCAAACTTCCGGGTGCCAAGTAGCTAATGTATTAGAGCAACTCGTTGATCAAAATAATACTCAGGGAGCCGACCCAAATAAGAACGCTGTGTGATTATTCCCAAGCCCTTCTACCTACTCCATAGCCGTATAGCCCAGCTGCTTCAAGATTCTGAACAGCCTCATCACTGACATCCTTCCAGCCTTCTTCTACATCTTCAAAACAGCCTATGTCAAACCGATGGCCAGCCCATCGCCCAGGAGTTTCCAAAGATTGAGTGCCGGAACCATCTTCTGTCCAGACGGTAAAAGTACCAAGGACCTCTCCCAAGCTATATTTCATTGAACTTGATGCGATACTATCGTCAAGGACGAACTCTTTTGCCGTCAAATTGCGGAGAAGCACGGCCTTCTTGGGTGGATGTCCGTTCGCATCAGTAGGTATATGCTGAAGCACATCGTTAATCAATTTGATGGCCTTTTTGCATTCTGGTGTTGATCCTATTCTCTTTTGGAGGCGTGAGAAAAGGCTACCAGAATATTCAATCTCGTCCGAGTCGTACCAACTCTGTTCAAAAATCGCATCTTTCTCGGCAAATTCTTGCTCAATAGAATAGTAGAGAGGATTGCGCCCATCGGCCAGCAACTGGGTACGCTCTGTTTCTGTTACAATTCCTTCGGGAATCCCATTTGCGTAGTCGCCAACGAATATGAGCCGATCCCCAGCCCAAGGTGCTTCATCCTCTGCCAGAAGGGTTTGTACGCGAGAGCCGAGCAAGCGAAAGAAGTAGGAGCAACTCAGGGAGAGGCAGATCAAGTCTCCACTTCCATCCCCCTCGTTCTCGACAAGAAATGAAACGATTTGCTCAATAAGTTCCTGAGGCAGAGTAATAAGTGGCGATTCCACACTAGCATTAGGGTCCGGCGGGCCGAGTCAACAATCGAATCCGTGGAGCTTTGTCCAGGTCTGGGGTGCTTGGATGGTCTGCTCACCTCTGTAGCTTGCATGACTGGATTGCATATGATGGTGCAAGGTAAGGAACCCATTGGGGCCGGCGAAGGAGGCCAACGAGAGGTTCAAGAGCTCGATCTCCGAGCATCTCCAAGAGCTTCAAACCCGAATCATGCGCAAGCGCCTTCCGCTTGTCAATATTGACCAATTTCCAATATTGACCCATTTTCAATTAGTGACTGTAGTTGGGGCTAGTTGAGATGAATTAGAGTCTATCGAAATGTTTCATGAAAGATAATCTGGTCCGTTTTTATATCTAGACTGCTCTCCTGTGACCTTGATACAAGCGAGGCCTCTCTCTACTGTGTCTCACCTGACCGGACGATCGCCATATGTTGGTTTCCAACGGTTGCTCCAACAACATTTACAAGTAATAAGGGGCAAACCCTGCACTATTAGGCAGATGTCCCACTAACCAGTTGTTGCCTGAAACCTTGACGCTTATAAATGGATCTAATTATACTCAGTACAGCACGAATGCTGACATGAGGCATACTCACACCGCTCTTCACCATTTTTACATTCCTACGTTAACTTTTACAGAGTGTTTTAGTGTTTCCGGTCACTGTTCGATTTTCTTTTTCTGTGAATCTACTGAAACTCAAGTCTTATTTTGGTAAATTGAACAGCCACTGTCTCAGACACCAGCTGCTTTACGGTTACTCTCTGCTTGGGGGCAATGCAATCAAGAGTGTTCCGAAATCATGCTGAAGGAGTCGGGGCTGCCAACCTGACCGGATGGGCCTCGTACACTAAGTTATTTTGCTTTCTCACATCGTCAACTATGCTTATACATTTCACCTGTATAAGGGATTTTGACAAGGATTCTCAGTCCCAATACCACGTGGGTTCTCGTCATTGACAACACAAACGCGCGAACTGTTTGTCTATCAGTATGCGCGATCACATCCATGATGTGGGCGGGTACAGTCACTGACTCCGTTTGTAGCGGTCCAATTATATGAGGCATATTACGGTGGTATGTTAACCACCTAGCGTAGAGTGGCTCAACATGCATGATGGATGTGACCTTCCCATCTCACAGAGATATCAATTGCGAATCAGGATGCAAACCAAGGGTCGTTCCGTTCCCACTTAGCTCCGAGTTTCCTTTTTCAATTATCATATTGGAATAATTTATGTATCATGCCTGTTGCAACAAAACGGGAAAGATTGCGCTATCTCGTTTTCCCAGTCACAGCGGGAATATAACATATCCGTGACTCCATGTCCTTTTGCACCTCTTCTCACCATTTCTCCCCATGCTAACTCAGCTTTGTCTTGGCAAAATGAGAATTGAGATCATTTGCTCACAGCTTCTTCTGGTGGTGTCGGCTGTTGCAGCGCCAACTCCGAGGGCCACATTTGCGTTGGTGCCGCTCGAAGATCCCCAGAACTGGGTTGCGGGCAACAGCTTGTTCCCAAGCAACATCATCGCAGGATACCACGCTGATTATGATGCCTATGACTCCGAGTCTTGGTCGAGTTACGTACTCGAGAAATGCAAAGCCTTTGCCCAGTGCACATCATCCGAGACTTTCTCAGGCATGTCGACCCAAAAGCGTTCATGAGAACACTGAACTAACCCAGGGTTTGTCCTGTTACTTTAGGAATCAACTCGGGCACACCAAAGATTAGGTACTGGTTTGGTTACGTGTGCAGAGGCGGCGCAACAACACAGGCCAACTACGAAAGAGTGGATGGCGTGGAAGACTCCATTGCCTACACAATCGTATAGTGACAATTGAAATGTGTGTGTCTTTCTTGGATTTCCACGCCGCCGTTCATCGAGCGTTCTTGTTTATGTAACAGAACACATTATATGAAAGGAGGCCACATAATAAACACTGAGATATAATGAATAGGACCAAAGATGAAGCAAATACAACTTGTTCTCTCTGAGCTCTCCCAAGCAATGTAACGTCATAGAATCTAGTAGATGTGGTGGGCGACCGATAATTCGTAGTAACTTCATTCTTTTCCCTTTTTCCCCATGTGACGCGAACCAAATGCCTGACCTGCTATTGCTGTAGCTCCCCAGCTTATAGTGTATATAGACAATGCTGCCACAGAGGGGACACGCCGCTCGGCATATCTTTCCTTGCTTGGATTAATAAGAATTCCATCCTTTGTGCTGCACATCGGACCATATCACCCTTAACGTAATTTCAATGGCGTGGCGAGCGTCATGTATCAATCGCTGCATGAAACAGCGTTGCAGCAGCTAGAGGGCTTGGTCAGTCGTTTATCGACCTCATCCTCCTGTCGAGGGCTCAGAAAAGAATCGTAGAGTTCAATCACCGTCCCTGATGCTGGCAATCAAGCTGCCGGTCATCTCAGAACCAAATAGTCGGATACCCGAAGTATCCGCTTACCAACTCAGCCTGCATGTATCCCATCTCATCGGGGTGTTGGAGCGAAATTCTGAGGAGTCTGCCAGATCTTACGCTCGCTCCATCCGGATAATCGCGCAAACAATCGTCAGAAACGCACTATCCTGCAGCAGGGTGCCGGATGTCCGAAGTATCCGCTGTGTTCATGTTGTATGGAGCCCCGGTTTTGGTTGACAAACCCGAGATGACAGGGATAACAAGAGTTCACCTACGTTCGAGACATAAATACCTGGTTGCTGACCGAGCCTCCGTCCGAGGGTACCATGTAATTTTCCTAGACTTGACAAATTCAATTGCTCCTTGCTCAATCAATCCATTTCATCAAGCACAATGGCAGCAGAAAATGGTTTCAAAGTCATCATCATAGGCGGGGGCATCGCTGGTCTCACCCTCGCCAACATGTTGGAGAAATTCGACATTGATTATGTCGTTTTAGAGGCTCATAAAAATATCGCGCCCCAGGTTGGTGCGAGCATAGGCATGTTTCCCAATGGTCTGCGAATCCTTGACCAGATCGGCATCCACGATCAAATCAAAGCTATATTCAAGAGCGACATTCCCTACAACAAATCGCATATGAGAAATAATGAGGGGAAAATCATCACAACCATCCATGGGATCAACGATCAGCTGGAGCGCAGGTGAGTTTGAGGATGTAATATATTCAGAGTGACGAAACTGACGGCTTAATTACACCAATGGATTTAGGCATGGATATGGTTTGTTGTTCTTTGATCGACAGGCCCTTCTACAAATTCTCTACGATCATCTGCAGGACAATTCCAAGATATTAACAGGGAGGAAGTTTGAGTCAGCTGAGCTCAACGACTGGGGCGTCACTGCAACGTGTGCGGATGGTTCCACTTTCCGCGGTACCCTTCTTGTTGGTGCAGATGGCATTCACAGCAAGGCTCGGACCGTCATGAGGGCTTTGGGAGATAGATTGGACCCGGGAGCCTTCGACAACAGTGAGGAAAGCAAGGTGCCATGTTACTACAGATGTAGTTTCGGCATCGCGGTAGACGTGCCAGGGTGGGTTACAGGCGAGCAACATATTGTGACGGGCGATGGAAGGTCTCAGCTTGTTATTTCGGGGCCGGACAATCGTGTGTACTGGTTCATGTTTGAGAGGTTGCCCGAGGCCCGATATGGAGATGACATCCCGCGATACACGACAAAAGACGAGGAAGAGTTTGCAAATCGGAACGCAGACGTAGCTATTACCGAGAGTGTTACTTTTGGCCAGGTCTTTGCTTGTCGTCTGTCTTCAGCCCTCACGCCACTACACGAAGTTGTTTACAAGAAATGGTTCTTCAGGAGGATCATCACTCTAGGCGACTCTGCCCACAAGGTTAGTACATTCTGTCATGATGTTTTTTATTCCGTTTTTAATATCTGTTGCAAGCCCAACCCCATTGGCGGCCAAGGAGGCAATGGGGCGATTGAGTCATGCGCGGAACTTGTGAACATGCTACTGGAGAAGAAAGCAGCCCGTGGTGGAACCTTGAACAAACTGACGACCGAGGAGCTGGAGGGGGTCTTGGGGCGAACACAGACATCAAGGCACGCAAGAGCCAAGGAGATTGTCTATGCTGCACACAGGCACCAGAGAATCAACGCTTACGAGAATCCGTTGATCTCTACCATCATTACAGGGTACATTTTCCCTTTGGCTGGGCCTGAACAAATCCTCACGAGGATGTCCTGGAATCTTATAGGGGCTACACATCTCAAGAACCTCCCGATTCCCAAGCGCGCTCGCATGATACCATACAATGACGAGCTTCCTGCGTTGCCGTTCAGCACCATAATATCCATGGTCGTTCGTAGCGGGCAAATCGCCTCGATGGCAACATTAGTCTTCATTAGTTTGAAGGCGTTCCGCTTTCATATACCAGAGATAACTAAATGGGCCCGGGAAGCACCAATTGTTATTAGATGGTTCGGTGAAGGCCAAATCACCAAGATCTTCAACATATTCGTCTCCGTGTTTGCAATCCCACTCTCAGATCAAGATCCTGGGATCAGGTTGCAGCTCATTAACTTTCTCTTTCAGTTGATATCACCTCTCCTCATTTACACTATCGAAGCCAACAGAGTCGGTAACCAAGGAACTGCTTTGATGTTCGATCTTTTATTTGCCTTTGGGTTTCAGCTCCGGGGAATTGGCCAGTTAGGCCCTCTTCATGCTGCTCTGCATGCCGTGAGCTCTCATGAACTTCCAACCGGACGCCACATACCTGTCGAGACTGCGAAAGCTCTGGTTCCAGCTATTACGTTGGGATTTGTCATTCCTACAGTACTTTTGTTTGCACGAACTCCGGATACAGTCGCATGGCAACACTCTCTAGCTCTCTGGCAGTTTGCGCCACCAATTTTTGTTCTTCTCACTCGATTGATCTCTTCCACGATCAAGAAATATGACCGAGCAAAACTTCAGGGAAAGGAAGGCAGAAATGACATGGAGCGATATGCGGATAAGGACTTGCCATTTCTTAACTCCGTCTACACTTACGCGGTTGCTACTCAGGCTACCGTCCATATTGCATCGATGGTGTACGCGTGGTCACATCCGAATATATCGTTATTCGAATCATTCCTCCAAGTGCCGAACCCGTTCATCTCGGACTGGAATCTTCCAAGTTTGGTTGCTAAGTTGGGTACATTCTTCAAATACGACATGCTGCTATTCAGTGCATCGTCATTAGCAACTGGCATCTACAGCATTTGGGATCTGCGCCGACTGGGTTATATTACAACTACCGATGCTTTCACTGCCTTTTTTGGAACAGTTGCGGGACAGTTCCTAGTCGGTCCAGGGGCAACTTGGGCTGGGTTGTGGTGCTGGCGGGAGAATCGACTAGCAAAATTGATGGCTAGACGTCAGTAACGGAAGCTAACCCCAACAATATCTACCTATGTAAAGATTCATTTGGAGAGAGAGAGAAGAAGGAGCACCCACAACTCAAGGAGCCTTAACCCGGACCTTTGCCTCCACTAAGTCAAGAAAGCCCCTAGTATCAAAAAGGCGTCGAAATTATGATTTACAAGATGACTATGAAAGATTCTTTCCTTCTACTGAAACTCGTTACCAGAAAACCTCGGTGGTAGGACAGATCGGCATTTCTCTCGTCGCTCGCGGACTGAAAAATTGTCCGACGACCGCCGTTGATACATAAACAACCAAGTCTGCGGTCAGATTTATGCGCACTTAATAATCCATATTCTTCTTTTCCGATATCTCCGCTCCTTGCATATGTTCTGAGACCGCGAAAGTGCAGTGACTCTAGTTTACCATATCTGCGAACGGAACATATGATTATCGTACGCCAACGTGAAAATCACACATACTCGCTCAAATGGCCTTTTTAATTATATGCGCATCCTAGTTTTAGGGAGTGTCTTATCAAACTTAGAATTCATGTTTTGGTCGCGATCCATGGAAACTGATAGGCTCGTCACTTCGGACTTTGATGAAACTCCGACCCCTCACGCAATTAAAAATCGCCGAGAGGCGCGATGATAAGCTCTCTAGAAGTCAAAAGTAATATATATTGCGCTTATGCGTATGTTGAATTATTATTTGCCTCCTTCCTTTATACATTCAAACTGACATCATCATGAGTCCCACGGCGAGTATTTCCAACGATTTCGGCATGCTTCCGATCATTTCGGTAGTGGTATGTTAAGGATTCTGGCTTGGACGTTTTCAGAGAGACATTGTGTTGATTGATATTACTGTCTTAGGCCCTTTTCACACTCTTTGGCTACCTCATATATCTTGCATTTCTTCATCCACTGGCCAAGGTTCCTGGTCCAAAACTATATGCCATTTCAATCATTCCTTACATGTACCATCTGAAATCTGGAAAGTGGCATCGTGTGCTGAAAAATCTTCATGACCAGTATGGTCCAGTGGTGCGCATCGCGCCAGGCGACGTGTCTTTCATCAACGGTGAAGCCTGGAAAATCATATACGGTCATAAGAACGGGACTGTCGGAAATTTCCACAAAGACACGAGGTTCTTCCCACGGCGTATTCCGGGAAAGCCCAATATCCTCACTGCAGACGAATCTGACCACAAAAGGATCCGTCGACACCTATCTCATGCATTTTCAGAAAAGGCATTGCGGGGGCAAGAGTCAATCATGCAAGAGTACGTGAACCTCCTAATGCGGAAGCTGGGCGATGAAGTAGAAAGAGGAGCTACGGTTGATATGGTGAAATGGTACAACTTTACCACCTTCGACCTCATTGGCGACTTGGCATTTGGCGAGCCATTTGGGAGTCTCGAAAGCGGTGGCTACCATCCTTGGGTGGCAATGATTTTTGACATTGTCAAGATGACATCGCGTCTCTACATCTTGAAGCGTATCCCTGGTCTTGTCTCACTCACGCCTCTTTTTATACCTTGGAAGCTCCTCAAGGATGCTCAACACCACTACGAGCTATGCGAAAGGACGGCTGCGAAACGGATTGAAACGGGAAACACTGAGAGGGAGGATTTCATGTCATATATGCTTCGACACAACGATGAAAAGGGAGTCACCACCGCTGAAATCTTGGAGACGTCCAAGGCCGTGATTCTGGCCGGCAGTGAGACGACGGCAACCCTGCTCTCTGGCTGCACATACCAGATGCTTTCCAACCGCCATGTATATGAGAGACTTGTCAAGGAGATCCGATCAACATTCAACTCACCAGAGGAAATTACCATGTCTTCTGTTGCCAATCTAGACTATACAGCCGCCGTTCTGAACGAAAGCCTGCGAATCTGTGAGTTGGGAACATCTTATCTTCCGGAATGAAGTTCACATTACTTACAATGGAATCCAGACCCTCCTGTCCCAGGCGGCATGGGTCGCTTTGTTCCAGAGGAAGGTACTATTATTGATGGATATTGGATTCCAGAAAAGGTAGGGGTTCAAGTTTTTATGCCGCACACATCAAAACGAAGAAGATTCACTGACAGATTCTACTTTTCTACCAGACGATCGTTTCTATTCCCCATTGGGCTGCCTATCACTCAGAGTTCAATTTTGTCGACGCCGACTCTTTTCTACCTGAGCGTTGGCTAGGAGGTGACAAATTTGCTCTGGATTCGAGGACCGTATTCAACCCATTCTCCGCAGGCCCACGGAACTGCATCGGAAAAAAGTGCGCAACCATGCCTCCAACCGTTGAAACTTCAGCTAACTATCCCTCGTCTTAGCCTCGCATATGCCGAAATGCGTCTCATTCTTGTCCACCTAATATGGAGATTCGATATGGAGCTGATGGCTGACAGCAGAGATTGGTTCCAACAAGAGGTGTATCATCTGTGGCAAAAGGGAAAACTAAATGTAAAACTCACCCACAGCCATCAATAACGCCTAGAATATGAGCGTCGATCTCAACCAATTTGTAAGCGAAAAGGAATAACTAGCCATGGATTATGTGCTAAAGCAATGAACCTTTTATCTTAAAGTACAGGAAGCTATGTTCAGGAGTTCCAACATTCTTATATATTTTCTGTATTATGTATTAACTAGCTGAACTCACTGCTATAAATAACAAACGGTGTTAGCAGAGGAAGACAGCCGCATTCCGTAATCATTAGGCCAATGACCTTAAAACTGTCCATCTTCTCGTAGCAGGATTAAAGTGTGTGTGCCGGGCCCCGGCGTCAACCCAGCCTGAAGGCCTCAGCAACTGTGAGAAATGGAAAAATACGACAGACAATTTCTACCTTGGGCGATAAAGATCAGTGCGTTAATGTTAGCGTGTAAAGTAGACAGCAAGGATGCATCATCAACATTTCAGTTAAGTGGCCATTTCATAATGGGTGCTGATGAATAGTTACAAATTCCCCATCGTCACAGCTGGTAGGCATGAATCCTTTCCCTGATCACTGTTGCATCCTTCTGCCCAATGACCTTGCCACGGTCCAAGCTTATCGCCAAAATTCCCCAAGGAATTTGGCTTTGGATCGAGGAAAATTTTTACTCGTCTGCCGGGAGAGGCTTGTTAAGTCCGAGCCGAGACAAGGTGCTGGGGAAGCTCTCGGGGTTGGCAGAGTTGGCGTCCACAATGTAAGTCTTGGGGGTCTTGTCAACAAGCAGCCGGATGAGGTCCGGTCGCATGTAGTGGCCGCCCTGTTTCGAGTTCTCGCTGTTAGCTTCCAGTATTCTGGGATAAGACTTCTTTTCCATGAAGCTTACGAAATCAGCCAGGCGCTTGGTGAGTAGGTTCTCATCAAGGTCGACGTCGACAATGACGAGCCCATCGAATGTCTTGGCGGGGTCCTCGACAGCACGATATCCGTCAGGGCGGTAGATGCGGGCGAATCCGTTGCCAATGACTGCTGCCTCGCCATCCACGGCTGCTTCATCATTCTGAAGGCGCTTGGGGAGATTAAGACGAGCGCCCTCGCGAGTGACGACCTGAGTGGGGGCCAACGTCCAGGTGCCAGTCTCGTAGGCATAGGCTGGAGTGACCAGTTCAGACTGCACCTCCGAGATGTTGGTGTAGGGGTCAGGGTAGGTGAGAGTACTGGCGGGAGGATACACAGGCCAGGCTGCCACATGAATCTGCTCATTGAGAGCACATGCGTGAGCCTTCAAGAAGGGGTTCATCTGCACAGGAATTAGTAAGGATACTATATCGGATAGCCTCGTGGACTGGACGAACGTTCTCCCAGCAGTTCAGATGGCCAAGTTTGCCGATCTCGGTGTCAACAACTTGATCCAAGGAGTCCCCTGTACCCTCGCCAAAGACAAGTCTCTCTACATGAGTGGGCTTAATCTTGCGGCGATGGTTGATGACCTCCCCAGTTGGGTCAATAATAATCTGAGCCATATAGAGGCTGTTTCCGTCAATCTCAGAGTATCCAAGAGAAACGTAGATCTTAGCGGCCTTTGCAGCTGCTCGGATGCGATTCATCTCCTCGGAATCGGGACGGATACTGTTTTGGTGGTATTCCTTGAGCAGAGGAAGCGAGTCCTGGTAGTTGACACGCCACTGCCAGTAAGGGTATCTAGACAGATGTCAGCTGCTATTTACCTGATAAATTCTAAGTCACAAGATAAGCGTACCCGGGGATCCCTAGCATTCGTTAGTTATAACTCTTTCACTAGGGTATTTCAAGTACTCACATGTCTCAGGGAAGGCAATAAGCTTGCACTGCTTTTCACCAGCTTCTCTGATGAGAGCAATGGTCTTCTGGACGGACTTCTCCAGGTTGAACCATCCTGGCTCGGACTGGACACAGGCGGCCTTATACTGACGAATGGTGGCAGGCATTTTGAATGAGGTTTTGGCAACGAGGTTGTAGATTGAATAATTGATTGAACTGGAGGGCTTGAGATGAGGAATAGACTCAAAATCTCTCGAGATGAGGCCTCATTATATACACTTTTTCAGGCCAGAGCGGCACATGCATACGCGTGGTACATTCTTCCGGCCTCGTCGGCTATCATGCTATCAAACTTCGCCTACGACATGCAAGGACAGGGACGGTCGCCATACTGGAGAGGTTCACACCGGAGTTGCATTGCAACGCTGTAGGTTTGACTCTATCACCGTATGCATGAAACAGTATCCTCCTCCGCAACGAGATAGCTGATAGCCCCCCGCCTCGAGGTGCGGCGTGTTGCGGCGTCTGTGCGGAGTCGAGCGCCGCACCGCATCACGACCACGTCCTCCGCTCATGTTGTTGCATCCGACGCCGCATCTGATCCAAATAAGATAGACTCATCGCTTGAGACTCGGCTTTCTCCAATAAAACTACACCGGGATATCCCCGATATTGGCGGGATCAGGCCATATAGTGCATGAGTGTGTTCACTTGAACAGAATTATGCATCCAAGTACCGCTTCCCGTGCATATTATCATGCAATGCTACCTGTACATGGAAATTGAGATAACCATAAACCATCCTCACGTCTTTTTGAACTTGACCTCCCATGATCGGTTAGGTTCTGGGCCCGCCCTTGAAAAATATGCTCTGGACTTAGCTGGCATACAATGCATGAGGGTTCGCATGCCACTTCCACGTATTCACATGAATCCGACCGGATGTCCGGATACTTCTCCTAAAATAACATTTGAGGCCGCGGCAGATATCATCTCCTCCATCTAGCCAGATGCTGGGCTCTGAATTTTCTTCTATATCCGTCTTACCCGAGCACCCAATTACGACCCTACGATCCAGTCGCCAGCAGCCAATCAGTCGCGAACAGCATTCATCGAGACAGGTACTTCTAGACTATGAGGCCTCTTAGATGACATAAGAAGATAAGATAGCCTAGGTAGATCCTGGATCACGGTACCCCCGCAGCCTAAATGTGGCTCGAGATAAGACCCCAGACGATCAGATACAATGGGCTTTTCCCCAGTGTCCCTTGAGTTTCCCAACTTGCCAATGCCATCGCACTATAGCTGCCTCTTGCAAAACTTGACATTCATTTTAGCACTTTCCATAACAATGATGGCTGTGAGAACGAAATGCCGTACTCGCAGAACAAAGGTAAACAATCACAAGATTTTAAGAGTAGGGTTCAAGACTGGATAGCGTTGTTATATGTAAATCTTATTTCTAAACAATCTTTAATAATCCCAATAGGTCGGTCGATTCAGAGGTTATTCTTTCAGCCTAAGATGTATTACATTGTGTAGGCGGGTCTAAATTACTTGAGAGTTGCCCCCCTCCCCCACGGTATGAACAGCCACCTTACAGCTCCGCTATGTATTAAACTCTCAGCTCCAGCAAATAAAGAAAGATTATTCGGTTCCACCCAATCAGCTGGTAGCAACCATTTTAGCACCATATGCAAGTGTAGTAAAGGCAATTAGATAGAGAAATGAGATGATTCTATGTCGGAAGAAGGTAGCACTCAACTTAGAATCTGCCACCTGTCACGTCTCATATTAGGACAGAGGAACACACGATCTTAGATAAGCATCTAAGATCGTAACGGTATCTTGAATCGATCATTCTGAAATAAAGTAAGAAATCAAATGGGTCGAAGTTTCGCTCTAATCTAACACCTGTCTATCATAAAAGCCCAGATCTAAGCAAAAGACCCGCTCTCACGTCTATGTCCAACCATCCTCTCCAATATCTAATATATGTAATATGTAGTTGGGCCTTCCTGCGTTATCTTTAATACCCCCCCATGGTCTATATTTTTAAACGCCTGTTCTCTAGTGTGCGAAGCGGAAATCAAGTCTCTTGTTGCCTTCGTCCTTGGTAGTTCTCAGGTAGTTCTCCTTCTCCTCTTGCGTCATCGCATTCCAGATGATCTCGCGGGATTTATTGCGTCTCACGTAGTAGACCTTTATGAAAACCGTCATAACCATGTTCCAGCCGACAAGAGCCAGAAGGACCTTGTTTCCCTTCCGATAGTAGGGCTTATCATCGTCGCGGTAGATCTGTTTCACCAATGTCAGACAATCTGCAATCAGGGCCACCATCTGTCGAGAAGAGTGCAAATCTCACCTGAGTAGAAATGACCGAACTGGCCTGGCAAATCATATTGTACAAGGCGCTGCCGAGTGTTCTTGTTCTCACTGAGCCGGCATTTCGGGATGTTAAAGCCACTATAGTGTAATGATTAGCTTCTGATCAAAATAAAGTTGGAAATTATAGTAATCAAGCATACCATTGATCGAATGAATGTAGGGAAATCCGACAAGTAAGAATGTTACCGCATACCAGCTCCATGGGCTTGCAGTGCTGGGAAGGAGCTCGAGGGCAAGCAGAAGAGGCAAGCAATAGATCGAGTAATAAAACACAACGGCCATGCGGTTATTAATTTTCTCTGATACCCAAGACCAGAACACAAGTTGGAGCAAGAATAAAACATAGGCCGGGATGGTCAACAGATTGGTCTCGAAGGTGTTGAATCCAAGCGCCTTGAGGTTGAGCGTCATGTATGCCGTGACCGGATTCGTCGGGATAAGCATCGTGAAGCTGATGAGGTACAGAGGCCAGAGGTCGTAATCCATGAGGGAGTTCCAAACCAACTTGAGAGTGAGACCTTGACGGTTGTGCATGCCGCCCTAGATAATGGGCACGTTAGCTTGTTTCCGCCTTGCATTAGAAAATAATACTGCCTCATACCTTTCCTGGGTCGTCACGCAAAACTCTGTTGACCATGATGACTTCCTCCCTCTCCGAGAACCAACCATCTTTACCACGGAAGTAACTTGCTGTCTGTGTTGGTCCTGGGGGTAAATAGAACCAAGAAACAATTCCAATGAGGAAAGTGATTCCTCCCTCAAGGGCGAACAGCCATCTCCAACCTTCCCAGCCTCCAATGCCCCTCATGTGCAGGATTCCATAAGCTAGGAAAGCGGCAATGATGAAGGTGCCGTTCGATGCACAATAGAAGAAGCTCATTCTCATCGGCAGTTCCTTGTTTGTGTAAAAGTAGGAGAGATAGAGGATCGCGTCAGGGATGAAACCACCCTCAATCAAACCAAGCAGGGCACGGGTGGCATAGAAGGACTGCTCTCCGACGATGAGGCATTGGCAGATGGCAATCACGCTCCAGGCGCACATTTGGATGGGAATCCATACGTCAGGACCCAGCTTCTTGGAAATCATCTGTGACGGTACTTCGGCCGACAGGAAGCAGAGATAGAAAATCATCATGCCATAGTTGTAGTTGTTGGTTGTTAATCCGAGGTCGTTCAGCATGTTGTCACTCAATGCCTGGGAGATATTTCCTCGGTCCAACTGCAATGCAAAGAACATCAGACAGACCCATGAGCAGATCCTCTTGTCGAGCTATAGTTACAAGCGCACCATGTTAGTGTTCAAGAGTCGCTCACAGCCGCTGGTAGTATCAAAGCGCTTACCTTTCTGACAAGCTTCTTTTCTTCCTGCGGTGTCCACTCGGCTTTGGGATCATAACGATGGCGTCCTTCGTATTCTGGAATGGGTTCATAGTGCACTGCGGATGCTCCGACGGCGAAAGTGTCGCCGTCGCCATAAAGCCCCTTCCCATGTTCAGAGCCAGAGCCGTCCGTTAGAGACCCATTGCTGGACGCTTTAGGCTTTATTTCGCTCGTGGCAATGGATTTATCCGCCATTTTTACGAAAGCATGAACCAAAAAGGTCAACCTAGCAGAAAAAGCAAAGTGAAGAGGTTAATACATTAAGTTCTACACCAACGCTATATAGGAAGCTACATTGTGGCCCAACGATCACACTCGCAGCAGTGCGTGCGAATCTTTTGCGATGGTGCAATCAGGTCCCTGAAGCTATCACCAAAGTTCTGTAACGCTGGGAAATCAAATTAGCGTTTTAGATTGGACAGAAATGGTGCAATAGGTGGACAATGCCGAGTTTTGTATCCGTTGAGGCGACGGCTAGGACGGCATCTCCGGGGCGGCTGTGGAGATATAAGCTACGACTCCCCACTGACTCGATGCAGCGTTATCCATGTTCATTCATGTCAGTTGGGCGAAGCTGTTCACTGAGCTTAAAAAGTTCTTTCAACCGAGTAGAAGAGAGAAGGCCTATCTACGGGCAATGTTGAAAAAGCTGTCCTCGTTCAACGAGTTGAGCCAGCAGTAAAACCAATGCACCTGGCCCCAAATAACTAGGGACGATGATCGCTATCACAATTTCCAGAGTCGTACTTAGAGATGGGCTAAGTATATTGCGTGGCCAATGAGGATATACTCAGAGAGAGCACACACCACGTTATGGACCCTCAAAGCTCACGGACGAGTGTTAAAGTGCCTGCAGCATCCATGAACCTAGTGAATGAGAAAAATGAGCGTCTAGAAACACGCTAGAAACGGGCCATTCGATCTGGACCGCATTGAAGCTGAACTGCTTCGTAATGCCACTGGGTGATTGGGAATAAGTTGGCCAAGGATCCAAACCGCCTCATTTTGCCTTCATCAGCGCATTAAACTATGGTGACCTTCTCACCATCAGAGATTACGTCTCATTTCCATCTTGGGCTGTTACGAGAAGCCCAGTAGCGCGATGTATCGCTTGCGTGATTGATTAGCTCTGAATGGGAGACGGGATTGGGTTACCCGACTGGAGAGTCCATGTTTTTGGGTGGAGCATCCATCCGAAACTCAAGCTGCTGCCAGATAACCGATCCTCCCGACGTCATCGTCTGGAACACTACGAGCTATTTAGACTCGAGCAAGGTGAGGAAGGAGAAAAGAGGAGCTCGAGAGTCCCAGCCGAGACTTGAATCCTGACGGGCACCCGACATAACACAGGGATTATCCCAAAAGTAGCCAGCACATCCTCAAACCACGTACTCCGCGGAAATGTCGGATTGCAATTCAAGCATGTCATAAACCAGTGATATGATGCCAAAGGCAGCTGGTCCATAGTCCGTACGACGATTAAACCTCTCGGTCGAAAAGCCACTGTTGCTGTCCAGTTTTAGAGACGAGATGTGTGTTTGCCTACGTATTTGTCTTTGTTGTCGTGATTCAGGTACCATCAGTCATTTTTTCCAGTGTCACGGAACGGAGACAGGCTAGTGGATGACGTAAGGGCGCATCCAGGGGTGATATTGATCTCAGAGATTGCCAAAGCCATTGCACAATCGGCCAAAAACGTCATATATTCACTCATTCTCGTGGTCACGGTGCTGATCGGTCAGAATGTTCCAGCTCCATGAGATTTCAGTTCAAGGCTGAAACGGAGTTTTGATGCCACGATGTTGGTCCGCCAGTCGAATTCGGCAGAATAATTTTCCGATCCCGTTCCCTGTTGCTTAATCAGCATTACCTTGATAAGCTGTTATCGCCGGATGACTAAGGGCCACCTGCTGGAATCTGTGGGAAGCGTCATGGAACATACTAGCACGAACCAGCACGAACCAGATGGGAATTATCCATCACGTCCAGAACATTCACGTCAACACAAGAGTTAGATAGAATGTAGAAGCACAAGTTGCGAACCGTTTCCACCCCCCTGATGCAGCCTATAAAGTGGCAGGATTCGTCCTGCTTAATGGAGCTTTCGTTTCATCAGATCAAGTTCCAACATCCAAAAGAACAAGTCTTCCGCTCATCCTTGCAGCCAAGATCCTCTCCACCATTCACCAACCTACCCTACACACTCTTCAGTCACCAACAGACACAATGGCTTTCTTCTATCCTCGAACTGTCTACCACTCTCAGCCCTCTTTCACGCCAGTATTTCATCTCTTCAATAGCCGTGGCAACCAATGCGAGCCCCGCCGTGCTCGTAACACCCGCTATGTCTACCGGCAGCCAGTTCGTCCTTGGCTCCCCAGATTTGAGGCCAAGGAAACCAGCGACGCATACGTAATTGTTGGGGATCTTCCAGGTCTGAGCAAAGAACAAGTTTCCGTCGAATTCCCTGAAAGCCACAAGCTGGTCATCCGTGGAACTACCGAGCGCCGGGCGCCACAAACTTCCAACGCTGTTCAAGCCACACCAGAACCTGCATCGGAGCCCGCAAGAGAGGCTATCACCGAATCCACTTCTGCACCCGCGACCGCGTCAATCGAGGACCGTGACGACGATGTGTCCTCTGTCACCACAGAGGCCTCACAAGAGGCTAAGAGCGTGAGCTCCTACCAGGCCACTGTTGAAGATGCAGACGATGACGATGACGACTTTGAAATGGTCGACGCGTCCCCCGAGAAGCCCAAGGAGCAGGAGAAGAAGCCTCAGCCCAAGCGAGAGGAGGTGCTGCGAACCCCCGAACGGGAGCCATCTCCTTCGCCTCAACCACAGGAGCAGAGTCAGGCACCAGTGCCCGCTGTCCCAGAATTCCAGCCCGCCCACACAGAGCAGAGCAGGGTCCGGCGATTTGCCCGCACGCTGAACTTCCCTGACGGAGTTGAACTTGATCATGACGCTGTCACTGCAGATCTTAAGGACGGTCTCCTTCGCATTGTTGTTCCCAAGGTCAAGCGATCCGAGCCACGACGCGTGGCAATTTTATAGATGGTGATCAACTATTCTGTACTGTATTTGGAAGAAAGAATGCGGCGTTGGGCGTTGGGCATATCGCGCAATAATAGGCAGCGCGCGCACATGTACTGGGTTTCTAAGTGCTACAATTGAGCGATTTCTGTATCATTTAAATATTTCATTAAATCATATCAATCTTTCAATGACTAATCATTCATAACTTTGCCATGCGATCAATAACTAAGGTACCTAACTAATTGTGACTGTGCTGAGCCTGTACAGAGAGGTGAATGCTTCGCTTTACTTCGACCTTAACATTAGACGACTAATTTATTTCTCCTTATTGATAGTAACATTGATATTTTGCTGTTCGATTGAATATTTCTATATGCCACTCCGCTGGCTGTATAAAATGTGCTTTGATGCCTCTCGGGGAGAGCCCATTTGGGCGACCACAGGGCTGGAACATAACACTTAAAACCTACCTTCGAGGTCGAGGGCGAGACGTGAAAACTCAGTTTTGAGGATGTGTCAGGTTACCGTAAATATCGTAGAGCCGTCCATCTCGCAACCAGTGAAGTAAGTTCAATCCTAAAAAATGGACATATTGATGGAAATGGTAGTTATGAGAAAGGCCTAAGCGAAGGATATCATCGGTGAGAAGGTTTTTACTCGGCAGCCATTGGGGTGCATTTGATGCGCAAAAGAATTACCCGGTACATTAAATGTAGCGTTTTCTTGAATTGGAGTCCGGCTCATATGGAGCGAGCCCTGTGATAGCAGTTTAGCTAGATTTGGTTATTGAAGGTGAAGTGGATTATTTGCTCTAACACGCAGAACCAACTGCTGGAGGTTGTCTGAAATAGGATAGTAAAGATGGGATGCCTTTGAATTCACCAGATAGCTCGTTCCGAGTCTCAAACTCCATTGATTCTGTAATCGTTCACACATCAGGCTCATTCACTGACCACGGTCCATATCAGCGCCACATTTCTTCGACTCTGAAGCACCCTAAAACGGTTACCCTGGGTTTCTGGTGTTACCAATGAGTTTACAGCAGTTCGTGTACTGAAGTATAGAGGCCGTGTCGCCTGATTCTGCTGGGAGATGTACGAAACGCGCCATAACTAATAGCGGAGCTCCTCCCGCGCAACTCTTGTTCTACTACCTGACCTTGAACTCACTTTCACGTGTCACTTTCACGTAAGCCTTCCTTCTTTCTTGCGCAGAACCCACAAACTTCTCTTGAAACTGGCCAACTTCATCGCATTTCGAAAAAGCACCGCATCCCACCAAAGATCGCCAACTTTGGATTCGCAACTTCAAAGATCAAGGCGTCTTCATATCGGGTCTTGAATATTAGAGCCTCCGCGATGACACTAGATGCTAAGATGCCCACGGATGCCAAGGAACACCAGTCTTCTGTCCGCCACGATAACAAGGGCTCTTCGACTGGTAAGTCTGTCCCTTCTCTTCTCCTTCCCCCAAGATAGATCTTAAGACGATAACAAGGCTAATCATTCTAAATATGGCGTAGAACTTACAACCGAAGAGGCCTTTGGCGGCAACAAACGAGGACGAGAACACATAACCCCCGATTCGGACGCTGGACTGAAGAAACAGAAGATGGAAGCAGTGAGAGAGGAGGGCAAAGTTGGAGAAGGCGCTGGCCATAAGAACAGATACCGAACCTCTTGTGCCGTTGATTCGATGTCTGCTTCAGACGAGAGAAAGATGAAGCAGAAATCGAAAAACCAAGGGGATGCAACAACCGCGAATACCGAACACGAAGCAAAAGCCGAAGGGAGGACATGCAAATGTCATGAGATGCAAGAATATTGTACATCCATCGAGGAGAAGATAGAGAGCCTGGAAGCAGAGATTGAGAAGCTCGAGGAAGAGTTGGAAGATTTCAAGAGAGAAACGGACATGCGCTTTGATTGGCTCAATGGAGCGGTCACGGCTCTCGCAAGAGCCACAGGTTGGTTGATGGGCCGGCTCAGTGAGCAATGAGGACAAACCCAGTCGATCGAAAACCACGGCGGAATCGATGCTACGACCAGATTTTCAGACAAAGATGCGACCGCTAGGTGAGAGCTTAGATGAATGGGCCTACGAATAGGAATGATGGGGTATCTAATTTCGATTTTGAGAGATGGGAGATCAACTCACTTTACTTTCCATCCCTTGCATTCACGGACACGGAATCATCGGAGTGAAGGCTGCTGCTCGGGATTAGAGGTTTCTTTTGTCATGCTTCGAATTTGGGAGTTTATTGCGCATGGGTATAAAAAAAAAAAACAGGGAAAACGTGGTCGCTATTCACAAACTAGAGAGCCATGCATTCAGATGGGTGGTAAAGGATAAACATCAAACAGAAGAGAGATATTCTCGAGATTAGGGGAGGAATGTCTCTCGGCCTCAGCCTAGACCCAGGTCATATGGCAAGCTCAGCTCAGATTAATGATTAATTAGTGTCCAATTCTATCACTCTTTGAATTGTTTTACATATCAGGCCATTTTCCAAGTTCTCTGAGCAGGATCTTAAAGAAATTTCTGTTTCGTATTGACTTGAATCGTGAATCATGTTCGACTGGAAATATCCCCGTTGAAATTATCGGACGACTTCACGACTGATCACAGGTAACTATCGACGGAGTAGAGGCCATGTACACAAGCAATATTGGCGCTTCGGGCCTCTAGTAGTATTGTGTCTCAAGAAAGCCAAATCCCTATTTATACAATACATTGTGAGCTAAAGGCCGAGGGTATCCAAATAAAGGGCTCCTTTAGCTCTGACCGATAACCATGACACTATTCCACTAAAACTCATCCATTCTATGGCATTTGATCATTACCCCCTAATTGCATATTCAAGTCGAAATTACCCGACATCCCATGATACAGCATGGGATCCAGGTCGGGAAGAAAGTTGTTGAAAAGGTCCAAGACGTTTGTCCCTAAGGAGGGCTCCCCGGATATGTTCCCTCCGAAGGCATCTATGGAATAGTCCATGCCTCCAAAGGGTTCAAAAGATTCCGAAGACTCTGGAAAATCTGCCCCTGCTTCTCCCACTGTTCTCAGCTGTTCCCCAGAGGTTGTCATCACTAGGTCCTGAGCTGCCGGAGGCTGTGTCCTGGTAATCTCTGGACTGACGCCATTAGTTGAACCTTTGTCCTGGAGAGAGCCTCCCGGAAGCAGTGAGGTATCTTTCACACTATTCCCGTGTGATCCAGTAGGTACAGAATCACGGCTTTGAATACCGTTAACATAGGTGCGAGCGACGTGGGAGAACTCGGAAATGAGAGACCCCGGGAGTGTGCCGTTACTACAATATTCCAGTCGGCTAAAGTGTCCAGCGGCCATGTCGAGCAAAGCAAGGTTTGAGTAGGTTTCTGGCTGTCGTGGATTGTGAACAACGCTATCGAAAAGCACAAAAAGCGCGGCCAAGGGAATAGTTGCAAGGATCCTAATTTCGAACGTGTTAGTTCCATCGACGGATGACATATGGAATAAATATTATTGCTCACCAGATATTCGTATGAGGCTCGACCTCTATTAGTGTCGTCAGCTCCACTATCAGCCGGCAAGATTTGTGGATGTCAGAAGCAGCAGCTTGACGCTCTTTGGAATAAGCTTGGTCGCTGGATTTAACAAGGTGAAGTAGTGTGTTACGGTTGATGATTAAGTTCATATGGGCGTATAGGTAATGGATAAAGGTGGCCGCTTGCCGCTCAACGGGCCCCTGAACAGTTTCGGGTCGGATCGTTCCACCTGGCCGAAAGCCATTATCAGGGAGTGAAAGTCGCCAATCCTCCAGCTCTTTTTTTAGTTGTTCTGTTGTGTCGAGGTGATATGAGGTTTGTTTGTTTGCAACACCAACACAAAAGAGAAAGGTGAGAGCTCTGGATATTATTCTGGAGTAACGAAGGAAGGATAGAAGGTAATCGAATCCGCCGAATGTAGCTTCCGAAACTCTGGGGAGAGGACAGGAGATGTCGCCGTCGACAAATACCTGTTGAGATTTGTTTGTCAGCAACGAAGAATAAAAGGAAATCTTGGTCATCAGATTCTGGTGCATGTAACTTACAGAGCTCCTGCCGATTTGGAAGCTTGACATTTTTTCGATCGCATAGAGCACCCAGAAACACCGAGAGTATCTTTGGGCCGAACGACCCGTGAAATTTGCACCAGCCAAATTTTGCGCTCGCCTACCAGCCTCGGAGATGATAACGTGTTCGATCGCGAGACATGATACACTAAGGGAAAACGCCGACATAGCAGTCATGGCTTCTAACGTAGGGAGCGAATCGTTGTGTAAGAGTAGTTCAGGGAAGTATGCCAGGCTAACTGCAAAAATCTTCCACGCTTTCCCCGTACAAGGCTCGAAACTACCCTCTCCATCATATTGGCTGCCCAAAGCTAGTACTGCATGGTAAAGGCAAACCCACGGCTTGCTGTTGGTAAGCACTTCATCCAAATTGTTGCTGAGCGCTACGCTCTCGAAGCTGGCTCGCTCGAGGAAGGGCAGGAGAGGATGGACACGCTCGAAATATACTGGTGGTAACATGTTAGGTCATCTCATCATCGGAAGACATGCTACGTGGCAACTCACGCTGGATGTATTTCTTGGCAGCAACTCTGTCTGTAAATAGCTCAACAGAATGATTGCGACTCACTGCCGACTGGATCGGATTTTGGCCCGATTCTGGACGCTTTGAGAGTCTGCTGCGAACAACATTAGATATTCTCCCGACGACTTCGTTGACACTGTCATTCCCTAAGCGGCTCGACAGTGAAGCTAGCCGGGCATCTGAGAAAAATGTGAGGTTGTAAGCGCCTAGTTAATGTCGCGTTAGATTTCCATATGAACAACTTGAGCGAAAAAGAGGTTCTTCCTACCAAGAAATCCATTCCCCTTTGCCCGAACAATTAGCAATGATCAACGCCATGACGCAAGATTGGGAAGCATACTCTGATGAAAACTTGGTCTTGTGGGCTTTGAGTTTGGGACAAAAGATCGTCCACAAGAAGGGTGGGAATCGACGTTGCGTTCGATCCAATCTCTAATAAGCTACGATTCTCACCAATGGCAGGAAGAGGGATGACGCGTGCATGTGACAGAGAGAGCGGCTGGTGTCGGGTTGGCTGTGTTGGCTCTGACCTGACGGCCGGGGCAGCACTGACAACCGGGATCTCGCCAGGGGGGGAAGGCTTGGGGGAGAGGAAACCCTCGTTCACTGATGTCATATATATAGATTAGCTTGATGCTGGATACCAGAATTCCTCTATCAGCACCCAAAGGCGAAGAACAATCGTCTGATGCTCGGCGGATTGCGAGGGCGGGTTACCGAGATGGGCAATGAATTGGCTTACCGTTACGTCTTCGAGAAGGCTTTCTGGCACCGAAATGGCAGACTGTCTTCCGCCGCTATGGAAGAAAAAAGGTTTTGTCTCAGTTCAAATCTGCACGTGGGAGCGTGGGGGTAGGACCAGATGGCCATCTCGATGGATGGAAATGAAGACATACCAGACAATTGGCGCAAGGGCCCCGACCACCTGCACCTACACGCAAATAGAAGGCATGGTCAGCAAAACCTCGTCTCTTGGTCTCTAATTACCGATGGCTGGCGATCATACTCGGACATTTGACTTTGCGTATTCGGCACGCGTCGCAGGATCGGTTGGCTTTGGGCACGGCGAAGCTCGCGGTTGGGGGGCGCGCGATCCCCGGGTCCTCTGGCATCGCTAGGCTTGTGAGTGGGTTGGTTCGAGGGCACACTGGATTTCTCGAGGGAGAGATTCGGGAGTCAAATGAGGATTGGGGTCAACGAGAATCGCCGAGTTGTCGAGTTATATGCCGAGCTGTGCATGAGCAGGAAACTTCTGAGCTCGGGGCCGAGCTGCCTCATCGGGAAAAGGGTGGCCTGGATCCGCCGAGCCTCCCGCTTGAGTGTGTCCATTCTTTTGTTTGCGTTAATGCTGCGCCTCGCCAATCACATGCCTGCCAGCACGTTGGTGACGGGCGTTTGCTGGAGGATTCCTGCGCGTTGCCACGCCTTCACAGCACATCGAATCTTTCAGCCTCTTCCAACTGATTCTAGGCCAGCAGATGGGAAAGTCCGTGGTCAATGCCCGAGATGACGTGGGTCGAAATCTTAGACACATGCCTCGTAATGGGCCAATTGGTGCATAAGCGGTTGCCCGCTGGCGGTGCGGCCTCGTGTGATTCGGGAAACGGGAACTTACCGCTCAGGATCTTTCGTGTCGTTATCGCGGACCGTCGGATACATAAGACTGCGAGGATCTTGACCTCTGCTGATGATGGTTGGGAAAATGGCATGTGCTTGATCAGACCTGTTCTGATTCTCTAACCCATCCATTCACTTCTTCCATGGCCCTTTGTCCTTATTCTTACTCATCTTAATCCCTTATACATTCGTTTTTTTCTCTCTCTTACGCTATAACTCTCCACTTCGTTTCCTCTGCTCCTGAGGACCTGCTGCCCCTTGGCAGTCATGGATTCCATAGACGAGAAGATGGAGAGCCGCCGGGCGCCTGTTACTGATGACGGCGAGCATTCATCAACGCCGCAGTCTGAAATGACAGCTGCAAACGAGCAACGAGACGACCACCCGGATCAAAATGTCGCCGAGCTGATACGGTCCTTTAGTATGAGTCTGGTGAGGAGCGCCAGCCATGCTCAGGGAGGCGGCATCGTGAATCCATTCCTCACGTCGAATCCCGCCATGGACCCCAATTCGCCCAGTTTTGATGCAATCGAATGGGCAAAGGCCTTCTTGCAGCATTCGGACCTGCACCCCGAGAAGTACCCTCGTGCAAGGGTAGGAGTTTCTTGCAGAAACCTAGGAGTTCACGGCTATGGTACAGATACAGATTATCAGAAGAATGTTCTCAACATTCTCATGCAAGGACCCCTTATGATCAAGCAGTGGATCAGTCATCGTCGCCGTAAGATCGATATTTTGCGAAATTTCGATGGTCTGTTTCGA